GCGAGCTAGTGTCGCGTTCTCATCTGAGCACAGCCACCCTTGGCATCGCTCGCCCCTTCCTATTGGGCGCCGCCGAACTCACCCTTGCTGAGACCTGTTCGTTACTGGCTAGTCCGCTGTATGACGTTTGGTGAAGAAACCTCGTCGGTACTAAACGGCCTGCTGCGCGGCGTTTGGTCGAGACGGGTACTCTCCAAGTCTCCAGTCTCACCGTTGATTTTCGACGTGAAGTGCTGAGCGTCCCGCTGGCAGCGACCGGATACCGAACCCTGCCCCCCTGTTGCACCCCTGTTCGGTGTTTATTTCCATTCCATGCCCAATCATTCAGTGCCGGTGGTACTCCGTAACACACATCTTTAAGGCAAGATCATTGCTCCCGGAGTGCGGTCGGAGATTACATCCCGCGGTGCTGGCTCTGGGCTTGGCATACATGGTCCGTCGTACGGGAGCACGCACCGAGACGCGGATGCACTGTCGGCGCAGTGGGCCATCCCCTCTTTCCGCGCTTCCTAATGGAAGATCATATTGCGACACTCTACAGGCGTTGCCTGGAAGCTATCACAAGTGGTTTTTAGGTTTCTCCTCGAATAGTTTGAATCCGTTATTGGTTTCCATCCGCCGAACACGGCAGAAAAAGATTCAGACGGTGATTCCCGCGCATGTGCTGCGGCAGCTTATTCGGTGACATTGGCGTTCTTCCACACGCCTGAGCTTGAATGGCGCCGTATCTTAGCGACTCCGGATGTCCTCACGGGCCGGCGCCGGGAACCTGCAGGAACAAAGTTTCCAAGACGTTGACCTTGAAACCGAGGCCTTTAATGTTGGCAGTGATGCCGGCGTGGCCACGACAGAGTCCTCCTTTCTTGTCAGGCTAACAGGGAGCACGTGGAACGGGGTGCGGCCTGCCCTTCATCACTCCACTCTCACTGTACTAACAAATCTTAGATTCCGACTGATCCCCTGGGCATCACACGCAGCGATTCACACCAACCCTACCCGGGGGGTCCCCCTGTTCGCTTTGGTGAGCGAAGCGAGTGAACAGGGGGACCCCCGAATACTCCCCACACCATCTAAGCTCATGGTCCGTGCGTGGTAAATCCACAAAGCCCGACGGGGGCATCCGGGGCCGGTGTTAACTGGCACACTGGGCACCTATGTGGATCAGGTACGGATCCGGCGGGCCCGATCCACCCGCTCTCCAACTACACCTATTCCGGCATCTGAAAGGTTAGCGTACTACACTGTGGGGCCAGGTGATTAGGTAAGCCCCACCAGGTACCAACCTAACCTTTCAGATGCTGGGATAGGTGTACCGTTCGGATGAGCACCATCCCGTTTCTTCCGGGCCCAAAAACCCGATTTCCATGTCCATGGCACTGAGACGGGTTTTCTCTCTCTTTTGTTTGGGTGGTTACGGAGCGCGTGGAGCTTTTTCGACAATCGCACGCGACTTGTGGCGATGCGCAATTGCTTACTCAACAGGCTTGAAAGAGAATTCATGAGAATTTGGCTGGGTCGAATATCGTATTTTCTCTCTCTTTCGCCATTCACGAATTGTGTTAAAACGCTTCAGACGCCAGGCGCTGTATGTCATTGGAGATGCGGAGTCGATGAGTTCCATGTGGTGGGCAGAATAGTCGCGCGCTGGAAGCGCTGCATTCTGCCTAGCTTACTGGTCAATGGCGGCGTGAAGGAGCTAAATGAGCGCAGGAAAAGACGTTTGGCGTACTCAGACATGCGTATCACATGTGGCCTCCATCGTGGCATGGGCAGATGGTACCGTTCTCCAACCGTCTCCCATTTTTCGGTGGTTGCCAGCTGCTGGTTGCTCGTCCCCTGGTACCTGACAACAGGGCCTAACCCTGCGCGACAGCGATCTGCTGGGACGGTCGGACCAGCTTAATCCTCGTTCGGGAAGATCGTCGCACGGACTTGTTCTCGGGTCAGTGCCTTTCCACGTTCATCTGAATAAACAATTGACGGCTCCTAGCATAGCGTCCCATCTTATTCGAACCTCGGACGGTTTTGACGACCGAGAGAAAATGGGATGGATTTTTTTTTCTCGCGGTCGGCTCAGCCGATTGCGATGCGCTGGCCGGCGCAAGGCAACTTCAGGCAGCGTGGCGCATGCGTCAGCGCCGCTGACTTGCAACCTGGTCCGCATCCCGTCGCAGTAGGCGAGAGAAGCAGCGAGAAGGCGATGGAAACAAAAAGAACGCCGTGGAGAAATTCGCATCGCCAAGAGCACTGAGGGAAGGAAATTTCGGTCTCGGAGAGCCTTAAAACGTGCGACACGCGAGATAATGCGCAGGTGAGCATGATCTCATCCGAGTCATACGGATTGGCGTTGACATCTTGAATTCGTCTCATCTTGAAACGAAATGGAGAAATGATGTGTGAAATGACGGTATTCGCAAAGCGGTGGTGCGCAAGGCTGCGATGACAAAATGGTGGCGACTTTGTGTGGCTGGAATCGCTTGATCGTGAGTGACCGCAGCGCGTGCTCACGGTTTCCCTGGGCATTCGGTCGAACAGCTTGCACCTGGAATTGTGAGAGGTTTGGCCTGCGCCTCAAAAGGACCCTCCAGCAGTGATGGAATCCTACGCTGCGTTGTGTCATTCGCCGGGCGCTAGAAGCAAACGTGGCTTTCCATATGAACTGAGGTCGCAAGGCGAAGTCTAGTGCATCGTCATAATCGCCCAGCAATTGTGGCAGTGCTCATTGGATGAAACGAACCTCAATCGGACACAGATGCGGTGACCGGCGAGAGGCAATTGCGAACGAAAACTGGCACTGGCCTTGTTCGTTCCATCGAGGGAACAGAGCCGGCCCCGTCGAAGAAGCGATCGCCAGGGAAAAGATGGGATTGTGACGATGGGAGAAGGAAAAAACGCCGACGCCGATACTCGGCAATATTGTGGTCCCGATTCTGGGATGTGAGATGGACCTGGGGGTGGATGGCGCGGGACTGGGGAAGTAAGTACGGACCGATGAGAAGAGGGGGGAAAGGGAAATCATTAGGTGCCCTCACTCTGACACTGACAACCTATTGAATTGGTGCGTGAGCTCGCTGTTAGTGCGGCAAGCAGAGGAAAAGCAATGTCAATTGTCGGGCGAAAATCTGCGCAGACAAACCACCCATAGCAGATGGGTTTTGCTTTTGCAGTGGTGTCAATGCAGCCATTGTGCGTTGTAACGGTGGGACTAATAATTTCCCCGAGAGTGATACTCGCGTCCTCGAACTCTGATTCCCATGCCTTTGCCTTACATCTCAGGGCTAACTACCTTAGGTATCAAGTTCAGGTTTATTCTCTTTCTTCCAGTCAAACGTTGAAGCCATGCTGTCACAGTGCGAGTGCCATTCCAGGTTGAGTGGTGGCTGGTGGAAACTGCAAGCCTTCACAGTGTTACCTGCGACCTACACGCCATGGCACCTGCGAACCCGGCTGGCTTGCTTAGAATTTCAAGGTCGAGCCGCAATTGTTCACCAGGAAGACAACGAAGGTTTACCATCTGCAACGGAATATCCTCCTTTCTTCCGCCGCGGATCTGCCGAGCAGTCGGATCGAACGTGAATCACGTGCAGCAGGTCAGGTTAGATTTCGGATAGTTCGTCACTCCCTCTCTCTTTTACCAGGTTTTTCGATTGACGCGTGGGAAGGGGAAGCCATCTTCAGAATTTCAGAGCGTGCTCTGCAAGGCATGTTGCTGTGGATGTGTCGGCCTGGTTTCCTTTCCTTCTTGGATTTATGCCATGGCAGTATTCCGGCATTGCTCGTGGACATGCTGTCGTTTATTCACTTGGCCTACTCGATGATGGCTCTGTTGTATGAAACTGTACCTACCACCAAAGCATTTGGCAACCACATCGGGCATCTTCAATTTTGGGGTTACCTTCCTTATCTTAGCGTCTATTCCTTCACGACCACGACCTCCGAAGTACCTTCACTGCAGCGCTGCACCGAAAAAGTACCTGCCGATGCCGCCCGCTGCCGCTGCCGTTGCCCTTTTTTTTTTTTCGTTTTTTTGTCTTTTTTTTTCCTGGCGCCGTTAGTGCTGGATACCTTAGCAGCAGACGGTGCCGGTGCCCCTCCCCCTCCCGATGGCACTACCTAAATCAATCCTCGTCCAGACGAGCGAGACTCACCTCAGAGCTCAGAGCTCCTCCTCGAGCTTGAACCGGTAAAAAGGTCTTTTCCACCACCCGCACCCCCATACCTCGATTTGTCTTCCTTACTTACGCATTCAGGGCCCGTCTTCTCGTCCACACACCTGTTATCCGTCCATCCTGCCTCTGTCCCTCCACCGCCGGCCGGGCTCGTACCTGACCTCCTCCCCCCCCTCCTTCGTCATTTTCGTCCATCCTTCAAAACCACTTCCCACCCTCGTCAACCCAACACACAAGGCCTCGGGAGCACTTCAACATTTCCCTCCCCGTCTCGCGTTGTCACATTCTTCAACCATCACTCGACGCAGTTTGGCAGGCGTTCCTCACTGCCAGCGCATTCTTGTTCTAAGGAAGCAGATTGAACTCAATTTATTTCATTACCTACCTAGCCAGTATCGCCCAGCGCGCGCGCAATTCTCTGGTGTTCCTTGCCAAATTACGCTGCTTCCTCCGACCTCCTCTACCCCCTCCTCCCGCATCGTCTACCTCTCCCGCTTCTCCCCCTACCTACCTACCTACCTACCTACCTACCTACCTACCTCTGCTCCATTTCTCTTCTCCCGCTCCATCGCATGCTATTGCGTCTCTCTTCCCTCCACTCCTCCTTCCATCACTCTCTCCTCTACTCGTCTTCTTCTCTTGTGTATTCGATCGGAAACACCAAACCTACGGTCGCGCACACAAGCTCCCTACCTACCTCACCCACTCATCCACTCATCCACTCGCACGTCCCAACCTCCTCGACTCTTGATTTCGCCGCAACTGCGCGACTGCAAACCCATCATCACCCTTTCTTTCGACGAGCATCACACTCGTCACACGAAGGTCGCCATGGTCGCCGAAAGAGAACAATCGCCGAGCTCGACATCGGCAAAGCAGGGCTCAGTCACCTCGTAAGTGCATCACCAGCGTCAGTAATCGACGTCGCCGCCTCAACCCCACGACCACCCTTCCTTCCACCTGGCGTACCAAGCAAGAGTGACCCCATTCCCATCCAACTCTCTTCTTTTCCATCTCTTGCCATCCGGCCGCATCATCCTTGTAGTATTGGATCGATCGAGTCTCGCTGCGTTCTGTCGGTTGGCTAATCGTGCGTCGGAAGGAATCTCGAAAGCTCATCGTCATCGGCGGCGGCGGCGCGGGATTTCTCTGCACAACGTACGCAGAGGCTCAACGCCTTCCTTCAGGACCAGGCCTTCGACGTTGGCAGCGGGAACGGCGACGATGTCGGAAGTCGTCAAATACAGCACGCTCGCGAACAGCGCCTAAAAGGCCTGGTCGCTTCTGTCGATGCCCACTTTCAGAATGTCGGCGCCGACAACGCCAGCAACAACGCCAGCGACGGCGCCAGTAATAACGGTGGCGGCGGCGGCAGCAGCAGCAGCAGCAGCAGCAGCAGCAACGATGCCGACACGCAGATGCGACGGCAACCTCACGGCCAATACCACGCCCGTAAGGATGACGATGTTCGTGGGACTGGTGAGCAGTTCCCAAAGTAGACGTAAGAAATGATCCGGAATGTGAGTATTACCTTAGTCCAGATGTCCAAGTCCACAAGCTCATCCTTGCCCATCTAGATGTCGATCACAGCATCCGCTGCCAAGACATGAGTGGAGAGGTATCTTTCGGAGATAAAGCGGTGAATGCCGGAGTATCCCAAACGCGGTGAAGAGGGCCTTCCGTGTGGTGCAGAACTATCAAAGGTCGACGCACTCGAGGCGGCATATTGCTTTCAATGTTCTTGTTTTTTTCCTGTTTTGTCTTTCGAATGAAGCTTCGTAAGGGCTCTCAACGAGGCGATGGCGTTGCAAAGAGGGATGGATACCCTGGGTCAGCGAGTTTGCTTTGTCAGTATACGATCTCGACACTTGTTCCCATGGCCGCGAGTGTTTGAAATTTCACGGGCTGCTGGGGGCAGTGTCGAGAGAAGCCCTGAAAATCTGCGTTTGTCGTGTTTGGGTTGTTTTGGGTGGTTGTCTTTGGGCTTGGAAGGGTATCGGACGGCCGTTGGCGCTTGGAAGCGCTGGGCAATCGCCGCACACTTCACGTCGAGATGGGTCTAGCGTGGAGTCCATCTAGGCTTTCAGAGGACACTTGCTAGATCTCAATGACGAGTGAAAGTGAGTGGTAACGGTCGAAGAAGCTCCATGATACCTGGTCGTGGAAGGCCACGAGGTGATGAGGTGTTTTGATGATGAGTCTGAGTTTCCGGATAAGCCAGATTGGAATTCTGCCTCATAAGATGAGGGGGTTGGACTGCTTCAGCCAATGAGAGGGTGAAGCGGTGTGGGTCTTGTTGTTTTCAAAGAGCCAATAAGGTAGCATCGGACTTAAGATATTTAGGGAATTTCTATCGGCAATACCACGCGAAGTAGAACAGAAATGGCACATTCTGCGCTTAAACTTGCAACAGTAAATCCGCATTAAATTGAACAATCAGCATGTTAAGTGAAATCAAAAGCGTGAATGTTCTGTTGCCCATTCGCAGTGGGAATAAGAACCTCACAAGCAGCTGAAAGCCTTTAGACCTAATTTCAATCCCATTGCGACATCAGTACTATAGCTGAAAAACGTTTTGCCCCTCAGTTTATATATTACCTTTCCTATATTAGCGCTATTATTTAATAATAAGGATTAATTTAAGCCTAATTATACTTAATATATCTATAGAAACTACTAACCTTATATCTAATATATCTAGATCCTAACTAGTACCTCTATATACTATCCTACTATTTGTTACGACCCGTTAGGCATAACCAACGAAGAACGCCCCACAAGGATACCGGGCGGTTAGAACGTCACCTTTATATGCAGGATCACGGGAACATGAGGGGCTCGCCCGGAACAGAAGAACTATAGTACAAGTCACGTGATAATAAGCAGGACCGACTTTCGATAAGCGGTCCCAGGACCAGGACAAGGATCAGGACCGACGTGCCAAGGGCGGTCCTCAAGGAGGACCAACTCTCAGATCGCGGTCCACATAGGAAGAGAAGTATCTAGGACTTGTATATAGGATGGACTTAAGTCCGGCTCAAGGACAGACTTCCATAGCTCTTCAGCAATCAACTTTGTGACTACCCTCACTAGTACTTTCAGCTATACCTAAGTGATAACTACTCTATAACTCTTATTGAGGCCTTGACTGATCACTAAGACCTTTAAAGACCTATAATTACTTGAATAGCCCTATAGAACGACTTAATACTGTTTATAGTTTTCAATCCCTAACTTACTGCTAACACAAACCCACTGTCAGTTAGCTGGCCGTAACACTATTATTAAGATATTAAACTAGCTAATCCCTATATTATTATATAGCTTATTATATTATAATATATTAAGAATTAATAATAGCTTATTATTTATTCTAATTACTACTTAAGCTATAAATAAGTTTAGATATTATTATAGCGTTATATAACTTATATAATATTACTAAATTATTTATTTCTTTAAAAAGATAATATTTATTATAATATTCTTATTAATATAATATATAAAAAGAATATTATTAATATAGTTTAAATAAAAGGGGATATTATTTTATTATAGCTAGCTAACTAATAATAGGTTTATATTAGTAGTAAGTTAGGGATTAATAATAGTAAATAGTATTAAGTTGCTCTATAGGTCTAGTTAAGTAATTATAGGTCTTTAAAGGGCTTAGTAATTAGTTAAGTCCTTAATAAGAGTTATAGAGTAATTATTACTTAGGTATAGCTAAAAGTCTTAAGTAAGAATTATAAGTTAATTGCTAAAGAGCTATAGAAGTCTAAACTTAAGTGAACTTAAGCTTATCCTATATATAGGTCTTAAATAGTTTCCTTAGTGTAGCTATACTAGATAGCTGTGCTATCTAATATATCTATAGATAGCTGGGATAGTAGTTATATTTAATATATCTGTCTTTGTCTTATATCTATCCTGTTCCTAAGGTCATATGACCTATACTATAGTTCTTCCTTTCTGAGGATTCCTAGTTATACCTGTGTTACTACTTACTTATGTCCTGCGTTAGCCGCTGAGATCTAAGGCGGGGTTGTTCCAACGTGTTATGCCTAATGGGTTGTAATATATTCTTAATAGTATTAAGGGACTAAAGAGGGTTAAAGCTTAAGATTATATTAATAATAATAATAATAGGGGTTAATATAAAATAAGGGATATAAAATAATATTTTAAGTAGATAAAAGGATAAAGTTTATAGTATAATCTTAATAAAAGGGATAATCTCTTATAGATTAGTATTCCTTATTAAGGTTTTATCCCCTCTAACCTTAAGAGTAAAGCTATTTATATACTACTATATATATTATAAAGCTTATTAAGATAGAGTTTTATTCTTTTAGAATATTAAATATTAAATATATACTTATTAGGTATAATAAGATATCTATAACTAGATTATAAGGGTAGCTATATTATATTGCGCGGCGTATTGCATTTGTTTTGCCCCTTAGTGAAACGATGTTATAGTGCCCGGTCCTTCTTCATGATGGAGGTTGGAAGAAAAGAGGGAAGAATGATCTTCAGAAGTAAGCCAACGACAGGCGACGGGCAGGTAAGCAAGCACCCAACCAGGTCGATGCATCTCACAATTCCAGGCGAATCTAGGATTCTCCTCCGACTCTATGATTATGGTTACCGAGCGCTTCATCGAATTTCTGTCAATCGGAAGTTGGATGTATTGCGATTGGGTACGAAGTCAGGGTGTGGGAGGGACGGCACAAATGTGACTTAAATGCTCTCGCATGTATTCTCGCTCCAGCCCGACTCCTGACGTTGTTTCCCCACTATCCGTGTGTCCGTGTGTGTGTCTGTGACCACCCGTTCTAAAGTATTCCGCTGGTGGGAATTCTGCCCACGCAGTAAAGTAGTTTGTCTGCCCACCAACGAACCCTCACTAGGCTAGACTGGTGTTTGATGGCGGCTGCTTCGGTGACTGGGCAGAGCCTCAGCTCACTCGACAAAACTGGTTTAGCGCTAGGAGGCATCACGTACTTGACCGTTTGTGGGAAGGCGTCAGGGATCTTTAGATGGGGGGGTTGCGGATGTTCATCAGGCAGAGCCACACCACGCTAGTCCGCTCTCAGATGGAACAACCCTCCTCACCAGTTTTGTCGATTGTGTAATTGGTCACAAACCTTCGCTTTGCCGTTGTCGTTGTTCCTTGTAAGAGGCCCAGACGGTCGAGTCGACTGTCGTTATGTGAGCGGTTTGTCTCCCATTACTGTCTCCCGGAACATGTTTGCGATATAAGATGCGCATCTTTCTCATCGTTCTGCCTGCGTTTTCCTTTCGCTTTTCCCTTTCTCCTAAGCCTCCATCATTCCTGCTTCCTCGGCCACTTTCAGTCTGCTTCAAGGCTTGAATATCAACACCAGAGCGCGCATCTACTGTTTCTACTCCGTGGTCAACGGGACTACTCCACGTCAGAAACGCAGATTCGCCGTCAGCTTCATCTTGATTTTCTTGGACGAAACAGCCCTTTTTTCTAGTTTGGACCTTGCCCTGTGTTTCCCCCATCACTCGGACTTAGTCCGCTCTTAATTCGCCCCTCCTCTTCTTGTGCTTTGCTTGTACTGGCAATTCATCGATTCTCTTCTTCGCAATGCAAATCAAGAACAATGCCGACCTCATTGCCGCATCGGCAGTCGAAGAGCAATGCTCTGCCTCTTCGTATGTGATAACAAATTTTCTTTTCTTTAGCGCTGTTATTCTTCGCATACCAGGTTCCATTTGCTTCTATGTTCTCAATCTCGTCTCACCATACTTCGTCGAGGCTGACTATCTGCTACTGGTTTGAGTAGGAATGTTTCCCGCCTGACCGCACCAGAGGGTTCGTCGTATAAGCAAGCCAACCTTGAAGCCTGGTTTGATGATGTTGAACTCGGGTTCATCGTTAGTGATGACATGCAAACTGTTGGGCCCGTCGACAGGCAGTGTTCTCGGACGGCTCATGCTAGGGATGTCATCATGCAAGTTGAACTCCTACTTGGATGTGGGAGTAGGGCGTCTCAAGGACAACCCTGTGACGTCGAGTCACACAACATCAAGACTTCGCAGAGCAAGCGGAGCATGAACGGAAATGCCCTAGAGAATGAGGTTGGTTGCAGTGGAAGCAAGCCAGGGCGATCGTGTTTGCTAGGGTAAGACGTCATATTGAGAATAGCAGGAGCGTGATTTAAGAATGAGTTGGCTTCAATTTTGATAGATTAAATGCTGCAACTGGGTTAGGCCTCTTGTCCAAATTCCCGCTTCTATGTAAGAATGTTGCCGATCGATGCGTGGTTTCTTAGTCTTTATATATTCTCAATTACGTTAGAGTTTGCATGTTGAGGGAACATCTGTGCCATCTCATTCATCCAGAACTTTTCTGCTTCCAAATTAGCGGCCCAGTCCATCCCATTGTTCGCCGTCACGTTGCGCAGGGTCTAGGCTCGCACAGATCCTTGCCGGTCCCATCACGACGACCCGTCCCGACGTCACTTACCCAATTGGGCAAGTAGCTACCCCACGTTTTGTGCACAGACTGGTGTTCGTCTCATTGTTTGTTTCGAGCGACGTTAATTGTAACGTCCATCTCGTTGTGTTTTTTTCCGAGTCGATATACTCGACTTGCTTCAGTGGCTCGCGATTCACATTGACAAGTCACTATCACAGCATATTACACAATTCACTTTTTCTCCTCTGTGAGGCAACCAGGCGACGAAGGTCCGAGCTCTTGTTGCGAACCAGTCTGCATGGACTCGATGCCACGCGACACGCGATGGCGGCAGTCTATCTGCGCCATGCAGCGAAGTCACCAGCTCGTTGGGTTCCAGAATTCCGAGTTCAGAATTCTTGTAGCGGCGCCGAAAAGCGGGATTGGCGCTTTTGGTGGAATGTCCCGAGTCCTCCCCATATGTTGGTGCTACGCGGCGATGTTGTGACTGGAATGTCACCATCTACTACATTCCTGGGAGACAATGAGCTCATTCATTCAAAGAACAGCGCAATGTATGAGTCGGCCGAGATTCAAACAGCTGTATCTTCAGGGATTGCCGGGTCATGCAGATGCCCACCTCGGCCAAATCGCACTTTAGCCTCTTCCGCACAGCTGCCCGGAAAGGTTGATGAAGGCCTGAGGTTGGGAGACCTAGGTACCTCCTCGAAGCCCGCGTGGGTTGCGGCTAGCAAAGAACAAAGTACGGCAGCAGGCTGCATGACCAGGCGAGCTACGCACTGTCCGTAGTGACTTGAGAAACGTTTAACTTTTCTCAAGACTGGAGAAGCTTGTGACTGGACATCTCGTGTTAGTGGGATTTGCAGCAAATTCATCACTGGGTATCCCGGCTGCAGGGGAACAGGACCTTGCCAAGTAAGACCCCAAGCCTGGCTTTCCTGCCTGTGTACGTACCTACTCACCACGTCAGGTACCTAAGAGCTGTGTGATGCGAATCGCGATGACGTTTTGTCCGCTCTAGCCCACCGAACCCTCCCGACACTGTCCTCCGCCCGCCATCTCAAACGATCCACCAGCTTTGGAGGTAGATTTAGTGGCGTATCCTAAGCTAGGTAAGATGCCTCGTTGGCATCTGAACGTTGGCTTTCTTTGTGCATTGTATTCAGACGCCGTAAACGTTCCAACCCTACGACTCTGACTCAGACAAAACTATGGTACCATGCGGATGCAACTTTGTCACTTTCAATCGAACCCGCGGCATGCACTCGCTTAAACATTCCGCCGATTCATCACCGTCCTCACCTGCGTACTTCAGATGTCTCATCTGATATTCAAGGCGTATTTCGTAACTCAGTCAATTCTGGGATTGGAATCGTCTATTTAAAATGTTCAAAGGATAGTCGGCCAGCCGGCACCTGGATCAGGGCCGCATCAAGCCCCGTGGAAAGATATCGAGGAAGATTCATACTCCTCTTTCACCGGTTTGAGACACATGGCGACTTCGCGACGAGCGGCCAGGGCTGTCAGGCTGAGCCAACAGCCCAGGTCCAAGTCGAGGACGGGGTAGTTCAGAGGAATAGAGGATTTCTCGTCAAAGGTTAAGGTGGGTTTGGGTATTCCTGAATCCTGGTTTCTATCTTCCGTGGACCTTGACTGACAAATGTGGGAAGAAGGCGATCACGCGACGCAAACGCCCTCAAGATCGCATAGAAAAGATGGAAAGTCTTAGCGTTCCTTCAATCTGACAATTGGCAACCAAATAACAGGCCGAGACCTCACACGCATCACTCACGGGGGTGTGATAGGCTCCTCTTTTTTTTTTTTTTTCCCCCCTTAGTGGGAAGGGGGATCGCTGCTGTCCGGGTAGTTCTCCTAGACCGCAGCGACTTGTACCTATGGTCATTGTATTTGCGACTCCAGATTTTGCTTACTTATATAGTTGGTGATTGGTACCTAAATACTCCGGTGCCCTACCCAGATGAAGATCCTATTGAAGGAACAAGGATTCGTTCTTGACAATCCCCTTGGCGTCGTTGCGAAAAAAGCCGAACCCCAACTGTTGCTGTCCGTCCTAGGTAGCAGACATTGGATTGTACTGCCCACCAGCCGTCGCATTGCGGATGAATCTGCAGAACAAAAGTCTTGGACCAAACTAGCCGCATGGTGAAAGCTGTAAATTATATATCTACGCGATGATACCTAGCTAAGGTCAGGGGCCGGGAAGTCTCCAGATTTCAGGAGTTAGCTGGGCAGGTACCTACTTGATAACATTTTAGTCGCAGCATAGAAATGCGAAAACATATCGCACTCAATCATTGTTCCCTCAGGCAATAACCTCACGGGTACGTATCCTTCATTCAGCAACACGCCTCCACCCATGGGTACGTGTCGTAGAGGTTTTGTTGCATGCCCGGCCAGCCACCAACGTGTCGACGGTGAGACTGTGTTGCGTAGCTTCCACCACGGCGCAGCCGTCCCAGGGAAGGGGAATTCTCGCATGCGCGCACAGTACCCTTGCTATTAGCTCATATGGTGAAAACATCGAGGTTTTGAACATAAGTGTCCGACGGATGCGATTGTACTAACCCCGTGCCCAACGGTCAGTGTGCTCTGGGAGACCAAGCGAGCACATGCCTTCGCAATTGGGCTGGCTATCGACACGCCTGCTTTTCATTTTCTCTACAGCTGCCAACTTGGAAGGCAGTGGGTGCGTAGGTATTGGATGCATCCCGTCTGAACAGGGGTGGACAACCTCTGCCCCCCGCCCACCCTCCTCCAAAACCTCGGGATGAGCCAGGCTACGACGCTTTGTGACTGGCTCCCCCGCAGGCCCACGCAGGTAGGATTGGGGACGAGAAACCCGTCACTTCACCTAGGTACTCGCCGAGCCAATCCGAGCTTTACTCTTTTCCATGGATCACGGGCCCCCGAGTGTGTACCGTTACCTTAATGTACCTTCTTCGGCCCTAGGATTACGGTGCCTCTGAGGTATATTGAGGACCCGCTACCGTATTTGCGTTTTCCATCTTTGCGTTTGAGTCCAATGAGGCGGGCGCGGTCGAGTCTAACTCTTTTGATCAGTAGTTGGCAGTGGAGTCCCGCGACAACTAGATCAATTGCCCGCCAAGAGCTAAAGCTGCAGCAGCACTAACCATTCTTTCCTTAGAGTAGCGGCCATCTTTTTTTATTTTTGCCAACCGCGCCCACGTACTGTGTTCTGATTCTTATTAAAGACCTCGAAGCACCCACGATTCAGACAGCTTGACCAGATCAGATGCACTTCGTTTTATTCTACCCTCTTAGCTGAGCTGTCGCGGTAGTGCGCCTATGCGAAGCCCCCTTCGAGAGCTCTTCGACATCAACGTCCGGCCTGCTCCTGATTCCGAAGGAAATCACGTCTCCATCAATATCCAATCCCGACGATCCCTCCTCTCGTCGTGCCGACTTCTCTCCTACCCCTTCCGCCTATCTCTCTTCCTCTCTTCCACTGACCTCTCCTATACCTACCTCTCATCCTCTTACCCTCTTACCTCTCACCCTCTTACCTCTCTTCCTCTCGCCTCTCTTCCTCTCGCCTCTCTTCCTCCCGCCGCTTCGCCTTCCGCCTTACTCTGTGGGTATTGGCACTCACCAAATACTCCTTCACCTATGCAGAGCGACGGCGCATCAAACGCATTCCACGTGCCCGCACAACGGCCCGCTCATCCTGCGGACGCCAAGATGACCGCACAGAGCAATGCCTCCTCCGGCTCAATGTCCGCGAAACAGGGCTCCGTCGCCTCGTAAGTGCAGTATCCAAGCAACGAGAGGTTATCTTCCGAAATTCTTCGACTTCCCCTCCTGCAATCGCCCTTCCACCTACACGAAGTGACCCATCTTCACTCCTCCACATTGCGTACACCTCTTGTGACCCCAGCCGATTGATGCCCATCATCGTTCTCGTTACGTTCGTTCGGGACTGACGGTGTGCCTGCAGGTTCGATGTCGATCCTCAGTCGTCGCCTCACACGCAAAGGTCGACTTCGGCGCCAGAAAATCTCGAGACGTTCCTCAACGACTCCGCCCTCGCCATCGGCAGCGGGGACGGAGGAGGTGATAGCTTCGGGAGCGACAAGCGGAAGCAAGCTCGTATCCAACGCTTGAAAGTCGCCATCGCTTTGGTCAATGAGCAGCTTCAACACACTTGCACCAACGGCGACGAAGATGACAAGCCTGAAGCCGGCATAAACGACGGCGGAAGCACCCAGACCTACCAGCCATCACAAAGCCAAAGCAACATGGACGACCATGTTCGAGGTGTTGGCGCACAGTTTCCCTCTTTGGAAGACCTCAGTAACCTTCGACCGTCGTCGGCCGAGTGAAGGCATCGTCTCTTGGGATATAACTCCAATTGGTCCGTCCTCGTGCCATATTCCAGAGTGGTGCATAGCCTTGGTGCCAGGCCACAACGGTGTTGGTGAGGGCTTCGACTCATACCATGCTGAGCGTCGATGTGAGCGGTCTCGTCGGGCCATCCAATCAGCCCTATGGAAGGACATTCGACGAAGTGACGGTACTATGGTGAGTAATGATGATAATGATCATGATGGATTTCCTTTGTCAGCTGGGGTTTCTGGGTCAGTCAAACGGGTCTCTTTCGATTCGGGTATCGAACACGGCAAACGTTTGCATTGCCGCAACGGAATCCACATGTTCGGAGCGAAAAAGAGCTGCTGGGACATCGTGCGAGGGTCTCTCATGTTCGACGCTTTTGTGGTTGCTTGGGTCTGGGTGTTTTGTTGGCTTCGGCTGGGCAGAAACGGGATCGCCTTCATCACCACGACTGACACTCTGTCAAGTTGGGACGATACAGCGGTGGTCGTTGATGTTCAACCCGTTTGTTGTTTGCGTTCTTCTTTTCATTTGCTTACTCTGGGAGCGCTCGGTGCCTGGTGTCATCTCCAAGGAGACGAGTCATCGATTGCACGCATCATGTCGTCGCCGGGCTCATCTAACCATCTTTCAGGATTCTGAATGGTATCTTGGTGATATTGACGGCGAGGAGAAAATGCACGCCGCGGGCAGAGGTCGGCACGGCTGGGGAAATCGACGACGTGGTGTAAGATGATGAAGGAGGGATGAAGTTGAAATTATCTTTTAGGCCCTGGGCGGTAGAACAAGGGAGGGAGGGGGTTGGGGCTAATGACGTGTTCAGCTCAACTACCGTCCAGGTTGTGTTGGGGTTGTCTTCGGGTTTCTGGAATCCTCCGACCCCCGACTGCACAGGTCGGGAGCTTCCGGGTTTATTGGTCGGGCTTAATTGGATTATGCATCATTACATTTGACATTTTCTTATCATTTTTTCCGGGGAAAAACAGACGATTACAATAAATTCGGCGTTCGGCCTGAACTCATTGTCGTCAACTACCCGCGGTGATGATTTTGAGGCCTCAATAATCTAAGAAGACTGCGACGACGCCAGAATTGAGGGCGATTCTCGGATTCCCGACGCACGGAGTCGATGAGCATAGCGGCGACACCTGGCCAACAGACGCGCACCAACTCAGATGGCAATCGTTCATGTTGATCATAGTTCATTGATTCACTAGCTACCTAGCTAACAAACAAAAAAGAGGCTCTTCACGAGCTCTCGTCTCTTCCTTCTCTCCCTTCCCTCCTTCTGCTGCCTTTTTCCGAATCCGAAACGCCTCCAGGAAAGCAAAAAAAGAGGTATATACTCTGACAGTCGTATAAGCAAGGTCGTGGGGGGGGCCAGTAATGTGCCGCCCACCGGATTATTCCTGTGCGAATGAATACCCTGAAGAAATGAACACTGAAAAGCCAAAGGGGGTGGTGGAAAAGCCAGTGGAATCATTCCTCCCCGAAAAGCTCAAAACCCGGCGCGGTGTTTGGGCGTAAACAAGTCCCTCGAGTTCTTGTAAGGTTGCCTGACGTTGGACTTGGGCTTCTCCTTATCCGACCTGCGCTTCGTCTCCTAGATGTGCCTGGGCACAGGGACAGGCGTCTCCTTCTCCGACTTGATGCGCTTGCGCTTATCCTTGCCCAGGCCATTCTTCGCCTCCCGGGTAGCCATGGGCGAGGGGATGGGCGTCGCCTCCTTCTCCAACTTGATGAATTCGCGCTTGACCTTACCCGAGCCATAAGTCGTCTCCTAGTTGGGCTTAGGCACGGGAACAGGCGTCTCCTTCTCCGACTTTCTGCGCTTGCGCTTCTCCTTGGACGCCTCGTTTGAGGCGGGCGTCGCGGGTGAGGCCTGCTTCATCGCCGAGCCGGGATGGGGGACGGGGACGGCGGACTCGCGACGGATGCTGGGCGGCTGGATGGGCGTCTCCTTGGGCTTCTTGGAGCTCTTCTTGGTGGACTGGGGTGTCGAAGCAGCGGGAGCCGGGCTGCCAAGACCGCTGAATGTGTAATTGGCCTTGGGGAAAGTAGGAGGAAGAATGGCGGTTTCCTTCTTAGCAGAGGGAACCTCGGCAGTCGTCTTGGCTTTCTTTGCCTTCTTCTCGGCAGACTGGCTCTCCTTCTCCAATTGAGCCGAAGCTGAGTCCTGGTCGTCTTCGGAGGCATGCTTGCGCTTGGAGGCCTTTGTGGCCGCACCCTTCTGACTCTTCTCGGTCTTGGAGCCAACACTCGAGATGGACTCGATACTATCGCGTCTCTTCTTGCTCTTCTTCTCCTTCTTGGAGACCAAAGGCTGCGAGTCAGGCACCTCGATGACGGTGGACTGAGAGTCCTGGACAGCGTTGCGACTCGTCTTGGACTTTTTCTTGTCCTTCTTTGAGCTCTTGGGGGTGGGCTCGTCAATGTCCATGGCATCTTGCGACTGCGCAGACGCGGCCTTGGACTTCCTGGAGCTAGACGGGGCAGGGGCCGCAGTCATATCGACATCTTCATCGTCTGACGAGGCATCGGCGCCAATCGTGCCCATGGGTGTATCACTGGTGACGCCAATGGGGCGGAACCGGGCTCTCAGATTCGGGGGCTGCGGGCGTGGCGCATTTGGCTCAAGAGCGCGCTCGTTCACACGGGGGTCGCCGATCTGCATAACGCACTTGAAGTGCCAGACGTTGTCGACCTTTTGGGAAGCTTTTTGGTGTTAGCAACAGTCGGAGGGTGCAGCTGCTTCCATACATACCTGAACCATAGCGGGTTCCCTTCTTATCGGGGATGAGCAACTGGTACGACTTGCTGACGTCGACATCGTTGTCGAAGCTGACAGTGTAGTCCTCCGAGTTGTACTTCAGGACAGGTTGGCCCTTCTTGACCTTGTCCATGTTGATCTCGGTCTTCTCGATGACGTTGATGGGAACCGAAGCCGGGGCGGTGAAGTACCAGAGTTGCTTGCCTTCGAGCTTGGCTTTGGCGAAGAAGTCGGCCATATCCTTGCCGTCCTCATCGCCTTGCGCCTGTCTGAGCTGGAAATTCTTGCCGACGAAACCAGGGACATTGAGCTGATTGCTGTTGCGCTTGTTGGCGACAGCCGATGGTGCGTTTGCCTCCTCGTTAGACTCGTCTTCATCAGAACTGTCTTCCTCCTCCGGGCTCTGCTTCTCGTTGTCGCTATCATCAGAGCTCGACTCGCTCGAACTAGTCGAAACTCTCTCGGCCGATTTAGCGCCATTGACAGCACGCGTGCTGGCGGCCTTGGGTGCAGGCTTTTTGGCAGGCTTGCTCGTCTCCTCGGCCTCGCTTTCCGAGTCGCTATCCGAGTCGCTAGTGGAAGTGGAAGTTGAAGTGGACTGCTTGGAGGCGGCCTCGGCCTTCTTGTTCTTCTGGTCAGGCTTGTTGTTGGCCTCGCTGTCGCTATCGCTCGAGTCCGAGTCGGAATCAGCCTCGGCTTCGGGGGAGGAGTCTTCGTCTTCGGATGAGCTTTCGGGGTGAACCGGGGCCTTCTTCTTGGTGGCAGCAACCTTGCGCTCGACGTCGCTATCGGCAACCTCATCGTCTTTGCCACGCTTGGTCTTCTTCATAGGGGTACCGGCAGCCTTCTTGGGGGAAACATGGCCATTGAGCTTGGCAATGAAGTTTTCAGTGGGCTCGGCATCGCTGTCGCTGTCGCTGTCGCTAGACTCTTCGTTGGAATCATCGGCATGAACGTCGATCTTGTCGTTGGTGGTCTTGGCTTTGGCGCTCCGAGCAGGTCTGTGGGAAAGATCTTGGCTACCCTTCTCCAACAGAGCGTTCAGCGAGTGAACGCCGTCGAGCTTGCGTGACGACATTGTGACCGGTTGTGGTGTGAACCTGACCCTTTTCGCAGGTGTCGTGATGGGAGATTCCAACTTGGGCGCGACATGAATTTTTTGCGCCGCCAGGATGGCACGGGCTGCAGGTCGCGCTAGTGGGGTCGCGGTCGCGGCAGCGGCAGGCGTGGTGGGCGTCTTCGGTGAGCGCGCCTTCGGCTTCGGGGTCCTTGCCCCGCAAAAAGGATTTTCCCTCATTATCGTCAAGCCTGTCAGGTCCCGTCAGATCGCGAAACTTGGGTATCGTGCCGGCGCGGCAGACGAGAAGATACCTACCAGTCACTGATATCTTTGAGGGTTTTCTCGAGGTATTCTCTGCAGGTATCTCTGCTATTTCCGTTGCCACTGTCCCGAAAAGTCTTACCGTTGAAGACTTGCTGATAGGTTGATTGGGAGGAAAAGTTGGTAAGGGACCCAGGGTTGGCGAGAGGGCAAGTTCGATTGCAAAGGCAGTCGCCCTTTTATTTTTGATTTTATGTTTATTCTTTTTTCCGCCTGCCTTCAATTTTAGGCCTCTTTGTCTACTCTTGACACGAAGAAGGTGCGTCCGGGCTGAAGCAGTCGCTCCTGCCCCTCAGGCAAAGCACCCCACCAGTCGGGAAAGAAAATACCTTGATTCACAAATTCCATTTGAAGCCACTGCTGAGAGAACAGTCCTCTTGAGCTTCAATTACCATGGCTACTCCCAAGAGGCGTAAGATCGAAACCTCTGAAGGCTCTCGGCGTGAGTTATACCCACTGCACAAAAAAGCAGCTACTGACAGCCACAAAGCCATGAGTGCCTTTGCCTTGAGACAACAACTTCTGTCAGGTAGTCCATCTTTATCACCAGCTGACCAACCTGAACCGGCACCTGGATCCCCGGTGTCGACTCCTACGCCAAATGGACGATCCCCTGCTAGAGCCAGGGCTTCGAAAAGGGCTGTAGGAGCTGAGAGCACACCGAAGAGTGCCCAAGACCAGGTTGCTGGAACCGGAAATGAGGTTGCAGCCCCGGATAATGCCTCATCACAGGCGATTGACCCATCGAAGTACGTTTCGTCTCATCTGTACAGCAGGAGTCCTCTGTTGACAATGCGATAGCGCCCAAATCGAATCTGAAAAGAATATGCCCCAACAGTTCTCGACTTTCAGGCCCAACAAGAGCAATTCGCGGAGACATGCTGGCGGTGTCTTGGAGCTGAGTCTCAAGGATAGTGAGGTAAGGCGACTCCAACAAGACTTTCCGAGCCATACTGACTGACATTGGTAGCGTTTCTTGGTCCTGGGTAGCTACGGGATTCGTGTAATCAGCGGTGAAGTTACCGTCGCAGGCGCAAACATTCGATCTGCAGACGGTATGAAATGGGTTCACGCTCCCCATTGCCACGGAATTCCCGTCGTGCGCTGTTCGGATGAGACGTCATTAGAGCTCCACCCTCATCCACAGGCTGCGAGCCTTCGCAAGCTGGAGAGATTGTCTCCTCTGTTCAGAAGTTTGTGGCATGAGCCTGAAGAATCAAGATCAAGCAAAAAGAGGGCCACGGTCGACACATACAGAATTGTAGGCCTCGTTCCGTCTGTTGGTGGCCATGACACTTACAGTTGACAGATCTGCACTTCCGATGATGCTCCCAAACGAGCTCTCATCCAGGACCTCCGCTCTCTCCCCGCGTGGAACAAGAAACTGGCGGGACTAGCGAAGGTAAAACAAGACCAGACCCTGAGCGTGATGCTATGCGGACCAAAGTCATCAGGGAAATCAACATTCGGCCGGATTCTCGGTAATCGCCTGCTCACTGCTCCCGGTGCGCAGCGGCTCACTCCTCGTTCGGTGATGGTGCTGGATCTCGACCCTGGGCAACCGGAGTATACCCCTGCCGGCACCATTTCTCTGGCTCAGGTCAGAGAACCGAACTTGAGCCCTTCGTTCACACACGTCGCGACGAGTGAACAGTCGGCGACCATCATTAGGTGCCATTCCATCGCCTCTGTATCACCGGCATCAGACCCCGAACTATATCTGGAGTGCGCTCTGGATCTTTATCACCATTACCAAAACACATGCCGTGGTTTACCTTTGATTATCAACACCCCTGGGTGGATTCTAGGCACAGGTCTCGATCTGTTAACTGAGATGGTCTCCAGTTTCAAGCCGACAGAAGTTATCTACATGTCCGAAGACGGTCCTAAGGAGAGCGTCGAAGGACTCCAAGCGGTTTGCAAAGGAATCTTTACCACCCTTCCCTCCCAACAATCAGAGTTCACTTCGAGAACGGCTGCGCATTTGCGGGCGATGCAGGCGTTGGCTTATTTCCACGCCAAAAGATCAACCCCGACCCAGGTCACATGGGACCCTGCACCATTGACAACACAACCGCCTCTGTTGGTTGACTATCGCAGCAAGAACCGTGGTATCTTTGGCATCATCAGCTACGAGTACCAGCCACCCGCAGAATTGCTCGCAGAGACCATTAATGGGTCGATATTGTGCTTAGTCGAGACTGCGGACGTCAAGGCTTTTGATCGATTGAGGGGTGAAGCATCAACATCTGCCGTGGGCGGTGAGATGGACGTGGATGGACGTGATGTCTCTGCAAACTTGGAGGATTTGGTATTCAGGACACCGGAAGGCGTTCCGTTCATCCCGAACTCGGATGCCCAGACCTTGGACCCTCGCTACTCGCAAACACTGGGCCTGGTTCTCCTACGAGGTATCGACACCGACTCGGGCGCTCTTCAACTCCTGACACCAATTCCACTGGAGCGTATCGAGGCGGCCAAAGAAGCTGGAAACCAGCTAGTGCTCATACACGGAAAGCTGGACTCTCCCGGTTGGGCTTACACCGAAGACTTGTACTACCAGTCTTTCAGCAGCAGTGATGTGGGAAAATACGATACTGTGGAAGTCATGGACGAGGACACGGATAGTGACGACTCAGACAAGGAGCCGGAGAATCCTCAGTTGGCAGGAGACGTCAGTGGAACCCCGTGGATTGAGGTCCTGCAGGGCCACGAGAAGCGTCCAGTAGGCTCACGGGTGTGGAGAGTCCGGCGCGATCTTGGGCGGGCCGGGCCGGGAGCTGATTGAGATGCCGCATACGTAGCGCGCCAATAACGAAAGTCGAATCCGCCTTCGACCTATCATCAATATCATATTCTTGCCTCGGCTGTTCCGACCACGGCATACTCTTCGTTCTGGTTAGTCCAGTCATCCTTGGTGCAATTTTGATCCCCGAGACGTTCCTCCCGGGTCCGTGTACTCCGCAATTCCGTAGCTCCGCAGCTCCGTGTGCCCCGTCCAAGACGGGCCGCCACATGTGAAATGCAGATCGACGGTGTATTACAAGCCGCTCTGTAAGCGGCTACCCCCGAGAAACACAGCTGCATCCATGTCGAGCCATGTGTCCTGCCACTCAGGGTTCTTCCATTACATGCCAACGGGAATTTTCCATCATTTACTTCCCACCTACCCCACACCTATGACGTCCGTGAGTCCCTGGAATTATGAGGATGCCCCAATTCTGCCCCCTCCAAAAGCGCCCCTCCCTTTGTCATGCTTTCTCATCGCTTATACCCCAAAAACTCTACCCCAACGACGGCAGTTCGCAGCGGCCCCTGACTCCCGAACGCTTGCTTCCGAGTGGGGGACGAGCTTAGACTGCTCGGGTTCCCGTCATGGCACAAAACGGCTTCCCGCACAAGGCACCGAGCTGTCTTTGTTTCTTCAGTTGTTTGTCCTAGCTCGGCTTTGACTTAGACTGCTTACCTCACGTTGATTTCATCTTGTACCGCTGACCGACATGACGGAGTTGCCAGAGTCTGAGGTCGATGTTCTCATCATCGGCGCTGGTCCGGCCGGGTTGATGCTGGCGTTGTGGCTGGCCAGGTTGGGTGTCAAGACGCGTATTGTGGACAAGAGAACGGCCAAGATCTACTCTGGACAGGCAGACGGGTACGTGATCCGGCATATATCAGCACCGACTTGGAACTAACCAACACCTCAGTTTCCAAGTGAGGTCTCTCGAGATCCTGGACAGCTTCGGCATTGCAGAGCGAGTATGGAAGGAGGCGAACCGCATGCTAGGTAAAACACCCTTGACCACCACGAAAGCTCTACTCACACCACCCAGAGGTCTCCTTCTGGAACCCCGACGAAAACGGCACCATCCACCGCAGCGCCAAAGCCGTCAACACGATCCCAGGCCTCTCCCGCTTCACGGAATCCGTCCTCCACCAAGGCCGCATCGAGCAGTTCTTCCTGGACGCCATCCGGGACTCGTACGCCGCGGACGAGGAGGCCCTCGGCGTCGAGCGCATGGTCATCCCGACCTCCCTCGAGATCGACGAGAGCAAGGCCGAGGACCCGGACGCGCACCCCGTGACCGTCACCCTGAGGCACTTGACCGAGGAGGAGGCGACGCCGACGCAGATGCTGAGTAACCTCAGCGACGGGCTTTTCAGGAGTAACCTCGCGGACGACGACGTCGGAGATATCCTGGACAAGTCGAAGAGTCGCGAGGCGCGGGATGAGATTGTGAGGGCGAAGTATGTTGTCGGATGTGATGGTGCGCATTCGTGGACGAGGAAGACTTTGGGGAAGGATTTTGAGATGAAGGGGGAGACGACGGATGCGATTTGGTGAGTGCTGTGGTCCTGAGGTGGTTGGTCGGAAGCTGACTGATTAGGGGTGTGATGGACATCGTCCCCATCACCGACTTTCGTAGGTCTTCCGAGACTGTATCATACGCCAAGCTAACGCTTCTCAGCCGACATCAGATTCCGGACGGTGATTCACAGCCCCTATGGCGCTGTGATGATCATTCCCCGCGAGAACAGGATGGTCCGGCTGTATATCCAGCTGAAGGAGGTCTCCGCCGGCGGTGGTCGGGTCGACAGGTCTCAGATCACCCCTGACTTCATCTTCAAATCCGCGCAGAAGATCTTCAGCCCTTATAAGCTTGAGTACCACTATTGCGACTGGTAAGCAAACTTCGACCTCGTGTGTCTAGATTCGGATGTACTGAGAATGACGATTCAGGTGGACGGCATATCAAATCGGCCAACGAACCGGCGACCACTTCAGCAAGCACAACCGCGTGTTTTTGGCCGGAGGTAAGTCTCTGGTAGCCTCTCCATCAATGGGATACCCAAGCTAACGAGAAACAGACGCCGTACACACCCACTCGCCCAAGGCAGGCCAGGGCATGAACATCTCGATGCAGGACAGCTACAACCTAGGCTGGAAGATTGGTCTCGTCTGCAAGAACATCCTGCCCCGGGATGTTCTTTCGACCTACGAGCTCGAGCGCAAGAAGATCGCAAAGGACCTCATCGCCTTCGACGGCAAGTTCTCGAAGCTCTTTTCGGGTCGTCCGGCCAAGGATATCATGGATGAGACGGGCGTTTCTTCGGAAGAGTTTCAGAAGGCCTTCCACACGAGCCGAATGGTCTGTCCCCTATCCCTCTGGCAGAAGATGAATAGTCGCTGACCTGCTACAGTTTACTACCGGCGTGGGCGTCAACTACCAGCCCACAGTCCTGGTCGCCAAGAACCCCGACGAAGACTCAGAGGCCAGCCACAGCCTGAAGAGGAGCGAAGCCAAGAGCACACAGGAACTCGCGACAAACTGCAAGCTCGGCCAGCGCTTCCCCTCGTACAAGGTCATCCGCCAATCCGACGCCCGCCTCTGGGAACTCCACCACAAGATCCCCTCCAACGGGCGCTTCCGTCTGATCGTCTTCGGGGGCGACATCTCCCAGCCCGCGCGCCGCGACAAGGTCAACGCCCTCGGCGCCAGTCTCGCGTCCTACCTGCCCCAACTGCCGACCATCAAGCTTTCCCCGGGCTCGGATCCCCACGGCGGGATGAAGTTCAAGACGGATGCGGATCCGTCGGTGGTTGATGTGCTGCTGGTGCATACTGCGCCGAGGGACGAGATCGAGGTGTTGAAGGATGTGCATGAGATGTATCACCCGTTCGATAGCAAGCTGGGGTGGGATTACGATAAGGTGTTTGTTGATGGTGAGACGTTTTACGAGGAGCCGCAGAAGGCGTATGAGAAGTATGGGATCGGCGAGGAGGGGGCTGTCGTCGGGTTGAGGCCGGATGGGTATGTTGGACTTGTTACTTCGGTTGGAGAGGACGGGTTGAGGGAGATTCAGAGATGGTTTGGCGGTATCTTCCAGCGAGCTTGAGTTACTTTGCGCGAGACACATCCAAATCCCTCAATGAAATCAGCAGGTGTATGTCTTCGACATTAAGTCGGTGAGGTCAACTACAAAAGTCCGGGGTTGATGTAGACTCCCCACGACACCAGTCTATAACACATCCGGCATGCATCTGGAAGCAATTTTTATTATGTCATTCAAGGAAATTTCGTAAATCATGTAGATAACATGGAGACGTCGCCAAGCCAAAGAGAGGTTCCTTTCAGAAGCTTCACGAGTCTCCAACATGTAGGCCTCTTGGTTCTTCAGTTCCAGCAAATGCTTCCGTTGCCAATGAACCGCCCCTGAAGGCAATATATCACCTAAAAGACGGCCTTCCATGGCTATTCACCATCCTTCGTATCCAATCCCAAACTCCGCAGCAACGCCCCCGGCCCCGGTTCCCGACCAAGGAACTCGGTCATGATATCCATCTCCTTCTTACTACCTCCATACTCGAGAATGCCCCGCCGATAACGATCCCACGCTTCCGCGTTTCTCGGGTCCTCCGCAAAGGTCGACTCGAAGAAGTCTGCGGCGAAGGCTTGTGCACTACAACACCGTCAGCATCCTGCCCCTCGACACAAAGAACTCTCGCGGGACGCCTACCTGAGATACGAATAATACCCAGCGTCGTGAAGCGAGATCAAATGGCTCGACTGGACATGTCCGAAACCCCTCCGATCCGGGTTCGGCCTCAAGGTAAGCTCGTCCTGTATATCGTTATACAGCTTCACCTCGTCCAGCTCCCTCACGGCGTCCGTAGACGCCTGGTTATTGACCTGCAGATCAAACCTCGCAAACAACCTACACCCAGTCAGTCAACCACTCTCTCAACACCTCAGCTGCCGGCAAGCAAACTCACAACTGCCTCAAAAACCACAAAGCCCGATTCAACTCCCGACTCTCCGCCAACCTCCCCACAAGCTCCTCGGGGATCTTCTCCGGCGGCACCTCGGCCCCCGCGTGCTCCTCCCTCCACCTCGCCATGTACGCCGGGTCGGCCCGCGTGTAGTGCAGACTCATCGCCGCCAGCTCGCGCGGCATCCAGCACCAGTTCTCCAGCATCGTGCTGGGCGCCTCGCCGAAGTCGGGCTTCACCCGCGTGCCGTGGAACCGCGTGTGGCTGGTCCGGCAGAGGAGGTCGTGCAGGCCGTGGCCCAGTTCTGTGTTTTTTTCTCCCGCGTCAGCTTTGAGATTTGAAGGCGGATTTCGGGAGTGGTAAGGGGTTTACCGTGGAAGAGAGTCACGACCTCGCGATGCTTCAACAACGCGCACGACGACGCCGTCGGCGGCTGGAAGGAACACATCAGGATCGTGGCGGGATAGACCCTCGTACCGTCCCCGTTGACGTAACCCTGCTCACATCAGCATACCCCCCATCTCATTCTCCCGAGGACCAACTCACGCATTGCAGATTCACATTGCAATTCCCACGATACTTGCCCTCCCTCCACAAAACATCCGCATACAAATACCCCACGAACTCCCCCTTCCTCTCCCCCCTCCCCTCCCAAACCCCCCAGACCTCGACCTCCTCCGCCCAGAGCTTGCCCACAAGATCCTCCTCCGGCACCGGCACGAACTCGAGGCCCAGAAACTCGCGGAAGAGGCCCAGCATGGACGACAGCGTGTGTCGCAGCGGGAAGTACTCCGACACCAGCTCGTGATCGACGTCGGCCTCTTCCTGGAGGAGACGGGTGTAGTAATCGTAATCCCAGGGCATGATCTCCTCCTCACCACCACCGCCGAGATGAGCCCTCTTCTTCTCCCGCAGCCTCGCCATCTCCCTCCGCCCCTGCGGCATCAACTCCTCGCTCAGCCGCAGCAGGAACCTCTCAACCCACTCCGTCGACGGCGCCGTCCTCATCGTGACCCGGAAATCCGCGTGGCTCCGATACCCCAACAACCGCGCGTTCTCGTCCCTCAGGATGAGCATCTCCTTGTACACCGGCACGTTCTCCTCCAGCCTGTTGTCATACGCGACGTAAAACCGCCTCCTCGTCTCAGCGTCATCCGCGTGTCGCAGGATGGCATCGCACGCAGCCCTCTCCAGCGGCACAAACACCTTCCCGTCCTCACCCTTCCACCCCGCCACCTCCTGCCTCGGAACCCCCTCCAGCTCCCCGGCCTCAAACCACAACCCCCCAACCTCCCCCCTCAAATTCTTATGAAACTCCCTCTTCAACCCCTCAATCCTCTCCCTCCGGGCCAAATACGCCCCAATCCCCTCCTCCCCCAGCACCCCGTGCCCAGCATGCCGAAACTCCAACCACACATCCTCCAACACACTCCTCTCCTCGTAACCCAACACCTCCCCCCTCTCCCTCACAGCCCGCACGAGCTCGTACACATCCCGCCTCTTCAACCTCTCCGCCCCGGCCGCGGCCCAGAGACCCGCCGCCTCCTCGACGGCCGCGCGGGTGGCCGCGTCGGGCCCGGAGTAGCGGAGCATGGTGAAGACGCCCGTCGCGCCCTGGTTCGCGTCGTCGACCGCCTGCAGCGGGGCGATCACGTTGGCGTACCGCGCGTCCGCGGGCGCGACGGTGCTGGTTACGGCGTCCCGGACGGCGGTCTGCGCGGCCAGGACGCGTTGGATCGTGGGGATGATATCGTCCGCGGCGAGGATTTGCTGTAGCGGCTGTGGTGGTTTAAGAGGCATTGTCGTCGTCATTGTCGAGAATACTTTGTTGCTGTCACAGATGCGAAAGGAAGTCACAAAAGGAAGAAAGGACTCATACAAAGTGATGAGATTCCAAAGAGCAAGCGTTTATATAAAACCTCAATCGATAACTTCAACCAGGAAGCAACTACCTACATCAGGCAGGTCGCTCACCCCTCCCGCCTAGGTAATCAACACCATCTGACGTCCCCCTGAAACCATTCCTCCTTCAGGAAACCAAGAAAAAGCCGCATCACGAGGTCCCATGACCAAGGAACTGTGCCGTACTCCCGCGTTCCCACCCCCCGCTCCGGACGCCGGCCCGGGCTCGGCAAGCTTGCGAAAAGTCCGACGGGGCTTCCGTCCGGGGTCACGCGCTCCCCACCCGATCTGCACCTCCGCCGCCGGTGAGAGAGGGGAACGACGACAACATCTACCACGGAGATAACGCTGCCGGTGAGTGATTGCATGAATGTCGCGCCTGGCGAGACTCACCGAAAACGAGGTCCTAGGCTCGAGCTTGGTACTCACTTCTCCGGGGAAACATGGCCGGTGGCTGATGCCCAACCGACACCGGTCCCAAAAGCACGACGACACGGACTGTGGTGTAGAATCATGCATCCATCACCTCTAAATCCTCGCCCGGGTGTATTCCCAGGCCCTGGGAACCGGGAAGTTCGTGCAGTTTGGGTCATCCGTGCAAAGGGGTAACGAGACGGAAAGCGATCACGATACCAGCAGCCAACTGATCCACGTCCTCACGCCCTGACGGTCGAGGCAAATCAGTCATGGCTGGAATTCGCCTCACGCCTCAAGCCGATACAGCTCAGTGGTCTACGGAATCATGCTTCCATCGTCTTCTACTCGACTTAATCCCCCATTACCTCCCCTCAAACTCCTGTCCACAGCTTCAAACTCATTCCCTTCGCCCCCGACGAAACAAAAACCCACCCAGTCGTTAATTCTCCTCCAGAAAAGCATCAGAGACGAGCAAGATTGCATAAGCATTGCCCGGCAACAACAACCACAGTCTTGGCAGCAGACGTCTAGCCTCACTCCCTCCCCCAACAAGGAAGTTCAACCCCCAGATTCACCAGAAGCAGACATCCAATTCCTCGGAATCCCATCCCCCAAACTCGATTGCCGCCGCAATGCCAGCGCGGAGCCAGCCCCCGGAACACCCTCCCCGTCGAGGGGCACCGGTCAGAGAACACCCAAAGCTCCGAACCGAACCTTCCATCACCACCCCGTCGAGGGCAGGAAAGACGTCAAAGCAGTTCATGCCATCAACTAGTCCAATTGGCCACAGCTTTGCCAGTCCCGCGTGATTGACTGACTGTCTTTGCCCCCATTGGTCTAGCCTTCCCGAGTCTTTGCCATCGAGACGGAAACGACAGCTCGCCCCGTCATGCGGGTGGGCGAGCTTCACTCAGCAACACACCTCTATCGTCCCAACTACAAGCATTGGCGCCAAGGACGTCCATGTAGGCCAAGCGAGTCCGCGGCCAGGCCAAGCTTCTTGCTCTTAAGCTTCAATTAGAGCCCGTTCTCTGCGAAGTCCTTGGACTCGCATTGCGAAGTAGTCTACCTTTTCTGGACCCAGGTGGCCAAAGGTTACTCGTCGATGGACGTGCCACCATCAAGGTGATGTTGGTGTTGTTGCCAGATGGGTGGCATACCCGAATGAAGACGAACCATCACACCCATTTCCCGAACGGACTACATACAAAAAGCAAGTATATAAATAAAACAACACAACAGAGAGAAGAAAAACACAAAATGCTCTGAAGTCCAGACGTTCAAAAGCAAAAACAAAACTTGGTCGGCTGGAGAAATAAACCTCCCGCCAAGACAGGTATGACAGCACGGGCAGCACTCTCTCCCGAGTAGAGTTATCATGCGCGCCCTCTCCCACCAGGATGGTTCCCCCTCGTGGGACGGCCACAGCCAGCAACGATCTGCGGGTGTTCAGCTCAGGTCCCCTTGGGCAGAGAGGGCAGTGAGCCCGCCGACCGGATGCTCCCGTTCGGGGCACGACTTGAAACGTTTTGGTCCAATGTTGTTGGCGCGCAAGGAGGGTTGGCCAGAAACATGGAAGGGCCATGTTGCTCGACTGCCAAGACTGATGGATGCCGCCCTTTCGCATTCCGAAAAACTCACTTTCTGGTCGAGGTTACAGTAAGCAAATCGCCCGCCGTGGCGACGAGAATTCCCCGCAAGAAGCTTGGCGGTGGAATCTCGGTGCGGTGGGAGTTCACCGAGATTGATGAGATCCTTCGTCCGGCCGGTGTCTCCGGCGAAAAAGGCCGCTTCGATGACAAACCCGTCGGCTCCGTCTAACGCCGAATGCCGGGACGGCCCCCGGTGCAGGATGAGTTACCAACCCAGGGGACGAACGGGCGGCTGAGTCGGAAATAAGGTGGTTGCGATACCTCGGACGAGTCCAATATCGTCCGTTGAAAGCCCGTCGAACCACAGTCTGGAACGAGGGCGATCCCGTCATGCGGTGAACCATCGTTCCCCCGCCCATCCTGGCCTTTGGCTGTCGTCGGGAAGCAGGCACATGCCAGTCTGGCGAGGCACACCTTTCCACGATAGACTGCCTGATAGATGGTGAGGGTTGTTACAGCTTCATGCGCATAGAAACCAATAAGAGCTGCTTGAAAAGCGACGGCGTTAACGGTCTGGCAATAGGAGCCACGTCGCTGTCTAGTTCATGCCACGATCGCCTCCCGCAGAGGGCCGTGGGCATGGTAATTGTGTTTTGCATGAGAATGTCAGAAATCATCGAAAGTGCGATCCCGCGTGGTTGGCCAGTCGAGCGCTGGTGAGGGAGCGTGCGGGAAGCATGGATGATGTGAGACCACAGCAGCGAATAGCCGGAGGACGGCGAACAGCAGCAGCGCCATGAGGAGGGTCGCTAACCACTAGGCTGAGAGGACGATTCGTGAGGTGTAAGCTTATTCTGCAATCTCACCGACTTCACGAATCTCTTCTTCACTGACCAATCGAGAGATGTATAGCGGCTGCGGTATCACGGACTTGCTGGCGGGTCTTGGCACCCGGATCACTCGGAGGTCGTGCGCGACGGCGGCATCGCGTGTCTCTTTTTCTTTTTTGTTGATCCAAGACAGGGCTTGCCCAGGCAAGCTGCCGAAAGGAGGCTCCAGCTTTTTGGCGGACCCGATGCCCCGTTGTAAGACTGAAGGATTCGCATTCCAGAGAAAGGAGGCATCTCATTTCGGGGAGCCTCGACAGCCCAGCACCCAGGTCCCGCTCCCAAGGTTCCGAGGTGGAAAATGGGGCATCGGGAGGAGGAGCCTGGAAGGAATGGGAAATGTCCGCCCAACGACAAAAGGTCGTTCCATCAAATTTCAGCTTTGCAGGCTCACAATCTCGATTGTCGCCGCAAGTGCCCTCTGGGCGAAGTGGGTGCCGAATTCGAATGCCCAGACTGTCGTCCAACAGGGGATTTGGGAGCCTCACTCTCCTGTCTTTCTGTTTGCTGCCGGGTTGGCACGTTGGCTATGATCGGCGGGGCCACGCACGGCACGGGCACGACACGACACCACGCTCGACAGTGGTCGAGCTGCTGCAAACACTTTCGCCGAGGCCCTTGCCAATTGTCGCGTTACGCGAGTACGTGGGAACGAGACTGGCTGGCATATCTAGCGCATGTACTCTGTGAGTTGCAGCAAAACGGTGTCAAACTGCCAAGCCCTCCGAGAGTGCTAGAGATTTGCAGTGACGACAATTACTGGTCTGTCCTCTAGTTGGCACAGACGGCATGCTCTGAGTGGCGGGAAGCAGTGAGACACGGTGACACGGCGATGGACAGGACCTGCAGGCCATGTGAAATAGACTTGTCGTGAACCATCGGTGTCGTACAGTTCAGTTCAACCACCGGACGACACCCACCGTGGAAGTTGAGGGCCTGTCGCTTACTCCTCGTTTCGGGGTTCACTGACATCAAGGCAGTTTCGAGTGCAAGGCGCTCCGTTGGTCCTCGCTGCGAAGGCAGACTTTAAACAGGCGCGTTGCCCGTGGAAGCTCTAGATGGTTATTTCGTCTTAATCGATGGTCGCCGTCTTGACGATGGGTGATCCATGACGGTGACTTTTTAGAGATGTGCGGCAGGGAAGAACAACGCAGGTGTCAAATGCTGGCGGGGTATTGGGTGGCTGCTAGCCGGCGACTATCGCGCACGCGGCGAGAGGCGTCGAGAGGGAATCCCTGATTCGAATGGCTTGCAGCGATGCCAAGACCCGAAGGCCGGGGAGGATGGCTTTTTCTCGAAGCCAGCGTCGGGCTCGGGATCATCCAAGTCCGCGATGCCGTGCTCACAAATCAACAGGGCGTTTCTTCTGCGAGCTTTGCTGCACCCGCCCGTCGGCAGCGTCTGACTTTTTTGATGTGTAAGCAATCAATCAATCAATTCCATCCAGCCCAGCTGCGCGCATGACCGAGATGGTGACCAAAGAGGGCCATGATGGTAACCATCGCAACCACATCCCAATGCTTATCTCATGTTCTCCGCGCACCGAGTCGGGCTAGTCGCGGCCCAAGCTCTCGACGATTTGCGTCTTGCAGTGAGTGAGGGGCAGACATGTTGTTTCGCATTCGGTGTGTTCCGCGTATGGGACAGGACGGCGTCCATTGGCGGAGATGCAAGTAAGCGGGGGAGACGACCCCTAAGCAGGGGCCGTTGCAGTCTGGTTTGCGTGGGATGCGAAAGGTGATGCGAGAGGGATGCGAGATGACGAGAGTTTTGGGCACTTGATGCGGCGAGGTGAAATCTGAGTCTGGCGAAGTATGAAGGGGTGACATTGAGGTTGAGGGAGTTCGGCTGGTCTCGAATTAGTTCGATGCTTCTCCCCTTCTGTCGTGGCCGCAGGACCTCAGGCGTAGAGCGTTTCGCTGCAGCAAACCCTCTTGGTTGCATGTGCAATGCGTCTTCCCCAAGCCAATTAAGGTGGGTGAGAGCATCGTCCCATCCGACGATCGTGTCGTCCGTGAGCCCATATCATCTGTCATTGGAGCTGAAGCAGGCTGCTGCCGCCGAGTGTCAGATTATTCGTATGGCAAGCCGCAAACCGTTGTAGCGGGTTGGTTGTCGCAAAGCGTATTGAACCCGCGTATCTGCACCTCGCGTATACGCACAAAGCGAGATTGATCATGGGAGATCATCGCCCGGCGGGAGATGGATACGGGCAACGGGAATTCGGCGGTGGCTCTTGGCCGATGCCGACAAGAGCGGACAGCGGCGTCCAGTCTGTCGTGGTTGGGCGGAGAGCGGTCGCGCGGGAAACAACTGGACCCCGGGACTAAGCGAAGAAAAAAACCATTTTCTTCTCCATTGCTAGCGGAACATGAGGGAAAAAAGAGGGTTGAGAAATTAGGTCGGAGAGAAAATTGTTATGACGGAAGTGTGGATCTCGACATGCGATTTGAGAGGTCGAAAGGATGGCTTGCTGGTCGACCTCGGGCGCGAGGTTGGGTTGGCTAAGGCTTTGTGATCCAGGAACGTCGTCCGCCGAGTGGGGTCTCTTGGGAAAAAGAAGATGATGAGGTCAACCTGAGCTCTCGACGAGAGGTTCGATAAGTACCGGTACTTCTCACGCCGAGCGATCCGAGTAGGGGCCCTGCAGAAAGCCCCCATCTCCCTCGGGGCTTTCAAATGGCACTGGCTGACGGATACAGGCGTACGGCGGCGAACTGGTGGCTTCCATTCCCTCGTTTTACGGATACTCGCGTTCGCTGGCTCGCTAAATGTTTAGCGGGCGGACACGCGGACAGCTGCTGCGCTTGCGACTGGTCTGGTCGACTGCTGGGCGCTAAGACGAAGAGTCGTCGTCACCGCAATCCCAATCATTTCGCGTGCTGAGACTTGCGCGTGTTGGCAAAGCTGGCTCCCTCCCGACTTCCGAGTAGGTACGCAATTCTGGCGGTAAGAGAGAGGCAACAAGGGCGCTTGTTGTTTGACCTGATGGACGTTGCATCATAGCAGGAGTTGGGATGGCATTCTCTGTCGCGCTTGTCGAGACACCAAGGTTGATGCCCCCTCGCAGAGCTTCGATGATGCCGGCAGGTCGCGTGAAAGGTGCTGAAAACCACTGCTTTCTGGCCCCCCCTTTTTGCGGTTTTTGGCTGCGATGACTGTCCTCTCGGTCGGACCGGAACCTAGGACCCTTCCGCACTTTGAGCCTCGGTGCCGGTGGACGGATTAGATAAGTGGGCGGTTTCCTACCGGCACTGCAGGACTGGCGTCTTTGTTGGTTAGGTATGGGCCTTCTAGGGCGGTTAGGCTTGGAACGATCGCAAGCCACTGACTGCAAGCCCCATTTTGACGGTGACGGTATTCGACGCCTCTGGTCAGGCCACCCAAGGGCAATCGAGACGGTCTGCCCGAACGTGGTCGACAGACTCCACGATGGCGCCGCCATATCGACCCAATGGCTCCGCGTCCGTAGCTTCGACGGGGGCCCGAAACCGAGATTCGCGTCTTTGGCTTGGGAAACGTAATTCCCGGATGTTTCCATGATCCTCCGCTGTTTGTATCCGTACCGTGGTCCGCCGTGGTACCGATGCCGGCAGGTGGACAGCCAGCCTCCCGGTTGAAGCGGTAGCTAGGTGCTAGTGTGGTGTTTGGCGGGTTGCTAGCTTCGATAGCTGGTCGCTTTCTCGGTTCCGCTGCGGCAAAGGGGCACGGGCGGAGAGAATGAAAAGCGACGAGGTGAGGATGACGATAATCTCAAAGTCGGGTGAGCAGCAGCTGTTTCACCGAAATGATTTGATTTCAGGGCCAGGGCCCAAGGCAGCGTCAGTGTGCCTCCTTCCTTTCTTCTTCGTTCCGGACTGCGACGTATTAAACCAGGGGAGCAGCGCGCTCATACAAGACTATTGAGAACAGGGGCCTGTCGAGTGTCAGCCCTGCAGACCTGACCAGCAGTCATGATTATCGCACGCGACAGTCATCTTTTGTTCGTAGGTAGGCACGGGTGAGAGAGGGCGGGCTCGGGTGCATGCAGACAGGTCCAGGTCGAGGTCGTGGTTCGCGATCGCAAGTAATCAGTTACTCTGTGTGTCTGTGCCGTGGCGTAATTTAGGTACTGCAAAGTCCGACGACCGACGACGGGGGCCGGGGGTGGACTTTGCGGGTTTGAAGACGGGCGAGTGACGAGACGAATCTGCCTATCCCGAGCGAGTACTTGTGCTGAGCCGTTTCTGCGACGGGACTTGAATGAAAAGACGAACCTATTCGTTGTTAGGCGGTTGAAACGTTTGCAAACAAGCATAAAAAAGCGCAATTTCAACATCGTACTAGAAGGCCATCTGCAGCTTCTAGATCAACTGATGCGGTCCACAACGGAGATGTTCCGTAGACTAGCGTTTGTTTGTGCTGGAATGGAGTCTAATTGTGAGAAAAAACGAAAAACGTCGGGAGAAAAAATCGAAAGAAAAATGGATCACGATGTCGTCCCGGCGTCACCAAAATTCCTCCGGCTGGTTTCCTGGGCTCGCGGCTTCCTGCAAAGTCGCATCATCACGTAAGGCGGGCGGGCTGGACCTTAGCGGTGGATAGGTACGTATCTTCCGATCAGTGCATTACATCCCTGCACCTTCCTTTGGCTGTTTCTTTTCAAGAGGAGCCCGTGCGCCTGTGATTCACCCAAAAGGTACGTACCGGATGGTCTCCGAGGTGGAAAATGCAAAGTACCTGTACCCAACCCGCAGCATCCGAGCGTCTTAGTCTTAGCTCGACCTCAAGAGGTCGTGTGCGACTTTTTTCACTCATGGGCTCGGCTCCGGCCCCCAAGACACACACAGCAGAAAGTCAGACAGACAGACATGTACCTGTCAGACACGGACAGAAAGGAAGACAAGAGACAGCAGTCAAGCAATCATCATGGACGATCGTCGGTGGGTGGGATCCAGAGAGACGGCGCAACGACGAGATCCAACGTTCGGGTCGACACGTAATCAGCTGGATGAGGAAACAGAGACGAGGGCAATGATGAGGCGCGAGATTCGACGCCTCACTTGGCATATCATATCTGCCTTGTCCTCAATCCTTCTCGCAGCAGAATATGGATCTGAATGGAAATCATAGGTGACAGTTAGAAGCCAGACAGCAGGCAGAAACTGAGAGCAAAAGATACCATGCAAGGTTTGACGCAAAGTACCGCCAAGAAAGGCAGGTTCAGGGTCCCCCCGATTGAATCAACGCAGCATCATAGCTCCATCCATTCGAGGCTCTGAAGTCCAGTCCCAGCACTCACCAAGCGCTGTCGCGGACCACTTACCGCCCGACCCCCCCGGCCTTGGTCAGCTGCGTAGGGGAAGAGCACCAGCGACCGAGTAAGAGGTACTTTCCACACCTCCCCGCGAGGTACCTTTTGCTCTTCCCGTTCAATGTTCCCTGTCCACTCCCATCACACCCAAAATCTCTCGGCCTCTGACAAGCACCCCGGTCCCCGCCGCTTCCGTAGGCCGGCTTGGGCTGTCTTGGTCACTCTCCGCCCTCCTCTCGGTGTCTTGGTACTTACCGCGCACCCATCTTGCATTTTGCTGAGAAGTTCCCAGTCCAGTTCACAGCACACACAGCACGCAGCACACACACACACCCCGGGGAGTAACACGCGACTCCTTGACCTTTCCTTGTCCCTGTCCTGTCCTGTCCGACTCTGTTCGGTCTGGTCTCCTCTATTCCGTCCTTTGCCTTACCACCTTAACCTGCTTTGCCTTACCCTGCCGCCTGCCCGTCCCTTCCGCTGCCTCATCATACATATGAATTCAGTCATCCACACTTTCCGTAACTTAGTCGCCTGTCTCATTCCTTTTGAACCTCTTCCTCCCCTCCCTCACCAGCTTCCCTCCGGTTCCCGACTTCCTCTACCCGTCAGTTGGCTTACATCGCTCTCCCTTCGACGGTCACGAACAGAGGATCAACAGTTTGGGGAATACGTACACGCCGATATTCATTGGACTGGGACATGACGTAGAGGGGTCAACAGAGACATAATCGAGACCACAGCAACACCATACCGCATGCTTGGATTTTAGTCACATACCGCCAGACTCACCCCTCCGAGGAGACATCCACCACCTTTTCTCCTCCCGCCTCACCTACTTCCTCCCCGCCACCTCGAGCTCTCGTCGACTTTTTTCCCTACAACATCGTTCAACCACAGAGAGCTTCCAGAATGCGGGACTTCGCCAGCTTCCTCCGAGGGAAGCCGACACTCCCCTCTCTCTGGACTGGCAACATCAACTTCGCCAAACTGAACCCCATTCCCCACCGATACCGACCAAGCCGAGCAAAGAGGAATCAGAAGAAGCGCGCCAACTTGAGCGCCCCCGAAGATGTCATCACTCTGCAAAAGTCACTCAACCCTCTCGAAACCCTGCAAAGGTTACGAAACCACAAGTGGGCACTGCTCGACCTGCAGTACATCGTTCTCGTCGGCCTCATCGTTTTCTCCCTCTGCATCACGCCCTCGGCGCCCTTGATCAAGACCGCCGCAGTCGCCGGAGGCCTCTTGCTCCTCACCGTTCCTATCACCAGCCAGTTCTTTTTCCCTGGATTGAGCATATGGGCATACCTCATCTATTTCTTTTGTAGCCGGTAAGTTGTTCAAAGCGGTGGTTCCGGGGGTTTTGCTGATTGGAATAGCTTCATCGATGCGAAATACCGCCCTCACATCTGGGTGCGCGTCCTGCCCGCCCTCGAGAACGTCCTCTACGGCGCCAACCTCTCCAACATCCTTTCGGCGCATACCCACCCCGTCCTCGATATCCTCGCGTGGATCCCGTACGGTCTTGGCCACTTTGGCGCGCCCTTCGTCTGCGCCGCCTTCCTGTTCTTTTTCGCCGCCCCCAAGACTCTCCCGGTTTTCGCGAAGTGCTTCGGTTGGCTGAACGTCCTCGGCGTCACGATCCAACTCGTCTTCCCCTGCACTCCGCCATGGTACGAGAACGAGCACGGCCTCGCCCCCGCTGCGTACGGCATGTCAGGCTCTCCCGCGGGTCTGGCCCGAATTGACGCCATCCTCGGCATCGACATGTATACGACGAGCTTCAGCACCGCCCCCGTGCCATTCGGTGCCTTCCCCTCTCTGCACGCCGCCGACGCCGTCATCGAGGCTCTCTTCCTGAGCTACTGCTTCCCTCGCTTCCGCCCGCTGTTCTGCCTGTACGTCGGCTGGATCTGGTGGGCGACCATGTACCTGAACCACCACTACGCCGTCGACCTGGTTGGTGGCTCTCTTCTCTCCGCCGGAATCTTCTACTTCGTCAAGGCACGATACCTGCCTCAGCAGCAGGCCGACAAGAAGAACCGCTGGGAGTACGACTACGTCGAGATTGGCGAGCAGACCAAGGTCTGGGATGAGGAGTACGGCATGTACAACATGGGCTACCTCCAACGCCGCACCAGCTCTGATAGCGACGAGTGGACCGTTGGTAGCAGCTCCAGTTACAGCTCGTCGAGTCGAGGCAGCGGTAGCCTGAGCCCTGCGCTTTCCGAAGAATCCGGTCGCAGCATCTTCAGCATCGAAATCAAGCCCAACGCCGATCGTTACGAGGTTCCTCAGCTCAACGAGATCGCCGTCAGGTAGTGCGCTCCGCACGCGCGCATCGGCATCGATCAAAACTCATAACTCTTTTCTTTCCATTATCAGCACTTTCATGATTCAAAACGGATACCACTTTGAATTACCTGTACCATTTTGCATCAGCACAGCAACGGCGCAATCGTGGTATTTTGTAAACGACAGAACAGCCCGGGGGCCAAAAGAGGACTCCCGGGGCTTGGACAGGGTAACGGCCGCATCACGACCAGCAGAAGAAGAAACCCACGGACGGAGTCGGGGAATCGAGGCGTAACGGATCTGGGGACACTGGAGACATAGACCCCCCGTATATATAATGTGTTCAATGTTGAGACGTCCCCTCGCGAGGGAGGGGGTTCGTCAGGAGCCCGGCCAGGAGGAAGCCGGGTCCGATGTAATGCGGAAGCGATGGGGAAGGGGAGAAAGCATACCACGCGGTAGAGGTAGAGCAGTCGCTACTGAAGTAGTTGATGATGATGAAGAAGAATACGAGACAATTCTCTCGAACACACACATCCTCTTTTTCGCAGGTGATTGAAACTGTGACGGGTGACGTCGAATCAGCGCCGTCGATCACACACGAGCTCCCGAGAGCTGATCCTAGTGGCTTGATCCAACAACATCCACCCGACCCGATCGATCCCACATCCTCCTCACTCAGCCACATCAATCTCCCACACAACAGAGCACACAGACACTCCCGCCATCGAAAAGCCAACGATCTCGAAGAGCCGCACTAGAATGACGTTCCCGAGAACGTGGCTTGAGCCCCGTTTCCCGCCGCCGCGCCCGACAGGGATTTTCTCCATTTGGGCGGAAGTTTTTTAAGGACCGGGACCGGGGCCGGGGGGACCGGGGACGGGGCGGGGGCATGGGGGGTTTTTAAATGTCGTAATTTCGAGTGTTGGTGCCGGGTTGCCGGTAGGGGGGAGATTTGGGTGCTGGGGTGAAGCGTTTTTGTTTTTGGGGGAGAGAAAAGGGGAAAGAGGGTGTTGGTGGGATGTATAACTACGATGCGAGGGGAGAGGGTTGGGATGTTGGGGAGTGAGGTTCTGTGAGGAGGGAGTTGAGGAGGGATGGGTTTTTGGTTTTGGCGGTGGGATTTGGTGGGATGTGAGGCTGGGTCGCGATGGGTTCGGCGTCGTGATGGCTCTTGACTTGGGCTTGGTGGTTTTTGGTCATCGTGGCGACGCGTCTGTTCTCGATCCCATATGTCTTCTGGTCTTGATGCCATTTCTCATGTTATCCAAGTCATCCCAATGCTGGGTTCTCGTCAGGGTTTGGTACGGCGACCACAGCGTTCTCTTATACGGGAGGCATGGCAGGTGTCTAGACTCAGCTGTTCATTCTCAATACACGGCATCCCACGCGTGTGGAGGTCATCCCTTGCACGTCTATTCTTCCTAGGCGCGGTTCCGAGTCTTCTCGGTTGTCTGCGGTGGCGCGTTATTGTCACTTGGGTCTCGCGTTGGAAGTACAGGTTGATGGGTTTGAGAAGATCACCTTGTGGGTAAGGTATATAAATGCCACGCTCGCGAGAGTCTCTGATACCCAAACCAAACACCAGGTGTAGCCAGGGGACTGCGTTGTTTGGATTTTAGGCCTCCTTCAACGTGATTTCCTTGGTGTAAGCTGAAGTGCGTTGGTTTGAGTGCGTTAGTAGCAGCTAGACTGAAGTCGCGACTCCTCATATTCCCTTCTTCATCTCTCCCATCCGCCGTCATTCTTCTATCCGGGAGTGAATAAGTGAGAGCTATGAGATACTAGTAGGCTCATTGGACCGAGCTGACTTGAGAGATGCAAGCCCGACTGAGATAGCAGGATACTGTTCACCAAGCACAACCCCGCAAAATGCTTCAGAACTGCCTTGCACAAAGACAAACCACTTGTTGTGATCGGGTAGTTTCCAATCAAGCAGGGCTTTAATATGCCGTCCTGCGTTAAGTTTGGGCTTGGAACAGGCGGGGCTGTCTTGGAGAAAGACCGTCAGGAGGCCATCGCGAAACGTATCCGACTCGAGAGATATCGGAAGTTATCTAATATGGAGTCTCGTTGATATATATTGGCTGGTGGCAATTCACGATCTTGAGTAAGTAGCACGCCTGGATGGCTTCCCCAACATCGGAGTAGTAGCGATCTCCGTCAAAAGAGCAACGGGTCCGCGTTCGTGATACATAGAATGAAACGTCATGCAACGATATTAAGTTAGCATTGTCTCCATATCACGATTCGTCGTTTCAAGTTCCCTCTTATGCGGATGGGAATATGCAAAGAATGACGGGAGTGAGAATCGAGGATGGCGTGTGTAAGTGGGTAGCTCAGTGCTGGGTTGGGTGAACCTCGGTGTCGACGGAAGTGACATACCCAGATCGGATTGAGCCACGACATCCAAGGGTCGGAAACGAGCACCTGACTCTATTGTTAATGTCAGTTTATGTCGCTGAACGGCGTTTTATACACGATGTCAAGTCGAACCCAGCACGTCGTCGGTGGACACTTACCAATTCCCGTGGCGATTCGACCTAGCGAAACGGCAATAAGAACGGTCTGCTAGCAACAGCGAAGTTAGATAAAAACCAGCATCACATGCAGGGCTCCAACTGTGCTTTCATCATTGGCGTTCAACGCTAGCCCGTGAGCTGGGAATACCGCATCGCCGAGTCGTCTACGACTAGGTAAGAACACATCGTCAGTATCTATGGATCGGCATCGTCAACGTGACGAAAACTTGGTTCACGATGGTTTTCACTTTCCTCCATTCCTAGCATCCTTCATCTATTGGATATACCAGCTCAATAGTCACAGGTTTGGGCTCGAGACAGTACTCCAGACTATGACTCGGTCTCGGTTTTCATAGAGAAGGATATCGATGTTGCTGATCCGATTCCGTTCAGAGGGTTGGAAGAGTGAGCTAGAAGTCGCTGGAATGGTAGATTCTCGCTAAAGTAAATCTTTCTAGCCTTATGTACCCCACGATACCAAACCAAAAGCGCTGAACATAGAAACAGTCTTCCTAGGGGGTCTTGGGACACGTTTGTGGTTGAGATCAGCCCTGTATACTCTGAAGGGTAGACCCCGTCTCTACCCCAAGATGACTTCAGGTGCTCTGCGATGATAGAATGGAAGGAGCTCAAGTCCCGCGGATGCGAAGCAACGATCGATGCATATAAGAGCAGAGCATCGGGCTATGCTGAAAGGGTTGAGAACCCGAACCAGGTGAAGCGGTGGACCGCAGGGTTAATGATCTTGATTTCTCTGAAATACCATCAAGCTCTCCCAAGTTTTTCCATACTAAGGCCATTTCCTAGCCCTAACGAAAATCAACTGCGAGGATCTGTCTCCCTTCTTCATGCTTCCTCTCCGTCTCTGCCGCGATATTCAGATCCAATCTTACCGGGTTTCAAAGCCTGTGAGGTCACTTAATAGGTCATCTCGGCTGCAATTGTCTCACACGACAATAAGCCACGAGAGTTGTCAACCACGAACAACGTGTTTCAAATCTCACCTCCACTTTCATCGGCGCTTCACTTTGTTCGTTCTCAGTGGTAACAGCTCATCCAAATCTGCCGTTATATACATATTCGAGACTCCCGACTTCCCTTCTGGCAGTGGGTATGCCCACTCGCCCCCTTCAGAGTCATGGTCCTTCAGTTGTCACCACTTCCACGAGAGTGATGTGATGTGATGCCGTCCGGACGATGTCAAGGGCAAAGGTAGACTTTGTTGTTGCTGCTTCATCAAGTCTCAACTCGGACTGATGAATTATATCGACTGAGAGATGAGCCTCATAGAAAACGCTGGACCGTTAGATGTTTCGTATGAAAAAGTCATACCGCCTGATTCTGTCTCAGGGCGTGTGTAAATACCAGTATAAGAAGCTATCATCGCAACCGATCTGATGCACGTTTCCCAAGCCCACGATGACTTGCTGAGCTCGTGTGATCAATTGCCATGTCGAGGACGTGATCTCTTCTGGATTTATTGGTTCAGCACTCCATGTTCACTCCCAGATGGATTACCGCACTCCCCTTCCCGTAGACCAATAGCATACCTAATCCATGTTATTCAACCTCGTGATACTCGAAGCTCAACAGAAACGACGGCAGAGGACGAACGGGAGCCGTGAAATGATCGCATGCCTCCCAGTACGTTCGACTCAACACGTCAACAAGCTCATACTCTCTGAGGCCGGGGTCAAGAATCACATCTCTGCCGACAGTTCCCAAGTCACGAAGATATCTTGCAGGACTAAAGGTATGATCCGACAGCTATATATATATATATATATATATATAATCGAGTGATCTTAGGAAGGGGTTATCACATCGAATTCCGAAGCATGCTCCAAGTTCAACAGTTGTTCGTGCTGTACTCTGCACATGCTCGCAAAGAACTTGGAGATAGGAGCTTCCACCCCCGCCATGTCACCTCCCCAGTCAGAGCACCGACAACATAGCAAGAGGAGTTCTTCAAAACCGAAACCTTCGCAAGGTCGACGTCATGCATGCCTGCTCTCCTGGTTGTTGATATGATCGATGCGAAGCTGTGTGCGGGAGTTGGTGCAACATAAGAGGGAGAACCGATCTAAATCAGATCATAACATTCAAGAGGATAATACTGGCTCTTGGAGACACTTCCACCTGGAACGCATCAGTTGCGTGGTGCATTCTGACCGTATACTTGATGTCCTAGAAGCTGCTAGGTACTATGTTCTGTCCTCCCCTCTCTGATCCATTTCCGAGGAGTTTCGAGCGGATTTTCAGAGAATTCTGTAATTCATCTTTGGCCTTGTTCCTCACCACTCGGATTCTATTCATCGATACATAAACCCCGAATGAATGAGTGCCTCTCGTCGCGCTTTGCATGGAGCAGATCACCGTGAAGCCCGAATATGTCTTCCCATGGATGTAGACATGGCTGTCTGTGTCGCGAGAACCCATCCACTTGTAGAAATGACATGGGGCGAGTTCATTGTGCCCATCAGAAAAGCAACTTGGCAGACGCCTCTTTTAAGGCTGGGGTTTGAGCCTGGTGCTGGGAGGGACTATGGGCCACACGAGACGTTTCGGTGAGTTCGTCGACATCTCTGCTGGCAAACACATTGAACTCCGACTTAGCCTCAATCCTACCGTCTTTCTACATACCGAGAAACACAGCATCAAGGACTCATAAGAATGCGCATGCGTCCTATATAAAACAGGAGGACTCGCATCTTTGGGATATGTTCCATTCCACCTGTGCGTCGTCGGTTGCGTCAGCAGTATAATCCATGTCCAGGCTGCTACTAGATGAAGAGAGCATCCCGTGCTTCAACCAAGTATATGCAACAAGACTACTCTCGAAGTCCTTCAAGTACGCCCACATCAATATTCACGCCCGTCACTCATCGCTCCCTTCGTATCCCCAGCCTGAAGAATCCCCATATCCAACTTCCCAAGTCCCGAGTCCCAAGACGAACCTCGACTGACTACGCCCGTGCTACAACTACGAGCCTTCGGCTCTGATGAGTAGTGCCTCACGACCTTCTCTACTCGTTGAGATCATTCGACAGCATTGCAGTCTGGCTTATATGCGCGCCGAGAACGTGTGCAAAGAGCGTTGAGTGGGAGACGATGCGGGCTGGCGCCGAGTCATCGCGTGCGTGCCTGGGCACCGAGGGACACGGAGTCCACTCCGGAAACACACCTGCCTGCCAAATACTCCATAGAAACTGCACGACATTTCACGAAAGCAAAGTCTTCCTGCTCTACAGCTGCTTTGGATGTCAACAACCCCCCTTCTGTCGCAGGTATGACTGCCCTATGCGGAACACCGGTCACTCGTCTTCCACGTCATCCGATGCTGGGCCATCGTGTCTTCATATCGTCAATTAAGCGGGCTGCGCATCCGTGTCCTGTTCTTGATATACGCTATAGAAATCCGCCTCAACATCAATAAAAACGAAAAAAAAAGGAAATGAGGGTGCCGCGAGACGCCCACCTCTCGTCGTCCAATGACGGAGCCAGTCCGCGGACATTCAACCCAAGGTATCTTGTTTTCCTGCTGTATCCCCCGTTGCCTCCTCCTCCTCTGTCACGTCCTCTGGGCAGGTGGTTTTGCCAGGGGGAACACCATTGTCCTTTTCATGGACTGTTACAGGTGTCGCCGTGACCTTGCTCGAGCTTCGTGCTGCGCGTCCTCTCATGTATCTGAATAGTCGCCTCACACCCCCAAACAGCTGGGGTCGTGGGCAAAGATCGGAAATCCCGCATGTCAGCAATGACAGGCCGGTGCGATGAGTTGTGGTATCTTTTTCGGACGCATTGACTTTGATGATTGGTACTGCACTGCCACGAGCCTATCGTCGCAACGCGGGGCCGCTCCACAATCCCTTGCTGGTCTCGATCACCTTGTTCTGCTCGCTGCCGGGTCGCAAGCTCGCGGGCACACTGCTTGGTGCCGGGCCGGCATCTGTCATGACGACATCGTCCTGGTTGTCCGCCTCGGGTTGTGTGCCGTAACCTGAGTCCTTGTGGTTCCCCATGCTGATGGCGCTGTCGTCCTTCTTCGCGTTCGGCGGAGACTTCATGCCGCGATCGGGCTCGCGGGACTTGGCGCCGTCCATCAGGTTGTTCTGGCCCTCACGCAGCTTGTTGATGGCGCGGACGGTGTCGATAGCGGCGTGCAACGTCCGGCGGGCGTTGAAGTTCTTCTTGACCGTCGGCAGGAGGTTCTGGCCCTCGCCCTCGCCGTTAAGGTAGCCGGCGACGAAAGGGTGCTGCAGGGCCTCGTGCGCTGTCATACGCTTGTTCGGGTCGATCGTAAGGCACTTGCGGATGAAGTCCTTGGCATGGTCGGAAACGCCGCGCCAGTAGTCGAAGGGGGTGAAGCTGTAGTCGGCGCTGAGAATGGCCTGCATCTCCTCGTAATCGCTGTCACGATCGAAGGGCGTGTAGCCGCAGAGGAGGAAGTAGGTGATGACGCCGAGGGCCCATACGTCGACGGGCTTACCGTGACCAATCTTCTTGAAAATCTCGGGGGCCATGTAACCAGGTGTGCCACATGTCGTGGTCAGCACGTGGAACTGCTCCTCGTCCATAATGCGACTCAGTCCGAAATCGGCGATAAGGAGGTCGGCATTGTCTTCTGGTGTGCGGAACAGGAGGTTCTCGGGCTTGAGATCGCGGTGGACGATGCCGTGGTCGTGGAGGTACGCAACGGCGGAGAGTGTGGCGCGGATGAGGTCCGCGGCGTCGGATTCGTAGTAGGAGCCTTTTCGGCAAATGCGATCGAAGAGCTCACCGCCGAGAGCCAAGTCGGTGACGAGGTAGAGGTTGTTCATCGTCTCGAAGTAGTCGACAAGCGTCAGGATGTTCTGATGGCCCATGGAGACCTTTTTCAGGACTGCAATCTCATTGCGGACCTGCAAAAAGCCTGTCAGTAGATTGCAAATGCCGGGAGAATGAGTGGAATCGTACCATGTGTTCTCTGCCGGCCATCAATCTCTTGTTGATGACCTTGGCGGCGTAGTAGCGCCCCGTGTCGATATGGACGCATTCCTTGACGACGGAGTAAGATCCAGCACCCAGCGTCTTGCCGACCTTGTACCTGCAGGGCTGGACCTGAGGCTTGTCGGACCCGTTGGTGGTCATGTTCGCGATCGTGTGGAGGTTGTCGAATACGCAAAGTGAGACCGCGAGGACGCCCTGCGGTCGAGGGCTGGGAAAGTGGTCGTGATTAAAAGGTCGGTCGTAGGTCGCGAGATCGAAGGTTGGCGGGGTAAGTAAGCAGCGGTCGGATTTGGGGTTGCGTCGAATGCAGCTAGGGGATAAGTCGGTTGTTGGTTCGGCGGCGGCTTTGTTTACGAGGTGCGACTCTGGGGTAACAAAAAAGACGGTCGTCGGCAGGTCGGGATTGAGTGTCGAGGTCTTAAGGTCGAGGTAGTTAGGTTGAAGCAGACAACTGCTGACAGAGCGAGCGCGGCGAGAGTTTGTATTCTGCTTGGGCAGTTGGGCTGATGATCGACGGTCCCCGGTACGAATTGGCACTCTGTACGGCGCGGTACTGAAGTAGTGTCGTCTTCCCCTTCGGAGGGTCTCGCGGGGCTAATCTGAACCAGGGATGAAATTACCACCGGAGATAGATGAAGGGGGTGATGTGCTGTCACTATGACGCTACGTCGCAGATCAATCTGATGAGGCCTTCCAGCACGCGATGTCCAGAGTCGACACCCGTTTCTTGTCGGAAGCTGGCTGCGAAGATATCGAGAAAGGTGAGGTGGTGAGAAGGCAATGAAAACACGGCAGGAAGGAGGAGGATTCGAGCTGAATTAGACGGAATGGCCAGAAAGACGAACAAGTGGGTTCTTTGTGTATTCGTACCACTAAAAAATCCCGTGGGGCTACCTAAGACCAGCGGTGCACAGCTGGCGCTGGCTCCAAATGCTCCAGCTGGAGACTTCAGGGACTCGGGGTCCCGCAGCTGAGCCGGAGAGTGAGACAACGATCCTAGGTACTTCATCCGCCAATCCTGACATTTGCCACCTTCGTGGCATCCTCTTTTGCTACATTATTATCATTGACGATTTAACGCGACAAGCGACGCAGTCGCGGTGGAGGTTGAAAGGTGACAGCCGCCTCACCTGGGCAGCGGCCCGGACCCCAGCCAGGAGTCCCAGGTCAATGCAAAATGGCAACCGACCTCACTCCCGCCGCGGACACGGGGAGTCCCCACCACTGCTGCTACGGCTTGAGGTGCCTTTGGTGTGCATGCCCGGGTTCCAGAAGCCAGCCCCCAAAAGCCGTCTTCTTCAGCCGCAGTCGAGATGCTCTGCCATAGGCAAATATCTCCTTTGTTTGGCTGCCTCTTCCTATCGGATTCAACGGCCAGATAATGGCTGACGACAATCTTCGGAATCGGTCGTTGAATCGAACGCTGTAACGGAAAGACTGGCCGTTGCTATGTCTGTATTTACTTCGTACACATATCTTACAACCGCGGCGAGCCCCTGTCTCGTTAGGCGACTGCGCTGGGCCTATTTTCAGTCGTTGGTCGGTCGGTCCTCTGCAATCGGCATCAACTCATTTCCCACAAACCCGGGACACAATCAATCTCCATGAAGACGGAACTCTTGAGTCAACCTTGATTGCGGCAATACCGAAATCTGTAGCTCCCACGAACTGAGTCAAACTGGAAAGGGAGGTTCAGGGTCCAGGCTTGGCCCCTCTCGTTTGCCGCCTGGCCGCCCCTGGCCTGGGCCTTACCCCACTCCGCTCAACGTCGATGAGATGTTTGGGTGTCTCAGTCAACCATCGCAAGGCGGACAGGAAGTCTAGAAGCATGTGCCGTGACTCAGAGCAATCGTGCAGTCTGCAAAATCCACCTCGGCATAGCTTGAGTTGGTGAGATGGCGCTGCGTGGCAGCTGTACAGCAGGCAATTCACCTAGCTGATTTGATGCCTCTAATCGAAGGATGCGCGTCGGCTCTGCTTTTTAGAGCTCAGTTGCTTCTTCTGCTTCAGACGTCCTTCGTTGAATGATTTGGCTCTACCAATGGTTAGCGACGAGTTTTGCGGTGAATCCGGCCAACTCACAAATTTGCGTGCTTCTTCTTTGTCTCATTACTCGTCTCTCCAGGGACTGTCTCCCGGTATATCCTTTGAACCTCGTCGACGAGTTTCTTTTGATTCTCGTCCGAGTTCACCGCCCTCTGACGGTGTTCTTGAGCTTGAAATGTCAAAGAGTCCGACCTCGCCGTGTAATACTTGGATTCTTTGATGCCTCGATGCAGCAACTTCGGCAGCACTGGGAAGAGGTCCTTGACTGGCCAAACAGTGATGGCCTTGCTCTCCGTTCTGGGCTCATGTTAGTTGGTGAACGATACTGTGGACGAAGACATGTCATAGTCCCTGCAAAACGGTTGGTAAACCTACTTGTTGACGTGCTGCCCTCCCGGACCGCTTGAACGCGCGTAGCTTGTTTGGCCCTTCGGAAGTTGGCTGCCATCGAACGTCTTATGCCATGATCTTGCCTCCTTCAGCTCTTCAGGATCGAAGGAGTCTTCGAACGCCTGAAACCTCGCCCATCGGACTGGCTGTATAGGCTGGAACACAGGACGAACCGAAGACGTGCGTGCAGGCCGGAGGAGACTGGCCAGGAGCTTCATAGCAAGGGCCGTCGCGGGCGAAGTTTTCCGGGTGACAGTATGATCAAGGGAAGGCAAGCGGACAGTGCATTCTACTCAAATAGACAAGTAGCCTTGATTATGAGTTGATCTGGGAGAATGTGAATGGAAAAAAGTCCCATGCAAGCAGTGTTCCTCTCTACTGACGTCTTTCATTGATGAACGACGAAGCAGTGGACCGTTGGCGATGACCGGTAACTACCGTGTGATCTCGTCTCTCGCACATGTATTCTTACTGTCTTAGCTAATCAGATACCCAATTACTGTAAAAGGTTAGCGGCGTTTGCTGCTTCTCCACGCCAAAACGTTTTCCGAGGTGACATTGGTTGACGACTCTGCACTCTGCAGCGACAGATCGGCCAGCCCAGGCCTGCCTACCGCCTGACTTGACGGTTACTTCCACCTTCCACCCGCCCCGACGTCCCTTCCCTAGGTTCCACGGCCAGCCTTGCAGACCGCGCGGGAAAAAAAAGAGCTTGGGCAATGGCCTGCCACTTCCCTTCCCACCTGCCGGAGTTCTTCACATTTTTTCTCTCCCCTACCAAAGCCGCCGCCTCGTACCTTAATTTTGCTTTAACCTTTTTCTCTTACCACCGCCCACACACATCTCTCTCTCTCTCTTCTCTCTTCACGCGACACTTGCGGCACACAACCATCGCAAACTGCAAGGCGTCCATGGCTGCATGACCTCGACCTTTCTCCATTTATCATATCCAGCCCGTCCGACATATAAAACGACGCACAGTTTCTCAGTATCTTGGTAAAGTCGTCGCCATTGCTAGAGCGAGCTACCCTGCCGAAAGCTCCCTCGGGCGCGCGCGCACACAACTCACGTCGCCTCACCTATCGCATCCATCGGAGATTCCACCGTGTCTGCAATCTCTTTTTTTCTTTCGCCTGTTGCAATCTCCCCCGCCTTCTTCTCTCTTCCCCTCCGGACCCCCAAACTTCAAAAAGGCCCAAACCAATCAATCTTGCTTGCCTGCCTTGCGCACATGACGACACAGCCGCGGCTCGACTGAAAATCCAGAGGAAAGAAACAGCCCAGAACGAGGCGTCCGGTTGCCTTGTCGTCGCGAGAAAAAAAAATTGACATAAAGTCCATTTCTGACCCAACTCTCAACTTTCACCTGAATCCCGCCCGACTTTCCAAGCTTGCCAATTCCGCCAGCATCGCCTAGCCTCGTCCAACGGCCCAGCGAGCAGAAAGCTGTTGAGCCGCCCATCACCACCACGTCGCGACCACCAGCAACAACTTGATGCCCGAGCCAGAGGCAACTCCCGAGTTCCAGGCCACTGCCGCCGACCTCTCGCCTCTATCTCCGTCTCCTTTGCACTCCGCTGCGCCCGCCGTTGTGCCTGTTCTCCAGGATACTGTTGATATCCTCGATGCAATGTCCACCCACACTAATGGAGTCGCCCCGGGCGGCGTAGACGCATCCGCCTCGGTACAATACACCGCTGGCATTGAATACGCGAATGGCAACGGCCACGACGCCGGTGCCGACGCCCAAGACGACGCCGACAGTCTCGACGACGCCTATGGAGAGGAAGAAGAGACCGGCGTGGACAAGGCGCAAGCGCAAGAGCAACAAGTGGAGCCCGATGCCGGCGAGGATGAATACCTCCAGTATCTCGACGCTCCCGAGGGCGGAGATGGAGACGATGTATCAAAGGCACCAGAATCCATGCACAATTCCGCCGCATCTGCTTCTCTGATCGCTGATTCCTCGGCCCGGCCTCCCGCCGGAGACCGTCATTTCTCTGCCGATGCCGCGCCCTCCTCCGCCGCAGCTGCCGCCCAACATGGCGCTGACGATGACGACGATGCCGCTACTGAGATAAACCAACTCATCACCGAGATGACCGGCCAGGCCACCAAGGCCCAGAACCAAAACCATCATAGCCCAGCCAGCTCCGCCACTGCCTCTGCCGCTGCCTCTGCTGCCGCGTCTGCTCAGAACTTTGAAGCCCAGCCATCATCGCACTTGTCGTCGTCGTCCTCCTCCGCGACTGCCACCCTTCCTCCCAGACCTCCTCTGCCGGTCCCGGCGCCTCCCACTTATTCCAATCAGAATACCCAATATCCAAATGTGGCCGCTCCTACAAACGCCATTGTACCCATGACTGCGCCGCCGTATGGCCAGTCTAATGAGCCTACTGATCGACAGGGAGCATGGGAACAGTACATTGAAGACGAGCGCCGGTACATGGCAGAGGCGAGGTGGGACAAGTTTCCTGATGGCTCTCGCATCTTTATTGGTTCGCGCTCTCTCTCATCAGGCAGGCCCGACGGCGCCATTGACTTCTTTGCAGGCAATCTGTCCAGCGAACGTGTCTCGAAGCGGGATGTATTTGACATCTTCAACCAATGCGGCCGCCTGGCTCAGATCTCCCTCAAGTCAGCTTATGGGTTCGTCCAATATCACAACGTGGAAGACGCGAAAGCTGCCATGGACAGTCTGCAGGGTATTGAGATAAAGGGACGCAAGATTCGTAAGTTATGCCCATCCTCGTATAAACTCCTCTCTGCTGCCCGTATCCGTCGTCGTCACTGCCCCTCACGTCTATTTCGAGGTGTTCACATTGGATACTGACTGGTTCACAGATCTTGAAATTTCCCGAGCCCAGAAGAAAAAGGATGGAAATGAGCGCAACAGGTCGCCTGACCGTGGTAGAGGCCGCCAGGACCGTTCAGGTCAGGGTCACGAGAGCCGACGCAGCCGAGATGACTACAGGCCAAGCCGCAACTCTCCCAGACGTAACGAATACGGCAGGGACGACGGCAGGGACAGCCACAGAGACAGCCATGGAGGCAGAGATCGGTACCAGTATGATGACCGGTCCAGAGGCCGTTCCAGATCGCCTCAAGGCCATGGTCGCAACGACTATCGTCGGCGCGACCAAAGCCCTCCCAGAGCCTACGGACACGGCCCGGCGAACGATGATCGCCTTGATCTTCCTCGCCGCTACGGCAAAGATGTTCCTGACGTGCAGTTCCTCCTGCTCGAACAGCTCGACCCTGAATTTGTGGCTTGGGCTCAGCGTCCTTTCACCGACAACGGCCTCACGGTGAACACAATGTTCTACAACCCTACCTTCCCTCGCGACGCGCTCGTGCAGAGACAAGTCGCCGAGGGCGTACACGCGATTGTGGACCTTGACCTGAGAGCACACCGCGCAGGCAAGATCTCTCTGCGACTCTTCGATCGCACTTCCGGCGTCAGCGCCCGATACGAGGACTACCGTGACTTGGACCCCCCAATGGCGGCAGCGCTCGTCGTCAGAACCAAGTCGAGGGCAATTGCTCCATACCAGGGCGCGCCACCTCAAGCATACCAGGGCTACGCTGGGCAGCCGTACGGCGGCCCTCAGCAGCCTCCTCAATACCATGCCCCCTCCTATCCGGGACAGCACGGCCTACCACCCCCGGCCGCAGCTCCTCAGGCGCCGCCCGCAGCCGCCAACCCGCCCGATCTCGCTGCCATTATGAACGGCATGGACAATGACACGCTTCAAAGACTTCTTGCTACTATCGACCCTCAAAGAGCCGCTGTCGCTGGCAAACCCCCCAACGCTCAGATTCAAGCTCTACTCGGTGGCCAGCGAGCACCCGCGCCTCCGGCTCAGCCTGCGTCGTACGGCGGTCAGGCTTTCCCGGCTAACGGTGCTCCCAACGGTCACCCGAACGGCCATCCGAACGGGCACATTCCTTCCGCCCCGCTGGTGGGAGACCAGGCCACCCAGAACCAGGTTGACAACATCATGGCGCAGCTGCAGAGATACCGACAATGACCGCGGATGGCGCTTCACGGAGTATGACGAAGACATGATGGAGAGGGGCTCTTGTATTTTAACTAGGCGTTGGGGTTACAATTACAGAGGCGGCGGAACGTTGCTATAGAATCAAATGTCTACCTGGCCATCGCAGCCTTAGGTATTATTCGTTACTCCCAGACTTGGCCTTCTCTCTCTTCTCGGCTCGCCTATGTGATTTCATCTTCCGCATCCCGTTTCAAGTCAGATTGGCGGTGATTGTTTCAAGCACCAATGCAGTCATGGTCTATATACAAGCAAGAACCCCTTTCCGACCCTTCAATTCTCTCAAATCCTCTCAACAACGGCCTCACAACTTCTCAGCGGGCTTATTGAGGATGGCCGTACACTCGATCTCCACATCAGTGCCGAGCGGGAGCTGGTAGACAGCGACGCACGTGCGTGCCTGGTCCAGTCAGATCATCACTTTCCCTTTCTTCTTCTTGCTCGTGCGACCTCTTGATTGGTGTAATGCGGGGAGGAGACTCACGGGCTTGGGGTCGAAGGTGAAGAACTCGTCGTAGGCCTCGTTCATGGTCGCGAAGTCGGCCATCTTGGTGATGTAGACGTTGACCTTGACGACGTTGCGGAGGCTGCTCCCGGAGGCCTCGAGGACGGCGGAGAGGTTCTTGAGGGCTTGACGCTGTTGGTTTTGTTAGTTTTGCGTCTCATTTTCAAAAGTTCGAAATCCTTTTAAAAGCTCGTGGTTTTGATATCATGTGGTTATATGCACATGTACTGAGTTGCGGCAATTCATGTGTTGGGATGATAAGCTCGATAGGGACGATAAGACGTACCGTCCTGTCCTTGACAGTCCCCTCCGCCTGCACCATGCCGGGCTTGTCGGGCAGAATACCGATGTTGCCGGAGCAGTAGACCATGCCGTTGTACTTGATGGCCTGGGAGAACTGCGGGAGCGGAGGGGGCGCGGCGGTGGTGTGGACTTTTTCTTGGGCCATTTTTGCGGTTTGTTAAGAGTGTTGGGCTGTTTTGGGGTTTGTGAGATGCGTATTGAGTTGTTTGGTTTGAGTGGGTGAGATTGAAGAGGTGGACGGTGTAAGTTGATGAAGACGACAACAGTGAGTGAGATTGAGACGGGATGATAAATCATGAGGGCTTCGGCGCGGGGTCGGAGGGTGAGTGGGGCCTTGTCGCTGTCGCCGGCGGCGGGGGCTGGGGCGATAGGCCGGGGTGAGGGCTTTGGGAGGGAAGGGCGTGGTTGATTTACTAACGGCAAGCACTTGCGTAAAATGGTATAACTTTACTATTGACACTTTGTGTTTGATTGGTAATGCGAGCGATACATTTGTAAAGCAAGGTGAAAGACGGGATCTCGCATTACAAACCCCCGAAAATATGTCTTCACAGCTCCAACCTAGCGAAAAGATAAGGATTGCTTCGCAGCTGGTTTGTTCGAGATGGTACTCCATGGCATAGACCGAACCAAACGCATAACAATGACATTGCCATGCAGTTTTCAGCAAGCTTCTCTTTCGGAATTTACTATTGACGAGTGTCTTATCGCGACAAAACAGCTCAACGTTGCCCGGACATGTTAAGGCCGAGGGAAAGCGCGCCATGTCCGCCTTTGCGGGGGCGGTTTGCCGCGGGACGGAGGGGGCGGGGCAGTTTGGCCGGCCGAAGCCGGCGTTCATCGTGCACGATTCAACGTCTTCCGCTTTTGCTTCAATTGGTGTTGAATTCCGAGATCAAAGAAAGAGAATGCATCGTTTATTTGGTATCTATTGACAAACCAAAATGGTAGTTTGCGGCTCGCGCGGTAAGCCGATACTGCTAGCCCCCTACAAGGGCGTGGCTTGCTGGTTAAGACCACGGCCTTGCCTGGAAGGAGGTTGATAACGATTAAGAACAAACATGATTTGCACTTCAAAACGAACAGAACTCCGAAACGCCTCCCGCTCAACATTTGACCAAGCCTGCCCGCACTTCTGCATCATCCTCGGCGCTCACGAACATCATACATCTTCGACTGCCAATATTTCTTCCAATTCTGTCTGCAATCGATCCCGAAAACCACAACACCAGTCCTGTTCACCGGGCCCTGGAGCTTTGTTGCCGAAGGTGCTCGACTCTTCTTATCTGAAATACGTTGGAGAATCCGGCAAGGTGTATCTGTACCCCAGATTGAAGCATGGGGGGTTTGGCGACATATTGTCCATAACTCCATGTCGCTATCGATGCACCAGAAGGCTTCAAACCCCAGCGGGCAGCTGCCGTTGTGAAGTGTTTCTAACCTGCTGCTGGCCTTCGTTGAGAGGACATCAAGGCATCGCATATGAGCAGCCAGGAAAAATCTGTCCTGTGGGAGGGTAAGACATGCCTCACAGACGAGGTTCGTCGTGGGGACTGGTCGGATCGCTTGACCAAGGCCTGCGCATACTCCAACGACATCAACACCGTTAATGATGTTTTTCCATGAGCTGGCCAAGCTCTGCGACCCTGATATGTCCACTTCCCTAAGAGGACTCCCTTGATAGGATGGATTGACCATTCCCATCAGCTCAGAAGCGAAAATCGTAGTTGATTCGGGTTTCTCTCTTGTGCTGGCCGACTCGTAGAGCGAGGTATTGAACTTGAGAAAGAGTTGGCGGAGTGTCTGTTTATCATCAGAGCCTTCAGTCCCAAGCACGATGGCATTGCCCTTGTCTTTTACAGCATCCATAACTGCCTCGTGGCCATTGTCTCGTGCTTCCGCGAATGGAATGGGATTTGGCGGCGACGGGACTCTGTGCTTGTTGCTTTCGCGAAAGTACTGGTGGCAAAGATGGAGAATCAGGCTTAGTACAGGGACTAGCCATGCCTGTTTGGTTTCCGAATCTATGATCAAAGCGACTCTAGAACGGCCATTTCTGAGCGCCTCAATGTAAGATTCTGTAGTGTTGAAGCGCTGAATGTTGGAGGTGAAAGCAAATGTCTGCATGCCCTGGAAAGCAGCATTTATCGGGCCCATAGAAGCAGCAAATTGACCTCCAAACTCGAAGCCTTTTCGATGCGCAGTCATGTGTCGCGGTTTCGTACTGCGGCTGTAGTCAAGGTCTGATGTCAGCTCTCTCGTGCCTAGGAGAACAAGCCCGGTCTGAAACCAGCCAACAAAACATGTCGGCTGCTGAAGCTGGTCAGGTTTATTGACTTTCAGCCAATCTCCTTTGGTCGATTTGAGATCATCGGGTCGTATGCACCCATGTCGAGAATCTTCAACGGACTCGAAGTGCCATTGCAGAGCTTCTCCCTCCTGAGCAACAGGAATGAGGGCTGTGTAAAACCCAAGGAGGATAACACCTCTATCAAAAGGTTGAAAGTTCTCCACGGCCGCGAGATGCACCATCATGGCAAAGGATACTTCAAGACCCTTTCCCCACTCTCTTTGAAGACGATGCCTAGCAACGATTCCACTGCGGAAGAGTTTGGTCCAGCAGCTAGACCCAGTTGCCAGCATCTCATCAGACCGCCACCTCTGAAGGTCGTCTAGTCTGTATCCAAGTATCTGGGGCTCGCTTTTGAGAAAGCTCATCGTTCTGCTGGCTGTTGACCAGAAGAAACCCTCCCTAGTGTGCGGGGATGTTTGAGTTGGTCTCATGGCTGTGCACATCCAAACCAATGCTTCAATGAATTCTCTGGTGCGTTGATAACCGTCCACTCTAATTGTTATGTGTCCCTCTGCTGCGTGCATGACACTCAATTCCTGATTTCGAAGGCCGGTCGACGCATAATTCTGTTTCATTTGGACCGATGCGGCGACTCTCGAGAAGAGGTTCGCAATGCCAAGGCTTACAAGTCGCAAAACATCAAGGCCGACATCGCCCCATCTGTTTTCCAATGAAGCGGCGCAAATAGTGCATTCAAAGTTGTCGCCATCTCCGGTGAGAACCACAAACTTTGATAGCAAATTTTCAACATAGATCGTGGGGGATGACGCAGACGGCACCTGATCCCAGGCCTCTAATTCCCTGTACACCATGGGAATCTCCCACTGCATGCGAATGTAGCCGGTCCAGCCGTTAGAGACCGGTGAACGATCTAGATCTGCTTGATCTGATAGCCTGGAAAGGATCTCCAATGCGCCAATGCGATCGGCATAAGTCTCTTCTGAGGTCAATGCCGACAAGCCCATCCCAAGGTGATGGAGGAGACGATCTGGTAAGGTCTGGCCCCAGCGCCCATCCAATACTGCGCCGTGCTCTACTAGCAAGGCTGCTATATCGAAACGCGCTTCGTCTAATGCTAGAGACAAGGGCGTAATGTCGTCTGGGTTTTGTTGTTCGACATCAACACCATAATTCAGAAGAAGCTGCACCATTTCGCGATTCTCCTCTAGAATCGCAAGCGACAGCAGAGTCCCATGTCTAGGATCCGGTATATTAGGATCCGCCCCATAATCAAGCAAGACTTTTAGAATCTCCCTCTGTCTCTTTTTCAATGCAAGAAACAGAGGGGTCCGGCCTTCGTTGTCTGCTTTGTTGGCATCCGCTTTGTGCCTGAGCAAAAGCTGCGCAATGTCTGTTTTCCCCATTTCCAAGGCTACCATCAGTGGAGTCCGACCTTTCTTGTCTGGGTAATCGACATTGGCACCTTTTTCTAAGAGCGCTGTTACGACATTTCCGTGTCCATTTTTCGTTGAATATGACAATGGAGTCCGCCCCTTGCTGTCCGGACAGTTGGCATCGGCACCACATTCGAGGAGCTCCCTCACAATGGTGCCGTGTCCCTTTTCCGTAGAATACGAAAGAGGAGTTCGGTCGGCGAGGTCTTTTGTGTTCACGTTAAAACCACGATACAATAGAGCCACCATAAGCCCGTAATGTCCGTCTTTTGCCGCGTAGAACAGAAGTCTGCGTCCGACTTCGTCGGTGTAGTCCAGATAAAAGCCCTCGCACATCGACGAAAATTTCGAGGGAATACTGAAGTTTGATTTGCTTTGCAGTGGTGCTTGAGATAGCAAAGCCTTCACCGCGTCTGTGTTTCCATTGTGAATCGCAGCGAGGAGAGGCGTTTCGTATCTCTCGCCGCCAGAAGTATTGACTTGGGTATCGTGACGGGCTGCAGTACGAATCAAAGAGGCCAGGCCCTGGTCGGCTAGTATATATAGCAAACTAGCAGCTGGCGAATAATGGTGGCTCCTTGATTTCTCGAACAAATTTTGATGTGCAATCCAGGTTTGAAGCGAGAACTCCCGCACGAAGTCATCCTGAGAGATCGAGTCCCCTGCAGCATTAGAATGATAGAGGATGTTTCTAGTGGCGTACTGCAGGAAAGGAGATCTCTTCTCCACATCCTTTCGAACATGATCTCTCGATTCAGTTGAAGCATTGAGGATAGACTGCCCGTTCAAAAGACCCGTAGTAACGCTCCAGCTTGTGTATGCTTGGCAGCATTCCTTCAGTCGCTCGTGACTTTTGCCTCTGGGATCATTTCCAATTGTGGGCCATAAGAAAGATAGGCCATTATCTTTGAGCAGAAAGCCGCGAACGCCTTCGTGGACAAACTGGACTGTGGGTTGTCGGGACTTCGTAGTCATCGCGAGTCCTTTGGAGGCACTGGTAATGAACAGATTGATCGTTTCCATCGTGATATGTTCACGATCCCACTCGCAGAGACTTTCAGGCGCTAACCCAGCGACCAGGGCAAAGTAGAGCTCTTCAGGCTTTAGCGGGGTTTTGCTGAAGAGTATCCACTGAATGCATAGCAGAAGATCGTCCATATTCTCCGAGCTCCTTGTGATAATATCGCTAAAAAGGTCGCTGAATGTCGAAGGGTTTCCGCTTAAATGCTTCCCGACTGCAAATATCCTGCCTCGCTGAAATTCTTTGTTGATTATATTGGTAGCTAGGACAACCCACAGGAAAACGCCTGATGCTTTCTCCATGATTTTGCTGACAAGCTCATCTGTCTGCTTCGCTGTTCCAGTCCTCAATTTTGATCGAGTGTATTCTTCCATGTCTGTTGTGTGGTCTGCTTGATCTTCTAGGGTGAAGCGGAGACCATATTGTGTGCTTATGTGCGGATAATGCCGACTTGAAAAGCATGCGTAGAATCTGACGTTGTTCTGTATAGCGCATTGCCCTAGATCTTCGAAAAAATCCACGATGGGTAAGATCTCTTCTTCAGCACACTCGTCGATGGCGTCGATAAAACAGATAGCTTGTTGTTGGTCGAGCTTAGAGATAGCTCTGGAAAAGAGGTCTCGAAGCAGATCGATATTCCAAGAATCCGAACTAGTCAGACTGGGGAGATCAACATCTTCAAGCACGCTCTGCAGTCCGGGTAGCCTTTCCAAAAGCTGTACCAGTAGGGATCTGTACATCCCTTCGCTTGTCCTTTCGAGAAGTTCGCCGCGAGCATTGAAGAAAAATGAAACAACTGCATCGTTTTTCGTCGCCTTTCTTCTCGCCCAATCAAAGACAAATTTCATGATCGTAGACTTTCCAGCGCCAGGCTTTCCACTAATCCACAAAACGCCGTGATGGTTGGTATATTCTCCAGGGTCCAGCCAATTAACAACGTCTGGGTGCTTTAATAGCCATTGACATGTGTTCGCATGTGCATTCTGGATGCTAAAGTGTCGATTGGCGACTTTTTTGAGTTTCAAGGACTCAAGAAGTACTTGTCGAAGCTCCAGCTGCGGTGTTCCATCTGTAAATTCATTAGCGAAGAGTAAGTTTTAAAAAGCGGACCAACACCTACAAGAAACAGGCCGGTCAAAGACTGCCGGTGGTGATGCATTGCGTCGCGCCGGAATGATGTTGAGAAGCTCCTTCGTGTAAGCCGCTGCGGTTGCAGCGGCGTACTCCTGCCATCCTTGGGTCTTATGCGTGTCCGAGTAGTCGCAGATCCCCCTGATAACCAAGCATGGAAAACTGTCCATAAGACCAGCCGCTTCCATTTCAAAGCACAGAATTTCGTGCTCTTGCGCAAAACGATCTCGAGTGTAGCCATGTTTCATGACCTGGTTCGCCGAAGCGATAACGCCGTAATGAACTTTTGGGTGGTTGTCCGGTCGAGCCCCTCTCTCGACTAGCCGCGATAGATCGCACTCATCGCAGTTGTGTCCAACATGATCATATCCGGCTTCATATAGTCTGTCCTTCCCAACTCCTTGATATGTATACGCAGTCATCGAAGGATTCCGGGTAATCATCTGTGCGAGGTAGACGGGAATCTGACTTGGCTGCGATTCATGCATCGCTCGCAGCTTTGCGACGGCGACAAGGAGTTCTTGTGGTGGCTTGTTGAGGGCTCTCGACGTTTGAATTCGGCCTTCCTGGACAGTTTTCCCGAAGTCATATTGAATCACTCCCGGTGATGTCAGCGTCGGGCAGCTGACCACAACGTCACCAAGCCGAATATCAAACTTCATAGGGACACCTCCGCCGATACCGACCATGAGCCGAATGTTGATGCACGGGAAACTCCATCGCATATTGTTAGCCAGCAAGGCTGCTTTGGTGATACCATACTGTCCCGACGGCAAGCATGCAATGACAACGTTGTGGTCGCCAATGTTTCCAAAGACATATAGGTTGCTGTCGTTCGAGCTCATGATTAGGGGCTCGTGAGTCTCGTCAAGCATGGCCGTGGCAGCAGCCATCTCGAGAGGAAGAGCCGCAACCCACGCAACGGTGTAGGCTTCAGGAGTCAGCCTTCTCCGGACTTTGGGTGTGGCATCGCTCGATGATTCGTGAGCCAGGTCTTCTAATCTAGGACGTTTTCTTGGAGGGATGTTCGGTTCATCGTCAGCGATGGCGGCGTTCCATGTTCTTTGGTTGGAGTTCTGCATCAGGATTGGAGAAAGTGAGTCGGATCTATCACCACCGTCCTGACTGTGGTGCGTCGGCATTGTTCACGAAGCCGGGGATAAGTATCCCAAATCAGGCTGTCCGTTGATTTGGCGTCTGGTGCGATGTCGTCAATGACTATGCCGAGCAAAAAGACAACCAGCTCCTGGGAAATTCCAGCGACCATTGTCGCAAAGCATGAGAGACTGGCAATGGTCGGTTCCAAGGCAGCTTCAGGCCTTGCTTGAACGATGTGAAAGTTGAAGAGCGGGGGAGACGAAAGAATAGAAGAAGTGAGGCGAAGACATTCTGGCAAGCAGGCTGTGCCGGGGTCTGGGTCGCAGTTCGTTGGTCACGCATGCAGCTGACTCCATCGAAGCTGACCAACGGCGTGTCTCCTGCGCCGCTGCGGGCTTATCCGTATTGGATGGCGGCGGAAAATGCTGGTCCCCTCTTCTACTTGGTAGTGAAAAGAGAAAGTGGCATGTCACGTAGTCGCATAACGGAGAGGTTGCGCTGCTCATTGTCTTGGCAGGCCGTCAGGCTGACTTGAAGCATTCATATTGTAATTAGTTGTTGAGTACCCGAACCCTCCGAGTGCTCATACTGTAGAACCACCAAGCCCAAGCCCGAAAGTCGAAGGCCGCCGAAAGCTCAGTGTCTGCATCCTCGGCTTACGGTCGGCTTGCTGTTCTTGGAAGCGCATGTCGCCGAACAGCTGTGGAGGGAAAATGCGTTGCCAATAGTACCACAGCGAAGCCGTTGCGATGGTGATTGGAATGGCGACGACCCAGTAAACCCAAAATTTATCGGACATCAGCCACTCACCCGAGCCTGAATCAAACTCGAAAAACGTCGTACTGAAGATAGCAGAAACGAATGTGGCGGGCAGGAATAGCAGTGTCAAAAAAGCGACCGTCTTCATGGCCTCGCTGTCTCTCTGAGTGGCGCGGCCAATATCGACAGACATGCCCGCGTCGAATTGAGCGACCATGTTGAATGCCAGAGCGATTTCGTTCAGCAAGCGTGCCTTGTTCGAGGCAGAGCGGTCCTGCAGGCTGCCGAGCATCCCCTCAAAGAACCGCAGGCGTCCCTCGGTGTGGTTCCAAGCCTTCTTCCAGGCAACCACATCAGGCTGCGCCCCGCCCGAGTATGCCTCGAAGGCTTTGTGCTGCTCCAAAATCTGCTTCGCGGTCTTGACCGCCACATCCAGGGTTTCAGACACATGTATCGCATGTCTGGCCGTATCGTGCAAATAGCGAAATTCTGGCGCCGGTTTTGGCTTCAGCGGCCCGTCCCTCTCCTTCTCCGTGCTCCTTACAGTGTCGCGCACCGACCACACAGCTGCATCCTGCAACGTGACAATCTTCTCCAGAAGGCGAATGTAAATCCAGTATGGACTGATGTAGTTGTGCTCATCTGGGACCGCGAACAGGGGATCCTGTTTGGGATCCAGTTCGTCATCCGGTACTCGTTCGAGGCAGCTCGTGGAGGGCGGGCGAAGATCGAAAATGACGAGGATTGTTTTCTGAGTCTTTGCGATCCACCTCGTCAAGATGTTCAGCTTGAACCATTCGTACCCGGTGTGTGGGTTGTTCGTCAGTTTGACCTGAAATCGGGCCCATGAATCTTCCTCAGGTCAGTTCTTGCTCATCCGAAAAGCTCCATGTAACTCACTCAACCCAGAAATGTTTCCTTTCTCATCCAGAGTGGTATCCTGGCCGAAGAAGCCGTTGGCACCTTTGCTGTACCCTTTCCACCACAAGTCAGGCACCTCGTAGGTGATAGAAAATTGCTCGCGACACCTTGGGCATTGGCGGATTCTGAGGGCTTTTGCGTTGCTGAGTGAGTGTCAGTGACTGGTCACTCTTGTTGAGATCGTTGAACCTACACAATGCACACATCATAGTCGATGGAAGGCAGCACGGAACCATCCCCATGCGTCGCTGCTCGACTCGCTTCTACCCATCCTTTCCCAGTTTCTAGCAGTGTTAGTACGTCCTTTTGACAAGTTTGGCTGAGTGCGTACCTTTCTTCCAGCAGAGGAACTTCGGTTCAGGACACTGGGTGCAAGGCTGCTTCTCGTCCATGTCAAAATTCTGTCGCCTTTCAAGGAGCTCCTCTGGATTTTGCAACAACGATGAAATTGCGGGAAACAGCCGGAATAAAAAGCAAATGGCCATGTTCAAGATCAGGCTTCAAGTGAGGAGAAGCTCCACCTGGATTTCTGCACAACGCACTGCAGCTGACGGTGGACCTTAGGACCAATCATTTGTCGTAAGAAGGCGATGTTGCAGCATGACGCCCACCGAGTCTTTTGCCCGATAGTTGCGCATTTCGCCCTCGAATAAAAGGTGATGCTCGAATGGTTCGCATCATGATCGTCGATTCGTCTGTCGATTTTTGTTTTACTGACCTTGGGCCAGACTCGGTTGCTCTGCAAGGAGAGTAGAATTGGAGAGACGAAATTGCGAAGAGGGCAACCCGATGGATCAAATAGAACTTCGGCCGGCTGAGAGTGAATCAAGATGCAAATCTCAATCAAATCTGCAGGTGGCAGATGCAGAATTAAAGACAGAGATGTCTCCAGAGAAGAAATAAAGTGGAAGATGACGCTTGGTCGGTGTCCGGGGCAGGGACCTCCCACCGGTTCTCACGGGAGAATTGGGGCAGCCCCCACGACGAAACGGGGTCAATGGGGGGGATAGCTCAGGGGTAGATTCCCTAGCCACGATGATTATGACCAATCAGAGAGGCCCTTTTTCAAGCAACCAAGCTTGTGCCGCCTGGACCCTGAGCGAAGATGCCAGCTGGAAGGAGCTCTGAGTGTGTGATCCTCGTATCCCCGCGGGTTTGGAGACGTGGAATGTGAACTTTCGCAACTCCAATTTCTCTGATTAACAATCCGCTTCGGTCCGAGCTTGCGGATAGCCTCCATTCTTTTAAAGAACCAATTTCCATCCATGTCGCTCATGTGGTTTTGATATCCAATCCCGGCTTGATCTCCTCTTCCTCCTTATCCATCTTCTCCATTGTCATCCGTGAGATCCGTCGAGATCGACCATCATGGGTTGGCCTTACAAATTTCTGGATCTCTCCCGCGAGGAGGTCCAGATCCGGAGAGAAACCTTGGATCGATACGGCAGCTATGCACAGTTCTCCGCCTTGACGCCGATAATTCTGGCATTGCTCATTCGTTTCTTCGGATATCTCAGGCAGCGTTGGCAAGCAAGCGCCGCCTATGACGCTGTTCCGGATTCACCAGACCTGAAGGCTAGGAGGCAAAGCTGGGTTGGCAACTTCGATACGAATGTAAGGAAAGTGAAGTGGTGGCTGGGTGACGATGTCTACTTCATGGGACAGCATTGGGGTCAGAAGGACCAATGGGTCTTTGGCGTGGCTTGGTTTGCATGGATGCTTGTCCTCTCCATTTTGGAAACAGGCGAAGGTAAGTGCCCATTCCCTCATCGAGAGCATCACAAACATCCCAAAAACCTGCAATAGTCTCAGTGGCATTGGATGGAGACCATGCTCATTGAGATTTTGGTCTTCGCGGAATGTCAATTAGCACTCTCTGACACCTCCCAGACTACCTCCACCTCACGAAACGCTTCGGCATCATCGCCGCGTCGCAGGTTCCTTTCCAATATCTGCTGGCCTTGAAGAGCTTCAGCCCCATCGCCAAAGTCTTCCGCACCTCCCACGAGGAACTCAACAAATGGCATCGCGTCCTATCCCGTGTGACGTTGTCGCTGCTCGTCCTCCACGCCATCTTCTACATGAACTTCTTCGTCGAAAAGGGCATCGTCCTGAAGCGCCTCTTCGCCCCCGTCGTCTTCCTTGGTGTCGTCGCCTTCGCAACCATGAACATGATGACTTCAACAGCAGCTGCCGCCGTTCGGAAGTACTCGTACCGCGTATTCTTCATCACCCACCTCATCGGCGCCTTTGCCATCCCGCCGCTGGTCTTCTTCCATGCCAGGTCATCTCGGCTATTCATGGCCAAGGCCATCATCGTCTTCCTCATCGATCTCGTCGTACGCCGTCTTCGCACCGTCATGGCCTTTTCGAAGATGGAGACCATTCCCGGGACGAATCTCGTCAAGATTCGCGCCTCGATTCCTCAGTTCAAGGTCAATGCTTTCCGAAGCCGGCCCGGATCTCACATCTACCTCAGCATCCCCGCGGCCGCACGACCCGGCGGCGGCAAGTCTTCAGATGCATTGCTCTACGAATTCCTCTTCAACCCCTTTACCGTGGCTTCCGTAGATGAAGAGACGGGCGATCTCACCCTTGTCGCTCGACAGCTCGACGGCCCGTTGACGCGGCACCTTGGTCATTTCGCTAACGCGGGCGGAAGCTTGGACGACGGGAAGATCCCGCTCTGCATCGAGGGCCCGTACGGCGCTGCATCCATCCACTTCGACAAACTCATCAGCACGACCGTCGACCGCGTCCTGTTGGTGGCTGGCGGCGTCGGAGCAACCTTCACCGTACCCATCTACCAGGCCATCATCCAGGACAACCCGAGCGCCAAGGTCGAGATGGTCTGGTCCGTCCGCGGAGCCGGCGACGCGACATGGGCCATGGCGACGGACAAATCCCCCAAGAGCCTCCTCGAAGACGGCAACGTCCATATCTTCCTGACCGGCGACTCCCTCACCTCCGCCAACACGGGGCCCATGGCCGGCATGCCCGCCGAGACCTCCTCGGAAGGCGAGATGGAGATGAACCCCATGTACCGCGACCGCAGGCGGAACCTCTTCACCAGCGACCACAACCGCAAGCGGCCCAACCTGCGGACCATCGTCGACGACGTCTTCAGGCAGGGCGCCGAGGAGAGGGTGGCCGTGCTCGTTTGCGGGCCCGCGGAGATGGGCAGGGAGATGCGGGAGTACGTCGGGGCGTGGGTCAAGAGGGGCCGGGAGGTGGTGTGGCACAACGAGGCATTTGGGTGGTGAGCTGCATGTTTGTGTGCTTGTTTTTTTTTGCGGGCTAATCGAGACTTGGGAGAGTCTCACATACATTAAACACGGGAACCTGGGATGATGATCGCTGGCGTATGCATAATATTTGGCTTGGTCTATTTAGATATAAAAGCAACACTTTGCCGTTCTTCGAATTTTCTCTGTAATACCAACGCTTTTTGTGTAGCTCTGAACTCGAGCAAACATGGTCATCACACAAACTTGCTCGGTAGGAGAAGCCTGGCAATTTTTCTCTATGACGAAACATACGCTACTAGGATGAAGGCCGTCCCGAACGCCAAAAATCGTAACTCAATGCTCATCATCCATCGTATCTCACAATCTCCCTTCTCACGCGGGGCATGCCCTAGTCAGCCCGCTTCTTGGGGTCGCCGATGTCCCCAGAGTCAACGTCCTTGCCCTTGACCCCGCCAATATCGCCATCGTCGTCCTCATCCCACTCGTCCACCTGGTTCTCGTCCCAATTATCCACCTCTTGCTCGAGCGTCCGTCCAGCAGCCGTATCACCGCCGTCTCTCGCGCCGCTCGACTCGATCACGCCCGTCTCGTGGCCCTCGCCCAGCTCGACGTCCTCCTCGTCTTCCCCCGGAACGGGCGCGTACGTCTTGGTGCGGCGCTTGCGTTCCAGCATGCGCTTGTGGTACCACGAGCACAGCCCCAGGCTCGCGAGGGAGCCGACGACGTTGGCGACGATGTCGTAGAAGTCGAACTCGCGGCCGTTGGGGAGGAAGCCCTGGAGGAACTCGGAGCCGACGCCGAGGACGAAGGTGCAGACGGTCAGGGTGAGGTTGAGGGTGCGGCGGCGGTTCGTGTCGAGGATCCAGTAGAAGACGAGGGTGAGGAGGAAGAAGGTCGCGAAGTGGAGGACCTTGTCGTTTACGTACTGGCCCAGCTGGAGGGAGGTCAGGCCTGCGTAGCCTGCGACGAGGAGGAGGGCGAAAAAGACGCCTGGAGGGTGGGAGGGAATGTTAGCTAAGAGTAACGTGGGTTGGACGTGGACATGGAGCTTGGGTTCGGATCTGCGAGATGGACGGGGGATCCAGATGTAGGGCTGGATCCAGGTCCAGATCCAGATCCAGGTCCGTCCCAAATTGCCAGGCCCAGTGTGAAGCTTTTGACGCACCTGCAAAGGGCAAGCGTATCCGCATTTCGAAGGGTCCTGCGGCTCTTGCAGGGTGTGGTTTGATTGGATCGGTAGTTGAGGTATATGTAGCTCGGTTCGGAGGGTCTCGTCGTCGATGTGCGTAATGCGTGGGTTGACTCGGTTAATGGGGTAGCAGTAGCTTAGCTACAAGGTGTCATGATGGGACGGAGGGTCGAAGATGCTGTGATGGGAAGAAGGGCAAAGCAGTCGTAATGGGGTTCGTCACAGACAAACGAGGGTGTGAGGTGTTGGTGTCCAGCTGGCCGGAGCTTCCAGACGGCTGGGACCTGCTGGAGTCGACGGGACGGTGACTGGATCGGGAGGGAGAGCTTTCTGGTGCCGAAGAACTCAGCCCACTGACGACACAAGATGCCACTGGATGGACCACAATGGAAGCTTGTGGCGGGCGGGACCTGCTGGGCGCCCTGGAGGGCGGCGAGGGAACGAGGACAGGGGTTCGCCCCCGACGGGAGGTTTTTTTCGGGGTGTGTGTCGGCAAGTCGGGTTGGGTCTAGTTGCTGTGGCCCGGGCGGGTTATCCCGTGGGCCGTGGAGGACATGGAGAGAGAGGCGCGAGTCGCGATATTTAGAGGAGTGGACGCGTGTTGACTTTGAAGACGTGGAGGATGATGATGGTCAATGAGGGAGCGGATTGAAGGTGTCGCATCAGTGGTGATGGGATGCCGTTGTGGTCGCTGAAGAACACTGAACATGCACCCACTATTTTTCAGTACACATCTCCAATCCAGCACAGCATAAGAGTGCCTTCCCGTAATACAAACTCTACTTTTGCCGCCTCATTATCTCACCTGCGTGGCTCGTTGCGGACAGCGACTGGCTGGCTGGGATCATCACGTGACGCAATCATACGCGATCCGATCGCTGGGGATCCAAGGGGGGTCAAGGTGCACCGTGCTGGTGGCCTGGTTGTCTCGCGCCGTCGTCGGCATTGGAGGTTCCTGTACCTGCAGCCGGTGACCGCGACACCGATATTGACCCCAGTGCACTTCTTTTCTGGGTCCGAAAAGTAGATATTCAAATCAAATGGTTCTCAAATAACACTGGGCATTATTTTTGAATTGATGCGACAGTGCTGGTGGTGACTTTGAGCGTACCGCGGTTGGCCGGCTCAAGTCGCCAGTACTGCTCGTAGCGGCCGGCTCGCCGTGTTCAGTGTCCAGGCAAGGGAAAAGTTCCATCGCGTACACTTGGTACGAGCCTCTCCAAATCCTCAACCTCACCTCTTGGAACCACGCCTAAACCCCCCTATTCCAATCCATCAATACACAACAACCGCGTCTCGCCACAACCTCAGATCCCGCCGGCCATCTCTACCGATGTCGCTCCATCTACTGATGCGATCGTAACACCCCTTTGCCGCCCGGACTCGGTCCCTGACGAGCGCATTTTGTTGCGCATGGCGACGATCCGCCCGCTTGTCGCCATCATCAATCCGGGCTCAAAATGTCCCTCCCCAACGGCCAACACGCATGGCAACCGCCCTCACTCCATCATCAGACTTCCAGCCGTCTGTTCCATCAACTTGACGATGGTTCTGCGCGAAATGGAACCCCCGTCGACCACTCCATGGCTTTGATGCCTGAGGCACAACCCGATATTGAAGATGACCGACGCCGCGCCTTGTTCAAGGATCTCTATCATCAGCGCGAGGCAAAGATCTCGCTGCTCTTTGCTGATGACGGCTCCTACAATTACCCAAACATCGATGCCCTCCGCCGCCCCATCGCCCCCTCCCCCTCCATCTTACCCCCTGCCACAGACCATACGCCGATCCAGGAGCCTCCATTAAAGAAGGCCAAGCGGGTCATCGACGAAGACGACTACGGCGATGACGATGACGAAGAAGATGAAGACGCGACTTCCGACGACGCGAACAAGCACAAGTCCGGAGCCGCGGCCGCCGGCGCCGGCTCGCTGCTCTCCCCCTCAAAGTCCGGCAGTTCGCCCGTGCACTCCGTCAGTTCCCCCGGCAAGCAGCTCGATAGACTCAAGCAAGCCGACGCCTCCTCCCAAGACTCCTCGACAAAGGCGAGCGAAGATGCGCGCAAGCAGTTGCAAGAGGCGCGCAACGCGACCGAGGAGGCGGCGAGACGGAGTTTCCACACCATATTTCACACCCTCGAGAACGACCGGACTGCTATGCTGGAGCAGCAGCAGCTGGAAGAGTCCGAAAAGCAGCTGCAGGCGGAGATGGAACATAACAATAACCACGCTACCGCCAACGGCGGCCAGGCCGAAAACCACGGCTCCCTCAGCAGCGCCAACCTCGGCGCGTCAAGTCTGACACTCAAGCATCTGATTGCAAGGATAGACATGAAACGCGACCAAGTTCGCGCGTCGGACGCGGAGCTGCGATCGTTGATGAACGAAGTACGAAAGAACCGAAGTAAATGGGCCAGCGAGGAGAACGTCAACCAGGAAGAGTTGTACGAGGCCCTCGAGAAAGTCCTGACGGAGCTGAAGGCACATACGGAATACTCAACACCCTTCCTGCAGAGGGTGAACAAGCGCGATGCGCCCGATTACTACATACGTAAGTCGTCTCCAGGCAGACGGATTCGCTCGTGATTGGCTAATGACCCCGGCTGCGCAGTCATCAAACAGCCTATGGACCTCGGGACCATGACCAAGAAGCTCAAGTCTCTCACCTACAAGTCCAAGGCCGATTTCGTCACCGACCTCAACCTAATATGGGACAACTGCCTAAGATACAACCAGGACATGGCCCACCCCCTCCGGCGCATGGCCAATGGGATGAGGAAGGAGGCAGAAAAGCTTATCCCCCTCATCCCGGACCTCACCATCAGGCCACGGGCAGAAGTCGAGGCTGAAGAGCGGCGTAAACAGAATGGCGGCGAGGAGGACGGCGGTGACGACTCGGACGACGAGCCGATAATGTCATCTCGCGGTCGTACCGCAGGCACAAAGGGCAGCAAGTCGAGGAAACAACCGACTGACCAGAAGGAAGGCACCCCGAGCGTCGATCAAAAGCCGTTGCTCCAACTCAACGGCCTGCTTGCCAAGGGACGGGAAGGGTCCGAGGCTGTCGATGGCAGTGGTTTCGGGACGCCGATAGCGGGGTCAGCTACCCCTGGTGGTGTGAACGGTCATTCCGGGATCGGGAGCAACGCTGATGCCATGGACATCGACGGGCCGACATTGAACGGCATGGCTCTTGGTCAGGCACTCAACGACGCGGCAGAACAGGCTTTCGAGGACGAGGAGTACAAGATCTGGAAGCAAATCACCAAGAAAGATCGTGCGCTCATCGCCAAAGAGAGGGATACTCTGTTCAAGGACAACAAGCTCAACGTCGATGCGCCAGCTCTCCTTCGGACCAAGGCGGGGATTCGATGGTATCTGAGGAACCAGAAAGAGGCCGAGTCCCTCGGTGTCATCGGCCACTCTGCTGACTCTTCAGCCATGGCCGCAAAGGAAGCAGCGAAGCCTGCCGAGACACTGGCGGAGGGCATGGAGGGCGAAGAAGAGAAGGTCGTACCTCCGTACTACGAGCCTCTGACCGTCATTCCCGATATTCAACCCAAACTACAGTGGATCGAGGACGGCGAGGGTCACGTCATCAACCAACACGAGGAATACCTTCGACTCATCCCTGAAGGGCACTTCGTCGCACCGAAGAGCAAGTTGACGAGCAAGATCGACGCCAACATTCGTCAAATCCAGGAAACAAGGAAGTTATCGAGCAAGATCGGCGTGATTAAGCAGATGCAGATCCAGACTCAGGTTTGTGCTGAAGTTGCAGCTAAGCGTGAAATAATCTAACAATTTTCTAGCTATACAACAACCAGTTTCCGAAGTCGAACTACGAGGCATTCGTAGAGCAAGACGCCGAGCCCTCCTTCATTGCAGACGACGGGCCCGTCATTGCCCCAGAGACTTGCCAAAGCGCACTGCAGCGTTCCGTGGCCAAGATTCTCTACCACACTGGCTTCGAAGAACTCCAGCCGTCTGCTATTGACACATTGACCAGCATCGCATCTGACTACTTCGAGAAGCTCATTCACACATTCAATGTGTACAGAGAAGCTGAGAAGAAGGAGACTGTCGGCGTCGCTGCCCAAAGCTCCCGGTTCCAGCCTCGGTTCACTCCCGAAGAGGTCATTCTGCACACGCTCGACGAGAATGGCTCCGACTTGTTCAGTCTCGAATCGTACGCCAAGGACGAGGTCGATAGGCTCAGCTCGAAGCTCGGCGGTATACAGGAGCGCATGAAGCTGCATCTTACTGAGCTTCTTCGCCCTGCACTCACCCAAGAAGCCGGCCAAGACGGCGTTGGTGCGTTCAAGGATGGCAGCGACCAGTTCGTTAGTGGCGACTTCGCAGAGGACCTTGGCGAAGATTTCTTCGGGTTCAAGGCACTCGGTCTGGACAAGGAAATGGGTCTTGATATGCTCTCGGTTCCTCTTCACTTGCTCCAGTCTCGCGTACGCAACCAGTACCAGATGCAGACCCAGACGGCCGGCGTCGAGGTCACAGATCTCTTCGACTCGTTACCGCCCGTGGACCCTGTCACGACGGACAACATTCATGGCCAGATCGGCCTGGTCAAGAACTTCTTCCTTGCCAAGCTGCACGCTAACGGCGACACTCCGCTGGTCGAAGACGAAGAGCTGCCTGTCAAACAGAGAAGGCCCCGCCCACGTCTCGGCGCATCCGGAAAGATCGTCTCCCCGCAGAAGAGACCTCCCAAAGAACAAATCGCCCTCGCCAAGAAGAAGAAGAAGATGGAATTGGCGGCTCAGTCTCAAGAAAAGCAGGGTGTCAACGCATCTCCGGAAAAGCCTGGCAATACCACGCCGGCGAAGAAGGCCAAGAATGTCAACATCAACGGTGCAGGCCCCAACCCGACCGCGATCTCCCTTCCTCCCGGGATGGAGCGGAACGAGAGCGTGCAGAGCCAGGGCAATGCCAGTCAGACCGACAAGGATGAGGGCATGGGCATGATGAGCCCCGAGAGCATTGAGAGGTGAAGCTGATGGCATGTCCGCACCTCTCCGTACATATACGCACCTTCGCACATACAATTCTGGGCCGGCTGGCGGCGATGCCACAAATATCTCCATCACTTATGGTATTCGTGTATCTTCCTGCCCCCTCCAGAACGTTGTATCAGAGCCCTTGGGCTTTTTTCTATCTTATTACCCCCCATCACCCTCTGTGCGTCCAAGTGCAAGGTCGTCTGTTACCATACAACTTTTTTCAATATACGTTTTCGCCCTTTTTTACATCCCTCGGCGTTAGGGTTGGATCATCATTTGGTCGTATGGAAAGGGAGACATAATGCTGCGCGCAGAAACAAACTACACACGGCATGTTTACTGCTAAAGATATTGGGATACCCAAAAGGCCAACGACTGGCGGTTTTCAGGGATTCTCGGGCCTTCACGACGAAAGGGGTCCGAGACTATGTTTTTACTGGAGGCGGATGGTTATCGAGACGCGGCAAATTTGAATTTCGTTCCTTTACAGTCTCGTCCTGCATCGTGTGCCTGATCGTCGGTCCCTCGGTGTGCTGCGGCGCGGACTACCCATGCCCTGGGCCGATGATACTGGACACCACCACCAAATCTGTCTCTTTTTTTCCTTCCATCGACATTATAGTGCACACACGCCCCCGCCCTCAGTATGAATCCGGCGAGATGGGTGATCAGGGGAGGAAATATTCTGGTTTTTATCATTATTTGCGCAACACAACAAGAAAGACACACGGGACTCTCGGGACAGGGGGGGGTTTGGGAACTGATGGACTATCGGGAAACGGCAACCCCTCTTATGGCAAAGCATGGTTTGTGTGTTTTTTTTCTCTCTTACAGTGGCTACTTCTTTCTCTTTTCTATCACACTTCCGAGGTTTCGTTTATGTCCTAAAATGCTTTGCTTCTGAGGAAGGAAGGAAGGGGCATGCCCCTTTTTTTTGGTTATTTGTGGATGATGTGATGTTTGTTGCTGTTGGTAAAGCTGATAGATGGGGAGGAATGAGGTGGCTTCTTCTTTTGCGTGAGATGTTGTAGGGTGTTTTTTGAGAGTAGGTGAATTGAGATGAGTTATATGAGGTTGTGGTGCTGTGATGTGATGTGTGTTTGGTGTGAGGACCTGTGTGAGATGGGGTGGTAGGCAGCAGCGGGGGGGTGATGGAGAGGTGAGAAGATTTGTTGACGATACGACACCATCGACGGCGTACGCGTATACGACACGCTCGACGACACGCTCACTGACGACATAACACGAAAGAAAACAAGCCAACTCACTGAAGATGCGTCTCCAGTCCACTTGGACCTAGCATCCCTTCCAAAGAGGGGAAGTTCTCAGGCAACACCACAGGGCGGTTAGGAATCCGACTTTGTTGCCCAAAAAGTGTTTTTCTTTTCTTGGTCAATTGTATTGTTCACTTTATATTGCGGTCTTGGTGAAGGTTGTCATCCATGTGACGGTGAGATACTTTCACAAAACTACTACGTACCCTAATCCTCTTGCGCTCCTCTGGTGCCCCGTCTTGGCCCTGAATAACGTCTTCGCGGGGTGTGCGTGATAGGATCTTCCATTGCCCACACCAAGCTCACAACAACCGGGGAAAACAAACTTCAGGCACAAGGGTTCAGGACCCTACGAAGGGAAAATCCGTTCCTGATGCCTTGAAGAAACCACGAAATTACCTATAAAATATCAAGCCGCTCACTTCCCGGTCCCCAAGGGACTCATCTTCAGCCTCTACTCCTACGACCAACCACCCCTTTGCCCCCTCTCATCCTTCAAAAGTTCCCGGGACACGGCCGACCATGCTGTCTATGCATGACACCAGATCGATCCTTTCTCAATCACCACAGCCACCTTGATCGTTTCCCTTCCAGTATATAACAGAGACCAAACCCCCCTTGTTTCCCGGTTTCCTTCTTCTCTCCTTCTCTCACGAGATCCGTACTCTTCTCACATTCTCGACATATCCAAACAATCAACCCACTTTCCTCCCATCCGCCGCCTCACAAACAAACCACCACCCATCTCCGGCTCCTCCTCAAACAATCTACAAAATGCCCCCCGCCAACCTGTATGCCAGCGCAGACTCCTTCGTGGCCCTCGGCGAAGACCGGTGCCAACTCATCTGCCTGGTCGCCAAACTCTACAAATTCATCGACTACGACGGCAAAGCCTACGCCCTCGCCAAGGCCCACCTCACCGCCAGCTACGGCCGCGCCTTCGACTCCATCGTCGACGTCCACATCAAGCCCCCCAACAGCGCCTGGCGCCAGATGGGCCCCCGCCTGCGCCACGCCCTCCTCGCCGACTCGAGGCAGTTCCGCAACGCCCTGAGGCTGCGCGAGCTCGAGCTCACCGAGTACGCCGGCGTCGTCGTCTTCTTCGACAAGTTCAAACGCCTGGTCCGCGAGCTCATGCCCGAGATGCGGTACAGGACCTCCAAGCACGTCCGCAGGACCATGATGAACGAGGACGACGCCTACTGGCGCAAGCGCTTCAAGCAACTCAGTAACGAACACACAACGCGGACGTCGCCAAAGCCGAGAACGATGGCTACATCCAGGGCGAGAAGAGTATGACCACCGAAGGCTTCTCAGAGTTCGCATAGCAACCTTCCACCAAACCGTTAACTCCGCCTCACAAACAAAGTGGCAGTCGACCTACAAGAAAAAAACCAACAACCAAGAACCAAATCAGGTTCCGGGCATGGTGTTGAAGGACATACATCAGACTTTGCTAAAAGACTTGCTCTTAATCAGGGCCAAGTTGTCACATAGTTGAGACCAAACTCAATTCCGTAGTAAAACTCATCTTCTATGGCGGCCTACTTTCCCAGTCCTTTGCCACCGTCGCCCTGCTGAATGCCGTCTTGTTCGGAATCACGGCAACAAGGTCCTCCTCGTCAAGATCCCCGCGGTAAGTGGACCTTCGAACTACCTGGATCATACTCTTGCTCAACTTGGTATTTGAGGGATCGACTCGTCCTTGGTCATCCATTCGGGAAGCGAGTTCACCAAAAACCGCCCCATGGCCTCTCCATCGCTTTGCCGACTGAAGTACTCCAGGAACCTCATGAAGTCTTCAGTGTACCCCTCCGTGAGCATGAGATACTTCATGGCTATGCCAATGGGAAACGGCGCGGCATGCATCCCGAAGGTGCCCGCTTCTGGCTGGAAGAAGACTTCAACGGTATCTGCTATCTTCATGCAGTACCGGCGCGGATCTGTTCTTTCTGATAACTCCACCGCATCGGCCCCGAGAATCTCCAAAGGTGCTAGGAGAGTTGTGTGGAGTGAGCTGTAGACAAAGATACAGGCGGTCCAGAAGTATGTCATGACGTGGGCGACTGCAAGCTCATCAGCCGTGGGGTTCTCGTAATGACGCTCGTGAAGGGCGTCAAGGGTCTTCTGGGGAGGACTGAGGTTCTCAAGCCACCAAACTATCTCCTTGTCCAGACGTCGGTAGGTTCTTAGAAAGCGACGGCTCATGTTGGAGGTCATCGCTTGTTGCAGAAGGTCGAGGTCCTGAAGGAGCGCAGGCACGTCTGTCAGGATATCAAGCATGACGTCCTTGGGAGTCTTGGGTATCTTCGACCACGGGATAGTCTTCCACCTCAAGTCGCTCAGGAAACATCTCTTCCTACTCATGCACCCGGCTATGGCCTGCGAAGGTTAGATATCGCCAAACTTGAAAAATGGACTTTCTCAGACTTACGAGGTGCATCCTTCCTTCCGCGAAGAGCCAATGCGCGTCACCGTCGGTGTAAGCTTCCGGGCCTCTTTGCTGGATGAGAGCCAATTCGCCGACGTTGTGGCCATGCCAACTCTTGGCCTGAGAGCCTTCAACCTGGCTTTCGTCTTGAACTCCATAGAGAAGCTTACAACAACTGTTGTTAGACACAATGTAAGGAATGAGCTTGCCAAAATTCTCACCTCAAATAACCCAAGGCCACGCGACGCAACCACCACGGCGTCAGAGCTCCACCTCTTGGGGTTCCGAAGACTGACATTCACCTCCCTCAAGGCCTTGACGTACGTCTGAAATCCATCCGCCATGAGACTCGGCCGGTTCTCTTTCCTCCCGAGAGTACTCAGGCACATGGCAAGCAGCGTTCGTCGCAGCGCGGCGTCATGTCGGTAGAGGTCTCTCGCCGAGGTGGTCCAGCTCGAGATCGGGTACTTGGATGAGCAGTCCGCGGAGGTAGGGCCGCAAGGAAACCAGATGTCCCAGAAGATGCTCAGATACTTGTCTTCGTAGGCTGATCGGGCCAGTGTTTGCGGAAGCACGATGTCGGTGGAGGGGAGCGAAGACTTGGCGGACGATCCCTTGCTTGAAGTCGGGGCGGTCACGTTGATGAATACTTGCTGTCGGTCGTACTCGCAGGAGTTGTTTGTTCTTTTGCAGTTTTCGCAAATCGGTTGCCCAAAGTCGCACTTGATGAGACATCGTTAGCTGCTGGGTTTGCGGGACTGTCAGTTGATGCCGGCCGCCTCATACTTACGCCCTTCTTCCGTCGCCGACATGTTTTACAGCCCTTTGACCTGCCAGCTACCCCGACCATATTGATAACAAAAGGAGTCGACCAATTTCTTGGAATGTACTGGATATTGATGACGCGTCCCGGCGCAAAATAGGCCTCTTAGAGAAGTAGGATTTCAAACATTAAGGAAGCGGAAACCAAGAAGGCTACCTCGAGGGGGGAAACATGCCGCGGGCGGCTGAGTCTTTATGTCTTCCGCCCGAACAAGTCCATTCTGCGCGCCAATCAATCGAAGGGTTCACATGCAGCCCTACGGCGAGACAGTCAATATCCAGGGCAGATGCGGGGGAAATCCAGCATCGCCGCCAGGGTCGAAGTTGGGAATTGGGGAAAGCGAGATGCGCCCGGCGAGGACCAGTGACGAGAAGACTAAGACAGCTCATGATCACCGCCAATCAGATGGTTGTGATATTTGCCTCTATGCCCGAAAGGGATCATTTTGCGCCGTCGCTAAATCCCCCTGTCTTTCTGGCATGTTGGCCAAGCTTCCTGTGTCACATTGCTTTTGGTCGCTCTTGGGGATTTGCGCAGAGACATATTCGATGCTTCGTGGGTCTGGTCTGGAGTCGATTCAACCTGATTCTGGCAATGTGTGGGCATCAGGTAGCATGTGCTCATCAGGCTCGAGGCTATATAAGGATCGAAGGCTTCTCGCATTCTTCACATGAATAGAATACGACTTCAATTTATTATCTTTGCTTTTCAACTTCGGAAGGTTTTACCGGTGCAGAGTCTGTGACTTACAACACACTGCCCGTGGCATCTTCTGAATTGACAACACTCCACGATGACCAAGTCAGAGCAGACAGTTCCCAAATCATCAGCTGGAAAGATGACCAAGCTGCACGAATATCTCGGTTTCAAGAAGAGGTATAACTTCATTCTCTTCGTCAACTTCGCCGGCGCCCTGATGGGCTTCACGCTGGCGCGTCTCATGTATCTCAACTTCGACAAGATCCTGTGCGGCCCAGGATTCAGCACCACCCAGCGCGCCCTGCCCGGCGAGTGCTACTACTACCGCAACTTCACCCGGGATCGGATCGGAATCGTCATGCACCTCGCATGCATCCTGCCCGCCTCGTTCCTGGTGTGCTGGCAGTTCGTTCCCATAATCCGTCGCAGGTGGATTCTCTTCCACCGCATCAACGGCTACGTCGTTCTGTTACTCTCGATACCCGGGACGATCGGTGCGCTGTTGATCGCGAGGCATGCTGTCGGTGGAGGCTTGGATGTTCAAGCCTCCGTCGGGCTGCTCTGCTTTGCGTTTCTGGGGTCGCTGTTCACCTCGTTCGTCCAGATCAAGAGGTTGCAGATCGAGCAGCATCGTGCCTGGATGTTGAGGGCTTGGTTCTACGTGAGCATCTCCTCCTATCCAAGTGAGTGTTGACTTGCTGACATCTTTGGGTTTCAGGCCGGCGCCATCATCACCATGAGGCCGATTCTCCTCCTCGGCGCTCTCATCATCAGCAAGAACGGCGGATACTTTGTCTCGCTTCCATGCGCCGTGATTGAGCACATGCTGGGCAACGCCAATGCAGCCAATGCCACCTCAGTCTTTTTCGAGGCCTGCACGCCTTACACGACAGGGGAGAACCCGGACCAACAAGTCTCAGTCGAGGCGAACTTCCTCGATAGATCGACACCGGCCGGGCCTGCCGCGTCTTTGCATGCCAGCTTCGGGATGGCTGGGTTTGTGGCGGGTGCCATCCACGCGATTGGCGTCGAGGTATACGTAAGTCTCCGGTGACAGGTTGGGTTGTCCTGAACTGACTCTCCTAGCTGCGGCTCACCCCGAGAGAGGCAGAACGGCTTCGACATATCTCTTACCAGAGGCAAATGGAAGCTGGGATGCGAAATCCTGGTAGTTCTGGATTTACAAGCGATGTAATTGGAGACGCGGAGAAATGGGAGCCCAAAGTCCAGGAACAGCAGAACGAGGATAAGACGTCGAGCTCACAGGATGGCAAAGCTTCCGACCAAAGATTGGATGGCTCAATCATTTCTAAGAACCAGTTATAGTAAATTCGACAAGTATGCAGAGTATTAATATTGTTCTCAAGAGAGACATCTCGGGCCCTTTCTGATGTGGATGAAAACAATGATGCCTATGTCTATGGGAGCCGAATCGCGCGCTGGCTCAAAAACAGCCAGCCAGAGCTATGTTTGGAACTTACGCACTAGTGCAGACCAACGCATCAGCCCACAAGTTCGTACATCCGGTGTTGATAGCAGTATTCCAACGCCGGAAATTGGCCACCGTGATACCGTTCTTCTGGGCGATACTATCGCAGCTGTCGCCGGAGACCACCTGGTAGTAGCGCTTGCAGTTGGACACGATGCCAGGCATGGGAGCCGCAGCGCCGGGGATGCCGACACAGGCGTAGTATCCCAGGAGGAGGTTGTTACAGCCTATTTTGGGCATTAATATTAGTACAAAGCACGAAAGAACAATCGAGGCGCGGATCAGTGGGAGGCCGCAACGTACTGGAGTTGATCTGAGTGTTCCAGCGATAGAGCTGGGCGACGGTAATGGCGTTCTTGCCAGCGAGAACGTCACAAGTATCACCAGAGGCAATCTTGTACCACTTGTTGCAGTTGGACACAGCACCGGGTAAAGCGGGGGAGTTGCTCGGCGCGGGTGGGGCAGTTGTCGTCGTCGTCGTCGTCGGAGCGGCGCCGGGGACGCCGGTGCAAACGTAATAGTCAGCCCAGAGGTTGGAGCATGAGGTATTAATCTGGGTGTTCCAGCTCCTTAATTGGGTAACGGTAATGCCGTTCTTGGTGGCAACAACATCGCAGGTATCGCCGGAGGTAATCTTATACCACTTGTTGCAGTTTGACGCAGCACCAGGCATAGTTGGGGAGTTGCTTGGTGCAGCTGCTGTCGACGTCTTCATAGTAGTCGACTGAGTGGTGGTGATAGGTTTGCTGGTAGTAGTAGATGTCGTCTGGCTCGTGGTTGAAGGTAGAATTGTGGTCACTGATGTCGTCTTGCTCGTGGCCAATGGCATGGTGGAGGTCGAAGGAGTCGTCTTGATTGTGGTGGAAGACACGGTGGTGGTGGTCAAGACCGCACTGGTAGTGCTAGTGGTAGAGGAGATCTTCGGAGGAAGGGAGGATGATGTCGACTGGTCAGGAGTCGAGTCGCCGACGACGCAGTACGTCTTGCCAGCTTCGAGGTTTGGGCAGATCACACCAGGGTTGAGCTTGACGAAGTCATCCGTCGAGAGGCCCCAGGCTGACGCAAGACTCTCGCAAGTATCGCCACTGGCCGCCTGTGTGTCAAAATAACACTCAACGCCGCGGCGAGCATGCTGTTCAGCAGAGACCAGGCCAATAAGAACCCCGGCTGCAAGAAGGTGAGGATGGAGGCGCGTAAGGTACATCCTTCTGGAGTTACTGAGGGCAAAGAGTAGAGAACAACTAAATAGTAAGAGTGTAGAACCCAATCAAGAATGTTCTAGAGAAGACAAGGATAGAAGCAGACAAGGAATAGAGGCCTCAAGGCTAAAGCCAGGGCGGTATACATCTTATGTGCAAATCTTGCAGCCCTTGCGGCAACATCGTGAGAATATCCATTACAACCTAATCTCAAAGAGTTACTTGCCTTCGAAAAACGATGGGATTCCGCCTCGAAGCAAGGTCAGTCCAATTTTGGATCAGCAATACGTGCTTGAGGGTTCGAGGCGATGAGTGAAATGAAGCACTGTGATGGTTTGGCAGGCTGCAGTCTTGGCAGTGGCATTTATCTCTCTAGCGTGAATCCTCCCTGCTGGTGCTGAATACGCCCGTCAGAAAAGCCCGCTCCGATCAGATCCAGAGCGAGCGGAATGAATCTAGAAAGGATTGATAGCAGGAAGTGTGGTAAACTGGGAAATTGGTGTTTGAATAAGGTAGAGATGGGTGCCGTTTGTCTCGTTACCACCTGCCAGCCCCCTGTATCAGCCCAAAGGCGCTAGGAGATTTTAGCGATTTAAAAGCGGGTCTATGTGCTCGCTAAAGGTGCTAGGGCCAACTCTTGTTTGCGGTGCTGGGACAGGAGGGAGCAAACCCCACGTGATCCAAGTGCCTTCCCACGACGGTCTTCATCAGAGGCCAACCACTTTTGCTCCGACTTGCCAACCGTGGCGTCTGGGGGCATCGTCCATCCTATTCCATGAGGTTTATTTCCCGGCTGGTACTGGATTCATGTACTAAAGCCCGCAGATCTGACCGTCGAAAAAATGGATGCCTACTTCACACGTGCACGAGATAGGGGTCACGCCTCGAGATCGAGACGATCGCCTGGATGACGCCCTAGGAGTAACACAGCGCAGCTGCCAGCCTCTGCGTTGATCCTGCTACAGAAAGTATTTTCAAGCTCCATATCCACTCAATGTTTCATTTCTGAACTTGGACACAGACATCCACATCCATACCTATACCAACAAACAACCAAAAACACCCAGAATAGTTCCCCACACCATCGCCGTCGCCATCGCCATGCGCCTTGTTCCTCATGCTGCGGGGTCTCTCGCACACGCGACAGCATACTTGGGAGCCATTGTCATTGCCGCCAACACTGCCCCTCCCGGCGTACTGGACTTTGGCCTGGTATTCCCCCGCCCAAACGAGACATACGAGCCAACAGATCGGTTTCCCATCGTCTTTGCACTCCAAAATGCAGAGCTGGCTAAACATCTCTACCTCAACGTTTGGTTTCGACTCATCAACAGCACCAATCGGGACTGGCTCTATAACACGGGCAACATCGACATCTCAGCTGAATGGAACTTGGTGCATAATCCCAGCGAGCCCTTCCTTTACTGGCAATTTCTCGACATCAAAAGCGAAGGTCCCATCAAATTGATCTGGCAGCCGGGCTGGGCTCAGTGCCACGAAGGTGTTGACGGCGTCGAATTCGTCAACAACAACACCCTCCACATTGCCGACTTCGGGGTTGATTTTGAGATCAAGAGAGATGGCCGGAAAGCCGATCTCGTCGCCGCCACATCCAACAACGAGCAGTGTCCAGACCGAGGATATGCCATTCAAGTCACAAACCAGACACGCGAAGTCCTTCCACGCCCCGTCTGGGATGGGAAAAATGGCACCTGCGCGGTGTTGGCCTTTCCTTCTCCGACACCAACTGCGGATCCCTGCCGTGTTAGGATCGACGAGGCTGCGGTCGAGAGCATGAACGCCGTTGAACTTCAACGCATGTGTAAAGGCTTCATAAATCCGCCCGCCGAGTGCCCAAAGAAGGATGGCGCGGTTCAGAAATCAGCCATCGTTGCAGGCGCTGCGAGCTTTGCGGCAGCCCTCGGCGCCTTCGTCTTCCTTCTCGTCTGACCCTTGTCATCCTTCATCCCTTCTATCCCTTCTATTCTTTCCATCTCTTCCATTTTTTGCCTTCCCCCGCAATTCCCGTCATTTCTTTCTTAGTCTAACCTTATTCTTCCGCCATGACTTGGATCTCACCTCTCAAATCTCCATGGCTATCAAGCTTCCAAAAAAAGCAGAAGCTGTGTATTATTATCGCCGCCTCGTTGGCCCCTTTCAATATCTAATTGAACTGATGGATTGTAAGCTTCTTGGCATTTTAACGCCTCACGATGAATCTCTTCTTCACGACTTTGGTTAATGACGGCAAGGAGAACGGCACAGATGCCTATCTACTTAACATACCGCCTCCTCCTCACAGAATATCATACCTTCTTGACATTAAGCTCGCGGATCTCGACTTCAACTTGTCTGGACCTTCACACATGAGGGCATGATTTCTGCATCTCTGCGTCGACATTCCGGGCAATACCAACTTCTTTCTTTCTTTCTTTACGAGGACCTGGCATCATGTTGACGCAACAATGGCCCATGGTGGCACTCGCTGTTGCCAGTATCATCTCGGGTACTGCAGGCGCCGTAGGGGCTGCCGACTTTTGCCCCCAACGATGCGTCGAGTCCGGCCCGAGCACGGGCAACTGGTCCGTCTATCCCAACTTCAACCTGATCAAGAGGTGCCAGAAGACCATGTTCTACGGCTTCTCCCTCTATGACTCTGTCGATGAACCCGACACCAACCATCGCATCGCCGCCTGCTCCTCATTCGGTACGGATTTCAAAACCATGCAATCCGAACCAATCGCAGCCCCAGGGGCTCACTCGGTCGAGCCCGTTCAAGTCACGTTTGAGCTCGGCTGGTGGAACGAAGGCTTCGGCCTCGCCAAGGCTGGTATTCGCTCCCTCACCGAGCAATTACGTGAGTACATCAGCAACGGTCACGGAGAAGCCTCGGACCGGCCCTTCATACTCTACGGACAGTCCGGGCAGGCCACTATTGGTATCTATATCGGCCAAGCGCTGCTTAACCAAGGCCTTGGTGACTCGGCCCTCCGCACCTTTCAAGACAACTTCGACACCAACAACATCACAACGCCCAGTGTGGCCATGCAACTCTGTGGCCCCGGCTATGACAGCGGCCATATTTTTGGCGTCGCGGTCACAAGTAACGGGACCTTCACACCCATTCAGAAGGCTATCAAGTCTTGGGTCAACGCGAAGTGCCTGTCATTCACCGGGTCGCAAAACTTCCCCGGCAAGGCCACCTTTACCTCACCCCTTCTCAACGGCACGGCAAACTCGACGATGACCAACTCTACCCTTCGCGCCCGTGGCTTCCTTCAAGAGCGTGCCGATTGCAGGACCGTCCAAGTGGAGTCGGGCCAGGGGTGTGCGGAACTAGCAACCAAGTGTGGCATCTCAGGCTCCGATTTCACCAAATACAACCCCAACATCTGCGGTTCTCTCAAGCCAAAACAGTACGTGTGCTGTTCCAGTGGCACTCTTCCAGATATGCGGCCCAAGCCTAAGTCGAATGGAGACTGCTTCTCATATGAGGTCAAGGATAACGATAACTGCGCCAACCTTGGAGCTGAGTACGGGCTGACCAACGACGAGATCGAGGGCTTCAACAAGAAGACGTGGGGTTGGTCAGGCTGTAAGTTGCTCTACTCCAAGACAGTCATGTGTCTGAGCACTGGAAACCCGCCGTTTCCCGCCGCCATTCCGAACGCCGTGTGCGGCCCGCAGAAGCCAGGTTCCAAGCCACCATCAGACGGCTCCAAGATCGCCGACCTCAACCCGTGCCCCCTCAATGCCTGCTGCAACATCTGGGGCCAGTGCGGTATCACCAAGGACTTCTGCGTCGACACGAACACCGGCCCCCCCGGTACTGCTAAGAACGGCACCTACGGCTGCATTTCTAATTGCGGTGTTGATGTGGTCAAGGGCACTGGCAATGGTGCTATCAAACTCGCTTACTTTCAAGGGTATGGTATGGGCCGCAAGTGCTTGTATCAGGATGCACTCCAGATCGACACCACCAAATTCACCCATCTTCACTTTGGATTCGGCGTCTTGTCGTCCAGATGGGAGGTTTCAGTAGGCGATAAGCTGTCCACGTACCAGTTTGGCGAATTCAAGCGCATTAGGAACGCGAAGAGAATATTGTCTTTTGGTGGCTGGGATTTCTCGACCTTCCCCGATACGTACTCCATCTTCCGTGAAGGAGTCAAACCCGCCAATCGCATGACGATGGCTCGGAATATTGCCGACTTCATCAACAAGCACAATCTCGACGGTGTTGATATTGACTGGGAGTACCCCGGAGCACCAGATCTTCCCGACTTCGACCCTGGCAAGCCCGAAGATGGTCCCAACTACCTGGCTTTCCTCGCCGTTCTGAAGAACCTTCTCCCCGGAAAGTCGGTTGCCATCGCCGCCCCTGCGTCATACTGGTATCTGAAACAGTTCCCAATCAAGGAGATCAGCAAGGTCGTTGATTACATCGTCTACATGACGTACGACCTCCATGGCCAATGGGACGCGCACAACCAGTACTCACAAGAGTACTGCCCCACGGGTGATTGCCTCCGTAGCCAGGTCAACCTGACAGAGACCAAGCAGGCATTGGCGATGATCACCAAAGCGGGCGTCCCGGGCAACAAGATCGTAGTTGGAGTCAGCAGCTATGGACGTTCATTCAAAATGGCTGAGGCGGGTTGCTGGGGTCCCAGCTGCAGATTCACCGGCGACCGGGGCCGCTCCGATGCGACGCCGGGCAGGTGCACCGGAACCGCCGGCTATATTGCCGATGCCGAGATCATGGAGATCATTCGCGGCGGCGGCTCCGGCCCCAAGCGTCAGAGCGGCCGTGTGGTGACGAGCTTCCTGGACACCAGCAGCAACAGCGACATCCTCGTCTACGACAACAACCAGTGGGTTGGATACATGAGCGAGAACACCAAGGCCGTTCGCTCACGGCTCTATGCCAGTCTGGGCATGGCAGGTACGACGGACTGGGCCAGCGATTTGCAGACATTCAACGACCCTCCCAAGCCGGCAAAGGACTGGAATTCCTTCATTGCGCTGGCGGCCACTGGCGGCGATCCCAAGGAGAGTACTCTGACCATTGGCAACTGGAGAAACTTCACCTGTGAATCCCAATACGTCACCTCTCCATACAACTACGATCCCTCGGTGCGCTGGAAGGAGCTGGATGCAGCCAGCGCCTGGCGTGAGGTCGTCGCCAAGTGGTTTAGTACCGACAAGGACCGGATGAGTTTCAGCCAGTCGGTCGAGCAGACGCTGAAGGCAGGCTCCAACAAGAACTGCGACATCATAGGCGGTCCGACTGACGATTGTGACGGGTCGATGAGTTGTCCGGACGGCGCGAACGGGCCAAACTCGGGGCCGGCGGCGCAGCTCATCTGGAACTCACTCATGCAAATCCATACCATGTTCCACTCCTACTACGACGGTCTCGATGCGATGAGGGCAGGTGTGCAAACCACCATCCGGCGCATGGAAGATACGTTTGCGCCCATCCCGGAGCCCGAAACCAACCAGTGGCTCAACATCTTGATCGATCTCCTCACCATCGGAACCCTGGGCGGTGCTGCGCCATTCTTCAATAGTTTTCTGAAGACGCTGCCCGCCTTCTCCAAGCAAAGCACGTTTGACAACACCAAGGACACCAGTTTGATGTTGATCGGCCAGGGTACACAGCTCGCCAAAGACTTGTTGAACGCCCCTCCAGTGGACAAATGGACTCCGGAGGAGCAACATAAGTTCTCTGACTATGCGAGCCAGATTGTCTTTGGTTGGATGAAGAGCACTAGCTTTTCTGTCAAGAAACTCTTCAATGGGGAACGCGAGAATGTCGACGCGCTCACGAGCATCATCGCCGACGGCAAGATGATCCAGGGCGCGCGGGACGGCAAAGCGCCCGATCCTCCCGGAAACGTCGAAATCGAGACAAACGCCCGCAAGACCTTCTTTGGGTTTGCCATCCCCACCCTGTGGCGTCGCTCAAAGACGTATGCCTTCGTCCTCGACTCTGGCGCCGGCTGCGATGGCAACCCTCTCAGCAAATACGTGGACGACGCGACTGCCGACGCGACGCGCGTCTGCGTCGACGGGAGGCTCTACTACCTCGTCAACCCAGACGGCGACTCTCAGGTCTGCGGATGCCAGGCTGCCGACCATGGACCCTGCCAGAAAGTCTGCCACGACAATAAGTTCTCTGCGCCTGTTGGTCTGGGCTCACTCCAGAATCAGGACTTTGGGGACGTCACAAAGGAGGCTTTGGTCAAGGGCGCCCTGGCGACTTGGTCGTTCAACGGCCAGGAGAACAAAGTCGTCAACTTCACTTCGCTGGCGGACAAGCCTGAGATCCGAAACGGTATGATTGGTCTCGACATCACCACCCCCGGACTCGTCCAGCTGCCCGTCTGCACCCCCGACCGCGCGTTCCAGTCGTGGGCAACCGGCAAGAAGGGCGGTAGCGCAAACTACCCGTGCGACCTGCCCCCCGGGAAGGACCGCTGCGGCGTCTCGACGTTTGAGAACCAGGGCAGCGATGCGTCGCCGTCGGTTTCGGACTGCAAGCAGATCATCAAGAACATCGAGGGCGATGGTTCTACCGAGTTCACTCAGCGTATCACTGGGCAACGTGAGATTTTGAAATTCGGCTCGTGCGCCTTTGGTATCCAGCGGACCGGCGGTACCGGCGGTGCCGTGGAGTTCAAAGTGGGAGGGCAGGACGTCATTGATGTGATCAACGAAGCGATCAGGCAGTTTGGTGGCAGTGGCAAGATTGGTGCCAAGGGCGTTATGCCCTGTGATGGCACGACAGCCGGTACTACGGTCAGCGTTCTGTGGGGTATTTACTGAGATACAAGATCTGTTTCAGATATTCAGTAGATAGTAGTATAGTTCTTTATAATCTAAAATTGATGATATTGGTTCATAAGATGTGCTTCGTATGAATCGGGAGAAACAAGCATATGATCTGGTCTGACCAACTGCGTCGGATGTGAGAGACCTTGCGGGCTTGAAAATGCAAGTGCGAGCAGTACTGAACAAATGCATTATCCCTAGTATCTTGCTTGTTGGCGGAATATCAATTTTATAAGTGAACCAGCAAGTCTTATTGATGCGACAGGGGATACCTCGAGGATAAGGTTGCTTAGCCAACAGCAGACGGCCAAGACCAACCAACTATTGCCTACTTCTGCCCCATGAGATTCGAAGAGTCACAAGCTGCACCGAATTTCAGTGCCCATAGAAAATGGAAACAATAGACATCATGTCGACTGAGCCAACCACGTCGCCAGGCCTCAGCCCAATCTACGATCGGGACCCCATCGTCGCCAGCATCACACGGTACTACGAGCTGCTTTCCAAAATGGTCTCAATCCGACCCAAGCACATCGAGTATCCCCCCGAAGGAGACTGGGGAGACGACATCATCCCTCTCGAGAAGCTCCGCCGTCTCGGCTTCGACGAAAGAATGATCGACCTGGTACGGCATATCCCATACGTGGCCAGCAACAGGCCCGTCTTCCCCTCAACTCAGACCGTCAACTACTTCCAGAACGTCTTCTCAGAGCCCGTGGAAGAGTTCCAGTTGGAGGATCCTAATCGTGTCAGGCTGTGGCCGGTGCCGGACGAGAGGATCCCCGAGGGTATAGTACCTTTATCTCAGTGGCTGAACGGAGATAAGTTGGGGATCTGGTGGTTGCTCGATACTAAGACGGGTGAGTTCATGACGAGCTTTGGACCGGATCGCTGTTGAGCATATCTGATACTCCCCGTCGCAGGTGAGCTCACCGCCCACGACGCCTGGATCTCGAGGCCGCCGGACGAGGTACCCGAAGACGAGCCCTGGCGCACGGCGAGACCTGTTCCCGCCGTCACTTATTTCGACGGGTTGTGCGAGAACTTGAGATCCCTCGAACTGGTCCCCGTGCCCGGCGATTCCAGGGGGAGCGAGTGGGGCATGTGGCAGCCGAAGTTCATGAGGTCGGAGAAATGGATCAGCGTCAGTTGCGATTGGTGATTATCACGGGGGTATGCGAGGCATCTGCTGATTATGGGGAATAGGAAGCGCAAGCAATCTATCGCAAGTGTCACTGGCCGGATGTGGAGAGGTTTCGGCGGCAGAAGTGTCGGAAGCTCCTGGTTGAGATGCAGGATAGGATTACGAAGGAGGAGGAGGAAGGGCGCGAACGTCGTGAGGAAGAACGTGCGAAGCTAGCTGTGGCGTGATTGATGTAAGCCAACTGGGCCACTTTCCATCGCTACCATTACGAATGATCGCGCTGAACAAGCGGACGTCTGTGACTCGGTGAAGAGCACGCCAATTGAAAGCTCGGGTTCTCAACTCATAAGTAGCTCGGAATACCTGGGAATATAAGGTACTCGACGAAGGCAAGCCTGGCGAGGAACCATGTGCCCCGGCGGGAAGTGTAGAGACCATCTCCCAACTTCGCTTCATGAGAATGACGATGTAAGCCAAGAATACAAGCAAAGCCTGAGATCTTTTCTTCAAGCTTATAAATTCTACTGATTCAGTTGTTGTTGGAATTCAATCGATTAGACGGCTAGTCCCTGAGACGTGGACTTGGGCACCCGAGTCGGTTTTAGCAGGAGCAACTCAGCTTCATTTCTCCTCATGCTCCTTCTGTTTTCTTTTTACCCAAGTAGATTTTGGCAGGAGCAACTCAACTTCATTTCTCCTCAAGCTCCTTCTGTTTTTTTATTTTCACAAACAAAATTGATGTACTTTAACTCGCTTATTTCAATCTCTGCGCAGCTCAAGAACTTTTCTCTTCTTTAACCCCCAAGGGTTTATACCCTCTTCCCTCTCCGACCCTTTCCTTTTAGGAAGACTTTCGAGTCGCCAGCCGTTCGTTTTGGCAATATCTTCACACTCGCTCATTGATACAGAGGAAATGAAGCCTCTTCAAATACAACTCGCTGGCATTGAGATCTTCGAACACCACCTCGTCCTATCATTCGCATCGACATAGTTACTTTGCACCTTGACAGAAAACATGGCGTACCGTTTCTAGACAACAGTACCACTTAGCCTATGTGAGTCCTCGGTTACTCAACGCCAGTAAGATGGACGTCTCGACTCACGCCTTGCAGAATGTCTCGCCTCAGCACTCCCGATGCCGATGACGATACTTTGGTGGAGGATCGTCTGGCGTTTCTGGCCTTGACCTCCGAGATTGATCTTTACTGTCATGAGTGTCCCAAATCGAGGGACTTCCTCGACGATAACGACCAAGAGCTTCTGGACAGATGCTACAAAGCTCACCTAATGCCCACTGCGCCGTCATTCTGGTGGAACAACGATAACGCCTCCTTGGCAAGGATCACGCTCCTTGGTAATGCATACCCTCTCCTGCGAAACGACAAACATCTCCAGAAGAGCAAGAAACGTCTCCAGCCGAGCAAGAAATGGAGACAATGCGAACGACAGAGAAAGAAAGTTCTCAAGGCCTGGCGCGAGGATGCTTTGCGGTTGTTCCCCGAACTCACCGACGGACTCGACCAAGAGCTCAGGCAAAAGCTCAGCGACGAGGCCGACGACATGATCGACAACGACATGATCGACAACGACATGATCGACGACGACATGGTCGATGTTGACATAATAAACAACAACGCGATCGACAAGATAACGGACTTTGACACCGATGAAGAGACCGACGAGGAGGAGGAGGAGGAAGAAGCTTACGTCTTCGCGATGAACACACGAAGCAAGAAAAGGAAGCTGGAGGATGTCGACGAAATGATGTCAAAGAAGGTCAAGAAACTCACGATTTCTCCGCCCGGCAGCCCCGTGGCCAGATCTTCCTTCAATTCAAGCCAGCCCGCCTCCACGCCTACCAGAGACTGGGAACGCGCCAAGCCGGAACTCATCACTCCCCCACGAAGCGGCTACAACACTCCTATCATCGTCATCAGCGACGACGAAGATAGCGATGCCGGCGACGATGAGGACGAGGAGGACCCCATACCCATGGGAAGGAGGCGTCGCCGACCGGTTGGTAAACCTATTGAGACACTGAACCCTTCCGCCGCTTACCACACGTCTCTCAGCATTTCACATACACACACCATCGCCGTCGCGTCAATCCAGCCGGCGATCCATGCCTCCGTGACGGCTTTTGGCGAGAGATCGGAGAAGACCAAGCGTGACGGATCGAAACGTCAAGTCAAAAAGTTGAGAAAGAAGGTCAAGAGATTGTCTGTAACGGTCAACGGGCTAATCGAGGAGACACGAGCTTCATCGAGGAGGTTGAGGAAGTTGGCTATGATCAGGAAAGTGGCGATATCGAGGGTCCAAAAAGGAGTGATTTGGCATTCGAAGACACGTTTAATGTTTGGAGACCACCAGAGGTAATTGGACGACCCGGTTTATGAGATAAAAGCACCTGTTCATCGACAAGAGATATCTTGGCTTCAGCTTGGATGAGCGACGTTAGCAACATTAATGGAACTGGAAGTTGTACGTACTTTTATGGGTCTGTGTATATCCACATGTGATTGGTCAATCGCCGGAGCACAATCCATGTATTCATTCGAGGCCCAAGCTCACTCACGTCGTTCTCCAAAATTTCAACTTCTCAAGATACTCATCTCAAATGAACCACAACACATCTCACCTCAAGTGAAACCGGCTCACCGCAAACGATTTCGAGAATCTCAAAACGCCATCGTCCATTCTACACGACATCCTCGTCTCACGAGGATGAGGCCACCAATATGGAGATCGTTGACCTCGATAAGAACCGGTCCTACAAGCCCATCCGCCAGGCCAACGGCTTACAACGCCGCGGCGACTCTTCGCGACGGGGAACGGCGGCGTGAAGCCGCATTGGAGGGTGGGGAAGAGCTGGGCGGAGCGGAGGGCCGTCCGTCGTGGGGTGCATCCGAGAGACCATCGCCCGCACGGAAAAGAGCCTCGCGCCCAAGAAACCCAAAAGCAGAACCCCCTCCCCGGCACCTCATCGTGGGGCTGGGCAAGCCCTGGCAGAGGCCGCTGTGCCCCCCGCGCGGCGTCACCGACTTCGAGAACTGGCCGCGCGCCGACGACGAGGCGCTGCCGCTGCCCCGGAGGACGGACCCGGACGACGAGTTCCGCAGGAAGACGCTGGCGCTGCGCGACGCGTTCCGCGAGGGCCGCGGCCTGGCGGTGTGGACAAAGTACGTCGCCCTCCGGCAGGAGATCGTGACGCTGAGGAAGCTGAGCGCGGGGAAGTCGTCCGTGCAGGAGATGGCGACCACGATGTACGCGCAGTACCTACAACTCATGGGGAAGTGGGGCAGCGCTCTGGGGAAGGAGTTGGACGCCGTCGAGGAGGGCTTCAGCATGGACGATTTGGACGACTTTGAGGGGGAAGTGAGGGAGGAGGACTTTGAAGGGTTCGACCTGGAGACGTGCGTCCAGCCCGAGAGGAAAAGGACGCAACAGATGAAACCGGCGACGAGGAACCGCTGGGAGGCCATGCCGGGCCTGATCGACTACGTCTTCAAGACCAAGGGCGCGACCCAGGAGCACGCCGCCTGGATCATGACCCACCGGCCCCGGATCAACGAGCTCCTCACGCACCTCTGGAAGAAGCGGAGTGAGGACAAGGCCCGCGTGAAGAGGATATCTCTGAAGCTGAAGCGCATGAGCGAGGGACCGAGCAAGCGGGAGATCGCCGGCAAGACGATTTCGAAAGGCCTCTTCAGGCCGCTCCTCGACGGGGACGGGGACGCCTCCGTGAGCGCGACGCGCACCGCGGCGCCCGCGTACGCGCGGGAGCCGGCGTTCGACCTGGCGGCGGAGCTCAAGACGCTCCTCAAGCTGCGGCTGCTCGTGAAGCGGCGCTGGACGGCGCTGGAAGTCAACGCCAAGAACGACCTCCGGCGCCGCCTGCGCGAGGAGAAGAGGAAGAAGGAGCCCCATCGCGACGTCATCAACCCGGGCCCGGACTACCAGATGTACAAGCAGTTCCACGACGCCATCAGCTACCGGTACGACGAGCTCGTGCTGGTCGGGAAGGGCAAGGTCCCGCCGATGACGCCGTCGCGGCGCCTCGGCGCGGCGGAGAAGCGGGTGCTGGTCGAGGAGAGGAACGGGCGTCTGGACCACGAGGGGTTCAGGGCGGCGTCTCTGGAGGAGTTTCTGGGACGGGAGGATTACGAACGTTGCGTGCAGGAGCTCCGGCGGGGGGGGGCGGCTGACTACCGCAAGGCCTTTGGTTCGCGCTTCGATTCGACCGAAGAGATGAAAGGACGGCCGGGAGAAAACTTCCAAGGAAAGCTTACGGACGCGAGACGTGCGGTAGGGAAATTTGTTAAACGTCCAAAACCCCTTCAAGAATAGCCGGGAAACGGATGCTTTGTACATTACCATGTATCACTATGACATATAAAACACCAATCCAGCTCACTGGGTACATGAAGTACAACACGAGATCATGTGCCCAATCATGCACTGCAAAACTTGAGGGGAGGATTTGTTCTTTTGTTGCTTCCTTGACCTGACTCTCGTCGTCGTTGCCACACACGCACCCCATCATATCGAACATGTATCTCGAGAGTTTCGGATCCAAAGCCGACACGAAGCCATCACATCAACGCTCCCCGTCCGTGGTTACACCGCTCATCGGTGGACTAGTACACCACGACCGAAGGTCAGAAAAAAGGCCCCTTGCTGAATGATAACCATGTCGAACACGCATAAGACACTGCAAACCGCGCCGGCCCTCACTTTTCTTTTCTTCTCCCTTACCCCCACGCACTCGGCCAGCTAGCCGTTGACGAAGTCTTACTCACAGGCATATGATATCCGCTCGTGATGTCACTACCTGCGATGTATACATAGCACTTGCCAGCTACCATTAACAATCTTCGATTACTTCATCGTTTTTCTCACACATGATCTGATATCAAGCACCTCAACAAGTCACACGGCGAAATATTGTTCAGTGAAGACGCGTTCGCGTCATGCAATTGCATTTCCTAGTCCTCTACGCATAATCCAGACCCAGTAAACCGTCCGCTGGAATCCAGGGCAGCGTCTTCGCCGAGACGCCTCTTAGATTTTCCATTTTCTACATTCAAGGGCCGACCCAATGCTTGGGCGCTTCGATTAGTGGCCCTCCTTCTCGAGACCCTCCAGCTCCTTCATAACGGAAGTCTTGGTGGCAATCTTCTTCATTTGGGTGTCCTCGAGCTTCTCGCCTCCGGCAAGTCTCATCTCGAGGTCCTCAATGGCTCGCACCTTCTTCTGCAAGCTGCGAACCTTCTTCGCGTTGGGGTTGGAGTCGGCACCGGCGTTGTTGGCCGCGGGGGCGGCCTGCTGAGCGTGCGCGTTAGGCACCTGCGGCGCGCCATTCTGGCCTCGGTGAGTGTTGCTCCTGTTACGAGGCGCACCCGGGTTGCGAGAGTGGCTGCGGTGTCGGTGGTTATCTCTGCCACCGCGACGCTCGGGGCTGCGGCTCTCGTGACCCGATCCCCCGAAGTCGCGCGGGGGCGGGGCGAGAGACGCGCCGCCGCCGTTCTGGCCTTCGGGGTTGGCCTCGGTGTCCTTCTTCTTGTTGTTGCGCTTCTTCTTGTTCTTCAGAGCCGCCTTTGACAAGTTCTCATCGCCATCGGCATTTTCAGCTCCGGGAACCTTGGGGGCGGCACCGGGGACGGCGAACTCGGCGCCAGGCACACCACGGCGGGGGCGGCCGAACCCGTTAGGTCCAATGGGCGCCGAGCCGTTGTTCATGCTGACGTGAGCGGCACCTCCCTCGTCCTCACGCTTGAAGTGGAGAGGCGTGGCAAGACCGCGAGCACCGGGGGGACGGTAAGCTCCCGCGGGCTTGCTGGGAGTCTTGACAGTGCCAAGGTACGTGGTCGCCGACGCATGCGGGGTGGGAACAGGGTTCAGAGGGTCTCCTCCGGCCACCTTCTCAGGCGCCTGAGGTCTCCAGAGAACGTTGTAAAGCTCAACCATGTCCTCATTGTACATGAGGGGCCCGCTGACGTGCCAAAGCTTGATGCCGTTGTCGACGCGAAGACGAGGAGACGTGGTGGCCGTCATGATATAACGACTGTCCGGGCTCCAGGTGCAGACGCTTGGGTTTCCGCTCTCGATGGTGTGCAGCTTGCGGAAATCCTTCTCGAGATCGTAAACATCAATCTGGCCAGCCAGATTACCGAAGCCAGCAACCAACGCGAACCGACCGGTGGGCGAGAAGATGATGGTGTTGCGGGGGCCGAGGGGGAACGAGTGAGTCGCGACAGCTCGGTGGTTGAAGATGGTGGCCTTGGCGGGCATGTATCCGTAGACGACACCAAACTCCTTCGAGTTCGGGGACCAAGTGACATCGTGGATGGGACCCTCCTTATCCAGGCTGACGCGGGCGTCGAAGGAACCGTTCACGCTGAGCAGGTACAGCGTGGTCTCGCCGTAGTAGCTCTTGTTGGACTTGTCGACATCGGTCTGGGCCAGCACGAGGATGCCGGTGCCCAGGTTGTTCCACTTCAGCTGGACCTTGTCGCCCTTGAAGAAGGTCTTTTGGGAGATGGGAGCGTTGAACTGGGGAACGTTGAAGACCTTGATAGCGGCGGGTTGTCCCTGGAGCAGACTTGTTAGCTTGTGTTGAACCGGAGAGATTGAATACACAACGCACCTTGCGCTCGGGGACGAAGACTGCAACAGAGTGAGAGCGGCCGGGAGCCAGAGCAAAATCGGCAACGCCCTCGACTCTCAGCTTGTTCCAAACTTTTCCGAGATCGTGACTCTCGTAAAACTGAACTTCGTTGGTGACAAGGCGAGCACAGAACTTCTCGTCGGCTGTGTACTGAAGGTTCCAGCCTCCCTGAGATTTCTGGACGTACTTGCCCAGCGGGGCCTTGTCGGTAACGGCAACACCGTCCTCGACGGTGCGCCAGACCTTCAAGTTCTTGGTCGCGTCTCCATTCTCGTCCTTGGCGGGGCGCTCCCAGGTGACGATGAAGGTGCCGAGAGGAGAGAAGCCGAGCTCGTAGACGTTGAGGATGGGGAGGGCGAGAACCTGCTGGCCGCTGGAGGCGTCTACCACAGTGACGACATCGGGGCTGGCCCAGGCAAAGTAGCGGCCGCAGGGCGAGTATGCACAACACCGGAGATTCCCTTCGGGCTTGTTGAACCCAGCGAGCGGCTGGTAGGCCGGGGCAGCATCAAACAGGCCGATGCCCTTCTGGGTTCGGTAGGCAAACTGCAATGATGAGGACGCCATAACTAGTCAAAGTCACAGTGTGTATCTAGAGCAGATGTCTCGGTCGGAGGTTTTGGACGTTCTTGGGGGGTGGGATTTGGTTCTTCTTCAATGGTTCAGGGACCTGAGGTCGTCGTCGTCGATGTCGATGCTCGGAGCGTACAAAGGCAGTGGCAGAAGTGTGCTCGGAAGCTTGGTTGTGAGTTGCTTTGGGATCGAACAGGAGACACGCGGAGCGTCAATGGATGTTCCGGTGTTGATCTTGTTTGGGTTGCAGCAAAGAAGCTTTGTTGTCGATTCGTCGTGGACGGAGCGAAACGAGACGGCAGGTGGGTTTGTTGATCTGACGTCGGGGGTCGAACAGATCTAGCACGGGGGCTGATGTCTAGCAAGTCGTTCTATGTTGTCGTCGACAGAGATGACTTGTGACTCGATGGTCGATGGCTGACGGGGCAATCTTGATTCAGGCGATGAGACCAAGATATGCAAGCACACGGGGGTGACGGAGAGACGCAGAGCCAAAGGATGCAACAGACGACGGGGGAAATCGACGACTGGACGGACAGGACAGCTGAGGGATTGGGCGACGAGAAACCCAATGAAGAAAAATGGGAAGAACGCGAGGAAGAGGAGAAAGGGAATGGGGGAGAAGCACCCTGGGGGGGAGGGGATTGGCGTGCAACGGTGCGTGTTGTTGTGTGGGCTGGAGAAGGGAAAAAGGAAAAGAAGGGGAGGAAATGGCGAAGTGGGATTTGTGAATATTTTTTTTCTACTTCCGTCGCCTTCGCAGGTTTGCCATGGGCAGCGGCCAGCGGGCAGCGGCCAGCGGGCGACCTGACTGGTGAAAGATGCACGACTGGACAACTGGCACACCCTGGCCACTTTTTTTTTGCCTGAGCAACTAAACTCGCCTCGCTGGACTGGAGGACTGGAGGTACCTAATACTGGACCTGTTGGCAACGGTCTGAGAAAGTACCGTCAGATTGCCGAGGCGGTTCAGGCCATCTGGCCAGTGCATCACATTTCACACGCATCTGTGTAATATTGCCTGCTGATTGTGTGTTAATTGACGTATTACTGAGATGTATATATCACAATCCGATTCGTATGTCATTTTGATTGCTTGGGCGTGTTTGCTGAGTGAGATGTCAAAAGTCATCTCAAAACAGACAGCGTCTAAGAGGTACATGTTGTCCTGGCGCTGAAAGCCACAGCGCCGGCCGCCTGTCCGCATCCACCATTTCAGCCCAAAATGCCCCCAACTCCCAGGCCCGGCCTTGTTCCCATGGGATTTTCAGCGCGCAAGGCGTGGCCCTAGTCGCGGCTGCTCCCTCCAGCCTCCAGCCTCCAGCCTTCCAGTCGCTGCGAGAGCTGGAGGGACCTGAATAAAGTGCCTGCCTGCCCTGGGCCGGGATTGTCTCTGAGCCAATCACATGCTTCGTCCCGTCCGCTTACGCCGGCAGTCTCGTCACTCTGTTGACAAAGAGTACGTACCCTTTTGAGACAGCGTCGTTTATCTCTCTCTTATCCCCTCTCTCCCCTATGAAACATCTGACGACCTATCTCGATTGATCGTTGCAGAGCTCCTTCTTCAACCTCTGCCAATACCGGAAGCTCTTGTTATGATGGCAGGATATTTTGTAACTAGGGCCCGGCACTCGCAGCTCCTCTAATGAGCTACAGACTCCGCGACAGGGACGACTCATCCCGTCGCCGCATAAACGGCCTTGCACCCCAGCATGAAAAGCACGGAGATTAAGGCCCAGCTTCCTCGAGCCGTGCTTCAGCTTGGGAGGATCTTCTACATGATGGATAGCCAGGTTGCTCAGCCGCCAGAACGGCGAAAATGTCGAGGACACCATCGCCAAGCTGTAAAGGGCTGTATGGTGTTAACCCTTTCATCATTAGATACTTAATGATTCAGGTTCGCTTACTCTTGGTCTTCCTTATTGTGACGTCCAGTTTGGCCGATGATCGATGCGAAGCTTCGTCGATGGATCCCCGTTAATGGGGAGGTTTATCAACGCTCAACTGGCTTGGAGTGCGCTTCCGCCGGAAATCGACAAACGATGTGATGACGTCTGACGAGCTGTGCCGATTTGGCTCGACAGACCAGCTGCATCCACGATATCGAGGATATTCAGTCTCAGATATCGACGGATGGCTCGACAATGTCGTTAGAACTGCCTCGTATGTCGCCGATTTCCATCACATCAGACGACAAGCAGTTCATAAGAGATTAGTTTCGTCACCCTCCGTCATCTCTCAATCAGGACACTCCCTCCCAACGTCCGGCAACGGCTTAAGCATCGGCAACGGCGCAAGCCACCCCTCCTCACCGCCGCCGCCCTCCAACACCCCACCTCCTCCCCTCGACGGACCCCGCGCGGCAAACGAATCCACCGTAGGCCGCCGCGCCAGCACCGCGAGCTCGATGTCGTAGTCCTCGCGCCGCGGCTCGCTCCTCTCCGTCTCGGGCGTCGCGTTCGGCGTGACGGCGAGCCTGTCCCTGCTCGTGGCGAAATTGTTGCTCCGGAGCCAGGTCCTGCTGGTCGCGCTGCTGCCCGTCCACCGCGTGCAGCACGACGTGATGGTGTCGATGTATTTCCTCGAGGCGTTCCGCCACTTGGACGACGTCGAGCGCGGGGTGTTGGGCGTCGGGCCGTTCCTGAGGGTGCGCTGCTCGAGGAGGTAGTTTATCGACGGGAAGCAGGCGCACACGAGCCCGATCGCGAGTTCCCCGGTGCTGGATTTCCACCTCGTTGTTAGTGCCACCGTGGTGGGGGTAGGGGGTTGTCTTGTGTCGCGAGGGGTCTAAAAACTTACACGGTCCAGTCGAGCGGTACGAAATCGACCGTCGGGTCCTTGGTGTCCTCGAACTGGAGGACGAGGTTCATCCTGTACGCCGTGATGCCCACCGCGACGCCGCCGGCCCCGAGCAGCCCCACGATCTTGATCTTCTTCATGACCGAGACCCGCAGCCTCCACGTCAGGATCATCGGCACGAGCAGGATCGCGAGGTCGGACACGATACCCAGCGTGGTGTCGTAGATGAAGAGCTTGGTCTGGTCGATGCACCTGAAGTCCCGTATCGCGGGGTTCCAGAAGGCCTCGACGGGGAGGCAGACGAGCGTCTTGGCGACCTGGGCCGGGAAGTAGCAGATCATGAAGAAGCCCAGGAGCGCGTGAAGGGTGCGGGCGACGATGGTGTCGACGGAGAAGACGCGCACGACGAGGAGCAGGATCGCGACCTTGGTGAAGAAGGCTGCGGGCGTGTACAGGAGCGAGCTGATGTAAAGCCACTGTCTGGTGTCAAAAGAACGGGACTTGTCTGCTGCGGGTGACGTCTTTTTACCTTTTGAAGCTCGATGAAGTTGGTCTGGGTAATCTCCCAGATGTGAAACCCTTCTCCGAACTGGATCTCTTGTCGATGTCAGCGGTGGTCTCCCATTGAAGTCCACGACCAAGAGCCGCACTTACTAATGAAGACGGTGCTGTTGAGGAGCACGGTGAAAATCTACCTCGAATCAACTCCCGTTCTCGGTATTCAACAGAGTCCAACATGCGCGCTCACCCATCCAAGCAGACAACTCCCTGCAAGACGATGTTAACAAGACTCCATCCTCAACCCAAAGAGAAGAACCTACAATCCTCGAGCCGGAACCTCCCAGCGGCCGACAACTTGACGAAAACCCGTATGCCGAAAAACACAACGACGATCACCTGCACGATGATCATGTAGGCGATGTGGAGCGTACGCAGGACGTCGCGCGGATGATCAAAGTCGGGCGTCTCCCCGGGCGGCGGCGGCGCCGCTCCGATCGGAACTCCCGTCGAAGGGGGACTGCTGCTCATCGCTGTCGTCGGCGATCATTAATCGATCACCGGCTTCCATGACTGGACTCGATCTCCGCGGAGACGATGGGGGTGGTGGCGGGCTGCTGCAGCTCGATGACAGATGCACAAATCCTCCGACATCCCTAGCAAGAAAAGGCGGCCGACAGACCGTTTAAGGACAGAAGACGGTTCCTCCCGCTCCAGTCGCAGATTGGGGGAGGGGTGCCGGTGGGATAGATGCGTAGACAAAGACGGGATGTATCCGATAATTATATGAAGAAGACCCTGGATTGGAGGGGAAAGGAGAAGACACTTGGACATGAACGGATTGGCGTTTAGTTTCCCTGACAGGAGGGCAGCTATAGGCGACCAACGGCGACCTACAATACGAGTAAGCACCGGGATAACATATAAGCTCCGACCTGGAGTGTCGTCCGCCGAGGAGTCGGGCCATCACCCCGAGCAGTCTCAAAACCATGGTAGCTGCTTCTCCTCATGATGTGTGTGGTGTGTCTCCCTTCTCTTAGTTCCAAGGCGGCCTCGTCCCGAAGCCGATCCTGGTTGCAGCAATCTACTGGCAGTTGGAAAGTCAGACAGATAACATAAGCACTGGGATCAAGGGGTTGCTCAAATCGTGATTGGTTTGAAGCGTAAGATGGTGTAGTAGGGTGCGAGGCAGGAGAAGAAAAGGCATGGCTTTCTAGATCCGTGAGTGGTCCCCACGAGTCAAAGTTGAGAGGTTCTGGAACAAATGTGAACTCTATTTAACGGACGGACCTTCTCTCTGAGTCGGGTCCATCCTGGGTTCTGCGGATTGTGCGATAGTTGCTCCCGCTGCTGCTGAGTAGGCGGCTGACAGGTGGTGGTGCGTCTTCTAGAGTTCGGTTGCGCAATAAGAGCAGACGAGAGCTGGTTCTGAATGTGCTCTGCCGGTTGACGATTGATAGCGGGGTATGAATACATGCATATACAATAGCATGTTCACAATCGTATGTCATTCTGTATGGTCAGAACGGTTTATTCTGTAAGCGTAGACCCTCGAAGGTCCTTGACTTACCAGGAACGCAATGAATTACGCCTTGAGCCCGGATTCAAAGTCAACGAATGACCGACCGGAGTACCCGGGCAGCACACGGGTCGGTGTGCCTCAACCGGCCGAATCAGGTCAAGATTCCCCGCGCGAACCACGAATCCCGCGTATATCATGCTCCTTTGTCGTCCGTGAGCCTCTGGGCTGTAGGAAGAGCCGTTTGAGTCAGCGTCAGGCTCGTGAGGCCGAGCCCGAGGGGGCGGTTCGATGGAGTCGATGCCAAGAGATATCGACGAGAGTTGAAGCGAACGGGCGTTTTTTTTTTTTCTGCCTCCGATCCGGCTCGGCTTGGGACGTTTTCTTGGCTTTGGACCGGGCAGAAGCTGCTCAAGGGAAGAGCTGGCTCATCTGCTGGGGAATACTGTATAACCAGGCCTCACATCGAGAGGGCGGGGGCCTGGCCTCATCTTGCTAGATCATACTGGCGTCTTTACGCAATCCTGCCGTCCCAAGTCCTCAGAAAGGCTGTCTATTTTATCTGCTTTCGTATTAGCTGGAAAAATCTGTACAGAGCAAGTCTCGGCGTTCTGAACGCTGGTTCTGGCGAGCCCTGCTGTTCTTGGAAATAAGATACGATATAGGGCGAGCGGTATGGTGGGCATGAATGGTTTGATCGGACATTTCTCTAGCCTTTTTGGTGGTAGCACTTAAACATCAAACCAACAGACTCCAGATCTGCGTGTTCCCCGCTTCCCTGGAAGGAAAGCCATATCTTTGTCGACCGACAAGAGGAACGGTCGGGGAGGGATCAGGAGAAAAGCACGTGCAGCGAGAGGGGGTTCCATGTCTGGAACATCAGGCGTTACCGAGACCGAGCCGGGTTGACGTGTTTAGAAGAGTCAGTGAAGGATGTTGGACGTCTTGCTTGGACACTCGGATCGGAAAGTCTAGACCGGCCGGAGCCGCAAGGAAATATGCCTGGCCGCTGCATGATGCTCCAAGTGATGGCTATCCCGGAATGCCCTCCGACACGCTGGGCTAGCCTGCGCGAGGCAAGGCTTGAGAATCGCATGCGACCTTCTGCAAGATAAGGACGATCTCGCAGCCGTCGCCTGGATCGAGAATGACACGCGTAGAGCGCTCGGCCCAGACCTCAGTTTCCTCCCCAAGCCGATATCTTCAACCAGTCGACGTTGAAGTAAGAAACTGCGTAAAATGCAACCTCCACCGGTTCATTTCATAGACGGTACCCACCCGATCAGATGTCACATGTGGAAAGTTTCTGCCGTCGTCGCCGTCTTCGAGTCAGCGAAGTCTCGCGAATCGTGTTCTCATGATGGTATCATTGTCGGGCCGGGACTTCGAAAACAATGCAGCGTTACAGAGCCAGATCACCGGCCGGACCATTGCTCCCTCCAGCCGCCCTTCTCGAACAGCCACAGGGCCTCCGTGGCGTATGCACGGCTTCCGCGGTGACCACCGTCCACTATGGCTGCCTCTGACAGACTCTCCAACACCTTGCCCTCCTGAATGCTGCTCCAAATGCCTCTTCCAAGGCTGTCCTCCTCTCCGTTGCCCCATTCGCCCTTGCCCAGTCTGTAGAGAATCCGACCCAACGTTTGAAAGGCAACACAGCGTTGTGCCGGAACAGCACTTCGCGCATAGATGGCCAGCTCCTCAATGGTGTATCCTGCAGCCTCTGGTGCTTGGCCGTGATGGTGCAAGCCCTTGCTCACTGGTATCGATCTGCTCAAGCGAGGCGGGATGAGGCCGCCGCGGAAATCGAAACGAAGAGCCGCGATGGGAAGCGACTCTTGCCCCGGGTAGTATGGTGACTCGCGATCGGCAAGGCTGCCGGCGGTCGGGATAGGTGCCATCCAGGCAAGTTTGCTGGGATCGGCAGGCAGATTGGGGAAGAATTTCTCGTGAAGCGTCGCGAGGAAGTCTGGATGAGACGGATCCAGATCGGGCAGAGCAGGAGCGGCCGGGAAGTGTGTCTTGTCTGGTTGCTCGTTCATGGGGAACAGATCCGCGGGAGGAGCTGCTGGTATCTTGTTCTCGTCGACTGGCGCAGGTTTTTCTTTTTCTTCCACAAAGCTGACGGCTTTCGGTGCCGGCTTGGGCTTCGGTGGCGCAGATGTGTCTTCGATTCTAATCTCGGGCGCGGGAGCCGGAGGCTCGTCGGCCTTACTATCTTTCGCGGATGGCGGATCGAAGGGGTTTGGGCCGTGCTGCTCGTCGATATTTGCTCTCCCCAGGAGTCGCTGGATGAGTGACGGGTCTAGCGAGCTCAACAACTCCTGTCTCTCTTTGGCAATCTCGTCCGGGGTCATGTCTTCCAGCTTCTGTCTGTTCTCGCGATCGATCCGCCGCCGCTCGGCCGCCTCAAAATCGGACTTTGACGATGTGCCATCATTGGATTTCTGTGGCTCGCGTTCGTTGGCTGCTAATGCGGTCGTGGCAGCTTGGGCGCCTGAGACGTCTTTGCCTTGTTGTCGCTGCTTGAACGCAGAGACTCGGGTGCGTTTCTTGTGTGCTGGAAAGCCGTTCGGAGTGGCGTCGAAGTCGTCAAATATGACGGGCTTCGCAGGCTTTGTCTCTTTCTCGACGATATCGCCTACAAGTAGTGTCCCTTCCATGATTGTGTTCGACGTGATTGTGGTTGTGGTTGGTGGGAATGGAGGCTGCGTTCCAGGGTGGCTCGAAATGCGCTGAAGGCGACCTAGGTGGGGGCTTCCTTTTTTTTTCTTGGGAGTGACGTATCTTTTTATCGTCTTAGGGAGGCACCTCATCCGGGCCCCTGCTCGAAGCTTCCTTGCCTGCTTCGGAACCGCCCGTGCACCCGGACACAAGCTCAATTTCAGATGGGAACACATCGGGGCCAGGGTCGCGTCGCCTAAATGGAGGAGGATACTGGGAGCGTAGATTTGCTCAGTATTACCCGCCATTAGTTATTCTAACTATTGCATCGCATTCGTGTGCATTTCATTGTCGTTGAGAACGCGACCATAAGCTCGAAGACACAACGGCGGGGCGGAAACGTTAGCGCCCAGGGCAGGAGGCTCCGGAGGTCGTCCCAAGTGAAATCCCGAAAATGCGCCGTTTTAGAGTTGTGGCTGACAGGCGGGACTGAGCCACACCAACACAACTTTTTTGCATTAGCGCCGATCGTCCCCCGTCGAAATTCCAGAAAAAAATACTTTGGATGGGCACACCTGGTGTTTCCACTTGATTGGCGCAGGTTTACCACGATGCAGGGCAGTTTGCGGATATCGGGAGATGAAACTCGTGGGACGATATTTGCGAAGGATGAATTTATGCATTGGAATTCGAGGTATCTAGATGTGTTGGTTTGGTGTGACTTGCCCAGAAGAGAGATTGCAATCTGTCAGTCACGTCGGACTGGGTTAGAACAGCCGAAGCCATTTCGGTTGTTTATGCGCGTTGTTTTTCTCCATGGACGATTCTCAGCCAGTCAAACAAATGGCGTTTGTGTCATTGTGTCTGGAGGGATTTTTCTGTCGGAGGTGAATAAAGAAAGGATTATGCAAGTTCATTTTGTTTTTGTGGCGTCGATTTGGGCGTGTTGCAGAATCTGCAACATGTCTAGCTCTGTATCCGTGGCGCTAGTCGTCTGTGTGACTGCAGACGTAAGATGGATGATACATCTTCCAGCTTTGCAGTAGGTGATCCGATGCATCATGTGTGCAACAGTATTGAACATATTCGACCATCCAGAGATGATAGATCTCTGTCTGCAATGTCGTGTCTGGCTGCCTATCCGTATGCATCGCTAGTGGAGAGATGGATGATAGATCTGCCCATGTGCACCCCTCCCAGCCATCGGCGGCATGGTTTGCACAACCCTGCAGCAAGCGCGGTTATCTGGGACGCTAGAGCGGAAATGGAAGCCGGACGTGGTTCAACGTCAGACGCGCAGGATCCACAGTGGCCCCACTCAAACGTCGCACCGACTGGCTCTCGTGGTTTTTCAGAAAAATGCTAGGGCATGTACAATGTACCCGGTACCTGCGCCCGGACCCATGTTTCTCTTCTTCTCCTGCGGCTGGCCATCCCATTCGCGGTTCCCCTTTCCCTGTCACACAGTTCATTGTTGTCCATGGACCACCTCATGGACCATGGGAAATTCCACGACCCCTTCTTTTCCTTCCATCCCACCTTTACCTCAGTTTTCCCCACGGCTCGGCTCCTCTTCTCCTCCTCCTTCTCGCGCGGCTGACCGAGGTACCCACGTACCTTTGCCATTCCCAAATTTACACACCACCACACCACCACACGACACCCGCACGCACGCACCACACTCTCACTCAGTAAGTCAATGTACTATTTTCTGGCGCCGTTCTCTTCTCACTGTCTTGTGCCAGCTTCCAATTGATATTGCCGCATCCATCCGCTACACAACATTAGTGCTGCTGCCGAACCGCCCCCCGCCTAACACGACACGCAGAAGATGAGGTACTCACAGTGCCTGCCTGCCTGCCGCGGCAACCTCACCGTCACCCGTGGCTGAGGAGAGTTTCCAGCGTCGGGCTGGCCGTTCGCCCTGAGGTACCGCTCTTGTTGCCCTGCATGAGTGCAGGTGGTGAGAGGTTCTGGCTTGCGTTGCGGTTAAATGTTGACACCTGACGACTGGTCTTTTCCCCTTGCCGACTGGCGAAACATGGTGTTGACTGTCTGTCTGGAAAGACTGAGGTGCAGACTGGATGCTACCTCCAAGCGGAGAAAAGGCTGCTGTTGCTGCTGTTGCCCTGGGGCGTGTTTCCATTCCCATCCCATCCCCATACCGGTTCTCAATCCCATCTCAAGGTGAGAGTGAGGTCAAGGCATGGCCGTGGTGGTACCTTTTACCTTTGCTTCCACATCCAGTCTTCGCCTTGGCTGTCCATCTTTTCTTTCTGGGTCTGGCCCACGTTGGAGTTTACTACCTCACCTTCCCTTATTCCTGACGGGAAATACTCACTTGCTTGTATCCGTACTGCTGCTGCATCTCGCCCTCTTCTCTCATCCCGTTGAGACCTCTCCGTCTCCCTGGGCGGCCCGTTCACGACGTGCCATCGCTTCATCGTCTTGGTGTTTTCCCCCTTCCCGCCTCCACTCCCATCACCTACCTTTACTTGCCCCCCTTTGGCTGGTCCTTTCCCTCCGGCCGTCCACCTTTCCATGTTGTTGCTTTGCTCCCATTCCCAGTTCTTCTCGTCTGCCGCTCTCATTCGCATTCCCCCATCCCATCCTATTCCCTATTCCCTATTCCCTTTCCTTCCCCCCCAGGCCCATCTATTCCTTCCTTCGCTTCGCCTTTCTTTTCATCTGCCCGCCCCCCTCCGCGTCCGCGTCCACGTTCCTCGTGGTTCTGAGGCCATCTGATCCCATCGACGTGCCCCCCAGCTAGTCTGCATCTCTAATTCGGGTTTAATAATAAAATTTCCCTTGCCATTCACGCCTGCTGAGGCCATCCACGTCTGCTCGGTGCCCCGTTTTTCTCGTCTTGCGCAGCAGCCAAATGTCGGCCCAAAAAATAAATCTTGTTCCCCCCAAAAACGTAGCCATCCCCATCTCTTCTTTCCAGCTCCCATTTCTCTCCTCCTTTCACCTTCTCACAACTACCAACGACACTGCAATTTCGACTGCAGAAACACCAAATCCATCAATTACGACATCGTCGCCCATCGTCGACATCGCAAAACCTCCTTCTTTTTGTGCAACTCATTAAGGCGGTTCATTTGACGATCTTTATTCCGCCCTATCGATACCGAATTGGTGCTTTTTTGACCTCCAAACTCGCCGACTGTCGTCGAAAAACACGGCCTTCCGGACTTCTTGAGGTTATTCACGAGTTCCCACCTGCGACTCCGCACGGCCACACCGCAGGTGACCAACAAACCAGCCAGCTCCTGCTCCAGCTCCTGCCACGGACGGCCTTTACCAACCTGGTCCGTCTTACATAATTCCGCGCCAACCACACCCCCCATTCGGCCAATCCGACACCGTCCATCGCCAAACGCACTGCAACACGCGCCCGCTCCTTGTACCTGACAAAAAAAGTGAGGTCATTCACACAACACCCATACCATACCGAGGGAAGCCGCAGCACGACAAAACTCTACCTTTCTCCGATGCCTTGTACCTGCTGCAGTTGCCTGTAGGACATTTCAATCGGAGCTGTATCTGAATCTCCTTTTTTTTTACTTGTTTTTGCCGCAACTTTACAAAAAAGACCTAGTCTTCTAGAGCCACTCTCGGCGCAGTTGTTTCGGTGGTGGAGGTGATGCCAGACAGCTCTTCGCCAGAACTTTCGTCACCACCTTCCGGCTCTATCTCAGAACCCGGCTCGCCTCTGCGAAGTCGACCAAATAACATGGATATGGATGAGATCATCGTCGACCCTTCGCAGCCGCGCTTCGGCGTTCTGTCAGGGAATGAGCAGCCCCAGCCCGAAGTCCGCTTGACGGCCGCTGGCCTGCCAAGGAAGAAGCCCGGTCGCAAGCCCGGCTCAACAGTCAAGCCCAAGAACCCAGACGACCCGCCAAAGGTGCGCCGACCGAGAAAACCTCGCGATCCCAACGCGCCCCCGATCCAGAGGAAGAGGAAGTCGGCACCCGGCCAAGATGCGGACGCAGGTTCGGACTCTAAATCCCTCGCCGCCGCGGCTGCTTCGTCCACAACGCCTCCTTCGAGACAAGCCAAGATCACGGATCTCGTCGGCCTCAGCTCGGAGTCTCGACCTAGCTCTGCCCAGCCCGAACACACGGCGCAGAAAGCCCCCAAGCGCGAAGATATCCCGCGTAGCATGCAGAGCATCCTCAACGAACCCGAGCCTGAATCGAAACCACAAAGCGCGTCTCTGCCTACGCGCACCAGCGGGCAGAGCTACGACCCCATTCGCGGTAACTATGACCCTATCAGAGAGAGCTTCGTCAGCGCCTCGTCTCCACGACCTCCCACGCAAACCATCAACCGACCCAGCGCGTCGCCTTCGATCGCCAGCCTCGTCGAACCCACGCACAACATAACCTCTCCTTCCAACCAAACCTTCCGCACCTCAACGCAGTCGCGTGCACCGCAAGACTCTGGATCACACCCCGCATCGCCATCGTATCCCGTCAGGCCAATGCCTCAGACAATCTCCAAGCCGCCTGCCCCCGACGCGCAGAGGTCACTTGCTCCACCGCCTGTACCGGTTGCCAAGGCAGACAAATCCAAGGAAGCCGCCTCCACAGCTGGATCAGTCACCAGTAAGAAGCCGTCGCCCAAGCAGAAGCCCCAAAAGTCGGGTGTCACATCCCCAAAACTCAGCGCCCTGGACGAACCCGAAGCGGGCAATGCCGATCGTTCAATTCTCGACTTTGGAAAGTCCGGCGGCAAGGAGTATAAGGCGCCCGATATCGTCCTAGACATTCCTATCAAACCGGGAGACACAAATATTTACGTCAACGTGATGCGCATGGCCGAGGAGAAGTACGGCTGGGACGCCCTCCACCCTCGTCTAGCCGAGAAGCGCGACCGAAAAGCGCGAATTGCCGCCGCTTCAGCTGCTCTTGAGAAGACGGCATCGGGCCAAGAATCTGGCGACGAAATGTCGGAGGACTCAGACAAGGAGGCAAGCAATGTTGAAATGGGCGGCATGACGAGTGGTGCAGAGCCCGAGAAGCCCAAGAAGAAGAAGCGCAATTTCAAGGAGGACGAATACGACAAGGATGATGACTTTGTCGACGACTCGGAGCTTCTGTGGGAGCAACAAGCGGCGGCAAGCCGAGATGGCTTCTTCGTTTACTCTGGACCTTTGGTACAGGAACCCGAGAAGCCAGCTGACAATCTGAGGTATGGAACATTCTATTCAACTTCATTAAGTGGCGTATTACTAACACATTCCAGACCTGACGGTTTGCCCAAGCGCGGTCGTGGCAGCAGAGGTGGACGCATTGGTGGCCGTGGCGGTACTACTCGCGGCGAAGGAGGCACAGGCCGCGGCGGTGGTCCAGGTTCCAGAGGTGGACGCGGATCGCGTGGCGGTTCCCTCACTCGCAAGCCGCGTATCACAAAGTCGGAGAAGGAACAACGCGAGCGAGAGAAGCTCGAGAGGGAACGACAAGCCGAGTTGAGCAAAGGAAGCAACGGCTACTCATTGCAGCCTCAAACGCCCTCTTTTGCCGCTGGAATGGCCGGAGCGTAAACATCGCACACTACCATCCAACACTTGGGAACCACGAAATTGCAGCCATCAGAATTGATGGAGATACGGCGAGTTGCACAGCGACATACAGAGCGAGGGGAAGAATGCTGGTTTCTGAACAATGCGAAGTTTGAAGCCGGCGTTGTGTGTCGATCTGGTCATTAACGTTCGAGGGTTTTGACATGGTTAGGCCGGACGGTACTGCTTTGAGGACAGGTTGGGACGACATGGGATCCCGGAAGAGCGGCGTTCGGATTTGGCGGACTGATTTAACTGAACGGAACGGAAGTACGACTAGGGTCCACCTAGAGGCCTACACTGAGAGGAAACGCTGATAGAATCGCGGTTGCTGGTATTTACGGAGTTTAGATGTATTTCTAGAGGGGTTTGCTCAGGACCAAAGCACTGTCTAATATCAGGCAGTAAGTATTCCGACTGAATGTTTGCTGCGTTAAATCGAAGTCGTGAGTGAGCCTCTTCTCCCGACGGATGTTTCAAAGTGTACAAATGTTTCGGACCAACAGGTGTTGTTCTGGGCATTGGGTGAAGTCATATGCAGTTATCGGGGCCCCAGGTCATTGCGGGGTGTCTGCCGCTCCCACCGCCCTGTCAAATAGGGTGTTTGGACGGCAGAAAAAGCGCCAAGATTTCGCATAAGCGATTTGCTCCACACTTCCAAAAAATTTCGAACCGCCCGAAAATTCGCAGCCAATCCGCCCGCCAAAGCTCACGCTTCACCGAGTAGAGTTATTCGTCTGCATCGCCTGGCTGCCAACCTCTCCAACAACCCCCCTTTGTTGACGGCAACCCGACCAACCCTTACGGCCCAGCAAAGCACCTGCTCTTGCTTTGCGAAAGAAGATTCTTCTTCTGTTGCATTTGTACACCAGTACGAAGGGGACGAAATGGCGGAATCTTCATTGCAGGTTCGTTGCGTCCGTGCCCCGCCACTTGCAAAGGAAGAAACGAAAAAAAAAAAGAAGGCTTCCGATGAAGGTGGTGGTTATACAGCAACGGTATTGACAACCGCAATAGGACCGCCTGCGCGAGCACTCAAAGGCCTTTGACGGGCTACTGTCGCTCATCCCGGCCAAGATGTATTACGGAGAAGACAACTCTGTACGTTTGCCCTTCCGCATAGCATGATGCCTTTTTTGTTCTCGAGTGGCAACCCAGCCACACACACTCTCTCTCTCCCTCTTCCCCAAGCGCGCGCTCTCTCTCCATTCAACCATCACAAAGCTTGCGAAGCGACCCGCCATCGCAACAAAAGAGAATCATGTACGCTTACGCAAAATCTTCTTTGTCGCAGGACCAATGGCAGAAGAAGAAGCAGACGAAAGCCGAGGCCAAGGCCGCGAAGACGGCCAAGCTCGACCCGGACAGCGAGCTGAACCGCAACGCCAAGGAGGTCATGGACGAGCGGGCGCGCAACAAGAGGAAGCTCCAGGACATGCAGGAGGAGGAAGACAAGGCGGACGGCGGCGACGACGACGACGCCGTGCCCGGCGTCCAGAGGGAGCTCCCCGGCCAGGGCCTCAGAAATAAGGACAACAAGAAGCAAAGGACCGCCGACCCGATCGACACGATTGACGACGCCAACCCAGCCGAGATGTCCCAGACGCAGCTCATGAGACTCGCGAAGAAGGAGGCCAAGACGAACAAGAGGCAGGAGAAGAAGGCCAAGAAGGCCGAGAAGAAGGCGGCCAAGATGGAGGCTGCTGCCGCCGCCGGTGACGACGACGAGTCCGAGCAGGAGCAGGAGGAGGAACAGGAACAGCAACCCCCCAAGGCGGCGGCGAAGGCTCCCGCGGCGAAGAAGCAGGCCGAGCCCAAGAAGAAGCAGCAAAAGAAGAAGGCCGAGTCGAAGGACGCCGAGCCGGCTGCCAACGACCACGACAGAGACGAGGAGTATGAGACCGTCAACGAGGAAGAAGAAGAACAAGACCAGCCCACCAAGAGCAAGGACCTGCGCCCGCTCGACGTCTCCGGCATGGACGAAGACGTCGCGGACTCGGCCAGCGGCGACTCCACACCCCAATCCCCCACCTTTGACACCGCGGCCCCCAACAACACCACTGCCGCCGCCGCCAACGAGGCCGCCGCGAGCACCACGACCTCCACCAGCTCCTCCGTCCCGCCCTCGGAGAAGCCCAGGCACATCCAAGTCCCCGCCGACACCTCTGCGCTCCGCGCCCGCCTCGCCGCGAGGATAGAAGCCCTCCGCGCGGCCCGCAAGGCCGACGGCCCGGACGGCAAACCGATCCGCACGCGCTCGGAGCTCATCGAGGCCCGCCGCGCAAAGGAGGCCCAGCGCAAGGCCCACAAGAAGGAGCTCCGCCGGCAGACCCGCATCGAGGAGGACGCCAAGCGCGAGGAGGCCCTCGCCTCCAACTCGCCCTCCGTCATGTCGCCGCGCGTGGGCATCAACGACGACGACAACGCGGACGCACCGGCCAACTACGCCTTCGGCCGGGTCGCCTTCGAGGACGGCACGAAGCTCTCGCACGACCTCTCGCACGCGCTCTCGTCGCACAGGAAGAAGGGCCCCTCGGACCCCAAGACGGCGCTGGCCAAGCTGCAGAACCAGAAGAAGCGGCTCGCGGCGCTGGACAAGGAGAAGCAGGCGGACGTGGCGGAGAAGGAGCAGTGGCTGACGGCGCGGCGGCGGGCGGAGGGGGAGCGGATCCGGGACGACGAGGGGGCGCTGAAGAAGGCGGTGAAGCGCAAGGAGCACGCCAAGAAGAAGAGCGAGAAGGCGTGGAAGGAGCGCAGCGACGGCGTGGCCAAGGCCATCTGGGAGAAGCAGAAGAAGCGCGACGAGAACATCCAGAAGCGCAAGGACGACAAGCTCGCGCACAAGCTCGGTCGCAAGAGCGGCAAGAAGAAGGTCGGCGGCGGCGGCGGCGGCGCGAAGAAGACCAAGGCGCGTCCCGGGTTCGAGGGCAGCTTTGGCGGCGGTAAGAAGAAGAAATAAGCAAGTCAGCTAAGGGGAGAGACATGTGAGGAACGACGTGGTTGAAGAGAGTACGGTCGGGTCAGCGGAGGCACACAAAAAAGTAATCGATATTACCCCCGGTGGAGGAGAAGGGGTTTTCGAGCATCATCTATGGATGGGCGGCGTTTTCGGGAAGGGAACATGTTCTGCTGTTCTTTTTTTGTATTTATACACCAAAAAAGGGGATGGCGGCGTAGGAGGGGACCATGAATGCATTCTTCAATCGTTCTAGCCATGACAACTACGTTTTTCCCCCTTCCATGCAGACAAAGTGTCATCTATCAGGCATATTGATAGACATGAAGACAACGCCCGTGTTTCCCACAATGTATCGACGACGAATTCAAGGAGAGGGGCATCAGACATCTCGCACTCTTTCCATGCGCGGCGCTACATTGTTTTTTCAAAAGTTACATTAAAACGATCGCTTACGGTGGAAAAAACGTAGTTGTGAACCCAAACCAACTACACGCGTGTTTCTCTTTTGTCGCCATACCCGCTTTCCCACCCTCCTCTTCATCTTCTCCCTCCATTGGGAACCTTGTCATGAGGTGCACAACTGGGAAATGCATAAGAAAAAGCGCCGCCTTTCGTTTCCCCCCTGTTGGTAAAACCCCATCCGCCTGCCTAGATGCAACACCAAATTTTGTGTGTATGGGAACCGGGGAAAGAAAAGCGAAAAGATCATTTGGTCCCCTTTGCTTTGTGTCATCATTTCTCGTGAGGGGTTCGAAGATGAAGGATTTCTGGGAGAGCCGGGTGCTGTGGCGCTTCGATTGTGTTTCGTCTAGGTTGTGAATGGGATTGGAAAAGGAGATTCTCCCGAGTATACGCTCGAATCGCCGCCGTGAGTCTACTATCGGGAGCAGCCTGGAAAGCGCAGCAATCGGGGGTCGAGGATTTCGGGTTCGATTATGTTTACAAGAGGGAGTCGAGACGAGTGAAGACGCTGAGACAGGCTGCAACAACCTCTAGTTGGAGCTCCTTGTCCTTGCCCTTGGTGACCTCCTACGATGGTGTTAGTGATGGCTACGAATAGAAATCCACGAGAGTCTCAGCATACCTCCTGGATAACCTGGGGAAGGTTAGCACCGATGCCGTTGCCAGTAGCCTTCTTTCCGAATGGCCATTGGCTGTAGTCAGCGAGAAGCTCGTCCGTCTGAGCAAACGCGCGCTCGCGGGCTTCGTGACCCAAAGTGCTGAGAGCGTTCTCGAGGACGTTGGCGGCATAAGCCGCGCACACCATGGCGATGGTGCGGACGTAACGGAACTCGAGGTTCTCGGGCAGAAATTGGGAGGCAGGGAGGACGACGGTGCGCTGGGTCAAGACGTTACGGACACGGCGACGGATCTCCTCCTTGGCGCCTCCATCGGCGACGGGATGAGTAGCCATGTCGAACAGAAGGAAGTTGCGCTTCTCGGTTCGGAGGATACCCTTGTCAACGAGACCCTTGGCCAGGCGCTCGCGCACCTGCTTTAATTGGTATCCAATCTTCATCAGGTTCCAGGTCTCTCCTGTTGGTGGATTCAACCGTCAGCTCGGAGTTCTGTTCCGGCGGCCAAGTGGCCAGCGTGGAGTCTGTTTCTAGGGAGGAAAAGGGGTGGTATTACCGCTCATCAGGTCGATCCAAGAGCTCACACTCATCTTCTCGCTCTGCTTCATCATCTTCAATGCCTCGTCGAGCAGCACCTCGCCGGTCAGGGTCTCGTCGATAACTTCGATGACGCGGTCAGCCAGCGGGAAGCGCCTTCTCGAGGCATCCTTCTGCATGCTGATGCGACCGCGGAAAGCGAGCTCGATGACGATGCATCCTCGGAGGGCGTATGAGATGTTATCGTTCCAGAATGATAGGTAGCCCTGGGAGGTGGAAGAAAGTCAATTAGCGATCTCGCGGCGATTGGTTCGTGATGCAGAGCTTGTTTCCGACGTACTTGCTTGTCCTTGAGTCCGAGTAGCAGGACCTCCTCCATCAGAGTCAGCTTGGGCTGTTTGCTGCGCTCAGCGCTCTCGCTGATGTCGCGGGGATCGAAGGCAATCTTGTGGCCATTCTCGCCGCTCTCGTAGCTGGTCTCGGGGGCGCTGTCCTTGAAGTTGCTCGTGGAGTTGGTCCGGCTGGCACCGTTGCTGGTCTCGCCGCCCTCGGCAGCCGCGCCACCTCCGCCTCCACGGCGTCTGGTCAGACCTCCAGCTGCTGCTGACATTGTATCGAAAAGTTAGAGGGGTATCGTGGGGTTGTCGTCAATGGAGAAAACAGGTAAGGCTGGCTCAGGGATTGACCGGAAATCGGGACTAGGCCAAACGGTGGTCGCAGGTAAGACGCTTAGTACTAGCTCGAGGGGCGCCGAACGTGTAACTGATGGGAAAGGGTTCCAGGAGTAAGTGGTAGGTATTCGCAGGTCGAATCCGCGTGGTGGTGGTGCTGACGCTCGGTCGTGATGTTGAGGCGCCTTTTTTTCTGGCTCTTCTCTCCCTATCTCGGCGATCGGGCGAGGGAGCTGGCGGCAGCTGGGGGTTAAAGTGGTTTAGGTGTTGCTTTGGGGCCGTGTCTGAGGGAGAGGCGGGATCGAGTGGCTCTATTGGCGCAGTTGAAGATGGCGAAAGTCAGACCAGTCCTGCCGATGGGCGAGGTGTTGGATGAGCAGAAGGTCGTAGAGGGATTGACGCTGTGTCGTGTGCCCTTTGCTCGTAAGGTATCACCCCGAAGGCCTGCTTGGGTAAGTTTTGGCCCCTTCCTTCACTGAATGGAATTTCTCGCAGCCTGGGAGTTGCACCGCCCCAGCTGTGTGCACGGGCCAAGCGAGTCGTACCTGAGCTCTTGTGGCGTAAGGTATTCCACTTTTAATTGAGGCTGGAGATCCACTTCGCCCGCTTAATGGAATGCTGCATGCGCACTTGCACTTGGGCGAGCTGGGCGCCGGGCGCTGAGTGGACGTCCAGTGGAATCAAAATGGATCTCCCCGCCCGAGGACCCTGGAGAAACGAAACGACATTGCTTCTCATGAGATCTTCTTGTTGTTTTTCTCGATATGGAGCTGATCCATGGCGAAATCATCACAGCCTTTGTCGAACCTCCATCTTGAGCCGTCGATGCCGCAGCCAACATGCTAATTACCATTGTGTACCGGCTTGACTCAGGTCTCCAAAGTCTATTTCAGCAGTCAAGTCCACAATTTCGTCTCCGTGTTTGTCGACTCATCTGTTTCACATCGCTAAATCCATTTTTTCTCGCCAGATTGTATCTTATCAGTTTCTTAGCGTGAACACGTGGCCGGACGCGTGTGCTGACTGAGGATATATCCACCCAAATTTGAGACCATTTCTCTGGGCGGGAATCGATGCAAAGCGGGGATCGGATGCCCGACCTGACGGCGCTCGGCCTTCTTATAAGTCCGGCAACCGCTGCAGGCTTCGAATTCATCGCACTCTGGGTTGCCAAAATATGGTATTCGTTTATCGTTTACTTCTCCGAGTCCTTTCGAGATACCGTCCTATGAGACCTATTCCTGGGGTTCTGTGGCTGTTCTCATGACCCCCACAACTGCAGTTATAGCAGAATGGCTCGAGACGCCTTTCGCCATGCCGCAAATCACCGCAAAATAATCGGAGCACCCGCCGTCTGGCACACGGAAGAGCCGACCGTGGTGGAGCTACAGTCGGCGCCGGGGCGGGTCTGTGCGGGCACATATTGTTCCGCTGCAAAAGACGCTAGCACCCGAAAGGCAAGCGTCGGACCGGGGTCTGGGTAAGCTAAGTGAAATGGAACAACTCCAATTTGAACAACCCATAAAGTGGAGCACCGACTGGAGATGATGGAACTGACAGGGAACCGCGGGGATGAGCCCGGCCCAATTCTCCCCGTTACAACCATCGACAGAATCAAGTGAGGACTCAGGAGTCGCATCGTGTGATGGAGCACGGCTAAGGAGACTTCGACTACCACGTTGCGGCCGGGACACACGATGGCCCACCAACACCTGCGTCAACCGGACACTCCGCTTGAGACGAACCCTGACATCCCGGATCTTGACGCCCAACCTGAAATCCAGCCTGAGCTGCCTCGTCCCCAAGCTCAAGATGTGACCGAACAGAGGGATCCTGATCCTGAGTTCAGATTCGAGGTCACGCAGTTCTCGGACTTTGACGACGACGATGACGATGACGACACCGCTTCGGTCACGTCCTTGAAGGCCAGCATTCTTGACTACCGCCGGGAGAACGGACGCACTTATCACCGCTTCAGTGATGGCCATTATGTTCTTCCGAACGATGCCCTCGAGCAAGAACGGCTGGACATTGCGAATCATATGTGGACTGTCGCCTGGGATGGCAAGCCGTGCCTATGTCCAGCGAAAGACGGCGCCAAGCGGGTCCTCGATCTCGGTACCGGTACGGGCATCTGGGCCCTGGACTACGCCGATGAACATCCTGACGCAACGGTCTACGGCGTGGATCTAAGTCCCATCCAGCCGGATTACGTCCCGCCGAATTGCCACTTTGAAGTCGACGACCTCGAAAGAGAGTGGGCGTGGTCACAACCCTTCGATTTCGTCTTTTGTCGCAACATGATCGGGGCCTTCAACAGTTGGGAATGGATTGCTGGGCAAGCCTTTGAGAACCTGGAACCCGGCGGCTACTTCGAAATCCAGGATAATCTGTACCCGGTTGCTTGTGACGACGGCACCTTGACCGAGCAGCATGCGTTATTCAAGTGGTCGGCCATACTATGTGAAGCCATTGAGAGAATCGGCCGGTCTCTCACCATCGCGTCACGTTTTGAGGAAATTATGAAGAACGCGGGCTTTGAGGCCGTGACGGTCAACAAGCAAAAGCTGCCAGCATCTCCTTGTAAGTTCCAGATTCACGTAAAATACTCTATGGATGATAGACATAAGAGGGAATGGTACAATACTGACTAGATCAAAGGGCCGAAGGACCCAAAACTGCGAGAGATTGGTAGTTGGACACAGGCGGCAACTCTTCCCGGCGTTGAGGGCATAGCCATGGCATTACTGACGCGCGTGCTTGGTTGGAAGCCGGCCGAGGTCCTCGTCTTCTGTGCCCACGTCAGGAAGGATCTCAAGAATCCGGAAATCCACGCGTATTGGGACACTTACTCGGTTTACGGAAGAAAGCCCCTGCCCAAACAGCAGGGTTCTCAGGCACCAAGTCCCCGAGGGGAGGGCTCAAAGGAAAAGAGGTCGAGAGAGGAAAGCCCACAAGAAGATATGCCGCGGAAGGAGCCGCGAGAGGAAAGTCCTGGACGAGAGGACTCAGCATGAGTAGGATTAACGGCGCCGCAACAACTTTCCCCGCGATTAAATGTGTTGCGATGTTCTATTTCTTCACAAAGGCTCTGGCGCGATTCAGTGAAGGCCCACGAGGTGATCAGCCATTGAGGTCGCGAATCTCAGTTTCGTGAAAGCTGAAGGAGAACACCGAGGAAAGGAAACGTGCGGCTTTAAGGCCTAGGACAGGAATTACATTGCTGTACCTTACAGTCTTGCTCCCAAAATCAATCCGAAATCACGGCCATATCTCAGCCAGCTCCGGATACTTGCTCCCGTCAGAGGTGCATGGCTCGATAGCATGTGGCAACAGAAGTGTTGGCTTCACTCGGCTCGGCAAAACCCCGTATTCAGCTTTAGCGAAACGTTCTCTACGTTTGATGCATCCGGCCTTTTGCGATTGGACTTGTATATAGATCGCAGTTTGGCAAGGCTCTCTCCGTATAGAAGCAACTCGTCAGCAAGCTACTTCCGAGACATGAAGTTTGCTTCTACCTCTAGGCAGCACCATTCATCGCCACAGCCAGTAAGAGTCTAGCCTATCACCGCGTCTCGTACAGGCAGGCACTTTATGCAGGCTTCGCTGTGCCACAGTGACACTTAAGGGAGGCATACTCCTGCTGACCACACATCGCTGCAGCGAATCGCATCCATTGTTTCCCGTCGATCTTCTCGGACTCCAACACTACTTATGACCAGACACAGCCTTAATTGAAACCAGTCATCTTCCGCGTCAAGCCTATATCGTCCCTTGATCTTCTCTTCTTCGTTGCACAAAATTTTTGGATATATCCACGTCATGAAGCTCCTCAACTGCGTCAATCTCCAAATCGAGGAATTCTTCGGCTCATCCATCCCCTCTGAGTATGCGATACTCTCGCATACCTGGGAGGTCGGCGAAGTCACTTTTCAGGATCTGAGCGACATTCAGGCCATAGAAGACAAACCAGGCTGGGCCAAGATCAAGCGTGCGTGCCAGCTGGCTCTTGAACAGGGATACTCGCATGCCTGGGTCGACACCTGTTGTATCGACAAGACAAACTTCACCGAGCTGACCGAGGCCATCAACTCCATGTTCAAATGGTACGCAAGAAGTACGGTCTGCTATGCCTACCTGGCAGACGTCGGAGGCGAAAATACGATACAGCTCCAGGACTCACGCTGGTTCACGCGCGGGTGGACGCTGCAAGAACTCATCGCACCGTGTCGTGTCGAGTTCTACGACAAGGACTGGAAATTCCTGGGCACCAGGGCCGATCTCAGCGACGAAATCCAGCAAAGAACGAGGATCCATCAAGATTTCCTGGCCCATTCTGTGGGTGACATCGAAGATCTGCTCACCACTATTCCTCTCGGGTGTCGCATGTCGTGGGCAGCCGGCCGGGTGACTACGCGGGAGGAAGACCTCGCGTACTGCCTCTTGGGAATCTTTGGAGTGAGCATGCCGCTCCTGTACGGCGAGGGAAAGAAAGCTTTCATCAGATTGCAAGAGGAAATCATCCGAGGAACCCACGACACGTCCTTGTTTGCATGGAGTTACCCAAGATCGGAACCCGCACACGAGCCTAGGCAACATTACTTTGGCATACTGGCAGAATCTCCCGACCTGTTTGCGGGCGTGACATCTCTGGAAAGAGTGGTGCAAACTGAACCCACCGAAGTATGACCTGGACTTAGCATTTGACACACTCCCATTCTAACGTCTTCAAAGTACTCAATTACAAACAAGGGCTTTCAGATAATGGCCAAAACTTATGGCCCTTTGAAAACAGGAGACAACTTACACATGGAACTTGGATGGCGCTTGAAAACCGTCGACGGAGCCGGCGACATGGATCTTTTCGTGTTACTCAGAGATCAGGGCGACGGGATACTTGTCAGATCGAGTCCTTACATCGTCCATATCAAATCGAGCACTCACATCGACTACATCGAAAGCCTCAGGTCGATTGCTCCCTTCGCTCGAGAAGAACAGCCACTCACTATTCGGAAAACTATGAACGCACAGCAGTCTTTGGCTTTGGAGACAAGTCACGAGTCTATATATGTCTCAGTGCTGAGAAACACTACGGTGTTGAACACGTTTCCCCAAGAACTATGGGATGCCAGATGCCAGAGGTTCAGAACGAGAGGATTGAGCAGTTTCCTTGGCGTCGTGCACTTCAGAATGCTGCGGCCTATGGTACACGACATGGTTGTAATATGCAGCCTGAAGCACGGAAGCCTAGACGAGCCTCTGGTGTGGCTAGCCGGTGCGGATCAACATCCCGACCTTTTCAATGCAGCCGTGTCGGGTGACCAGGACAGAATTCAAAAGCTGTGCGAGGAGCATGATGGAAAGGATTTGATTTTAGGGGAGGAGTCTGGGTTGTTGGGTAATCTCGTTGGGTGTTGCTGGCCACCATCCTACAAATGGGGGTTCCGAGTCACATATAGTCAAACAACAAGTTTGGACATCTCCCGAAAGCATTCTATCAGTGTTAACTTTGCCAGCTCATGAGTTGGGATCGGAGGTATGATTTACCTAGCTTTCATAGGTTGCTATAGAGTCACAGAACTTGAATATACCAGTAGCGTTATAACTGACCAATTATTTATTGCTACATCCCAAGAAAAAGATGAGACGACGACAAGCCACCAAGCCGCCTCGTTTCGCTGATCTTTTCGTCCTTTCAAGTTTCGGAACGTTGATGAAACGTGTGGAGCTAGTCTTGGTGCCAAGACCGGCAGACTTCATCCCATGTTTGGGACCGGATACTTTAACGTCACTTCTTTCATCTGATGCAAAAGCGGAATGTTTCCTGTGGAAATGTTTTGTAACCTTCTTTCGTTGCCCCAATCTTCGAAGAAAATCAACATGTTGCCTTCATTAGCAATCGTATCTTTCGTCTTGGCGTCCTGTTCCGCGGCGTCGTCAGAGGCCCAAGCGCAACTCCAAGGGGCGCGAATCTGCCCTCTATCACCCCTGCAAGAGTCGCTTTTGAGATGTTCGACTTGGGATGTTACGGAAAAGGAGATTATCGACGCGGATCGAAGTCGACGGAATGTCACGAGACCAAGTGAGCCTCTGGGGTGGACCGGGCCTCATGGGTGCGCCGGAAACTACTGCTTGTTCGCCAACCGGGGTTATGCGGGCGGACGCGGGGTCGTTATCATCTCAACACCAGAAAACGTGCAAAAGCTGAAGAAAATGGAAGAAGGGTTAGATATGCAGAGCGAGAAGGACCCGAGCTCATCAAATCCGCCGTTTCGCATCACTGAGGTGGAAGGAAAAGGGCTAGGCATGATCGCCAACAAGAGCCTGGCGAGAGGCGACACGGTCATGCTCAAGACGGCGGTTCTCATCGCTCACCGCGCCTTCATCGAGCACACGCCGCCGGAAGAGCAACGGCCTCTTCTTGATGCCGTGGCGGGGCATTTGCCCTCGTCAACAAGGGAGACTTTCCTTGGTCAAATGGGTCACTTTGGCGGCCACAAGGTCACAGACATCATGCAGACCAACTCATTCCAGATGGATCTCGGCGGCGGCGCTCAAGGCGACGGCCACCACTACGGCAACTTCCCTGAGGTATCACGATATAATCACGACTGTCGGCCCAACGTCGCCTTCCACATCAGCGACTCCGACGGTCGCCACCGGACCACGGTCGTGAAGCCCGTGAAGCCCGGCGAGGAGCTGACGATATCGTACCTCGACCAGCTCGACCCGCGCTCCGTGCGACAGCACCGGGCCAAGCTGGCCTGGGGTTTCGAGTGCGGGTGTTCGCAGTGCGGGCTGGCGGAGAAGCAGGCCGCGGCGTCGGACCAGCGGTTGATGGATATCCAGGAGATCGAGCGGGCGCTTTCGGACATCAACGCCAGGGTCACGACTGCGCTGATTGAGAAGTTCCTGAAGTTGTATCGGGACGAGAGGTTGGAGTCGAAGCTGGCGGGCGCGTACACCATCGCGGCGCTGAACTTCAATCTGCTCGGACATGCGAAGCAGGCTGTCAAGTATGCGAAGCTGGCGGCGGAGGCGGGTGTTATTGAGAATGGTGCTGGAGCGCCTGATGTCGAGGCGATGAGGACGTTGGCGGCGGATCCGAAGAAGCACTTCACATGGAGAGGAAGGATGAAATGAGATAAAATAGACGGGTAGGTCTAGATATATAGAAGAAACCTCTATACCAAGACGGCTTAGGAGCCGGGTACTGATTTGCGTGAATTTGCCGATCAGGTCCCACACGGGCGGGCTTGCTCCGCGAATGCGGCCGGGAAGACGGAATCGTTACGGAGCAATGCCGGAGTCGGCCGTAAGAAAGATAGACATCTAACGTTCTCCCTCTGGTTTCAATGCACAAACGAGTTATTAATGTCAAGGACAAAAAAAAAAGCGTTGTGCTCCGAAGGGCCTTCTGTCCAAGGCCATGACTCGGCGACTCGCATAATGTAGTACTGAACCGACTTTTGACACGGCGACTCGAATGATGCTCACAGATTCCAAAACGCTGATGGCCAACAAAGAAAACCCCGGCTATTTTTGAATGTAACTGCCAGTCGAGTAAGCAACCCCGCTGCCATCGTGGTGTGTGTGTGGATGTCTCACCCAACACGTTGTGTGCTGCCGGTAAAGATCGCGATCAAAGACACAATGGGAGGGGCAACATCCTCTAGCCTCAGGAACAGGCTGCCAACATGGTAAAGCAACAAAGCCACGGAAACCCTGCGAAGCGATTGACAGCGGACAGAAAAGGAACGAGTGGGTGGTGTGTTGGAGGTGACGGCCCCCAGGTGCGGGTGGAGACCCCGGGCTTCCAGCACTGCCGGAACGCCCACCCCGGAGCATTGGCCAATGGCGACGGCGGACGGGGCGGGGGTCTTCGGCGTCTTTTTTCCAACTACCAGCCACCGGACGGCCAGTGACGTAAACGTGATGGACCGGTCTTCCCACAGAGTCACATCGCGAGTAACTTTCTTACCGGCATCGCAGGTTTTGGTCCGTTGCCTCGGCCAGGAGCGTGTGTGTGTGTGTGTGTGTGTGTGTCGTGGGGATCTTCCTCGCCAACGTTGCGCATTCGCAGTGTCTTTGTCGGGATGCGTAAGGTAGGGAGAAACAACTTGCAGGCCATTCTCAAAGAAAAAAAGCTTTCTCCCTTGAACGATGATTCGACCGATAAATAAGCATCAAAGAGACGATCAAGGACGTGTGGAACCGACATACCTCGTCTCGTTGGAGCTAGAATCCCATCCAGGTCATGATGCGGGCTGTACGGAGACCCGGCTCTGCAGAGGGTCCAGTGTAAGTCCAAGATCTGCCTTGCGACGAGGGGGGATCCGACCAAGATATTCCCGCATTCTGCGTTTCCCGCCCACGTTCACAGCAACACCATTCGCTCTCGATGATGACCGGATCACTGCATTCTCTGCCTCTCGACATCCCTACCCCTGCTGCCCGTCACATCGATGCCATGACTTGCAGACCCAGCCCCGTCCTTCGGCCGGGGGGCGGTTCTGGTCGACTCCTCCATCAGGCAGGTCGGTACCGCAGGGCCTTCTCCGTCCGGACGTGAATTCTTCGTCATTCGGCTGTCACCACCACAGTATTTATCCTTTTCAATTCCCGCGTTGTAGAAAGCCCATCGTGGTGCCATCCGAATCTCCTCTCCCTCGGGTGCCGTTGACCGTTATCCCCAACCGACTCATCGCGCCGTATCCTCCAAAGTCACCACGATGGCGCCAGTAACAACACACGTCCTCGATGCCTTCGCGGAACACCTCGCCCCGCGCTCGGCAGCACCGGCGGCCGCACCACCGACCAAAACCCTCCCCCTCGCCCTGCGCGAGATCCTCGCCCGCCAGGTCGTGGTGACGGTAACCCCGACCCCCGAGACCACGCAGGAGAGCGCCTCGAACAGCAGCAACCTCAGCGGCGGCGCCATCGCGGGCATCGTCATCGGCTCCATCGCCGGCTTCCTCATCCTCCTCTGGATCCTCAAGTCCTGCGGCGTGTGGGGCCGCCCCAACACCTGGGGAGACCGGGACGACGACGCCGTCGACCGGAGGTACCGCGGCAGGTCGCCCGGCTCGCGCCACCACAGGAAGCACCGCCACCACGCGCACCACTACCACCACGAGACGTCGAGGTCGAGGAGGCGGCCCTCGTACGAGGTCAACGAGGTCCGGTACTCGCAGCCGGTGGTGTACGAGAAGAGGAGACCCAGCGCCTCGCCGAGGCCGCCGGCCGCCGTGTACCGGTCGAGTCGGAGCAGGACTAGGTACTAGTCTGCGCTGCCGTCGGGTTTCATATCATCTCGAAATACATGGGCTTCTTTAGACGCGTGAGAAGTCATCTGGGCGGCAATCTGAGTTCAAGACAAGAGAGTGAAGGGTACATTAATGGCGCCGAGGTTCTTTTTATGAGTTGACGAAACTTCACGTTCAATATTTGGTAAAATGAGCGTAACTATATAATGCATAAAGCGGTTAAGCAATTCCATGATGTTTCGACATGTTTTGTTTGCATTTCCCTTCGGGCCGGCAGCTTGACGCTTACCGTTTCGCGATCTGATATATGTCCATGTTGGACATGGACGACCTCATGCACGTTGGTATTCAAACTTAGTAACTTGTACATCACTCACAAGAATGCTTCGATGGCTCAATAGTCGAGTCTCGCGACTAATCAGCTCTCTTCAAGTCGTGGCCATGTTGATGAATAAGAAGCAGTATTTCATGTGATTTCGGTCAAGTTGTATTAGACACACAAGGCTGGCTTCCTCCACTGTATCTGTAGACTCCATGCCTTCTATGAACCTTCCCCGTGTACTTCATGGCCTGTCCCTACGACTCCCAAAGCATGTCCCATATCCCAGTATAACGCCCATCAAGAAGCCATCATCATAGAAACCAGCTGACGCTCAGCCGGACTTTGCCTTGTTCTTCTTGACCCAGTCGTACCACTTCTTGTACTCCTGGTACTCCAAGGATTCCTTTTTGCCCTGATATCGAACCACCTTGAGCTCGACGTCCTGCCACTTGTCCTTGCGGCCCATCCAGCCGGCCTTGCGCATGAGGCTCACCAGCGTCTCCTCCTTTGTCCACTCCTGCTCAACAGCGACATCGGGAAGATACGTCGCGCCATATCGCTTGCCATGGTAGATGAAGCTGATACGCAAGCCATGCACACCCAGAGTCCAGTCCATAGGGTCATCACAGTCTTCGAAGTCGGTGAGCAGCGTCACGGCCACCTCAAGCGAGGGAAGCTCCGAGGTTTCAACGGGCGGGAAGCGCATGTCGTGCAGCGCGGAGGTCAAGCTGTAGCTGGACAAGCCGTCCTCGAGCTCCTGCGGCTCAAAGGTGCCGATGCAGCCCCGCAGCGAGCGGTGGCCCGAGCGGGACGAGACGGTGTTCCAAGTGACGAAGAGGGGAAACTCGGTGACGGTATCATCGTCGTCGTCGTCGTCATCGTCGTCTTCATCTTCGGCGAGGGAGTCGACGGAGGTCTCGGGAGTCTCGGCGGGCAGGGAGAGGCTGGAGCCGGAGGAGGCGGAGCCCGAGTCGCTGGCGGGTTCGGCGAGGCGCTGCAGGGCCGGGAGGAGCTTCTTGGAGGTATCCTTGCCGTCACCGAGGCCCGGCGACAGGGTCTTTGCGTACTCGGGCCATGAGCGCTGGATTTCCTTGAGGGAGAGACCCCGCCGCTTGTCCAGGTGCGAAGCCAGCGCCTCGAAGCAGTACAGGCAGTGTTCCACAGTCGCCATGAGCTCGTTTCAAGGGAGGGAGATGGAAGGGAAGGTGGCGAGAGTGGCGTGGTGTGTGTTCTGGGAGAGCGAGCGAGCGAGCAGCAGTGGAATGGAATGAGCTTCAGAGCCGTCCGCGGTGTTGTTCTGGGCTGGCGGTCGCACGAGGTCAGCAGCGGACGATGCGGAGATGGAGCAGATTGGCACGTTTTGGAGGTTGGAGAAACGGTTAGGTTGGAATGGATTAGAGGTCAGGTTGGCAGTTGGTAGCTCTGGTTATGTCACTGGCTGAGAGGAGACGTGAACTCACAGCTGGCACTGCTCACAGCTGCAGCTGAACCCCACCTCTCTCCACTCAGATAACGCAACCCCGCGATTGACCGAGCTAAAGTTGTGCATTGTGCAGCTGAGTATATGCAAGGAAATATGTCTGTGCTGGAAGACATAAAAAACTGCACAAGTTTATGCTGTGTCCGAGCAATGACGACTTCCAAGCTTTCGAGAGCTTGGCCTTACCTAAGCAGTCCGCTCGGGAGAAACGGCGTCGATCAAAGACTAAAAATAAGACCGGGCCGCTCAAATGATTTTCCTGCCTCAAACTACCCCTGAACATCGACGGCACAGGGGTAGGCCAGTTTCGAAACGCCTCCTGAACAGGAACGACTCTGGTCCGAACACCTTCATCCCGTCAAGCCTGAACTGTCGAGGCCGCCCAGTCCAGCTGCCAGGGAAAGGGTCTGTCAGTTCTGGACCTCACACAACCTCCCCCTCCCACATCCCACGCGAGGGAAATCCCACATCCCCAGCCTCTGGCTAAGCTTCACAATAAGGTACACCGGGGTGAAGACTTGGCATCGCCGGGGTTCACACGTTAAACCCCGCCTTCCCCTGCTGACTTTGCTACCGGAACTTGCTGGAAGCGAGCGGCTTCTTGTATGATCTTCGCTCGTCCGAGCCTGGCAACCAGGCTTTTGTGACACGGCACTCACTTAGACTAGTGGGCCGCTCCTACGCGTCTTCCTCGTCACAGCCCAGTTTCAGACGTTTGCCCGCCAACTACCCTTCGTCTCTTCACGCTTTCTCTCCCGCGATCAGCCCTCTTGGGACTGTTGATCTCGCCCACTCTCATTACGTTGGAGAAAGTGGGCGGACGCCCTGGGTTCATGGTTCGCTTACCTCTCTGTCGTCGAACCCCTCCTTGGCGTGGTTCCTGTTAGTGCGGCGACACGCCGGGAAGTCCCTTGTTTTCCGCATCATTGATTCGTTGACAAGTTGCCCCTTTGGGGTTGAGGTCGTGGCTGGCTTGAGGCCAAGCACTGGTGGTCGCGGGCTGCGGCGACGACGGCCAGGGATGGAACCGGGCGGAAGGGCCCTGACCGCTGGTCTCAACTCTCAACTCGATGGGCGCCGGCGCAACGACTGTGAGTTCCAGTCAGATTTTTGGATGACAGGACTCTGGATGGCCCGGCACCCGTGCGCCACTTCAACTCCTTCCCCTATACCGGTCTGATGTATGATATCGATGGTGATACTTGGCGCAAAACCCCTGAGGGTGCGTGGCCCTCGACGAGATACAAATACCTCCGTCTCCTTCCCGTGTTCCGTTTCCTCTGGTCTCGTTATCCAACCAACAAACACTCCCTTTCATCACAACTTTGACTTTTCGTCTTTCTCTTCTTGTACAGGAAATTATCTGCTCGTCGCCGGCCGACTCTCGTTCGAATCACCAAAACAACTACCGTCAAAATGAAGTACTCTGCCATTCTCATCGCCTTCGCCGCCGCCTTCGTCGCCGCTGCTCCCGCTCGTATGTTGTCTTGAAGAGAAGCACAGGATGACTTGGTACTAACGATGTATACAGAGGCCGACAAGCGCCAGGAGGCCAACGCCGTCCCCGTCAACGAGGCTGCCATGACCGACGCCAACGGCAACGTCGTTCCCTTCAACGCCGCCAGCGTCTACCAGGCCAACAAGGAAGCCGGCCTCTAAATCACAAACTCGACATCTATGTACGAGGAGGATTGGATATAGGGGTCGAACGCTTCACGAACTGCAACAAACATACAACATCAAGAAACGCCTGTAATCTCATAATCTGGCGGACAACACCGGGATGGGACATACAAGGCGAAATAGGCATCATGGCAAATCGATCAACGATATTGGCTTTATTTTGATCCGGGACCGGATTCAACGGAAAGGGTGCCAGTTACTCCAAGCCCCTTTGGGCAGATAATACTTCAATACACTCGGTTGGCATGGGCAACGACTCGTGCATATGCCAACCATTTTTTCTCACAGAAACTTCTCTCTTACTAGAACCAACTTCTTCTCATGTCGTCGTCACGCGCATTGCACAGGGCGCCCATTGTCAATGCTCCTGGCCGTCTGTCACCAGCCCTCCATCTTGTCAAACTGACTCGAGAATGTCCTTTCGAACTCGTCCGAGCGAACAGGGTGATCCGACTGGTTGCTATTTCTGATTTCTGAGTCTCGGGGATCTTGGGAGACCAGGAAAGACTTGGTTGTAAGCTTAAACGCGGAGAACCCACCAGAGTGGGTGAGATGACAGGGATTGCTGCAACGGTGAAGCAAGTAGGCAAGCGAGAGCCGGGCTCGCTTCAGCCGCCTGGGGCAGTAGCCCAGGTATCCACGGGTGATGAGCCGGGGGTTTTGTTGTTTGGACGGGCTCAGCCACGATTCATCATTTCTAGCGCGGCTCCAGTCTGCTTCAGAAGGAAGGATTGAATAATTCCGTCAAGTCATGGGTGTTGTTTTTCCGATTGGGGTTGCAGAGAACGCGACTGCCTGAATCTGGATCTTTCGTCCAACGGATTACACAATTCCCCCGTCCAGAAACCTGCAGCCTGGAGTTGCCATGGCCGCCATGGAGTTACAGGGTCTGGTCGGTCAGTTGGTTGGGGCATTTTCAACGACGAAGTTCCTTGCGCGATCCACTCTTCCTCCGTCCCAGGACACCGCAGGAAGAGACGAGGATCACTCCATTAGAGTTTGTGTCTGATGTTTCGTTAGCGTTGGGAGAGAAGGCAGGTTTAGAAGCCATGGGTATCGCATTCCGGTCATCTGGGTCGTTGGGAACTTCAGAACCGTTCAAGAAGGTCGATCTGACGAAAGTGTCCGACGGCAATGCACTTTGAAGGTGGCATCATGACATGACATTGACAGGACGGGTGAGCGGGAAGGATGACGGCATCCTTGAACTCAGTTGTCTCGTCGACTCTAAGATTTTGTAAGTTGCTCCTAGTTCCTTTCCTGAGCGTCAAGGTAGGCTAGGCAGCGTATTGATTAGATGATGGTTCGGATCTTATGCAGATCCTTAAGCCATGAAGGTTGATGCGTAGCCAGTGCTCATCTTGAGACGAATCCTTCAACGTGACCAGCATCGGATCCGTGGGCATCCGCGTTGAGAAGAAAGTGGAACTTGCAGTGGAAGAGGCGTTAGGTAAAGCATCAAGAGCCCCGGTAATTAAGAGCAGCAAACGTGGATGTTGGAGGAGAATTTAGGAGAAATGCTAAAAGCCAAAACGAGGAGGAATAGACGAAAAACGCCAAGAGCTCGGGCCCACCTCAGTCAGACCTGTGACATTTCCTTTTCCTTCCATCACAATACAGTCTGCCTCACGCCGTCCTTGGACGATCGAAATCATCATGGCACGGTGCTCCCTTCATTTTCCACCTTCCTGCTGCTCTGAGTCTGCCAGCTGTCAGCAATCCAACACCTGTCCCTGGAGCACACAAGTTCCAAATTCCACCACCAACACCAACACCAGAAATTGCCAACAATTGCCAACAATCAATGTCCCGACTTCCCTGCGCCTCACATGCCAGCCTGCTGCGCCAAGACCATAAAACAATGGGACTTGTTCCGTTCAGTTGGGCTTCAGAGTCGCACCCAATGTAACCGTCTGCATGGCCGGCCTCAATTAAGCTCGTCGTAACAAGCGAGCTTCGCCGACCCGACTTCACCATTGGATCTTATCTCACCTTTCCCACCGACGACCATCTCTCACCTCCAACCCTTCAGATTGAGCTTGACCTGCAGTCTTATTGATCACTGCCACAATCGCCTGCACGACAACTCAGAGCAGGCGGGTACCGCACCATTCACCAGCACCAGCACCTGTACCTGCACCTGCAGCTTCGAGCAGGGACCAGACCAATGTTTTTCGTCCCTGGCGTCAGCATAGCGATGGTTCTCAAATTAGCCTGGAGCTAGGCCCCTTTCGACTTATCCCCACCGTCAGCCCTGTTGGAAATGCCGTTGCCCTTCTCTTCGGCTCTGGGGGAACCAAGCAGACCTCACCACATCATCAAACGGACCAACGAAACCGGCCCAGTTCTCCACGTTAGACCTTAGCCCGACACAGCTCGGCACCGACGTCCTCTCGAGCTTCCGGCTACTACACCCTCTCTCCTCTTTCGCCAGGCCAGTTCCCATCCATCAGAGGGGTACTGCCTCCAAGTCGACCCAGAAGATGACACACTCTCCCTCTGCTTCCCTTGCGCGGGATTCTCACAAGTGGATCGAGTTGATTCATTCTGCTTTGCGCAGCCACCACAAGCGCGTCTCATATTTCTCGACTGATCCTTCAGGAAGACGACAAGCGCGTAGCGAGATGACCAAACCAACCCTACATCTGCTCGACCCTCCACCGACCTTCCAGAGCCGCAACTCCGGATTCCCGCGTTGCCTGTTCTGTCCGCCATCAGCCAGGTTAAGCGAAGAAACGGGGCAACATACATGGCGATGGCAGGCTGTGAAGCTCATCAACCAGGCAAACTTGGCGCTGCGGCCCACCTCCAACCCAAAGTCCCTTTCCGGCCATCTATGCAACGTCCCTGGATTTTTGTTTTGACTGCTTCTCCGCGAGTGCGGATAGCAGCCAACCAGCAGATCGATCAACACCTGTGGGTGTCGTCAGCACACGACGTGCCTGATCAGTTCCTGAGCCGGTGCTCCCTCTCTCCAGTAACAAAGGGAAAACATGCGCAGATGATGGCGTCCGGTTGGCTAGCCAGATCAGACAACGCGAAAACCGCATGGCCGCAGTCTCAGCCGCAAACGCCATCCGATGCGTCACAGTGGTCACAGTGTTGCGGGCTTTTCATTCAATATTTCGACATCCAGCCTGCCCGCCCTTGCGTGACGCCTTGATGAGGTCGAACGGAAGGGAACCGCGCGGACGTGCGTCAATACTGGCCAGAAGGCGTTTAATTTCCTCCATTGCTCGAGACCCTCCAACATGCCCCTAGCTGTCTCTGCTAGGCTCCAACGAGTAACTAGTGATTCCCCGATGATTCCGCCATTCCATACTCTGGAGTCTCTCCAGGGACCCCCATCACGCCCTCCGCCTGGGCTTGAACCGGGTTGGGCTGCCAGGGGAGTGAGGTCTTTTTGGCGGGAACCTGAAGCTCTCCGTCCAATAGCACCATCGTGGCTGATCAGATTCACCGCTTTCATATCAAGAGCGACAGAGCGGCTCCCTAAACCCCGACTGGGTAGCCGATCCGCCCATCCCCAAAGCAAGCTCGGCGTAGAGCCGCTTCTCCCATACAAGGCTTAGTGTCCTCCGGTATGCTGCAGCCTGGCGATGGGGGGCTGCTCACCTCTTGCCATTTGCTCATTTGGATGTCCCAGCTCCCTGGGTGATGTGATTTTATATATAGCAATGGCAGCACACATGCCCCATAACAGAGTTCTGACAGCCTGGGCTTGCCTCATCACAGCCTCACTCACCCCCGCGTCTCTCGGGCCCGGCTCCGATCGAATCCTTGCCCATCCATCGTTTGTTTGTTGCCCGTCCAGAGCTTCTTTGCTTATAACCACCCGGGATCGCCTTGTGTCGGAACTAGTCTCTCTCAGCCTCAAACAACATCTACGGTGCCAACGGACATCAAAGCTCCCTTAGAAAAGCCGACCCCATCACCAACCAACAAAAATGGTCCTCCATCGCCAACAAGCTCAGTTCGACAGGGCAAGATGGCGCATGGCGCTATTGCTGCCATTCTGGATCCTTCAGCTGCTCGTCCTTCTCACCGTCATCGGCCTCTTCTCATGGCGTCTGTCAGACACTCTCCAGAACTGGGATTCCGAGGTCGAAACGAAAGGGATGTTTCCCACGGTTGAAGTTGTGTAAGTCTTTGAAGCCTCTGGACAGAATCTTCGACAAGTCAACTAACCCCTTGCTCAGATGGGAGGCTGTCAACATCGCATTCTCCTTGCTCTGCCTCGTCGCCACCATCTACGAAGTCTCAAAGCTCGCCGCTGAGACGTTGACACCATGGACCATGCTCTTCACCCACGTCCTCAAGTTAGTCGCCTCCCTGGCAGTTCTAGCCCTCGACGTCGTCGTCTTCGTCCAGAGAAAAGACAGCCATTACTCCGTGGTCGGTCTCGGTTTGGACTGCTTTATGATGTAGGTCTCCCAAACACCGCCAAAACATAACACAAAGCTGACCACGCCCAGTCTCCTCATCTCCGTCCCCGGCTTCTACTCGATCCAAACATACCGCCGCCTCGCAAAGTACGACGACTACCACTACCCCGTCAACCACAAACCCTACGGCTTCAACGACCTCGAGCAGAACACAACCTACAACAGCCGCCTCTCCATCGGCGCCCTCTCCATCGGCGACCGCTCCCTCCGCCGCATCTCCACCTCCTCCGTCAAGAGCGGCAGCAACACCCCCAACGCCCCCCACCAAACCCAACAACAGCAACAACCCCAGCAGCCCGAGCCGAAGCCCCTCCAGCGCACCCCCTCGCAGTACAACAACGAACGAGACACCCAGTTCGACAGGTACATGGTCGAGCGCGCCATGACGACCGAGTTCGGCTGGGCCGGCAGCCCGCCCGCCGACAACCCCCTCGCGCGCAGCGACAGCTACGTCGGCAGCGGGTCCGTCACCAACGGCAAGGTCGTGACGCGGGAGAGCATGGGCCGCGTCCCCAGCTGGGGCAGCTCGCACGTGCTCGTCGCCGTGCCGGAGATGGACGAGGACGACGCGCCCGGCCGCGGGGACAGGCAGGCCCTTTTGGCGGGACACAGGAGGCAGGGCAGTGACGACAGCGTCGGGCCGAGCACGACGACGACGACGCCTTACCACGCGTACCAGCCGCCCTCGTCGAGGGTGTCGCCGCCGGTTATCCAGGTCGAGGAGTCGGATATCACGTCGGGCACTTTTGTCGCGGAGGTTGAGCGCAAGAGGAAGAGGAGTCAATGATTTTTTACTTTCGTTTTGGCGGTGAAAAGAGGGGGGGAACGATTATACCCATGAGCTTCTTTTTCTCCTTCATATTTTGCATTATTTCTTTCGTTTCGGACGGATGAGACTCGATGGATTGTACATATTTTTTCACCCATCTTCTTTCCTCGTCGGCTACATTATACCATGGCGTTTCACGATACGGAGGACACAACAAAAAGGGGAGACGGGACGGGACGGGACGAGGAGGTGGTTCGAGATCCCGGGAAGGGAGGGGTCTGGCCATAGGACACCCTCGCTTAGAGAGAACGTTTATACAACGAGGCCGTATTCACTTCATGCTTATCATCGCATTTTCGATGGTTTCATTTTTGCGAATCACTTCATATTGTCTTTTGCCCTGCATCGCGAGTGAATGGACGGTTCTGGTTTGGACTAAACGTGAATCTGTATGCTGTAGTCCGACCGCCCGATGAGCGAACATGTCACATTCCTACGAGGCGGAATCCCTCATCCTCCAGCCTAACTCGCCACCCTCTGCCCCATCTCGAGTAACAAACTCGTCATCCCGAACCTCGCCTGAGCATTCGATAGCACAAGGCAGAGTTCATCCGATGACGCCACAATACACGAGGCGAACATTCCATAAAGACGAGTCGAAAGGATTTGACGTTTGACGACGGAGAGGATTTTCATCCGTACGTACACATCTTGCATATTTTTTTCGTCTGAAGGATCAGTTGATCTGTTTTGGTCCGATGAACCAGAGCGTCGGGGCGCACGCACGGGCCGTGGCGATGGGATGACTGGGCTGCCCGGGCTGTGTTGCTTACACGGATCCTCCACTGGATCTTTTCGTCATGGGCTTAGTTGAGGCGAGAATCTCACGTTATTGTTTTTGGATACTAGCTGGGTTTTGTGTCGTTTGCTGGTTTTTGGGGGTTTGGATCGGGAATCTCGATTCGGGTTTTGTCCCTGCCAACAATGGCCAGGCTTGATTACGCCCGAGGTTGGAAGATACTGGGAGGCTGTGGAGGATCGTGTGTCACTGGCATATGCATGATGGAAAGGATTGGCCACGGCACGTTGTACGATTGGGATCCTGTGGGGTGCGTTAAGTAGTATGCAGGCAGCTTCTGTTTCTCATGTGGATGAGATGGCGTTTACTTTGGGCAAGTCAAAGTCCTCAGTTGCACAAAACCAGAAACGCCTCTTGTGGCACCTCACGAACGTCAACACGTCGTCCGTCGGTGGGGGAGTGTCACTGTCTACCACCTCATCACTTCGAGGAATCGAGTTTTGAATTCTCGGATTGCGTCGCAAAGTCAAATTCTGCAAGACGAACGCCGAAGATTCCAGACCACAAGCGCTGACAGCCGAATGAACTGGTGATCACCCGGGAATCAAGATCTCCCGTCATCATGTCCGGTCAGCATACCCGCTCAGCGAGACCCTACAAGGGTACCCGTCCGTGGGATGCGCCGCGCCCGCCTCCACCATAAACACCCTCTGCCCACCGAGACCGCTGAGGTCCAGCTTCTTGTCCCCGTCGAGCTCGGCGAAGGAATCCCTGATGTCGAACTCCCTCACGGTGCAGGCCAACACCGCCCTCGCCTCCGTCATGACGAGCTGCTGTCCGACGCACAACCTCGGACCGTACTCGAAGATCCGCCATCCGCCTCGCGGCGGGTACAGCTCGTGCCCCGGATCCGTGACGAGCCAGCGCTCCGGGATGAACTCGTCGGGCCGCGCCCAGTACCTCGGGTTCCTCCCGATCATCCAGTGATGCATCGACACGGCGATGCCGTCCGTCGGGTACAGGTTCCCCTCGGCATCTTTGAGGACCAGGTCGGGGGACCCTTGGCGGATGCCGCCCGCCGGGGGGAACATGCGCAGGGACTCTTTGATGCAGGCGTTCGTGTAGGGCAACGAGTTGAGGAGGCTGGGGTTCGCGGCGATCTGGGCGGGCGCGGAGGCCGGGTCGACGCCGAAGACCTCGTCGTGCTCGGCGCGGACCTTGGCGAGGATCGAGGGGCGGGTGTAGATGTTGTGGAAGCAGTAGACGATGGTGGCGGCGGAGGAGTCGTAGCCGGCGAAGAAGAACATGCGCATGTTGCGCGTCATGATGCGGAGGTAGTCTGCGTCGAGGGTGTCGCGGTTGGCGTTCTGGGGCTGGGCGAGCCAGTTCTCGATGGCGCTGTCGAGGACGGACTGGAACTTTTCTGTTTTGTCGCGGTTGCGGACCTTGTTTTCGCGGAGGACGTCGAAGCGTGCGTTGATCTGCTCTTTGATGTGGTTGTCGAGGATTCTGCCGCCGTTCCAGGTGCGGAATGTAAGGAAGGGGTCGATGCGGGAGAGGATGTTTTCGGGTTTGTGGGAGGTGAACTTGAGTTTGAGCTGGCCCTTCATCGACTCGGCCAAGGGATGTTTCTTCGTTTGGGTGCTTAGTTTCACGTTGAGCAGGACCTCGCCTATGATGTCGGTGATGAGATCCAGCGCGAGAGGCTCCAGGCGGAACATGTCCCCATTGCGAGCCTGTTCCCGTAGCCTCTCCACGAAGACCTGAATGCAGTCGACGATGATGGGGACCTCGGCGGTGATGTTCTGGTTGCTGAAGCTGGGGCTGAAGAGGGTTTGGAGGTGCTTCCATGGCCGGCCGTTGGTGTCGAACTGGCTGGGCCCGCCGGTGATGGGGTGGAACCAGCCGACGAGCATGGGCGGTTTCTGGGAGCCCGAGACGGGGTGGTAGGCGGCTTGGTGGGCCATCTCCGGATCGGTGACGACGAGGATCGGGTCGGCCATTGGCCAGGTGTCCATGTAGAAGGCGCCATTGGGGTAGGGCTCGGACAGTTTTGCGAGGACGTAATTTGCGTGGACGCCTGGCGGTAAGCTATCGAAGGCCTTCTTGGCCTCGAGGAGGTTGCCGAAGAGGAAGTTGTGAGGCACAACGGGCTGTGATATCGTGAGCGAGATGGCATAAGGTAAGAAGTTGCAATGCTTACCAGTCCTTGCTTCTTCAGGTCGGCCATTTTGCCGCGGTGCTTGAGCAGCAGCTTGACAACGTACAGCACCGAGCCGCCGACGGCAACCAAGATGGCCGCCGCGATGGACCTCACGAACATGAGAAGAATGCCCTCCATGGTCTAAATCAGGAAACACGACGATGAGATGTGTCGCGTGTCTTGTCCAGGCGGGTGCACGAGCCTGTGCTGGGTGGAGATGACAGCTGGGTGACAGCGTCAATGCTGCTTGGCTTGAGTCGTGATTCCCTGATTTCTCACCGTCGAGACGCGCTCGAAGCAATTGCGGCGGTCGCGCAAATGAAGCTTGATATCGCACGGCCGAGGTGAAGATGACGGGAAAGCCGGAAAGTTTGCGACGGAGCAAGCTTTAGCTTAACGGCCGTCGTTGAGAAGGACCCTTGAATGGTGCCACTGACGGAGACGTGCGCTTGGGGAAAGGAAAGGACCCTTGAATTGCGATGAAGGCGCCCCAAAACTCTGGATGAACCATGCCGCAAAGCCATACAAGAAAAAAAAAATCAATGACACCACAGGAACTTGAACCAACTGGATTGAGTCGTCCTATTCGCTGAGCAGTCCCTAACCAGTAAGCATTAATCTCATATGAGGAGGTTGATTTCGCTAGGGCCATTCTGTGGTAATTTGACCTCCCTTTCCCCGCCCGCCCGGTTGATGGACGCCAAGGTTCGTTTGTCGCCTCAATCGATGATGAGTTCATTTGGACCTTTTGTGCTGACGTTCAATCTTGTTGAGGTTGATATCTAGTGGTACATCCGTGATCAAGTTCTAAAATAAGATGCAGCAAGAGCAATGGCGCTAACTCCATTGAACGCCCCAAATGTCCATTTTTGTGTTGTACAATCCCATTTCCCCAAAGGTCGAGCTTGGATTCTCTCCTTCTATTGTGACGCCTCAAACTCCGTGAATTGTATGCTCGCCGATGCCTTCATGTAGTCCACCTGATAGTATTCGCCTGCTTTCCGAATCGTCTAGTCAAATTCCCTGGCACGTCGATAGCTCGAGTTCCTCAGTAAGCCCTTGGAACGCCACCAGCTAATCCCACGGCAACGGAAGATGTGAGGAATTCCGTGTTGTTGTAGACTTGCTTGCAGGTCTGAGGTGGTCTGTCCTGGGAGAAACCGTGGCTGTACGCGTCTCCGAGGATGATCACATCTGGCGTTTGGGTTCCTGGCTTCTCGTCTCGGCGGACAACGACCAGCGACTCCTCCCGCGACATCATCCAGATCTCGTCACCAGCTTTGGCGCCGCGTGGGACCAACACCAAGGCCTCGTGGTCGTGTGTCAAAGCTAGCCGGCGAGTCTTGTCCTTGACGAAGACATCGAGGAACGGAATCTCGGTTTTCGTGATTGCGGCGAGAGGCCCGCTCCCTGAAACGGCGTCGGTGAGAAGATTCCTATCGTCGAGAGCCCAGAATTGTCGGAAGCCTGCAGGGTCTTCTCCGGCGTCGATGGCCTTCTCAAAGTCGCCCAGGCCGCTCAGCCCGTTCAGCACGGGACTGAGGAACCTGCTGAATGATTGGATGATTTCGTCTCTGGTGAATCCCTCGGGATACCTCTCGGTTGTTGTTTTGCTTGGGGTGTCGGCGGAGAGCGTTCGCATGAGTGTGTTCATGTGGTATTCTTCTGCTGGGTTTGGGGAGTGGACTCTGTAGACGAGGGTGAGAAGTTTGACGAGTGGTAGGAGCTGCTTCATGTACGACAACTCCTCGGATACATCTTCGATGGTGTCGACGTAGGTGCAGCTGAGGGGCGCCTGTTCTGATTGGAGGTCGCCCATGGCGGTGCTGTCGTCGTGTGTTGTGGGAAGCTTCATGGCCGTACAGATAGATGCGGTTGGTTGTGTTGGCGAACAGAAACGGGAAAAAAGGGTCACGGGAAAACTGGCACGGGTTGAGACATATATGCCCGACGTAGCCAAGACTGTCGTCACCACCGGCAACTGCAGGGTCATAATGGTCTTATCTGGGGCAGACTAGGGTTTCCGAGTTGCCGGTAGTCTCCTGACAGGGATACCGAGGGGTCGCATAGCGTGCACCTGTGGTACTCGATCTTGAGAGAGGCAATTACGCTTGGTTAATAGTAGGTAGGTATCCGTACGGATATTCATCAGACTAAGCGAGTCGGCCGTGGCAGCTAGGGGGAATTAGTTGCGTAAACCGTCGGGTCCTTTCTCAAAATGGGTGGAATAGGAGTCAGGACTGACGGGGCCAAGACAGGCGACTATGTCATGCGTATGGGGATAGTGAAAGCTTGAGTGCGGTTTAGCTCAGCATGTCGCTCGCAATTGCAGAGAATTGGCCTCATGGTAGTTGCTGGACCGGCCGGGATAGCCCGGATGTCTAGAACTTGGGCGTCATCCGTTCCTCAACGTTTGACAAAATCGACGTGTATCCGTACTTGGCCGTTGAGAGACATAGATACATGACAACGGTTTTCGTACCATACCAACATACTGATGGGTGCTGTAGGATTCAGCAGGTTGGCGAAGTAACGTAGCAAGGGAAGCCAAGCGAGGAGAAGGACGCGAGACAGGTGATTGTGACAGGAACAAGATTTGGTAATGAAGATCTGGCAGAGATGACGTCGAGATGAGGGTCCGCAATTGACGCCCTAGACCCCAACGTACAGGTCAACTTGTGGTGCTGTGCGTCCGGGGTCCCGTCGTCCAATGTCGGCACTGACCTGTAGCCAAGAAATTGGTCCAAAAAGTCATTTCACGAATAGGGGTCCTCTTGCTTTGCTCTGCTCTGAGAGCTCGCGCAAGTCATGTTTTGGCATTAGGTTGGAGTTTCGAGTTTTTGTCATTTTGTCAGCGGCAGGCAACGGGAAGGAAGGCGCAACCGACATTCCCCGTTCTGCCTTGCTCCTGCCTTGCTCCTGTCTCTGTCTGATCAGCGAGGTCCAGCTGCGTTGTGACCCGCGGCTCCCGACGGAAGGATTATTCCTGTCATCTCCATCTGACTACATCCATGAAAATAGGCACTCCGTACCTAGGCACCCAGGGATCGGATGTAAGCAACTAAGGCAACGTAGGGCTGCCTTCAGTCGGCTGGTGAAGCGGGAGCTCCTTCCGGCGGCTCGGCACCGAAGACTATCCCGAAGGCAATCATGCACCGACAGTTATCTGTCTCTCCCTTGCAGTCGACTTCAGACGAGTCAACCTGACCTTCTCCAATCCTTCGTGCGCCGAGAAAACATCGACCAACACACGAGAGCGCCTCTTCTACCGTCAGCACGAATACAATCGACTCGCTTGTCCCCAAAGCAGTAATTCGTCGCAATGATCAAGACTCTCATCATCATGGCCGATTATGGCCACGATCCTACCGGTCAGTCACCGTCCATCATCACCACCACTGCATAACCCTGTCATCCCCGTCCCGGTCCTGATCTTCCCCTCCCTCCGCTGCGTCACCCCTCAATCCTCCCGCGTCCCCGTCCCCGTGTCCACCATCTCCACCATCTCCATCATTCCCAAGGCAAATTCCCTGCAGCAGCTCACCACCATCGTTGGGTCCGCGTCACGAACCGCAAAGCTAATCTCTGTTCTGCTTGCACAGAAGTCGCGGTTCCCTACCTCGCCTTCAAAAATGCAGGATTCGAAGTTAGTTTTGCTACCGAAACGGGCAAAATCCCCCGATGCGACAGCAAGATGCTCGAGGGCATCTCGCAGAAGCTGCTGGTACGAAAACACAACCGTCCAATGCCGTTCTAAAACCAAACTCCCCCGTTCGCATCTCCAACGTTACCGTCGCAAACATCCCGGAATCGCATTGGACACCTGCAGATCCCACAAGTCGCCAATCGGCCCCCTTGCCGGTTGTTTAGTGGTTCAATGATTTCCAAGATCCGGGCTAATGTTAATATCCATGATGAACAGGGTGCCGCGGCCGCGACTATGAAGCTCTACAGCACCATGACGAAGTCCGACGAAATGCAACACCCGCTGTCGTGGAGTTCCGACGGCTTCACCCTCGACAGCTTTGACGTCGTACATATCCCCGGCGGCCATGACAAGGCCGTTAGGCAGCTGTTAGACTCGGCGACTGTCCAAGCTCTCTTTGCCGACTATTTCCCCAAGACCAAGAAGCCGGGGAGGAAGATCGTGTCCGCGATTTGCCACGGCCCGTTGGTTCTCTGTAACGCCAAGGGTGAGGATGGCAACAGCGTGCTGTACCATTGCACAACCACAGCTCTGCCAGGATATCTCGAGACAGTCGCCTTTCATGGAACCAAATGGTTCCTTGGAGACTACTATAAGACGTACGGTGCTGGAAGTGAAAACGTCGAGACTTCTGTCAGTCGCCTTCATTTCGACATACGAAAGACCAATTCTGACCACCAATAGATGAAGAAAGTGCTCAAAGACCCAAGCCAATTCAAGGTCAGCTGGATTCCCAACCGGCCGTAGGTCTCTCTTTCGCCTCTTATCACTGTCCGTTGCTAATAACATTAAGGTTCGTTGTTGAAGATCCGGAGTACAACTATGTCAGCGCTCGATATCCCCCTGATGCGGAAAAGTTCTCCGAGGCGGTCGTCGACCTGGTTCATGTGGTCCAAACCTACAGTGAGGGCGAGTCACGCAGTTCCTAATCCGGTGTTTCTTTCCTGGTGATACCTTCCTCTATGCATGCTGGAAGCTCCCTGTGTCAGGAACGACAAACAAAACACGCTGGACATGAAAATTGCAGGACGTCTGTCGGCGTGTACGTTTCGTCCACGTGCCGAACCTCATCATCGTGACGTCCGGCTATGCAAAATTGCGTCGGGAGGAAGACAAGTCCCTACCTAAGCTTATCATTGCATGAAGATTCTCTTGGATCGATCATCACAGACACGCAACCTGTCCCGACATGCCGCCCGGCGGTGATGTCACCGTCACTCTTCAAAATTAAAGAGCATGAACAGATACATGAAAACAAACACGGCCTCTAAGCTTTCTTGTGCCGAACTCCTCCACCAGTGGAAGCTTAGCTTTTAGTCAAGCATGATGCCTGAGTTGTCTGACATGGTGCCTGGTGCTGAAGAAACTGACATCACTATCACTACAGATGCATCCGCCTATGTCATGGGAAAACTCAATTAGCCTTACTTCGACGTTCCCATAATCTTCCTGATAGCTTCGTCTACTCCTTCAACGACAATAGTCGGTTCAGTTCCGATCGAACTGCCCAGAGCATCAACCCAACCCGCCCCGGCGCGGTCGATCCAGGCGGACTGCCACCCTGCAGCTCTTGCTCCTAGTGCGTCGAAAGGATTCGAACTGATGAGCCATATGCTGTCCTGCTGATCTTGCATCCCTACTTTCTTCGCAAAGTGATGATACGTCTTTGGAGATGGTTTGAAACACTGAGCATCCTCAACAGTGACCAGCTTATCAGGACCAAATACATGGCCCATTCGAGACAACTCGGGCGATGTTTTCATCGACGTGCCCACCATGTCGTCAGTGCCATTGGAGAAGACATAGGCGTCTATCGAGGTGTCGTCTTCAACGAGCTTCAGTGCTGCCTTGACCTCGGGAAAGGTTTGTAGGCCGTTGTAGGCGTTCATTAGGCGATCTTCATCCTCTCGAGAGAGCGTGAGCTTCTTCTCCGCAACGGCGTGTTTCAGCGACGCGCGCGTCAGCTCGGAGAAGGGCCGGTAGATGCCTATCAATATCAGTTATAAACTTCATTCGAGACTATTGTCATTCAAAGACACACCCATGCTGTTGATTCGCCAGGTGTACTCCAGCTGGTACCTCCGCCATTGCGCAGCGAGCGTCTTGGCGTTTTCGTCTCCGTACAACTTCGAGAGTTCCGAGGCGATCGACTCGGTCGAGAGCAGCGTGCCGTACAGATCGAACGCGATGACTACCCTCTTCTGTTCCGAAGTCATGGTTTCTGATTGTTTTTTCTACACCGGTGATTCGAATTATGATTTCGTCGTCGTAGAAGCTTCTGTTAAGTTCGCCGTGGTAGTCACCTACCTAGGCTGTGTTCGTCGTGCGTTGGGTATCGTCGTCCGAACGCGTCTTTGGGGGGAAGTCGTATCGAGCCGTCTCACTAAAACGCGGGGGAACCGGGCGTCTGAGCACTTATAACCCCTGCAGGAAACTGCCGTCCAGCCCTAAACTCACTAAAACGCGACCTTAGCTTACTTCTGGTTCCACCTCATCTCAACGTCATCGACACTTCACTCACTCTTGTCGCCTTCAGCGTGTTGAACTCATCCTTCGGTCACCAACATGAGGAACTCCGACGAGGAAACGACCCAATTCGAAACCTTCAGAGACTGCCTCTCCGCGGCCGTCGTCGAAAGAGTGACAAAACCAACCTCCAAGCCCAAAAAACGAACAAAAAAGACAAAAGCAACTACCCCCAAAACAAAGCCCCAAAATGAGCCGCCGGAAGACACCCCGGTAGACGCCGAGGACATGATGGATTTCACATCCTACCTCGCCTCCGAGACCTTCGACTCCTTCCCGGACGACCTCAAAACCCTCTCCCACGCGACCTACACCGCGGACCCCGCCCTGCAGTCCCGCCTCGCCCTGCCCCTCACCGGCGCCGACGTCGCCGACCTGCTCCCCACCCTCTCCCCGGCCGTCGCGGACTCCCTGGTCGCCTACTCCATCGTCGACCCGGAGCGGCAGGGCGCGCACGAGTTCCTCGCGCCGGTGCTGACGGAGCTGGTGGCCGCGTTGACGGCGCCGCCGCCGCCGCCGCGCTCGACGAGGGAGAGCGTCGAGGGGTGCGAGCTGTGCGGGCGGGACTGGATCGGGCTGACGTATCACCACCTCATCCCGCGCATGGTGCACGATAAGGTGGTGAAGAGGGGGTGGCACCGGGAGGACGAGCTGAATAGTGTGGCGTGGCTGTGTCGGCTTTGTCACTCGTTCGTGCACCGGTTTGCGGGACATGAGGAGCTGGCGAGGTTTTATTACACGGTTGAGTTGTTGCTGGAGCAGGACGAGGTTGTGAGGTTTGCGCAGTATGCGAGTAGGGTGAGGTGGAAGGGGAGGTGAGCGTTATGGAAGGGGCAATTGCAATTTTGACGCTACCTACAATCAACGGGAGTTGATTGCTTTCATCTGTCTGTTTGATACCCATCCTCCTGCACCAATCTCATCTACTCATTCGATGCTGCTTAAGCCATGTGTTGATCCTCTCAAGGCCCGCTATCATCTCTCCGGGATCAATTGTTCACATCTTCTCCCGACGACAGTCCCTTCTTGCCTCTGGGCGTCAACTTTTCCTCCCGTTCCTCAAGGGTGGCGCCCGTCCCAGTACGAATGAGACAACCTTTCGGCGCATACGGGACGCAGATCTTGGTTTTCGGGGGTGTCAAAGGCTGTTTGTCCTCATCGCAGCAGTGGCGCTCGACGCAGCCCTCGCCCGCGTCACAATCAGAGGACCTCCTGCACTCCTTTCTGTCCTCGCAGCCGAGGTCGCGGACGCAGAGCTGCTGGCCCTTGGGGACGCTCTTGAGGCAGACGCAGCGTTCCTTGTCGTCCTTGCCGCATTTGAAGGTGTTGAACCCGTTTTGGCGGCAGTGGGAGGCCGAGTCGCAGCCGACGTTAGCCCAGACGATGGCGGTGACTGGCACGGTGGGCGTGGCGACGGTCGTCACGGCCGCGGGTATGTTCCAGCAGCTGCAGACGGAGGAGTACTCGCCCTCGCTGGTGCAGGATTTGGTGACGTAGGAGGGGACGGAGGTCGGGATGACGGTGACGGGGCCGGCGGGAGGGACTTGAGGGTTTTGAGGTCTTGGGGATGGCTTGGGGCCCTTGTCCTTGTAGCTGGTGTAGATGGTGGTGGTCTTGGTAGTGGTGCTGTTTGTGTGAGTTTGGAGTTCCGTCGTGGGGATGGTAGGTGATGCTTACAAGACGGCCGGGGTGACGGTGGTGAGCATGAAGCTGGAGCAGTCACTCTTGCGAGACTCGAGGGCCGGTGTTACGTGAGCGCCGGTGCCGGTCACGGCTCGGGCGCAGTTGTTGCCGTGGCAGTTGGCCGTGACGAGGGCTGCCAGCGAGAGAATGTTGAGAGCGGAAGTGATGTACGTCTTCATCTTTGCGAGTGGGTTGGAATAGTACTGAAGATCGGGTCTGGTGAGTCTGTCTTGGTGCAAGAAGCAGACTGGGTTGACGGTGCTTTTATAGACGACCTGATGAGAAATCTATGCTCTCATGAAGCCTTCAGCTCACGATAGAAAGATGGCATTTCCTAGGAAAGCTCAGAGCATGAGCGGTGAAGCCATATTGGCCCGGATCAAGTTGCCCTTTCTTCTGTATCAATCATCTCCAGCTGAGTTGTCTTCAGTGTCTTGGACACATAACTTGGTAGTGAAACGTAAGACTCTGGCTTCATCGGGCGCTGTGTAGCGAGTACGTTGCTGTTCGGCGGTCTGGAGCTCGTTTTAGGGGTTTTGTAGATTCAATCGTGGGGTTGAGGTCGCGCAGATTTCAGGCTGGATCGATCGAAGTGGCGGTATGGTATTCGCTTTGAAGAAAAATCGTTGGACGCCTCCGTGATACTGACTTGAAGGCCTCCAGAAACATGACTTTTCCCGTGATGATTTTACCGATGTGACTCGTCACTGTTTAGGGTCCCTGGTTCTGAAGCTGTTGATCGAATATACGGACCGATGTTAGATTGGAAGCTGAACGAAGGCTGATCTGAAAATGCAAAGTTGACAAGCTGTAAAAAGTTGAATACGGCAGGTAGATACCGAAGTAAATAGTGACCTGAAATAAGGGCGTTCCAGTTTTCAAATGTTTCAGTGCAAGCAAGATCGACGCTAGCTCCTGCCCAGCGAATCTTCAAATAATGGCAAGATATAACTATCAGGAAGTTGACATCGACCTCGTCGACTAGCTACTTGCGGTGAAGGAGCCCTCGTCTCAGGCAGCGCCTTATTCGCGCCGATTTCTCACCTATCCAAGGTAGCAAGGCTCTTTATCTGTTTAGATTGTATGGTCGCTATTGAGGGAGTCGCTTTGCTTGGATTAAGGCTTCATCGGCGTGTATCTGCTAGATGGGATAACGAAGCACACGAAAAAAGATATTATAATTTGGTATAATACTACAATAGTCAGACAGAGAAGCGGACAATCCATATCTTGGTGGCTTTCGAGCGTGATGTTCGTGATAGTAGCAAGGTGTGGTAGGCTCACCTCGGTGTGGTTCGGTCAGAGGTGGCCACCAGGGCTGGCCACTCCCGAGAAAAGGGTCCATCACGGATCCTTGTCCCTGGTCGATCAAACCCACATCGCCTCGGCGACAGCCCACTTGAGATTGACTCAACCGTCAAACAGATCAGAAAAAAACCCAGGGTCGGGTTTTCTCTCGGTGAACCGGTGCCGCAGAAGCTCCATTTAGCCACATGAAAATCGGTGGGCTGATTGTCATTCGTCGTAATCAACAGGCAATGCCCTCCTTGATACACGTGTGTGTCGCCTTTCTTTGGTATCGAACGTGATGACTCGATCCCAGCCCAATCAGCGCCATTTTCGCGAACACGCGAGAGATATCGATGCGGCTGTGGTCTTTACCGCAGCAGGATATTACGAGAAATGTTGCCGCGCATACCCTTGCCCTTGATAGTGGCATTGGTTGAAACGTTGACCGAGTTTTCGACGCCTTCCAACCATTCATTCTTATCGCTGCCCGAAGAAAAAAAAATGACGCGAGCCAGGGCCTGCGTTTCTGGCTGGAAGAGCCCCATTAAAGAGGCGTCGAGACCGGGAAGGCCCAGAATTAAATATGGAAACACCGATCGGGCCCTTTCTTAGGTTTCCATCTGCAATTTTCCCTCGATTGCATCTAAGTGGAAAGGAGTTCTGATAAGGCGAAAACAATCCACACATCTTTTTTCTCTTTTCCTTCCTTCACTCATCAAAAAGACTTAACGCTTTTACCATCACTACCGAACAACCTGTTCTCGACCGAACAGTACTGATTCTACCGTTTACACAACACAAACGCATTCATCATGAGCTTGAGATACTCTAGAGTCATGTATCACACCAAGGAGAACGAGTGGGCCATCATCGACGAGGAAGAAGAGGAAGAGCAGCAGAGGCAAGAGCTGAAGCGCCGCGCCAACCTCAGATTCTTCATCGGCGCCTCCTTCATCGTCCTCGCACCCGCCATGCTCGGCCTCGTGAGGCGCTGCGGATAGGACCTCGCAGTATGCAAACAAACCCCCTGTTCGTGGAATCGCTCATTGAAAGCTAATATTCAACGTCACAGGCTAATCACGACCCGCACAAGATTGCATCTTTTGCGTGGCGGTCGTGACGAACTTCCAGTATCAAGATTATTTTTTGTCTACGACTTTCATGTCGAAAATTTTACGCCCATGAGGCGACATGCGACAACAGCCTTTGAACGACAGTGTTTAATCAACCCAACGACGTGGCGATGAATCAGAACATCGCCACACGAGCGCCCCCGTCGCGCCGAATCTCTACTCTTTTCCAGACTTTTCACCAAGAGACACTCGCCTCTCATCCCCTTTCGTCTCGGATTTCCGCTTCGCCCTCTCGGCATGCTTATGCTCGGCCGCCGCCACGCCAGCATCCAGCCCGAGATGAGCAACCCCCTTGACCACCGCCTTCGACCCGGAATCGGCACCGACCATCTCGGCGCACATCCCGGCCCCCTCGAACGCGACGGCGCCGATCGCCGCCCCCAGCGCCATCGGGATCAGCACGTCGCCGCGCTTCGTCTTGACCGCCAGCCCGCGCTCGACGGCGTGTCTCTCGAGGATCTTTCGTTTCTTCCGCGCGTGCCGGATGCGTGCTGCGTCGTAGGGCACCATGAGCCACGTCAGGCCGGCCGTCGCGGCGCCCGCGGCCGTGTGGAGGGCTGCTCCGGTCGAGGTGCTCGCGATTTGGCGGACGTAGTGGGCTCTTCTGGCTATGAGGACTTCGTCGGTCATTTGATGGCATTTTAGGTCGTATGCGTCTGGGTCGAAGTGCATTTTGCGGATTGGGTTGGCAGTGAAAGCAGCGAATGCAGTTTGGGAGGTTAGTTGGAACGGTTGACTGCTGTTCTCTGGCCAGATGGGCTCAGCAGACCGTTCATATATCATCCTCAAGCCTACGCATGATGTTTAGTTGAGGCGAAGCTTTCAGAGGCTTAGATATCATTCAGACGATGCCAGAAATTCCGCGCGGAAAGCCTAATACAAATACACTTTGCTCAAGAGATTCGTTACTCATGCATGCCATCTGAAAATCTTCAACTGCGGGATCCGTGAGGGCCGGGCCGGGCTGTGTTCATTTCTTCTGCCCACGGCGGACTCGGTGTGATGTATCCATATGTAGTCGGGGACCCGAGAGCACCGCGAGAGTGGATGCCCGTGCTCCGGCTGATGCCGGTGGCAAGGACCCCGAGAAGACAAGGACCGGGGCCGCGGGGGGCGGAGACTCGGAGTCCGGACGCAGGAACCGACGTCAACGTCTGATCTCGACCCGCGAGTGAAGTCTAATTTGATGGACGTTGTCACTCGGCCGAGAAAAACAATCCCGCTGCGATTTTGAGAACGTAAGGTTCATTCCGTTACTCTACCTGCACGCGAATGCTGAAAGAAAAAGAGCTGATGTAGATTACATTATTGTCATTTCAACCATAAGTTACAGGTGTCCCTATATACGAGATTCATGCTTCTCGTCCTGAACCTTTCCCATCTAAGCCCCCTTTTTGTCGAGAACCAAAATCCAAGAAGTCATACACAAGTCATTACATAGATCTGAACTCGACATCCCTCCGGTACGTCCAGGAGTGGGCGTCCGAGTACGTCGGCCTGTAGCCGAGAACACCCTCGATGAGCGAGAGCACGATTGTCGGCGTTATGGTGAACGTGCCGTTCCTGTTCTCGGCAACTAGCACCAGCCGGTCGATGATGGCTCCCAGACCGAACGCGGAGTTGTGGAGCTTGACCTCGACGGCAGGAGGCTAAAGAACAACATTATCAGCGAATTGTCTAACAACTGACGGAGGTTTCGTCTTACCTTGCTGCTGAGCTGGTAGTTCACGCGGCGCCACTTCTTCAAGTACTCGGCCAGGAACTTGAGCGTGCCGCTGTGGCTCGCCTGGATCTCGATCTCGTGCGCGCTGCGGGCGTACACGAACAGGTGGTAGGGCGGCTTGTTGAGCAGGTCGTCCGGGCGGGGCATGGCGTCGGCGCGGGGGATGAACTCGGGAACGGCGGCCTTGGCCGTCGGCGAGCTCGAGGGCCGTCTGCTGTCGGAGAGGGAGAGGTTGCTCGCCCTCACGTCCAGGCCGACGTCGGCCCACTCGTCGCTTGAGATGCGAGGTGACATGGTGTACGGCGGCAGCTGGTGGGTGTGGCCGTTGCTGCTGCTGCTGCTGCCGAAGCAGTCGATGATTCCGCCCTTGAAGACGGGGAAGAGCTCTGCGGGGTTGGTGAGTTGGCGTTTGGGCAGGGCGATGAGGAAGCCGCCCCGCTCTTCGGACCATGATGTTGATGCCTGTTCATCGCGGGAAACCTGTGATTTGTCGTGTTAGGCTAAACGGTAGAAAAATATGAAAGAGAGAGAAACGCTTACCTCGATGAAGAGGCGAAGTGTGGAATACGTCGACTTGAGCTTTTCCAAGAGGCTCTCGGTCCACTCTGCGTTCTTGTCGTCGTTGAGGAGTTCCGTTGCTGATTTGCTCCAGACCTCGACGGTGCCCGCGACCGCAGCGGCGAAGTCGCCCTTGTCGGGGTACTCGGCGTCCAAGTCGTTCAGGAGGAGCTGCCAGTCCGGCTCGACGACGATGTCGAGACCGAGGACCTCCTTCAACTCCTTAAGGGCCTTTTGGAGGGGGCTTTCCTCGTTTGTCCAGTGGTCGCGGACGGCGACCTTTACTTTGAGTGGTCTGCGTTCGTGTTAGTCCGATGCTCTCGCTTGTTGGTGGGGCGCTCTGGAGGATCGAGGTTGACTTACAAACTAGACATGGTGAAGAGTTTATTGTTGTGTATGTGTATGTGTATGTTGTAGACTGTGATGGTTGATCTGAATGTTCTGATGATGATGAGAGAAACTCTTCTTTGTCCGCTTCACGAGGAGTCGTCGGCGGTTGATATTGACTTCCAAAGACCTCTCATCGACAGGGGTCCGCCAGCAGATATCAGTCCACTATCCACCGCGGGCGCCAAGATGAGCGGACAGACCCAGCTGAATGCGTGGCGTCACATCCTTTTTTCCAGGCAACGGCAACGAGGCGGAGTCTAGAGTCCTCGTGCCAACGAGAAAATGACACAGAAAGCCCCCCCGCGAACCGGCTGTGTATACGATAAACCAACTGTTGCATGATGCGGCGATCAGCGGGGTGGAGACGCCGGGTAATCGCGTGTTGTCCACGGACGACTGAGAACATGCCATTGAAGGCAGATCCGTGTCAAGCAGGTTGCAGCGGGTTTCAATACCCGGGCCAAGCCGGGGGGCCGGGGGGTCCGCGGGCCTTTACGGCGTCGTTTGGTGGTGATGGTTCGCCGCGGTCCGCTCCGACAGGATGTGGTCAGAGACGGTCATGATGTCACTGACTCATTCGTTCGAATCATTGACCAATTTCGTCTTGTCCCGTGACGCAACGGCGATGCGACGCAATCGAGATGCTGCTTGGAGTTGCATGAGTCTGGGAAGTGCATCACGGGCGCCGATGGGTTGGTGAATTGGTGAAGTTGATTTCTTGGGGGGTTTCAATTCCCACCACAACAAACATCTCAGCGCAATTAGCGCAGGCGAATCCCCCGCACAGGTTCTTCACTCTAACAGCCATAGCGTCCTGAACCCCTGAAAACTGGTTTGCCATCGGCTCTGCGCCACCACCAAACTTCGACATCGTTATGTCCACATGTGGAAAAGACACACGAGAGCTTCCAAGAACTACACGATGAGGCTACACGCTAGGCTGACAGCTCGCGAAGCTGTCAAAGGGGGGAGGCAGAGCTCTAGGTTCGATGCGGCATAACCCAACCGCCAACGCTGGGGTCAGAACTGTATTGCGACGCTTGCTTGTGATAGAGCTCGTGGTGGTGGCTGTTGACGGGCCAAGTTCAATAGTCGAGGCTGCCCGCGATGGCCAAGGAGCCGAGAACCAGGGCTGAAAGAGGGGGATGAACGCCTCGAGCTAGGCTTCAATCATCCATCTCCCACGATCTCAACGACAGGATAAAAAGCTGCTTCTGGGCCTTCTTCAGGATGTCTTATTCAATCAGAGACAATTCAGTTTCATCGACAATAATATCTCACCCTCACATTCATCATGTCTCGTCTTCCTGCCGCTGAGAAGTTGCCCCTGGCGCTTCGCAAGAACAGTACGTCATAGGCCTTGAGTTCTTTGCACTCAGTCCAAGAGCTAACCGACCAAGTCCGCGATGAGTGGGATAACAAGAAGGAAGACCTGCAAAAGGAGCTTTCCGAAGTCCTCGGCGCCGAATGGACGCTGAAAGACATCAACCCCAATGAGCTCTACCCGTATGCCGGCGACGGCTACGCCAAGCAGTCGCTGGGAAGCTGCATCGCCCAGTAAGTCCTCCGGTGGACACCGACAACGAACGACTCTCACTTACACTCGCCACTAGATACGTCTCCTCCGCCATCTACCAACTCAAGTCGTACGTCGAGAACCACGGCGAGGACGGCAAGAACGAGATCAACTCCATCTGCCACGCCCGCTCCCTCATCATCGACCTCGACGACCGCGACAAGAACTCCCGCGTGAGCTACTGCGGCGTCCTCGTCAAGGACGGCAAGCTGGCCCTCGTCTTCTCCGAGGGCAACCTCGGCACCAACGTCGACTACGCCATCGAGTCGCGGACCCTCCTGACGGCCCTCAACGACGCGCCCCCGGCCCCGGGTGCCGACGCCGCCATGAGCTACGCGGCGCGCACGTCCGTCAGGCAGGAGTACGACGAGAAGATTGAGGAGACGCGGAAGAAGTTGGGGGATATGCTCGAGAAGCCTGATGTGGTGCTCGTGCCCAACTTCGAGACTAACTTTGCTAAGATCAAGGAGGAGAGCAAGAAGAAGAAGAGTGAGGTTAGGGATGATTGGGAGGGTAACCTGGGCAACTTCACGAGGATGTACTTTGAGGGGCTTGTCTACCAGATGACCTACCAGAAGTTTGGCGACGACGACCTTCTGAGGGAGGGGTTCAATGAGGCTGTCGAGAAGGGCGAGATTCACTTCCGCATTGTTGACAAGATGGCGTATGCGACCTATGGAGAGGTTGTCATCGAGGATGGGGCTGTTTATGTTCAGGTAAGTCTGACCCAGCGAACTCCCTCTTGCATTGTCGAAAGCTCACGGTTTGTAGGCTCTAGCCAAGAACTTTGGAACCAACGTCGATTACGCCGCGGAGAAGATTTTGGACCAGCTCTAAGCATGGATGTTCATGCGTAAGGTTGACGATGCCGTGTGTCTTCAGTAAAAATGTGTATCACAGTCTACGATATAATGGATGCGAGGTAGAGGTGCTTGTAAGCGCTCCTGTTCAGTTCTCGGGATCGAACACTGGTTTCTTGACATCCCCTTCATGAATTGTCACTATACGAATATGGATGAAAATTCTCGAAATGAACGCTGGCAGCAACGCCGATTATCGTAATTATTCATGACAATGATCCATTCAAGTTCAGTCCCATCAGAAGCACATGATTGTACATGTCTTCATTTACACGCACTTCATACACCATCATCTTGCCCTGTGGCACCAACGTCTCCCACTCAGGAGATGTCCACACATCTGTACCTCCAGGAACGCGCTCAGCAGGCCGCCAGTCGCGATGCCCCCAGCATCGGCAGCAGTGACGACGCCCAGACTAAACTCCCTGTCGTTCAGATCTCGGGTTCCCTCCATTACCTTAGCAAGCACATTTATGTACACCGACCCGCTCGAGAGCCCGGCCAAGAATGCCAGGAAGAAGGCGAAATATATCGAAACGAGGAAGACGGCGTTGAAGAACGCAAAGACGGCGACTGTGACCAACGCCACAAGAGAAAGCCTCAGGTTTCGCACAGGGAACAAGTTGACTGACGACCTCGCCACCAAAGTTCCTAGATGAAGAGAGACGCCGTATGTCGCAGCGAACCGTGAGAATGTGCCGAAGACCGATCCATCGAGGGTCCTGGTGATCCCTTGTTGCAAGAAGAGCAGCATGGAGGCCGCGAAGAGCGGCAGCATGTTTGGCCTGACCAAGCCATGAAGTAGCTGGGCTCTGGTCTCAGTTGAGCCAGAGCCAGACGGCCTTCTTCCATGACGACCCCCTTCAATGAACGAGCGCCTCTCCTCATCGTCGTCATGCGCTCTCTCCTGCCGATGCCCGCCTTCCCACTTTGTAAGTCTCTGAGGCAGAACCACAAAGTGCGAAAACATCAGAAGAGCAACGAGGTAATAGACGCCCCCCGTCGCGCTCCTCAGAACCTTACCCGCCTTGTGAGTCAACATGAACGGCCACACGGCGTTGCTGACCAGCCCGACGCCGGTGCCGAAGCCCCACCCAACCAGCGCATGCATCCCGGAATGCCCGATCATCCCGAGACAAGACACCTCCATCACGGCAGCCGATACCGAGGACAGGAGCGACATCGCGATACGCACCGGTGGAAGCACGTTTGGCGGGGTGTCATCCGCGACCTTTTTGGCTATAAGCCAGCATATCGCGACGACAAGAGGCCTCACGCGACATGGCACGCGATGAATGACGAAGGGAAGCGACAGCTTTACCGCGATTGACGGCAGAAGCTCGATGAGCGTGACGACGGCTCGAGGATAGGGTATGATGAGGTAGTTCGCGGCGTAGATGATGGCGGGTAGGACCGTGTTAGCCAGCCCTACGGATTGACAACCCCAGACATTCGTCAGCGAGTGGAAGGGAAAAAGAGAAAACGTCGTCGGGATCAGGGTGCATCGGTGGCGCAAGCTAAAAGTGAAACTCACCTATGAGGGCGAAGCCCAAAAATGTCCGAAGCTCGTCAAGCGATGTCTTGCTTTTCGGCGCCATCACCAATCCAGGTCTGGAGTCGTCGGATGGGTGTGTATGCGTAGACCGGTGCGTCCGCGGCTCGACCGAAGCCGAGAGCGAGACATGGTCTCTTTTCAAAAGGGAGAAGAAAAGAACGAGCCGTCCGCGAGGGATCGCGGCCCCTGCAACGGCATCCAACCGGCAAACAGTCAATTGAAACGGCGCCGATGAACCACGTGCGGCTCGAGGCAGATGCCAAGCATGGATGAGCGGTTCGAGGGGACCCTGTGCGGGCGAATCGAATCCACCACGTGGGATGGGTCTCGCGATTGATAGGGAAGGGATCTGTTGCGTCAGCGCATCACCCCGTGTAATGCGACTCGGGAGATGGTAATGAACGGTTATTGTATGTATGGGAGAAATGAGATACTGACGTCTGCGTCGTGCGCGTCGCTTCGTGCCAGGTGAGAAATATCTTGCTGTTCGCGATGGCTGAGATTCTCAAAGAAATTGTCGGTCGCACCACTGTCTGACCTCGCGATGATGGGCAAATCCTATGCGACCAAGATGCATCTTTCACATATTTTCGGTTGGAATTCTGCTTCAGAAGCAAAGTCCGAATATGTTGGTGCAGGATTTGATTCCGAGGTTCAGCATGGTCGCCGCCGGACACCGCGGTTTGCTCGCACCCGGACTTATTTGTTGAAGGTCGTTTTGCCAATCGGCATTTTCATCTTCGTCACAGCAACAATATTAAGTAGCTTGGTATGTACGTTCGGCGTGTTAGTCAAAGGATTCTACTGATTTTGACCAGTTCCCATCAGAAGCAGTCTGGCTGCTGAACGGCGGCAAATCAGAACGAGCCATATCTCGGTCTCAGCTCGAAGACCTCGAGCCTCCCAGTCATGTGGATGCAGGTGGTTCAAGGCGATTGAGGCTGTTCATGCCGGCCGATGGACCCAACATCAACCTCTGCAAGACCATCATGTCAGCTGTTGCCCTCGGCTACCCGATGCCTACTCTTCTCAACTGGAATGGAGAGTTCAACAGACCTGACTGGCACTTTGCTGGCTCGCACATTGCCAAGTTGGAGTCTTTACTAGCAGTCATCGATAATATTTATGAGGAAGATGAGGATGTTAATGAAAACGATCTGGCTCTTCTGGTCGACGCCTATGACATATGGTTTCAGCTCCCGCCGTCTGTCCTGATCGAGCGTTTCCACAAGCTCAACCGCGACGCAGACGCCCGTGTCGCGAAAGAATGGGACGAGCACGGCTTCAAAGACGAGTTCCCGATTCCGCCTCCGAAACAGAACATCATCGTCACCACCGCAAAAGACTGCCAACCGGACTGGGAGTCTGGGTCGAACCCACGCTATGAGTATTGGCCGGACTCGCCTCTACCATCCGACTTTTACGGCGAGGGCACAGATGAAATTATTCCGTATGTCTTCGACTCAGCTCGAAAGTACAAAAAGATTCGACCCAGATGCGTCAACAGCGGCATGATCATGGGTACTATTGGGGCTTTGAGAGGTGCTCTGCAGAAGGCCAAAGACAAGGTAGACAGGACTGCCATGAACGGCAGACAGCTCTGGAGCGACCAAGCCTTGTTCGCTGAGGTCATAGGAGACCAGGAGATGTGGCGATACTGGATGAGAGGATTAGTGTCGACATGGAACGGAACCGCATCGCACGACAACCCGAGGAGGTTGCCGGCCGAAGTACGACAACTCGCAGACGAGGCACTGGACGGAGAGAGCTTCGAGTTCGGAATCGGTTTGGACTACGAATTCGCCACAATACCGCCTACCTGCTCATCCGAAGACGACGGCTTCTTCGTGAAGCTGAATGACGCCGAGGCCGTGAAGAAGGAATCGGAAAAGGCGGGCGTGCCGGACGGTGTAAGAGTCAAGGGCATCCCGTCTGAGTTGAAGGACGCAGACGGACCTCTTCCCGGGCTCGGCTCAAGCTGGGGTAATGTGCCTTTATACACCGACTTCTTCTTCGGCACCTCGCCCGTTGGCATCCATCACAACGCCTACGTCTTTGGCCTCAAGCCGTGGCGACTCGAACACTGGTGGAGCATGACTTGGTTCTACCCGTACTTGCGGGGATTGGTCACGAACGCTCTGCGATCCAACAGAAAGCTCACTCCCCTGGCAAGGTTGTCCATAGACGGCGATGAAGGAAGTGAGATGGTATACTGGGCTTCGAAGGAGAGCGAGAGCGAAAAGAGGGTGATGGTGTTTGATGGATCGAACGAGAAGGAGAGGTTTGCGCCTATTAGTTGGGATGGGGTTTGTCAAAAGGGGAGTACGAAGTGGTATGATGTGCTTTTTGGAGATAATGAAGGGCCATTGGAGGCCTGAAAAACGACAGCTATTGGATATAATACCCAGACTTTGGAGGAGTTTCATACGTCTATACCATCTCCTTGCCAAAGAAGAACACTCTGTGAAGGGCGCTTGCCGCCCAATCAGTCGGGTATATCGCATGTGTGCAACTAGTGACCGCTTTTCCGTTGCATGTAAGCCTTAGCAGTCTGCCTACGTCTGCGCCTCAATCAAAAACTGTTGGCATATGCAGCCTGATCCAGGCTTGCCTCCACACATTCCGGGCGTTCACCCTTCAATACAAAGACCGACCATTCATAGAGATACTTGACCCTCCATGAGTGAAAGTGAGGCTGACTTTGATTGTACAAAACCGCCCGAATGCCCCGCTTCAGCGTCGTTTGATGAGCTCCTTTCCAAGGGGAACTCGACTAAGTCGGGGCCTACTCAGCGAATGAGTCTCATATCAAGTCGCAAGGAAATTTGAAACGGGATTCATCACCATCGAGAACGCCATAGAGACTAAGCTTGCGAAACGTCGCACGTCGCCTAGCTATGGAGGTCGTTGGCGGTGCGGCAGCAGTCGCTCAGCTGATCGGGCTCTGCGCGAAATGCATCCAGACCACAACGCAAGTCATCGAATCGTACCAAGATGCGCCCATACAGATCCATCAATTGGCGACCAAAATCGACTGGCTCCAGTTCTGCATAGGTCAAATCAGGGATCTCGGGGAGGGCCTACCGGATGAAGACTTCGACAAGCTGTTGCCGGCCCCGCATCGACTAATGCTATTAGTCCTCTTACAACGGCATTACGATCAGTTGCTCAACATCGAGGGCGTCGGCAGTGGAACAAAGGGTAGTGGGAAACGACCCAAGCTTCGATGGGCACTTCTCGACAAGAGGAAAACAGCTGGAATCATGCAAGGTCTGGAAGAAATCCAGCAGATGCTAATGCTGACATTGACTATTATGAACTCGTAAGCTCATCTACGATCGTTCTAGCTATAAGGAAGTATCCATACTAAACATTTAATAGCCGGTTGACAACGCTCAGCCACACATTCGTCGGTCTGCTGAGTCTTTCGCATTCCGCGTTGGTTCCCGCCTTTGAGACGCGGTCACAAGAGATCATGAATTCGTTGAAATCTTTCCATGACAAGCAAGAGGTAGGCCCCAATAAAGCAATCCGGATTATATACAGATCAGTATCTTACCAGCTCACTCATAACCCAGGAACTCATGCAAGCTTTAAGCTTACAGAAGTCGTCACGCGTGTCCAATTCCTCAAGAGTTTCTACAAAAATGTCTCTCCATCGGGACGATGACCGCGACTCAGAAGAACACGTAGATGAATTAATCCGTCTGGGCGATCTTGGGAGCAATGAGACACTACACTATTCATCTTGGAGTTTCGGAGGACGCTCAGATGCTCAGGTCAAGCGCCTGGGCGTGAAGTTCTCGGCTCAGTTCACTCAGCACTATAGCAAGGCCCGCGCCTCACTCAGGCTGCCTTTCTACTTCCTCGGAGAAAGAGCCTTACAGTTTGAGTTTGGTGTTCGTCAGTTTACAAGAGCTTGGACGAGCGTCTCCTTTACGGATTGTCAGATACGAGTTGTGAGTGTGCGACCCCAAAATTCGCCTATATTTCAGCTTTGTCGAGAAAAGGACTTCGATGGAGTGAAGAGAATGATTGAAGAAGGCCGGGCTTCGGTCTCCGACGTAGACAACTTCAATCATGCGGGCCTGCTTGAAGTAAGTTGTTCACTGGTAGCATGACCTCAGTGGTCTCGGATTCTCTGACACTAATTAATCCTAATAGTACACCTTACTGATCACAAAGGATACATTTTCTTTAAGACACTGGGAAAGCGAAAAGCCCATGCTCAAGCTCGTGAACTATCTTCTGCAGCAAGGCTGCAACTCGGCGGCCTTCGATAGTTCAGCGGTACCATCAATGGGATTACCGCCATCGTTAGTTTATGGATCATAGCTGTTAGAACTTCAGGCTGATGATCACTGCTAGCCCGAGACATCCGGCAATCATTTCAGCGCTATCTTGGGGCTACCCCAATGTTTTAAGGATGCTGGTTCAGAATGGATTTTCATTTGAGACCGAACTAGATCCCGCGAATTGGATTTCTGGAGACTCGGCGTCAGGGTTTCGCGAGCAGCTCTCTATTATATTTTCCCTTGGGATCGTGATCCCAGGCTTGAGCTCCAACGGCAAAATTCTGATTCAAGCTATCGGGCACCGCTGCACTCCAGAAATCATTTATGCTATTGAGGTATTGGGAGCTATTGATGCGAAGGAAGTTGTAGACCGGTATTTTGAATCCCATTTGTCCGCCATACCCGGGGAAGAAGGTTTGGGAATCGGCACTATTCTTCAGCATTACGGCCTGGTTTTATCATCCTACACCGAATTTCCCTTATCATTCGCCTACGTGGTCCAATCTAGCTTGGACATTGACTGGACCCATTGGTTTCTGTTGATGGATCAAACCTGCGCCCTGGCACAACCGCTTCCGCATCCATATTCTTCCTATTCTCAGTACAACCCATGGAGTGAGTTTTGGTGGAAGCTTTCAGGCTACATGCCAATGACCTACCTGTTTGACAAAGATCGCCTGAATGACTGGGACTTCGAGGCAATGGTCACCGCGATAGAACACTTCGCTCTTCACGGTGCTGGAGTTTCTGCCTCTCTCTCTCCTCCGCTTCATTCTGAAATTAGCCTCAACTGCAAGTGGCATAAACAAATCGGACTCAAGTGCGAGGACATAGCGAGATCATGGAGCTATTTCCCGAGCGATGAGCCCATACATGGAGATGCGTGTACGTTGCCCACCTACGACGACTTTATCGAACGGGATGATCGCAGACTTCCAAGGGTACCGATTTGTGTATCCAAGGACGGCTGGATCAAGAAGACTAGTCATACCCCCAGAACCTACGATGAAGTGGCCTTGAGCACAAGTACCAACTGGGTATGCTGCGACAATCGGTTGCAGCTTGCAATAGACGACGAGCCGGGCCAGAAACGCAATAACGAAGATGGCAACGAGATCAGCCATGAAGAAGACGACGAGACCGTCGATAAAGCGGAAGGCAACAGAAGACCGGGGTCCTTTGCATCATTGATCTCTACCCAAGAGGGCCGGAGACACTTATTGCGCTTCCCGCTCGTAAAAGCACTCTGCTGTGCTTTGCAGCGCGTCGGCTACCGGGTGGATATGGACGATGAGGGCGACCTCTGGTACGACGACGATGACGGCGACCCGTATTTCGACGCCGTCGAAGATCTGCGAGATCTGGACCACGAGCCGGGCCCTCTGGGAGGAACTTGCAGGATCTGCCGCAACCCCCGCGAGTACGGTTTAGGCCATATACTCGACAAAATTGAGAATGACTTGGTGGAGTGGCGACATGAAAGACAGAAGTTCGTGGAGAGAGGGGTGCTGCAGGAAGACGACTATGTTTGGCCATCATGGACGAGGAGGGGCGGCTACCAGGGAACATGATATGAAACCGCCTGTACGGAGAAAAGGACGAGCAGGGAAGTGGAATTTGGCGTACATGGTATTGGATGTTCTTACTTTTTCTTCTGCATACTGACGGGAACTCGGTAAATTGCAAACAACACGGTCGAGGAGATCACCTGCAAGCTGAATATGATGTAAGAGGTGCAGAAGGCAATCCCAGGGAGTAATACGACGCGGAGCTAAAGAAACAAGTAGAAGGGTATCATTCTATGTAAACTACTCTACCCAAACTCCCGCATTGTTCGTCGCAGTACTCACTGATGACGATGGACAACGACGACAACCATGACAAAGACCAAGGCGAACTACTAATCTCCTCATAGTGTAGCCATTCTAGGGACTCCATTCTCCGAAGGCAACATCGGCGGCATCTCAGGGGGGCTTTCGCCGTTGCGGTACAGCCAAAGCCTCGAAAGCTCCTTCACCTTGAAGGTCTTCCTCCTGTGACGGCCCTTGATGTGCTCGCCGTGGAACTCGACATCAGTGGCGAACTCGCCACCCAACCAGCCCTCCAACGCCTCGCGGGCGTTCTGTGCCGCATCGCCCGGGGTTCCGACGGTGATTTCGCTTTCCATGAAGTCGTTTGTGTCCGCGGCCCCTTTGAACTCCCCCGTTTCGGAGTCCTTCTCAAGCGGAAACATGCCGTCGAGATAGTGCTGGCAGAACTGGTGACCTCCCCGATCCGATGCCCTTACGAACAGACGGCCGATGAAGCGCGGCATGCTGTGGTCGGCGGTCAGGGAGGTGCAGAAATGCAAGACTCCCCATATCGCTACGAAGTCTGTTGAGTGTGCGTAGTGTTCGACGTGGCCGATGGCGCGGTCCAGGGCGGCGGTGGAAGATCGGGAGGAAGACATGGACGAAGAACTTTTGGAGAGTGTAGGAACGCGGGCATGGCCGTTCTTAGCGCCGTTGGGGCCGCTACCCCCGTTGGAAGTGCCCGAAGCTCGACGACGAAGGCCAGTTGCAACGGGTGACATGGCAACGGGGCTGCTTGTCGTTTCTATTTCGGCCACCGTCGTCGTGGTCATTGTCATGGCTGCCGGGTTACGTTGAGCCAGGTCCTGGGAGGCGACGTGGCGATGGGGGTTGTTGAAATGGTTCGCAGCGTTGCCGAAAGTGTACACCTCCAGCTTTGAGAGGAGATCTTGAGGCAACTCCTGTAGAAGCCAGTCAAGAACGAGACCTCCCTCGATGCCGCCTTGAGAGTGCAGAATGAAGACCACTTTGGAAAACTTGGGGTTGTAGAGCGTCTCCTTGACGATGCGGTAGCACATGCGTACATCGTAGGTGGCATAGCCGAGATTTCGTTGGATCAGACATTCGACGACGTCAAAAAGGATGCCGGAAGTTTGATTGTGAATGCCAAGGATAGGGCGCTTGAAGGTGAGAGCCAACCGGTTGAGGTTGTTCTTCATCCAATGATCGCTGTTTTGGATTAGCCGCCGTTTGCAAGATGAGTTGGTTGTCTAAAGTACTTACCCAACGGCAACGCCATTCAGGAAGATCCACTGTTCATGGGCGTGCTTTTCGAGTGCTGGCGCATACTTCTCATCCGAGGTGTAGGTGAGAGTAGGGCCGTTCAGAAGAAGGCAGAGAAGATAGTTGACGGCAAAGAAGGCGCTGAGAGCAAGGATGTCGATCCAGAGAGGAAAGAATATCGTCAACGGCAGGGCGAAAATGAAACCAATCTGTAGAATACAGAGAAGGAGGTGCATTCCAACACAGAAGAGGTTCTGCCTCGTGAAGGCCAACTCGTCGAGGTCGCCAGAATCAGCAGGAGAGAAGGGCCAGACGATCCATGGCAGAGCCCAGGCGTATGAGAAGAAGAAGTAGATGTCGTATGCCAACAGTTTCCATGGAAAGTCGGTGTAAGAGTAGTTGATGACAGACTGGCCGCCCACTTGACTGCCGAGGAATCTGGTTTGTCCCATTCTTTGAGAAAGTAACTCGTCGCGTTTTTGGTGTCGTTGCTGATGCGCTGACCAGAACTTTCCCAGCCATGGGCTGGAGAGGATTCCCCCAAGCATAATGACGAGATTTATACTTAGTACAGGGCAACGACAGAAAGGGTATTTGGTCAAGTGACAGGTTGATCGTATGGGGTATCTAGTGTCATTCGTGGGGACGGGGAGGAGACAAGCGGGTGCTCACGAGGCATTATATTCCATCCCCAGAGCCCGTATTGTGTCTTTGAAACCCTTCCCGACCCAAAAGGACACCAAAGACAAACGGCGGGGGAGGCAGGTGCAGGGCTGAGTTGGCCGCCTCTGCTGCTCTCTGCTGGGGGGGTTGACGACGGCGCCGCCGCTTGGATGGTCACTCGACCGGGGCGCTTGCCAATCAGGGGCCGCCGTAAGCCGCTAATCACGATGTGGTAGGGGGCCTCGGGGGGCGCCACCCCGCTGCCGCTGCCTGCCCGTCCTTGGCCGGCTTCATTCCATTAAAACCTCGTCCTGCCTTAGCCTTATGGGGGCTGAGATGAGCGAAAGTGAGAAAGCTGCGTCTGCAGCTGAGAAGAGAGGCATGCAGTCAGATCTGGGCAGTGCAGGGAGGGACAGAATGCGAGGCTCCGAGACGTGACCAACTGAGGCCAATGAAAAGTGAGTAAACCACGATGAATGTGAGTGCGAACGGAAACTGACATGCACAGAAGCCATCGCGACAGGCTTACACCTGCTGCAGCTGCTGTGAGCCTGTGCGGTGAGGTTGGTTGGCGACCCAAAATGCGCTGTCCGCCGCCAATAAGAGCTTTCTTCTGTCGTCATAACTGACGTTGTGTGCCCAGCCAATCGGCACGCCTAACCCGGCAGCGGTAGGCAGAGTCATCTCCCAAAATAAAGACGTAGGAATTAAGGTGCCTTGCCGTGCTTATCACAGAACCTTGAACGGGTAGGTGTCTCTGGCTGTGAACTCACCGAAGAATGAGAGGTCAGCGTTGAAAGTGGCAGCCTTGCTCATGTCTCGAATAGTTCGCCGGCTTGAGGCAAAAGAAGTCAACCGGAAGATGAGGCCAAGTCGTTCAAGTCTGAGAGCAAACAACGATTCGGGATCGGCTCGACGATGAGACTCAGCGCAAGACATGCTTCGCTTGGCTGTCAGCTCAATTCTGAAGACAATATCATCCCTTTTCCAGTCGCAGATCGCTTGCAGCTCCCAATAGTTGAGCCTCACAGGCGCCCCTCAGCCTCTCCGTTCTCGAATCTGGCATCTCATCTGATGTCTGCCTGGAGTCTGGGCAGCATCACATGTCTTATTGTCGTCGCACAGGAGATATTTTCGAGCGAGGCACTCGTATGGAGTCGATTCATTCCTGCGGCTGTAACGTAACTTCAAGGAAACCAGAGTTGAATTTTGAGGCTGACGGTAGCCGTTGCGGTGCTCCCGGTAGCATTTGATGTTGTTGAAGAAAAGAAGAGTCGTGAGAACATGAGTGAAGCACTGGTCACCGTCAGCTGAAGACGGGACGAACCAGAGTTGGCCCGTGCGCCTAGCAACGTCGGTGGGATGAATTGTTTGGTGGGGCACTTTGTTGACCAAACATTGAATCTCCAATCTCACCGAGTGCATACCAAGTCAACAGCTTCGACTTCGGAGCTTCCCAACTGACGCGCCAGATTTCCACGACCTAAGACAAAAGAAGAAACAGACGAAGTCGCACAGAATGTCGATGCTCTCAATCCATCTAGAGCAAATAGCTCTGTCATGCGAAGGCATCGACTCCCTCCCGTACGCGCCGTACCCCTCCTCCATTATCGCTCCCTCAAACTGACGCGCCGCCAGCTTCCCACCACCCAAAATCTTCACAAACGCAATGCTCTACAACAGCGACATCACCTCTCTGATCCGCGACACCGAAGCCCACGAGCGCGCCCTCTTCTCCGTACCCCCGCCCCCGCCTCCCGCGACCTCCCAGAACCCGGACCCGAAGCCCAACACCCGCCGCCAGACCGTCTTCAACGTCGCCTCGGGCGAGGTCACGACCGGGCCCCCAAACAACCGCGGCGTCGGCGGCGGAGGACCGCGCAGGCAGACGGCCGTCTCGGCGGTGCTGGGCGGCGACCTGCACAGCCAGCTGCGCCGTGGCGAGCGTCAGGCGGCTATCAAGGGCGGCGATGTCGATGTCGAGGTCCTGCTGGAGGGTGCGACGAAGCTTTGTGGCGTCTATGCGCTGCCCGGAGCTTTGGAGAAGATCCCGCAGCTGAGGCAGAGATATGCGCATCAGACCAACACGCTGGCATACTACGAGGCCAAGGTCGCCGAGCACCAGGCCGCTCTGGAGAGGATGAACAAGGATCACTGGATGGGAGATGACAACGAGCCGGAAGAGGACGACGACGACGATGACGATGAAGCCATGACAGAAGAGGATCTGAGGGCCGAGGAAGAGACGTTGCGCGATCTTGACAGGAAGAGGAGGGAGTTGCAACAACGGCTGAAGACCATGGACGAGGACTTGAACGGATTAATGGGTTGAACGGATTGGCACTTTTTACGACGGTTATGAACCATGATACCCAATGCGAAAAGTTCCATTATATCAAATTTGACAAATTTTGTACAAGGCCGTCGACGTTCAACTCTTAACACGTCAATCCGTCCTGGCCGTTAGATCCCCCTCCGCCCTGTTTCGCCGCGACAAGCGTCTCCAGAAACTCGCCGACGTCCTGCGCGCCTCCGATCTCGTACTTGTCGTTGATGACAAAGTGCGGTACGCCCCTCACGCCCTTCCGGTACGCATCCTCGACCTGCTTGTCGACCTCGGCACCGCCCTTGCCCTCCTCGAGCCACTTCTTGACCTCCTCCTTCTCAAGCCCGCCCTTGACGGCGGCGTCGACGATCATATCCCAGCTCGTGACGTCGCCGCCCTCCTCGAAGTAGCTCTTCATGATGGACGTCATGACGGCGTTCTCGACCTCGGGGCCCTTGGTCTTGGCCAGCTGTACCGCGCGGTGGGCGTCGCGGGTGTGTCCGACCTTGCCGTCGAAGGTGAAGTTGAAGCCCTCGGCCGCGCCGAGCTTCTTCATGCGGTCGTGCATCATCTCGAGCCTCTCGGCGCCGAAACGCGCGGCCATGCGCTCATTGACGGGGACGCCCTTCTTGGGGGCCGTTGGGTCTAGGTAGTAGGCCTGCCATGTGACGTTGAAGTTGTCGTCCTTGCCGGCGGGGTATGTCTTCTTGTACACATCAATAGCCCTGTTTAAACGGGCTTTGCCAAGGTAGCACTGGACGCTGTTAGTCGCGACAACTCCAAGAAAGTGAGTTTTAGAACACTTACAAAAGGGCAGACGGGGTCTGAGATGACTTTGATGTTGAAGTTGGTCATTTTGCTAATTTGTCGTGCGGCGTTCATGAGATTGCTAGTGATCTGAATTACAACCAGTCGTACTTGGAAATTGTTGTCAATACTATCGGTTGGGCGAGTGAACCGATTTATGAGATCGACCCGGGCTCATACGGGCGGGACTCCGCCTGTTGTGCCGAAAAGCCACTGATTACCAATCATTGCGGCACCCGTCCCGGACGGAATCTTTTCTTGGCCGGGCCCGGCGGGAGGGTCGATCGCCCCGCCGCCATTATTCAGCCCAGCCAACGTGTGGTGGGATGCAAGAGTGGAATTAGATTCCGTTCGGCACTTGATTCATAGAGTCGTATCCACGGAGTCTTCCGTCTCGTGGCGAACGATGTAAAACTTCTTTGCGGTTTGATGCACGGACTGACTCAATAGTCTAGGGATGTCCGAAATCCTTGCGCAAATGCGCATCCGCTGACAAAATGCATTATAGTATGGGTATCATCTTGGTCCTCATAACTAGTCGACGGAGTATCGCTCCGTCGCCTCTCGTAACCTCTCGTTGTTGCGAAAACGACGGTGAGAATCTCGCGCCTCCCGCGGATGTCTTCGCCTATCGTCCCGTCTCCAAGTAGAGGGGTATATGCCATCTGCGCTCCCTGGAGAATCGCGTTCTCGTCCCGGACTTTGCGACCGCCTCCGACGCTTGATAGAGGGTTGCGGGTACTGCACGTTGCGATCCCAGTTCTCTAGCGTCATGTACGGGCTCCTGAGCCACGCTCTGAGTTCGTGAAGTAGAAGCCGTGTGTTCTCTCGTCCCAGGAACTCCTGGATCAGCTCCTCGGCCTGCCCCATGCTGCCTTGCATATCCACAGTCTTCAGAATCGCCACAATGTATTCAAGCAAGAACTCGGCGTTGTTGGCCCTGCGGCGCACCACAGGATCTGTCTCTGAAGGGCGCGCATCGTTGTCGGGGGATAAGAACTCGAAGACTTGAAGCTCGCGGCGGAGGAACGTGCGTGCGCGAGAGACCAGCTCCGGGTCAGATGCGAACATCTGCGGCGTCAAGTCCCTGTATCTCGATATCCGATTCGAGCCAACGTGTAGCGAGTAACTTTGGTCACGATAAACGGCTCGTCGTCGAGCGATCGAGTCGTCCTGGGAAGGCGCTGATGTCCGGTACGAGGAGCTCACGCGAGGTCGCGGTCGCCGCACAGCCGGTCGACGATAATTCCGGTAGTGAGAAGAAGGCGGGCCGTTCGCTGTTTCGACCTGGGGCGGCTTCTCCGGGGTCAAGAATGACTTCCATTGTTTTCGGTCATCGCTAAACTCATAGCGAACTTCTGAGATTTCCGTTTTGCAGAGGGGACATGCAGTCTGTCGTTCTAGCCACGTCAACAGGCAGAGATAATCGAAGTTGCTGTGATTGCATGGTCGAGTTTCGCAGCCCTCGGAGATTTCGTCTAGGCAGATGACGCAACATTCGGCAGCCAATGCGCCCCGCTCGCTTTCGGTTGGTCGTGAGGAGATCTCCTGGAGCGTTGTCTGCAGAACAGCGGAATGGAGATCTCGCGAGTCCGTGGTATCGCTGCTTCCTGCTTCGGGGAACATTCCAGTGGCACAATTGCGAAATGTGTTGAGTAGTTTACTGGAGGCAAACGGGGAAAGTTGTAGATGCGTAGTAAGCGGTTGTTGGTGGCAGAGCGTCGAATCTTAGTAAGCTGGGGTAGGTAAGGTACCTACCTATTGGAAACCTTTCGAGTCCACGGGCGAAGAAGGTCTCGGCGCAAAATAAAACATGATATAAAACCTAGCATTAGCCACAGGCTACTGTGACAGAAATGATATAAACCTTCAGCTTGAAGAGCCATAGAAGACCTGGATAATGTGAACCTCAATGGTGTAAGTTAAGGTACCTCCTACCTACCTAAGTTAAGTATGTCAGTTGCCCGGCCGATAAGATAAGAGCTCAAAAGTGGATCAGAGCGTGAACCTTTCGCGTTTAGTGGTTTAGCAGGTCGCGTCTGAACCGCGTCCTTCCTCAACCTAGAAATCCGGAGATACATCAGCTACATCAGCTATATACCCGCATTCTCTCAAGGCCAAGTCACCCGTTGCGAACTGCATTTCTTCAATGACGTATATACCCGGCTGCTAGCAATTGCTTCGACATGGACGACCAGACAAAGGCAGAGTACGAGTCGCAATCCCAGAATCTCCGCACAGAACTGAAAAGCTGGGAGAGCTCCTGGGCAAAATCCCACGACGGCAAGAAGCCGGGAAGAGACGACATCAAGCGCAACGCTGACATCGGTAAGAATACTCGTGGGAGCACATACAGCAATTTCTGACTTTGAAAACAGCGCAAAAATACAAACAATACAACAAAGTCCGCGACATCTTGTCCGGGAAGATCCCACCGCCTGCGAAAGAAGACCCGAGAGCGACGAGGAGGAAAGACATCCCAGCCCCGACAGCAACACCCTCGAAACGACACAAGCATGCAGAAACTCCGTCCAAGAAAAGATCGAACAACGATAATGCAGCTCTCATCAGCACTCCGTCGATCTCCAAGACCTTGTTCAGTCCCGCAGCCCCCAGATCAATAGGACCCACGCCGCAGCGCGATGGCAGGGTCCTCGGACTGTTTGACCTCATGGTAGAGCGCGAGCTGGGTACGCCATCGAGAAGGAATGGGAATGGGAATATAAACACGCTCGCGGACTCGGAAGTGAGACCTCTTACGACACCGAGGAAACGTGCCACCCCCATGGACGAGGAAAGCAATACCAAACTTGGACGAACACCAATGTCTACAAGCAAGAGGCAGATGCTAGACAGCTTCATGACACCTTTGAAGAACAAAGAAGGAACCGCAATTGACGCAAAGACTCCTACGACAGTCTCGAAGCTTCAATTCAGCACCCCATCGTTTCTCAAGAGACACACCCAGCCACACCCACCAGAGAAGAACGATTTTGCTGCTCCGCCGCTACGCCTGCCCCGAAAACCTATGGTTCGCGGCCTCAGCGCTATTGTGGCTAGCCTTCGGCAGGTGGAGGAAGAACAACATGACGACGACGAAGAAGCCCTCCGGGAAGCTGAAGGCGGCGAGCCGCAGCCAAAGGCCCCGCCAAAGCCGAGAGAAGATATTCTCGCCGCGGACAGCCAAGTACATCTGCCGCTTGGTGGGTTTGATGACGAAGGGATGTACGACAGTCCTGATGAGGAGCAAGTGGATCGCAACGGAAACCCGTTGAGGATATTCAAGAAGAAGGGCCAGAAGCGAACGACGAGACGCTCGAACATGAAGCCAAACTTTGTCAAAAGGCCATCAGCTCCGGCGGAGAACGAAGCGCAGGGCGAAGACGACGACTTCGTGCCAGAAACGCAAGCGAATGGTGTCGCAGACGACTTACCCGATGAGTTAGCAGACATGTCGGACGCGGACTTCAACGGTACTGCTCCAAAGGCCAGCAGCTCGAAGAAGACGGAGAAGGTGGGAGCAGTCAAGAAGGCTGTCAGAAAAGTGAACGAGGCGGCGCACACAAACTTCCGGCGTTTGAAATTGAAGAACAATGGCGCAAAGGGAGGACCGGGATACAACAGCAGATTTAGAAGGCGGCGCTGATTTCAAGATTTCGACTGCATGGAGAGGTGTTATGGCAGGAAGCGATACCGTGGTCACCGGTGTTCATGAGGTAATGCCCAATATATCATATTCATTGATCAAATGCAAATTTCCTTCTGTGGGTATATGCAACATACGCAGCCTCGGCTTCTAATCATCCAAGCAAAGACTTCAACAGACGCTTCGCCAGGATGGAGAGGTAAAACGTCGCGAAATCGCAGCTGATAGACACCATAAACCATGACAAGCCCGCCGAGAAGATGACGCGGTTAACGAGAAAGCGGTCTTCGTCCGGCATGTCTGCAGGTATGTCCCCGTCTTTCTCCACTAGCCATTCGGTCTCATCCCAAACGCAATGGTCCTTTTCGACCTGGCATAACTCCAAATCCATGAATCTGTTGATGAGATATTGGCCGCGGTCGATTCGTTGCTGGATCCGCCTCAAACAACACTGCTGCTGACCACCCCTGACCACAGGCATCACTCCCTCTCCCTTCCGCACAACCGGCGGCACAGAGTTCTCGATCTTTTGTCTGTATCCCAGGGTCTTGTTTTCGATCTCGGCCAACAGCCATATCACCGCGATGTGATCCTTGATGAGCGCCGACATCCAACATAAGGCCATCGCGAACTGCAGTACCATGTTCCTCATCACCTCCCGCGTTTCCAGTCCGTCGAGTTGATCGCCGCAGCAGTTTCTCAGCGCTTGTTGGCGGTTGAGTATCTCACGATACGTGCGCAGACGAGGCGGGGTCCTTCTGTAGAGATGGGGATGCCACTTCCTCGTCCTTTCTTCCGTGAAGTCTTCCGTATGCCACCGTTCGTCCCAAAAGGAACTCCAGAAGTCGGTCAGAGTGTTCGATATCGTCTTTGATACTGGGACGGCATCGAATAACTTCGTCTTCCAGAAGGAGGACCAGTCTGTCGCGAGAACGACGTGGAGGAGAAACCCAACTACATCGCTGACGAGAAACTCGGGCATCAGCTTCGGGGGCTGCAACATTCCCAGAAGATCAAACTCCTTGATGCGACGGCCCAGCCGTGAGGCCGCTGGTAGCCTTGATGGCTTTGGAGGCGGCGACGTTGTGTCCATATCTGGTGTTTGGCGGAAGTCTTCTGGCGCGGTTCGATTCGATCAATCCCTGCTCAGCCGCTGCCGCTGCAGAAGCGCGGGAGAAGGGCCCTTTTGATGTAGCGAGAGCGCCTTTTCCCATGGCTTGGAATTATGCACATCAGCACAACACCTGAAGAAATTACGGGCGCGCCGAGCTTCGAGATCGGTATGTGTTGGCATGTCTTCATAGGCGCCAGGAGCGAGCCTCCACCAAAGATCCCAATCGCAGGGAATCAAGCCGGTGCTGAGGCGTCTGATGTAAGACGGCACCCACATGTAAGCGCTGCTAAGCCCAGAACTAGTTTCCGCCCGCCTAATTGATCCAACGAGGACCGGTCGGCCGGATAAGATACTGGAGGATTGGACGATCCTCAGCCCTTTGAATGCGTTTTGGGCCTGGTCGGGAGTGGGCGGCGCCGCTTCGATGTTTTCGGCCCGGGTTGGCGGTGTCAGGTCGCCGCCGTTCCCATAGCGATTCCTTTGTGCGTCACAAGTCTTACATGCCTGCACAAATTCAAAACTTCGTCAGATTATGCTTGGCGTTATACCAGGCGTAAAGCTCGTCGTGTGGTTTCTGGAAGGGAATCACATTTGGCGACGGCTGATGAGGCCCAGGACAAATGGTTCTGCACGCATCAGCACCGGCACAGTTTCTCAGGATTGGTGACATGCGAGGTATCGTCGACATGATGTGATCGCCGTAATCTATGCAACAGCTCGAGGTGCTTCTACTGCAGTTACAATAGGAGCCTTCTCAGTCTTCAACCCGCTTGTCGTCGTCTCGGCCTGAAGTCCCAACCCAGCCGCCTGCAGCTCATCCTTGGCCAATTTCGCCTGAGCCTCGGCGTTCAGTCTCACCCACATCTTCTTCCTCAACTCCAACCCGTCAAGAAACACTTGGAACCACGAGGGGTCAAACGGCGGCAGCCGTCTCCCCACGCCATTCTCCGGCTCGCCGGCAAGAGCGCGAACGGTCTCGAAGTATTCCTCAAAGTGCGGATGCACGAGCGGGAACTTATCTCCCTTTTCCGCGACTCGATCGGCCTCCCACTTCGCCTGCTCCTCCGCAGGCGGCAGCTTCGCCCTGCCCGAGAGAACGCGCGCCGCGAGGACGGCCTGCCACTCAAAGATCTTGAACGTTAGACCTGCCGCCACCGCCCCGATGAACAGCAGCGACGGGTCCTGGTGGTACACGACGTGCTGGTACAGGCCCGCCGGTCGGTTGTTCTGCACTTTGACGGAGGGCAGGAAGGGGAGCGTCCAGGTGAATCCGGTCGAGAAGATGAAGTTGTCGACGTCTGAGACGGACGCGCCGTCGACGAAGTGGACCGTTCGGCCCTCGATGCGGGAGATGGTCGCCTGGCGGGAGATCTTGGGGTGGTGGAAGGCGCCGTCGCCGAAGTAGAGGTTTGCTTTTCGGCCGTTTACGACGGAGTAGATTGGGAGTTTTGCGGTGTTGACAAGGTCGACTGAAATATCGGCTCCGGAGACGGACGCGCCGACGACAACGACTCGCTGCACGAATTAGCTGCAAATTCTGGAGGTGGAAGAAGTGGGAGCGAACCTTGTCACGGAAGTCCTCCCTTCCGCGGAAGTGTTTGCTGTGGATTACACTGCCGGGACGAGCTCTTTCGAACTCCTCGAGGCCTTCGATCCCAGGGACGTAGGGGACCCAGTAGTGGCCAGTCGCGACGACTACTGCGTCAAAGGTTTCCGACCACCACTCATCCTTCTCAGCGCCCTCTTTTCGTAGCGTAAGCTTCCACTCATCGCCGACCTTTTCGGCGAGTTCGACGGTGGTGTTGTAAGATACGAGTTTCTCATAGCCGTTCCGGTTCACGAGGCCTTGGATGTAATCCCGGATGACGGTCCAGTGGCGGAACGGAGTCGTAGCGCCGTGCAACGCGATCGAGTTTGCGGTGCGCTCTTCGGGGATGGCGCCGTCCGTGAAGGACATGGGAATGGCGTCGACATTGGTCTCCAGATAAGGGTAGATGCCGGACTCGGTGAAGCGCGGAGCGGGGTTCCGCGGAGTCTGTGCCGGGAGGGTGTCCGGGATCGGGAGCGGTCTGTCGGCAGTGCGGTCGGCGAGGGAGGGGAAGTCGGAAAGGTGAGGCGGGGGAGATTGATCGCCGACCCTGCGGACGGGACGTCAGTGAGAGTCAGAGCGTGTCGTCTCATCTCTTTCATCTCATCTTCAGTTGGCTGTCTCATCTGACATCGCGGACATGAGTCTGGACTGCCAGCTTATGAGATATTATGGTTGCCGCCTTCGCAACTCCTGAGACAGACCGTCCTTCTCGTTTCTTAGAGAATCACCTTGACTGCGCTTAATCGAACATCGTGGAGCCACTTGGCGGGGTTGAAAGCCATCAAGGTGCTCATCTTATCTCCTTATGAGCTCAATCGGTAACTTCAGTGGCTCCCATTCAAGGGTTCTTCTCTCAATCACACCTTGAAACTTGAGATGGCCAAACAAGCCTAACAAGAGGGAAACAACTCACCAGCAACCGCCAGCGGCTTCCCGGCGCTCAAACACACGAATGACGTCGAAAGCCTTCTCTTGAGCCAAGGCGTCGATGGTGATAGCCCCCGCCGGCCCCGCGCCGATGACTGCTACTCTCTTGATCGCGCCCATGGTCACGTTGGAATTTCGATCAGGACGAAGTCAACTCGTGAAGGTTGAAAGAGGGGGGAATAAGAGCCTCCAGAAACACAGCCAAACAAATGAGCGCACACAAACCTCGCCGCGCGCGTGCAGCACGAGGTCTGGCTACTTTTTAAAATGTCTCCCGACAGCGTGGATTCGGCTCAAGGGGACGACCGGACAGGGGTGGGAACGATAAAAGACCCAATCATGCCGTCGCAAACCGCCTGACGGGGCAGTCTTACAGGGATGCGGGGGACGCGATGAGCGAAGTTTGCGTCTCCGAGCGATTGATCATCTTAGCGCCCGATGGCGTTATCCCGCTCAGCGCAATCGCAAGACGCTATCATTCCCATACGACCCCACCAGGTCCCGGAGGAGGCACGGAGGTCGGTCCGGGGCGGGGCGCCCGGGTGGGTTAGGTGAGATCCGGGACCAGGCCATCAGGGTCCCCAAATCTTTACCGGCTTTTAGGTCCTGGACCCTGGGTTTCTTGTTTGCGATAAGCTATGCCGTTCGGAAAGATGGGTAGTTGACGTGGATGACAGGGGTAAGCTGGGTGTGCGACCGGGATCATGAGAGAGCCCTGAGAGAACCTGGATGGCTTGTGAGTATGGGCAAGACAAAAGGCTGCTGTTCTGCTGGCTGTGGGATCTTGTCTTTGGTGCTTTGCGACTTAAGTGATTGTCAGGATGGAGTCGCCAACGGACAAGAAGATGGTGTGCGATACACCCAGCGACCAGTCGGTCACCGCCACCGACGATGAGTTGGAGTGGGATCTCGAGCAGGAGAAGAAAGCCAAGAGGAAGTGAGTGAAAGTGATTCATGGTGAAAACGGACCTTTGGAGATACTGACGGCCCTGCCCAGAATCGACATGACGGTCCTCCCCCTCCTCGTCCTCGGCCTTCTCATGTTCCAGCTCGACCGCATGAACCTCGCCAGCGCTCTGACCGCAGGCTTTGCGAAAGATATCGACGTGAGCCAGGATACCATCAACTTGGGAAACCAGCTCATGTTCATGGGAACCGTTGTCTTGGAGATCCCGTGCAACTTGCTTCTACAACGGGTGCGTTTCGCAAAGTACTCTTCTCTTCAGGCAGCCAAGGCTCACGATGGCATCTAGTTCGGACCGCGAAAGTGGATATCCCTGCAGGTCTTCCTCTTCGGAGTCGTGGGCACTCTTCAAGTCCTCGTCAAGAACCGCGCCGGGTTTCTAGCTACCCGCCTGATGCTGGGGTTCACGGAGGCGGGCTACATCCCGGCCTCGATATTCACGCTGTCGACGTGGTACACCAAGCGAGAGCTGGCGAAGCGCGTTGCGGTGTTCATGTTTGGCCAGTTTGGCGGGAATGGGCTGAGCCCGTTGCTTGCTTCGGGTATCCTGAAGTTGGATGGTCATGGGGGCTTGAAGGGCTGGCAGTGGCTTTTTCTACGTGACATTTTCCTTCACCTTTGAAAATACCTGGCACGACTGCTGACGACCACGACTAGTTGAGGGCGTCGCAACTCTGACGGTGGCTCTGATGTTCATATTTCTCCTCCCAGGCTCCCCGGATACCCCGAAACCGATTGGCAGCCCGGGCATCATCCGCTTTTCGAAAGGTCAGCAAGAAGTCCTACAAACACGCCTGAAGGTTGAGGAGCCTGCGAAGAAGCATGGCGGCCGTGGGCTGGAGATTCCGTGGGCGCTGGTCTGGAAGACGATCGGCCACTACAAGAGGTGGCCGCACTACATCTCCACGTTCTGCGTCTTTTCGACTTGGTCACCGCTGACTACATATACGCCGTCCATCATCATGTAAAATCATGTCACTACATACTGGGAAACAGTTCTAACATGTCGCAGGGCATTGGGTTTCGACCGAATCAGCGCCAACGCGTTAGCTGCCGTCGGTGCGACTCTCTCAATGGTCGTCGTCTTCGCATTTGCGACTCTGAGTGATAAAACAAACAAAAGAGGAGGCGCAGTCCTGCTTGCGCACGTGTGCTATCTCATCATCTTGGTGGTAACGCGAAGCATTCATCCACATGTCGGGAAGTGGTCGAGATGGGTTCTGTGGACGGCGATCAACGCCTTCGCGGTGTCGTATCACCCGGCGCATAATACTTGGGTCCAGGTCAACTGCCGCGAGCCTGGTGAGAGAAGCATTGCCGTTGCGTGAGTTACCTGTCCTTGAGTGTACTTGGAAAGTGGCTAATGCATCGCAGGATGTGGGTGATGTCCGCAATCAGCGGCTTGATGGTCGGTACGCAGTATTTCAGGGGCAACGATCTTCCTTTGTGAGTATCTCCTCGTTCTGCGATGACATCTTCGACTAACGAAGTATCAGCTATGATAAGGGTCTCTTGACGATGATCATCATGGTATCAGTGGGCATGAGCTTCGCCATATTACAAGAATTGGTGTATTTTGTGCATAACCGAAGAGTGGCGCAAGGGAAACATAAGCCTAAGGATGGCTCCGAGCCGTATGTATACGTGTATTAGTGCACGAAGAGTTTTGACGTTTCGATGATAAGTATCTGGCGATGCCGGTGCCAGGGGCTATGATGACCAGAGTGGATGAGTTATGTGAGGTTCAACGAGTCACGAGAGTAGACAAAGCGGTGTTTCAGTATTCTTCAAGAGACTGATGCAACTACATCATACTATGAACAGACATTACAGGTAAATAGAGGAGAGATTATATTATCATCAATTATTGACATGAACTTCCCTCGTTATCCAAAATCGCAGCCTGGTCATCAATGGGCATGGTCATGTCCGTGAATATGGTCGTCAGAACGCTTGCTGAAGTCGCGCTTGCCAACCCAATCAGTGCCCTTGGCTCTGAGACGAGTGGTGACCTCGTTCAAACTGAGACCCAGGACCTTCTCGATGTACTTGGGAAGGTCAGTGTTGTCCTGGTTGCCCGCCATGTCAGCCCGGATAGCGCGGCCATTCTCACCCGCCCCGTAGCCGTAAAGTGTCACGTCGACAGCGGTGTGCCCACCAGTAGACCAGTGAACACCGGCCTTGTCGCTGAGAAGTTTGGTAAGTCCACTGCTCCAATCTCCGGCGAGCAGGGCGTCGACTTCGGCGTCGGTGGCGTCGGCGAGGCCGTACGCGGGCAGAATGTCGCTGACGAAGAAGGCCTTCTTCTCGCTCTCGGAACCTTCGAACTCGGCCCAGACGTTCATGAGAGCCTCCATCGAGGAGTTGGCCTTGCCGAGGGGGAGGGGGTTGAAGCCGTTGAGGGTCAGACCGCCGCACTCGTGATCGGCCGCGGACATGAGCATGGTGTCGGGGTGCTCGTCAATCCACTCGCGAACGAAGCCCATGACTTCGTTGTAGTGGATCGTGTCGAAGAGGTGGGCGGCAGGGTCGCTGGCGTGGCCGGCGTGGTCGATGCGAGAGGCTTCAACGAGGAGGAAATAACCCTGGTCGATGGGTTCGGTGGCGCGGTGGAGGGAGTTGAGAGCGGTCTTGACCATCTCGAGGAGGGAGGGTTCCTTCTCAGGCTGGCGAGATCGGTCAATCTCGTACATGAGGTGATCTGGTCATTGTTATTCACTCCGTATCTTGCTTTTAACTCGGCACCGGAAACATACCATCGCTGAAAAGACCAAGGTAAGGAATCTGGATCCCGCCCAGACCGCTATCGAGGGCGTCAAATGCGGAGCGGTTCTGCATGACGTGGTAGCCGTTCTTTTCCGCGAAGCCCAAAAGATCAATGTCATCACTGCGACAGGACTCGGGGTCAGACTGAGGCTTGAAGTAGCATCGGCCGCCTCCGAGCAGGATATCGGAGACGGGGCCCATCGGGTGGCCATAGCCGACCTCGTGCTCCGCGATCTTGGCGTAGGAGTTACGATCAGCAACGTGAGCCGCGTAGCCTGGTCGAGGGTCAGTGACAATTCTTGGTCGTCGGGCCGGGATCACGTACTTGCAGGGGTGGCGTGGTTTATGGTGCTGGTAACGACCATACCGGTCATCATGCCGGCAAGCTTGGCAGCTTCGAGAATAGAACCAACGGGCTCGCCAGCGGGGTTGACTCCGATAGCTGTTGCACGTCAGGCATTATTCCTAGAAGCAAACCAGACCCTGACCCACCATTGTTGTATGACTTGACACCGCACGCGAAGGCGGTGGCAGAGGCTGCGGAGTCTGTGATCAAGTTGTCGCTGGACTGGGTACGGACGTTGCCAATGGTCTTACGAATGTCAGCAACTGCTCTGTCTATCGAGGGTGATAACTTACCAACTTGTCAGCCGCGAGCTGGAAGGTCACGGGAGCCTTGGGGTTCTGGCCATTCTGGATCAACGAGACGTAGTCTCGAGCCATGGTCTGGGAAGCCGGGCCATATCCATCGGGAACGATGTAGATGAAGTTCTTGACATCAGGAGCCGCAAGTGCGGTTTGGGCCAGCGCGGCAACGGTAGCAGCAGTAATACGCATCTTGATTCTTGACTCGTGAACCAGTGAAGGTGCGAGATTGCAAGACGCAGACCCCGATGCAACTTTTGAAGGACGCGGGGGAGTTCAGGACCTCAGGGTGACGAGAGACAACAAGGTGAGTCTCTGCAAGTCGTGCATATTCTGCAAAGTTAGACCATGACGTGACTTTAAATACCCAATATTGATTATCTTGGCTTTATTGCCTGCAATGCACTTCACACCAGTATGTCTACCGGTTGCAGCAACGCTGCAGTGGAAGCCTACTTGGCATGACGGATCACGCTCATCACCGGCGGATGATTTGGGCGGGAGGATCGCGACAGGTGCCTACAACCACCGGTAGGAATTCCCACGCAATCGGTAGCGTAGTGAGACAATCCCATAGTCAGTGTCTCTCGGAGGAATCACAACGAATTGTTCCATCACCTGCTGGAGATAATCCGCAGCGTACCTGAGTGCCAAGCCGCGTCTTAGTCCGGGCCGCGGGCTTGGCTGGTCCACCGTCCCCAATGGACGCCACGGGACGGGCAACGTGCCAGTCGAGACGTCGGCGGGGAATCGTACTTCAACGCCTTCGTCTCCCCGCCTCTGTCTTGGCTGACTGTTCAAGAGAGGAAGGTAGCATGACCGTTGCAGCCACGTGCCTTTTTGCGAATCTTACTCTGATAAGACACCAGGCAGCTGAGAGGTTTTTATACAACGTCAAGATCACCGGGGAAAGTCACCAAGATAGGTTACGCGACATATTCCGAGGATATGCGGTTTCTTGGCGTTGAGTGTATGAAATGAACATGCTCATCATCTGCCTCAACAACAAAGCAAGTGTTCGTAGGTAAGTAAGGCGATCAGATTGAACGAGAATACCAACATAACTGTTTGATGTATTAGGCATTACCTGCCAACAGCTTTGACTTCCTAGAGCTTTTTCTCGAATACATTCCTGAACTTGTTGCGAGTTCAGCTCAAGAATCGAGTGCTATTGGACACAAAGCGGGCGTCCCGTTCGTGCGACAGAAGAAGATTCTTGAAAGAAACAAATTCCCAATGATTGATGAGATCTACGAAAATATGGGAAATAATGGAGGAAAAATCAACTGCGAGTTGAAAGAAAAGAACACTGTCGTCTAAGAACTCAGCAAGATGCTGGCGTCATGCTCAGCCAAAACAAGCCAATAAGTGAGGTATATTTGTGGCGCATGTGAGGTGGTACCATGATGGTTGAGAATCTGACGTCTTGATGAACAAGTCACCCACTGATGAGAGATCGAAGAGCAATGAAAATGAGCAGGTTGTGGCCGATTTATCATGAAATGTGGTGATGAGAGGTGGGGAGACAACCCGGACGGGGGCGGGACGGAAGATGCAATCCACTGACGGGAGGTGCTTCCAGCGGTGGCCCGGGCCAAGTGCCCCGTTACGTTCCACTGCCCCAGGTGTTGTAAGCGCTGCCGAGTTCATTGGCTGGCAGCGCTCGGGAACGCTACAGGGGTGCCCCGACCTGCCAATAATAACTTCCCGCGCGTCTGCGGTCGACTTCGTTAGAAACACCACACACAAGAAACCCCTTCTCATCAAAAACATTTCATTTTCCTTCTCTGAATCTCGTATTGCTACATCGATCAAGCATACCAGAGGCGCTTAGCCATACATCCACCGGAAGTCCATCCGCGGCATTCCACGACTGCTTGCTATAGCTCGACCCTTGCAGTCAAAATCGGCGAGAGATGCAAGGCATTGGATGAAAATGGCCCCAAGCTGTCGGGCCCTCATCTAAACTGCTCCATCCCCCTCGCCAATTCGCGATGGTCTGTTTCGAATACCTTCACAGCCCGGCTGCTTGAATGGGCCACGACAAGGCCGAAAGTTCTGGACCCTTGGGAGCCTTGTTCTGTTTGTCGTCAAACCCAGTCATACAAGATGGGGTTGCACCCTCGCGTGCCTCGTGTCAAACGAGTGTTCGAGACCCCGTCATCGATTTTCTCCAGTATTGTCTAGTCATATCGACGCCTGTCCTTCTCTCTTTTTTCCCACTCTGTCTTTACTCGCTTTCCTTGTGTTTTTGTCTTTCGCCCCTCTCCCCACGTCTGTCTTTGCTTTGTTGCCTTGCACTCTGTTTCTGATCTGCGCTGATCATCGTCTTTGTTCCTGCACGACATCATTCTCTCATTTTTTCGAGTGCGAAACAGCTTGCTGTGGATATCAGTTTACTCATAATACGCTCTTCTTGACGAAGAGACCCTCGGCCACTCTCTCATTATACCCAACCAAGCGATTTTCTCTCTTCAGACCTCACCATGCTTTCCAGTATCCGCATAGCAGACGTCCTGCTGCTCCTCCTGATATCTCAAACCACGCAGGCCGGTCCAGTAAGACGTGCCGAGAGACTGTGAGTACATATTCGACCACCGCCAACGAAGACCTTCACTGACAGTCGTAGATTCGGGAGGGGCTGGAATTCCACTGCCAGCGCAGTCACAAGCCTTCACTCCACGTCGAGCACCGCTCCAGATCCGACGTACGTCGCTATCGCGAGTCTTGATGATTTGCACTTACACGGATACAGGGATCTTTCCACCTCTGCCAAACCAGTCACGGCTCAGAAAGAAGATGGGTCCACTCCGAGTCCCATCTTCACCACTCTGGACGACCAGCCCAGAAGCTCGCCGGCTGCCACACAGCCCGTCGGTCAAGGCCCTCCGACAACGGTGGCTCAGTCTATAACAGAATCGCCATCAACGACCGGCACAGAGCCAGTTTTCTTGCCTCCTCCTCTGAGCACGATATCGATATCTTCAACGACCTCAGGGGCCGGGCAGGATGGTTCAATAACCTCAGGGGCGGCTACTTTACCTCCCACGTTCAGCTCCATTAGTCTGCCGCCGTTTCCGACGACGAATGCCCGAAACACGACGGCCGTTCCAGCGGATGGGGAGCGAGGCGCTTCGCCAGGTCAGACAATGCAGTCATCTCTGTCCTTTGCCTTTCCTGTTCCGGGTCAAACCACCGCCGCGTCTACCGCTCCTGCAGAGCAGCCTGCAGCGTCATCTACCTCTGCTCCCGAGTTGTCCACGACGGCTTCCAGCCCCGAGGCATCGACAACCTCTGCCGCAATAACCTCCACTCTGACAGCCCAGCCCTCTGCAGGTACGCCCGCAGCACCTTCATCATCAACATCGCCCTCTTTCCAGACCACACCCCCGTCATCAGCCACCCTCAAGGTCACCGGCACCCCCCTTGTCGGTGTCCCTACAATCGAGACCTCCATCCCAGCTGCCACGGCCACCGTCTCCCCCGAAGTCGCCGCCAGCAATCTCGCCAACGCGAAGACCTTCAACTCCATCTTCGCCACCCTCACCGAACAATCCGCCTGCAGTGCCGGACAGGTCGCCTGCGTGAAGGGCAACAAGGCGAAGTGCGGTTCTGATGGCGCGTTTGAGATTGAGACTTGCGAGGCCGGCACGTCGTGCTTCGCGCTCCCCATGAACACGACGGAGGGAGTCATCATCAAGTGCTATGACCCTGCCCTCGCGAGGAACATTCTCGGAGACTCCGTTACGGCGCCGGCTCCCGGCTCCTCTACCAGCGCACCGGCACAAGCCCCGCCGGCGTCGGGCGTCGTGTCCGAAATAAGAACCACAGTGACGCCCACCTCCGTCGTGGTATCGACCGTCTCCGTGAAAGTGCCCGAAGCCACGAGCCCGGCGGCCCCGATCGCCACGGCCACATCGACCGTCCTCGTGGAAGCGCCCGAACCTACGTCCACACCCGGCGTCACGACCACAGTCTTCATCACGAGAACGATCGACCGCGAGTCCTCGACAGCCACGGAAAAGGAGCCGACCACGACGACGGGAGGAGACGAGACGACGCTGATCACCTCCACCCGCCGCCGCACCCGCAGCTCGACTTCAGCCCCCGAGTCCACCGCCCCCGCCGCGACCGAGACCACCACCATCACCGACACCCTGACCTTCGCGCCCATCCCCTCCACCGTTCCCACGTTCCTCGTCGGGGCCAAGGCGACCGACGCCCCGGCACCGGGCGTCGTCACGGTCAGGGTTACCGTCACGGAGAAGGAGATCGTGACGGTGACCACGACCGCGAAAAACATCGAGACTCTCATTCTGACGGTTACCAAGATCCAGTGAACGGTGGGGGGGTAAGAAGTCGACGCGAGAAGATTGATTGAGCACAATATTAATACCATCCTCCCTGGTCAGGACTACAGACCCTTCGTTCGTACAAGCTGTCAATCATGTAATTTGGGCCCGGTAAAATAGCGCTGCTTTTGCTTTTTGAGATACTTTCTGTAAACATCTGAATAGAAACTCCATAAACACCCTGCTCCTCTTGCACTTTGTTCGACGGTATATCGCCAGCAATCCCAATGATTCGAACTGTCCAACGTCCGCTTCCACAGGTTCCATTCACAAGTGAGAAACCGGCCGAGGGTCAACAGCAAGGATCACGAAGTATGATTATAACTAATGAGGTGAGACGTACGATTCTGGTCAACGTCATTATTATCTTCTATCCTGTAGGCTGCTTCTCGCAGCTCTAGTACTCCGCTATGCAGTTCTCGATGCGTCTATATGCACGAATGGCTTCTTTGCACTTCCATACATGCTCATCCCCATGCTGATTTCCATGCGATGCAATTTCCATGCGATGTCGATCCATGCGACGCTGATGTCCATTCATCCAATCCGGGTATCCATTGCTGTTTCCCAAAACGCCTTTCCAAATTCCTCCTCTCAAGAAAGCCAGCAACTCTCTATGACAAAACGACGGAAGCTGACTGGGTACGCGACTGGGTACGCGATTGAGAACGCGATTGAGAACGCTTCTTGCTGCGGCCTGATATATCCGATACTATCTTGGGACAATCCGAGTCTTCAGACAAGTCCGCTTCTGTAGTTTCGGTTCTTCCGTCAGTAACTGTCTGACCCCGGCTGGTCTTCGCCATCTTCGACACAAACATCTGGACTTCCAATGTGCTGCTCAGAGGTCGCTTTGCAGCGCGCGAGGAACCGGAGGACGTATCCGAGTCCGAGTTTGGTGTGCGGCTTCTCGATATCGGGGTGTTCATCAGTGCATGCCGAGAGTCGAAAAATGCAGGTTCAGTCTTCTCCTCTCCATCAATCAGAGATCCGAGCCAGGCCTCGCGGAAGGCCAAACCAAGAACCAGAGACACTTCTCTCGCGACACTGTTGCCGATGACTTTCCATTGGTCCCTGGGAGCCCCGAGGAGCACCTCATGATCAAGAAATCCTTGCGCCCGTCGTGCTTCCATGACGGTAAAAGTCCGATTTTGATTCCGATGCAAAATCCTACCAATCCAGGCATCCGCAGGTGAGGGTGTTGTCGTTATAGTCGGCATAATTGTATTCGGAAAAGACCGTCCCCATGCGCGGGACGATGACTTCAGAACTCTGTGACCTCTGTCCGGGAAGAATCCTCTCTCTGCTTCTGTCATTACCCCCTTCCCGTTGTTCCACGACGTCACAAAGTTCATGCCGTATGGTCGGGTAGGGATCGCACTCAGCTGATTGCGGAAAGACTTGGTGTGACCAGACGCGAAGCGATGGTCAGGGAAGCTGATGCAACAGTCAGCCTTGCCATCAGCGATGTCCGGCAGATCGGCTGTTGCTTCCTCAGCGGTCACAAATTTGAAAGGCGTCGGCATAAAAAGGCGCTGGCCCATGGGCTCGCCATTGGGTAGTTTGCCAAGTGTTCTGCTCCGAAACGTCTGATAGTGTGAATGAGAATGGAGCGGCATTTCTGGTAGTCGATAGTCTGGTGCTGCAAAGCAAAGAAACACGCGACTGCGACTTTGCGGCGAGCCGTGTGACCATGCATCGAGCAAGAAGAAATGCGCTTGGTAGCCAAGACCGACAATAGCGCAGATCAACTGGCAGAAGACGTCTTCCTTCCGCTTGCCTTGATCTTGCACGATCTCCACAACGTTCTCCAGGACACCAAACTTCGGCCGATATGTATCAACAAAAGACGCAAAAGCCGCCACGAGAGACTGGTTTTTTCGCTGCTTAAGCTTAGTCTTGTCGTTTGTAAGGCGAGAGAAGCCAGGGCATGGGCTTCCGGCAGACACAAAGTCCACTTGTCCAACCTTGGGTACTTTCTCACTGAACTTCCCCTCTAAGGCAAGTCTCTGTAAATCGTCGATGGAGCCTACAAAGGGCTGGACGCTGCCCGCTGTTGCATTTGCCATATAAGTATGGATCGCTCTGTCGTTGATATCATTAGCCCATTTCATCTCAATTACGCCTCCTTCTTCGAGACCACGACCGAAGTTCCCCCCTCCGCAGAAGAGATCGACTCCTCGGAGCTTGGGAACCGCTCGTGACGGATCGAAACCTTGTCGGAGCTTTGAGTGTATGTTGATATCGATCGGGCTGGCGTCAGTCATGGGAACAATTTGCCCCGACTCCAGTCGTTGGCGAGTGATGTAAAATGCATTGGCGACTCCTCTTCTGTTGTATGGGCAAGGTATGGGCTTGTCAGGCTGGAAGAATCGCACGATGCACTTCCCATGAATGTTTTCCGATTGGAGCTTGATCAAGTCGTTGCTGTACACCAGCTCATTCGGCGGGGCTCCCGAATGGGGCTCGAGCTGGTCCCTTCGATAAAGGAGTCTAAATGTGAGCAGATCTTCGTCTTCCTCTCTGGAGAGCGATACCAACTCGCAGGGCTCGACCGTATCGTCGTCCTGATCTATGCGAACGAGAAACGTTTCGCCAACCTTGTAGCTAACGTCATCTGGGCTATGGCGGCAGCGTAGGTGGTGTTCTTGAAAGGTTACCCAACGATGTGTTTCGGTTAGGGTAAGGTACGTTTGCCTGCAGAAGAACTCGGCATCAGTTGACGATGAGCCTCCCCAGTGAATTTGATGAATCGCAAGAACCTCGCTCTGTTTGATTTTGTGATGCCCATCGTGACACGAGCAATGATCCGACAGGAACAACTCGTTGTTCCAAGGATATCGCATTGACCCACAAAGCGTATCAACTGGCCGATAGAGCCAGATAACGTCGAAAGACTGATCCCCGTTTCTCTTGTAAATTTTCTGAACCAATCCAAACCAGCGGTCGACATCATCAAATCCGGCAGCGACTTCCCGCGCCCAATGAGAGTCGTCGTCGTTGTCTCGCGGAGTGGAAATGACATCGCCGATCTGGATATCTCTGTTGAGGGACCGTCGTCTATCCTCAATCGGGTTGGCGGAGGTATGCACGTTGGGCGCAGATTCCAGATTGTGTCTGTCGTTGATCTCTGTTCGCAAGCGGTCGGTTTCAGGGCTTGGGCTCACGGCATCCATCATCATACCACAAGGTAGATGGTTGAAGAGTTGATTGATGTATGGCGTGACGACGGTTTTCTCGATGTGACTAGCTTTTCCTGGTGCCGACGAGGGCGATGACGGGGCGCTGGCGGGAGTTCGGGACACATCTGGGTAGGCGGTGTAGTCGCGGATTTCCTTCCACATGTGAATCGACCTGGCCTTGTGTCCAAGAACGCCGTTGACTTCCTTGTAGATAAACTCCAGGTTCGCAACGATTGCGGAGCGAAAGTCCGCACTTGGGAACTGGTTTCTCCAGTGCTTAAAAGCTTCTGAGTCTTGTTGATGGTTCTCAGAGAGCCATTCGCTAAAGTGAGACTCGAAGTCGCGAAGGACCACGCGACGGTCATCCGCTGTGGAGAGGTAGTCCGTCACATGTTTTGCTAAATCGGCGACCCATAAGAATCCCTTATGAAAGCGAGCGTATTCCTTTGAAGGACTTCCCAACCGATAGTAAACGTCCGGTCTGCGACCAGCTACAGCTAGCCTGGCGTTCATCTTCGACCGAATCCAGATGTCAGAGCCGACTGAGTGCTCAGACACGCCGTAGTTGCCAATCGGAAGCTCGTCAAAAGGTACTTGTCTAATGAAGTACTGTTTCTCCCCAGTTGATAAGACACCATCAACATACATTTGAGTACATCTGGATTTTGTCGACAGGTGATGAAGTGGCCGTAACTCAGCTGGGTACAGCAGCTTTCCGTAGTCATCATAACCCGTGTTGGATCCGGATCCGGGGGTATACGGTTCAGTGTAAATAGTGAATTGATCGAGATCAAACTCGATGAAGTCGTCATTCTGATCACCGAACCGTTGGTATTCCTCAAGTAAATAGTCTACTGCTCTGGTTTCTCTCTCAGGTGGAGCAGGAAGGCCGTCCTCGCCTTGATAGAGGTATCCCGGTGAGATCAGTGTGCTTTCTGGAATGTTGACGGAGATGTTCGTGATTGGCTGAAAAGTGGCCGGGAGGAAGACGGTTTGTGGTGGGATGTGTTCGCCGGCGGGCTCTGGTGCAAGTGACAGTTGCGGTTGCGAGTCGACGTTGGCGTCGGCATCATGGGTGGCATTCTCCAAAACTTGTAAGATTTTTCGGTTCTCGATCTTAGCGAGATCTTCGTCAACTTCCCAGTCTTGGTCCTCATCGTACACATCGGCCTCATAGACTTCAGGCGCAAGGCCATCGTCATAGTCTTCAATAGGTCCTATAGCGGTATTAGATGACTGTCGATATATCACAGAGAAGAACGTACCCGGCATAATGATGGCGCATTCCCGCGACCTCTCATAGATGTCGAGGAAGGTACCTGCGACAGTGGGAGTCGAGACGCGCCACAGCAGGTACCTCACGCGGTTGAGGCAAGTGAGTGCTGGTGGAGTTGGGTTGGTGAGTTGTGGATGGTAATAATGGGAATGCCAAGTCAAAAACGCGCAGAGACACTGAGGTCTACTGAAGAAAAGAAGGGAAGGTACGCTTCGGATAAGTCCTCCGCGACTTGTGTTGTGTTGTGTGTTCGCACTGGTGTTTGAGTTGTGACAGGTAGGTAGGTACCTAGGTCGGGTAGTTAGTTAGTTGTTGCTGCCATCGGGTTACTGTGGTGGAGAATGGGATCCGATCCAGCGCTATTGACAGATTTTGGCAAGCACAGCTCCACTTTGAGGTTGGTTGCGGTTGTTCCTGCAGCGAAATTCTCCAATCGCGTTGTGCAAGCAGGTACTGTACCCCTGCCGATTGTGCAGCATCAATAACGGAATGCGGGTGTTGATGAGTCTGTCAGGAGAGTTCCGGTAATTATTGTTGTGGCTTTTGTGGAAACCGGAAAAGCTAGATTCAGATGAGCATGTCGGCGCTGTGAGTTCTGCAAATAGTTTCAATTCAATTCTAAGCAAGAGCAGGCAGGAAAGAGTCAAAAGCAGCCTGTGCCAATTGCACCATCGGATAAGTAAGGTTAAACAGAATTCATTGAGCTGGGTATCTTTTTTTAGTTGTGGGCAGCGCTCCTGCCTCCTCCTGCAACAAGCCTGGACGAAGATGATTCGCGTCGAATCTACGAGGTCTTCTCTGCGGCTTCTTCCTCCCTCCATTCAAGAACAATCCTCCTCACCTCAAACACAACCTCTACGGCGATGAGAATGATAATGATCCACTCCAACCTCGTACTGTGTTGCTCACTTGACATCTCTCTCAACACACTGGCAATCTCTTGCGCGTAGTCCATCTTCTGGTTCAAAGTACGAATCCGCACGTTAACGTCCAGCGCTCGCCCGACCTGCTCGTAGTATCCTTCCAGGCCTAGTTCGGCTCGGCTGTCCCAGAAAATGTCGGGGAGAGAATCTGTTAGCTCAGAATAGTGGTTAAGCCGCGCCCGCAAGCTCAGGAGTTCACCCGTCTTCTGCAAAATGAACTTCCGCCCCAGGGGCAGTCCGGAGCCCTTTGACAGAAGAGACGGGATCTTTCTCGTGCTCTCAAAATACGCCGTCAAGGCTGTCTCCAACACGGCAAGCTTTGTGCTTCTCGCGAGCCCCGAGGAGAATGCGATCTTGGCAAGCGTTGTATCCAATCTGTCACCTTCCCTTTCCTCGAGTTTCGTTCCGAGAACCACAATGTCACCCTTCATGCCGCTTGTTTCCCTAGACGAGTCCGCGACGTATTCCAGATCCTCTACCTCCCGAAGAGCCGGCTTCAATGGCGTCTCTGCTGCGCTCAGCAACTGCTTCGTTACAACGTCGGGAGGCAGTGTCCAAGTGACAATCGTTCCGGACGGAAAGACGAAAATGTCTCCGCCATTGACCCCGCGGGCGTGGACGACTTCGCTGGCTTCAAAACCACTCTGGTCCGGATCAATGTCGAAGCCGTGAGCCCGCAGTATATCCAGGACCATCCCCATATTGAATGATTCAGCGATACAGACGGCGCTGATCAGGGTCGAGGCAGACGTATCTTCCGACTGTCCAGCTGGGGTTCCGGTGCTGCGTTGCGCCGGACGTTGGGCGATAATCGCTACTCGGCGCAGAGAATTCTTTGCGCCAGCAGAGCGGACACCTTTGCGCTTTGGAGGCGCAGGCAAGTGCTCATTTTCTGTCTTCGGTTGCCTTGCGGAGGGCTCGCCGGTGCTCTGAGACAGATAAACGTTCGAGGTGAAGAAGTTGCGCTTTCGAGGAAGGCTTGCGGGGCTCGTCAGATGGAAGCTTCGCTGGGGCCGAGGCGTGCATCGTGCTGTATGAAAGCCACGGGTGAGCAACGACACTATCTTTGGGTGGCAGGGCCGCATGTTTTCGACAAATTTGGCGGCGCCATTGAATGGACCTTCCAAGGTCCGAAGATGAGCAAGCGAGTCCCGTCACTAAAGGGAAATAACGGGGCCGACAAAAAGGTAGGTAAAGGTAAGGTAGGTAAGGTAGGTAGCTGCCGTTGCTTGCCGTTGTCTTATCAAACAAGTATCTTATCAGCACGTGACGAGACAGAAAGTGCTGTCGCAAAGCAGTGACCGGGCTCCATGGGCAGCTTTTTGCGACCTACCTAGTATCTTGAACTTCTTTTGAGGCTCGCTGGCGAGAATGGGGCAATGCGGCTGCCTCCTATTTCTAGACCTCTCTCAGTTGTTTTGAACAAGGGCCGATGGGCATCTACGCCCTTTGGGCGAGCAGTGAGTCTTACTTTGTGCATAGGTCCATCAGAGCTAACCAAGCTATTTCCAGCACTTGCCTCGACGTACTGAACTCCGGTTCAGTCACGGTATCGCAGCCGCTCAACATCCCTCGCCAGACAACACCGTTCAATCACACGGTCCTAACTTGCCGTCCCCGATTCGCCGAACCCTTGCTCAGCACTCTGATGGGCTCGCCGCTGCCCTCGACTTTTATCGAGACCCCGAACAATTTTTATCCGATGCGAAGCCTGAAGATTTCGAGTTATTTGCCTCGCTCAGGCACACGGTTCGGGTGAGAAACATCTTGGCCCAGTATCTTGTGCGCCAGGTCTCCAACTTGGACCCAAGAATACGATATGTATTGTCCGACGAGAATTGGGCGGAAGGGTTGGAGCGCTTGGAACGCAAGGGATATACTTTGCAAGATGTGAAGCACTGGGCTTGGATCCTCATTCCGGACGACCCCGACAAGTGTGTGACAAGGTTTTTTCAGAAGTCGCAGCATCAACCGCTGTTCATACTTTACCACCTGCTCTCGGCGGAACCCGCCTTCACAAGCCCGGATTCACTCTGGGCTCTTTTGCAGTACTGCAGAAGATGGTACTCGACCGAATATAGGGTCTGGAAAAGAAACATTGGCCGATCCCTGTCTGACGAGACAGGTCAAAGTACCATGGACCATTTGCCTTCCGAGCAAGCGCCCCTTGACAGAACGGCGCACCATGTTCCTAAGGAGAAGAAGAATGCCGTTAGGCACCCGTCGTTGATGGATCTGGGAATGGATCCTCAACTATTCGGTAAATTGCTTTCCATGCTAAGCACGAACGCAAACCGACTGAGCTCCTCGGCGCTTCCAGCCATTGCCGACTTGGCCGTGTCATACATCAAGCAAATTGGGAAAGAAAGAAAACGCATTGACACAGGTTACAAATTGCAATGTGAGGTATTCAATGTCGCCTTGCAGGCTGTGTCTAGTCCCGCAATCCGGAAGTCTTACGACAGATCTGTTCACAGCTGGAGAGCTATTGCCACTTTGCTTGCATTTTCGTCCAGCTTAAAGGGGCAGCCTTTCATCATTGAGCGGGATAGCTACCGAGCGATTCGGCAAACCCTACTCTTACTGCCCAAGACCGATTCCGAGCGAGATACGGCCAGCGCTCTTGGGGCATCGTGGCCTGCTTACCGCATGTTGCGGGATGGAATGGAAGAGATGGCCGGAACCGAGGAGTACGTGAGCAGGGTTGTCAAGGCCGGCTATATGATGCAAGAGGCTGGCTACGCCAAAGACGATATCGACGTGACGACGGATATCCTGGGTGGTATGGCCCCCGATAACTCGCCGACCGTCCAAACGAGAGCCAACTACCCGTACCGCCTCCGCGTCGCCAACGCTCAATGGGCAGCGCTCATCCGCACAACACGGAATGCGCAAGAGGCGTGGATGGCCTTCCAACGCCCTCCAGAACCGGGCACGAAGCCCACCTTCAACGTGTACTGGGAATTACTTACCAAAATCGCGGCCAAGCCAGCTGGGCCCGAACACCATAATCTTCCCGGCGATGGAAGAGAAGTCTTTCCATACGACGATACGAATCTCACCGAATTTGAGAAAGGCAGGCTCACCCCGCCCACCGCACGCGCTTTGATCGCAGAGATGTTTCAATCCGGAGTAGTCCTCCAAGGACACCGCTTGCCGTCGCTCATTTCAAAGGCATATTCCATGCGTGAGGCTCTAGAATACTTAGATCACAGCGATCTAGAACCTGCGGCGAAGGAATGCATCAAAGTATGTATGATGGAGTTCGTGGAACCCCCGCCTTGGCTGGCGACGAAACACCATCAAAATGTCTTGCGGGCCTTCGTCAAGTTGCTTTGCGACCTGCAGCCAAACCGAACGGTGGAAATGGCTCAAAGGATGCCGATCAAACATTTTGGCCGTATCCATTATGCATTCCGGCTTGTCCAAACGGCGTGGTTACCGACAAGGTACAAGAACCGGGCGCCCTGGGAGCTGGTTCTGTATGCTCTAGCTCGACCAAAAGTTGCACTCAGCAGGGGGGGCCTCCAAGAAAACGAGTTGGAGGTTCTCACTATGGCTACCGAGGTCATAGAAATGGCGGAAACTCACGCTGCTTTGAATGTCGAGATGGTGAACGAGTTCGGCCGGACCATCTGGAAGGTAATGGCGTCGACCGTACCCATTTTATTGGCGGCTCAGTCCGCAAGTCCCGAAAACAGAAACTTGATGCGGATGTACGCCTCGCAAAACCCCGCTCACCAGATTCTCGAGCGGCCGTCCTCACACGATGACCAACGGTCCTGGCGTCAGATCCTGACCCCAGTCTTCAAGGGGCCGCTGTCGAAGAGCAGCCGACCATTAGACGCCATCATCCGGGAAGCCGCGCGCCATCTCAAGAAGGCCTGGAGAGCGGTGTCGACAATCGGACCAGCCTCCGATCCCATTCCCAACCTGGAAATCACCCCAACCAATATCAACAACTACATGCGCACGCTTGCCTACGTGGGCGACTACGAGGAGATGTTGCTGCTTCTGTACTGGACCCTTCGCGAATGGGTGCCAGCCTCTGGGAGTCTGACACTGCTGGAGCAGGACCGTTTGGCGAGAGTCTTTCGTTTGTTCCGGGCGTTCGCCGAGCCCATGCTGGGCGAGGACACGGTGGGGCCTTTGCGCGAGGAGATTATGGAACTCAGTCGCAGGGAGAGTGCCGGTATCATATACTGGCCTGCTGATGAGGAGATTGAGAATTACATTAGGAGTGATAAATGGGGTAACCATCAGAACCTGCGAGAGCTTCTCAATGTAGTGACGGAGATGGAAGCAGCAGCGCATGGATGGATATTCGATGAAGAGCAAGGTATGGAGGAAAGCGGGCATGTTGAACCACGTACCTGGAGACGTGGACTTGAGTTTGGTTTGCGGCATACAGTAATAGCATGGAAGACGATGTGAGCGAAGACCTGGGACATATCCAATTGTCACAATACAAACTATCTCTCTCATATGACCACAACAAAATGCGCTGGTATTGTTCGTATCACTTTGTTTAATTGAGAAATAGCATGGGGTTCAATGCCACTATTACTATGCAAGAACCGCGACAACGGTACTGGGTAAACGGCCACAGCTCCTTGAGAACATATGGCGACAGTCTACACACGGCTTCAGTGTGTACTCAGTCTCTACAAATGTGTCTTTTCCCTTGATAAATCAGTCCACCCCAAGGCCAGCCATATCTTGCTGACGGTGGTGTTTTCTCTTGACTCTTGATGAAGTTACAACTGGAAGATGTGAGGAGCCAATCCAATGCTTTCTTGCCTGTTTGGTCAGAGCCAGGCCAACCTTTCCTGAATCATCTTGGTTGATCTGCCCGGAGAACGACAGCCCGAATGGGGGAAGGTCTGTAAGAAGCTACGTTAGGCATCTCGCATCGTGGAGAGCACATAACGTGGAAGCCGCATAGTTGCACGATAGTACCACATAATAAAGGATTAAGTTTGCAATCTTTTCTAGTGATTAGAGCTCCGTGCCTGGATTACTTCAAGTTTCACCGAGCTGCAAAGAGCGTCCAGAACCCATGATATAGACGTGTCCTATCTGAGGAATATCGTTACTGCCGTTTCATTATTCATTAGCCAGGACCTGCCCGGGCGTGTGCCAATGTAGACCCCAAAGTGGCCAGCACCTCACATCAAACGACGTCTCTTCAAGGGCCTCGCCTCCTCCTCGTCCTCATCATCAAGATCGCTCTCGCTGCGACGACGCCGGCGACCCTCGTCCAGCTCCTCCCACTCCTTCTCATCCTCATGCTCGATGCTTGGAATAGCTACATCGGGACAATACATCGCGCCCAGCTCCTCCTCCGCATGCTGAAGTCTCTCCTTCGCCTCCGCAAGCGCATCCATCGTAGCCTCGAGGATGTCGACGGCGAGGTTGGGGTGCTTGAGAACGACGCTTTCGAGTCTCTTCTTGACGTTGCCGGAGCGCATGATGTCTCGGGCGACACCGCGAGGAATCTCCATCAGGTGGGACACGAAACGGGGGTTCTTGCCGAGGGTGGAGTAGAGCTCGTCGAGAACGGCCGGGAGGTCGACGTGGAATGTGAAGTTCTTGAACGCGGCGCACAAGGCGGCGGCGGACTCGGCGAAGAGGTCGGGGAGTTCGAGATCGAGGGCCATGGCGCAGACCCGGAGCGAGTAGAAGAGGGAGTGGTTTGCGTCATCCCACATTCCCTCGTCCTCGATGGCAAGCTGTGTCTCGGGAGCCTTGAAGATGACGCAATACTCGCCCGAGTAGAGGAAAGACAGGACGCCTTCGAGGGTCTCCGGCTCGAGATCAAGGTGGACAACGTCGACGCCGTGGGTCTCGTCATAGTGCTGTAAAGTCCATGTCAGCTTGCTAGGCACGTAGTGGCTTCGAGGTACGACTTACAATAGGGGACTCGAGAGCCAGCTCTCTGAGTTTGGCACACTGCATGAAAACAATGGCTCGGTGGACCTTGAACGTCTGCTCGCTGCCGTCTTTGCCAGTGCAAGCGAGGTGGATGTCGGAATACATCCCGGTGATAAGGAGGAACGAGAGATCCAGGCAACCCATTTTGAAAATTTGACTGACGAGAAGAGGCGAAATGAGGTAGTTCTTCGAGGTTGGAAGTTAGGTGAGGTTGCCTGCAACCTTTTGTAAAGAATTGGTTGAGTTGAAGACGGTGATTGCGTGTAAGTCGACAACGAGAATAACGAGATGAATTGGATAGGCTGCCAGCAACCTTTGCGACGATTATGAGGAATAAGAATGAGGAGAGAAAAGGCGTATGAGGGTATCGATGTCAGAAAAGAAGAAGCGAAATGTAGAAGAGAGGCAGTGGGAAGAGGTTGCAGGTTAGGAAGGCAGGAGAGAAGATTGAAGGTGAGATGAATTTAAGAGAGAGAAAAAGAGAGCAAACTTTTTTAACCGAGTTCAGAGAGGCTCGAATTCACCACAGACTTTCAAAATATTTCAGGGCTTAGTGAGAATAAAACAAAGGAAATCCGAGAAGAAAAAAAAGGGAGGAAGGAGCCGACTTACAACCAAGTTGCTCTTTCCCTCAAAATGAAGCTCAGTCAAAACTCAGAGTCTGGAACTTTTATGAGAGTCCACAGTGTCATTGTCATTCATAAACCTGTTCATGATATCTTTTCCTCGCTCGTCTCGTGCTTGAAATTGTCTTTGGTAAGTAGCCATAAGTCAGATAACTTGTCCGCGATGTTACCTCTGAGTTGAGACCAGACCCTTGACTTACACACTCACGCTCGCAAACAAACCTGCCAGACTCATCTCATCTTCGAATACAGTCTCTATGACTTTCCAGCAGTGTAGTAGATCCATAGACGCAGTAAACAGCCATGCCCCAACTCACACCAACACGTCGAAACCTTGAGGCTATTTCCGTCTCCGTCCTAGCGCAGTCGTTGACACGTTTTGGCTCCCATGTTTTCTTCTCTGGCGTTTCCTCAACGGCTGTCAAGATCGGTCAAACTCTGTCTTAGATTAGCTCACATTAGCTCGTCGACTCTGCTGCGGCATGCCACGAGTTCAACCGGCTTGCGAGGGGCGCTTCGGATGACGTGAAGAGGGGACGTGTTCGGACAAGAGACCAAAAACCTTGTCGTACAAACAAACTACAACTCGTAAATCAGCCCGGAATCTACGATAACTCGAGCAAAAGAAACATAATGCCATTAGTGCCACTTTTCTGATTAGGATGTAAGTACTCGGCTACCCCCACAAACTCTATACACTGAGCCAAGACTCGCTTCCTTCCCTGAACCATGAGCCCGTCCTCTCAATCCCCTCCCCCACGTGGACAGATAGAAAAAAAATAAACTGGAGGGAGACGTGACCAGTTGACCTGGGTTTTTCCAATAGAAAGAGGCCCTGCCGGCAATCATCTATGAGTCGCAACTCTCCACCGAAAGATAATTTCTAATAACACAAGGCCAGAACGCCGAAGAAAGGGCACAGAATTGAAGAAGTGCCTTGACTTTGAGCTTCTCATTTGTTATCCCTTGCCTGCCGGTCCATCACCAATTAGGCCACTCCCTCAACACTCGATGCAACGCCCGAGTCAGAAGACACCACCTGCAAAAGACATCACACACCAACTCCTAAAGCACGTCGCTTCTTAAATAATCAGACACCGTCAATGACACCAGTACGTTTGGTGGTGGCACATGTTCAGGGTTTCGAGCCCGGTCCTGTTCTTCTCGCTATCCACCCAGGTATGTTCGGTGGAAGAGGCACAGGCGTCACTTTAGACGGCAAAGGCCCTCCAACAGACGTGAGCCGCGGTCCCACTGGCAACGCCTGCAACCCTATCGGAGACGGCTGCAACCTCCGCAACGTCGGTCCGGCTTGCTATGCCGGTTTCCTCTGCTGCTGTTGGGGTATGACGGGTACAGGCACTGGCGTCACTTTGTGGGGGATAGGCGGCGTGCCATTTCTACCCGCACTACCGACGGGGCTTTGTGGCTTTGGCGTGGTGCCCGCAGCCATGCGAGCTCTCACATTTGGTGAACCATCCGAGGGGTCTTCGGCCGGAATGGCGGCTAAGCGCGCCTCGTGACCGCCTGCGATCATCTTATTTCCGAAAGCATTGCTTGTTTGCTGTGCAGCAGCTCGGAATCTAGCCTGTTCGGCTGCCATGCGCTTGCGATGATCTGTCTCATAACCGCCCATGTTGTATCCTGGCATGGTGTTCGGCGTATGCTGGGGCTGGTGGCTACCATTCGGGTACTGCTGGCGGTTGATAGGCGTACCGGGCATGTTTTGCTGGGGAGTCGCCCCATAATGGCGCTGCTGTTGATGCGGCGTTGGAGACTGATACTGACCAGCTGGAACCTGAGGAGACATGCGCGGCTGCATGTTATTGCCGTTAGCATAGTAGCCACCGTAGTTCGGTTGAGGGGTGCTGGGCGGTTGATGATGCTGCTGCTGATAAGGCTGTTGAAAAGGCTGCTGAAATCGAGTATTCGGCGTGCCATGCTGAGGAGTGCCCGCATACCCTGGGTACTGCGGCGGCCTTTGCTGCGATCCGTACTGAACGCCCTGATGACCGTAGGGTGTTTGTGCCTTTCCGACATGCTGCGCGTAATTTGTGTATCCATTGGCTGGGCGGTAGCCGCCTGGCTGACCGGGGCGCGGAGTTTGATGCGGAGGCATATGGTGGGGGGTACCACCGGGACGGGGCATTGAGCCTTGCTGCGGGGGCATCGGGGGTTGCTGACCGGGCCGGTAATAGTTGGTCGGGGCGATCGAAGGTGTTCGGGAGGGCGTGCCGTATTGGTTGGCTCCATATTGATTGTAAGGGGTGGATGCGCTTGGTGTGCGGTGCGGAGCCGGCCGGTTTTGAGGAACGGCAGCCACGTTTTGCTGTTGCCGCAAGCGTGCTTGAGCTGCTGCATCGTCCATAACGCCCTTGTACTGGTCTGTGCGGACCTCGAGCTTGGTACTGACAAGGAGCTGCTCAAGTTGATCGCCGTTGAGCTTGGCCACTGCGTAAGGGGGAAGGGTATTGATGATAAGACTTAATTGAGCCTTAAGAGTCTCGTACGTCGCCGTCTCCTCTTCTGTCGGCGTCGAGGCGGCACCGTGGGAAAGCATGTCACCGTTGACAGGGTCTGCGTACCGGTTCTGCGACGAGGGCAACGTGAGGTTGCGAATGCGCTGGTACGACAACAAGGTCTCAATCATGTCGGTGACATCATTGAGAAGGTCGTCGACTTCCTTCTCGGCAGGGTCCTTCTCCTTTGGCTTGGACACGACTTCATTCATGTCTTGCAGCGCCGGGTCCACGAGCCAATCGTCCCACTTCTCAATTGCCTCATTCACGAACTCTTCATCCACCTCCTTCTCAGTCTCTTGCTGCGCGGGCTCCTCGTCTTCGTACTGTTGCAGCTCGGACTCGATGAGTTTGTTGAAATTTCTTTGACCAGTCAATTGCCAGTGGAGACGACCGGCATGAGTTGATGGAATGACGGAGGTAGAGTCATCTCTGCAGGGGGCGAAGCTAGAAAAGGCACTACGGAAGAGTGACTCCATTTCGTTAACCTCGAGTTCGGCGGCCGAGGGTCTACGGCCCGCCAGGCTCTGGGCTCGCTCGCGTTGTCTCGTCTTGCTCTTCGATGATGGTGTCGCATTCGTGTAGTCCAGGTAGTAGCCGACAGCCACCTTTTTGCTAGAATAGGAATCATGGAAATACTTTGACTTCCCGGCGGGTTCGGGATGATAGAAGCCCAGGACATTGCCCTTGACCATCTGTTTGGGTTGCTTGGGCGGCTGCAACGGAGGCAGAGGCCTGCTAGAGGAGAAGAGGTCGCCCAGAGTCGCAGTTCGCTCGTTCGATCGCGTTGGTAGGACCCACGACGTCGAGACGGGTGGAGGAAGGTCCAACGGGGAAGCTTTGGCACCAGACGTTTGCTTTCCGGGTGTCTTCTTGGGCAAGCTCGAGAACAGTTGTTTGCCGTGAGGAGCGAGACCAAAGACGGTCAGAACAGCCTGACCCGAGATGGGGTCGGTTTGGGGCTTGGCATCAGTAGCCATCGCAGAGCTGTGCGGATAGGATATTTCTCGTCGGAGAAGGTCCATAGCCTTCTCCTGAAACTTCTTGGTTTGTATCGCAGCAGTACCATCGACCTCGTCATTGCTCTTATCGGACTGGGCGGACTGCAATTCCTTGAGCTGATCCCTAACAGCATTGACAAGGTCCGATGCGAGCTCCTCCAGATGCGCGTACTTGTCGTGAGTAAATTTGTCGGCGATGGAGGTGGAACTCTCTGCCTTTTGGCGTTTCGCGTCGGGCTGGTCTGCATCGGGTTCGGGGAGCGGACGCTTCAGAATTGATGGGTTTGCATCGAAACTACGGAGTGCAAGTCAGTCAAATGCAGCTTTCCAAGGCGAAGGGGGAACGGAGGCGCCGCAAAGGGCGCACGAGGGCTAGCTTACCTGCTCAGGGCGGTATAATAGTTCCGAATAGCCTCTTTCTTATTTTCGTGCGACACTTGGGGCGCTTCGATATCGACCTCCATCTTTTCGGGCTCATCGCCGTTCGCTTCATCGCCGTCGTCGGCGTCGTCGCGCTTTCTTTTGACGGGCAGGACAGACTGGGGCTCGGGCTGGGGGGACTCAGCATGGTCCGGTCCAGGGATGCCGTTCGCCTGGACCGAATCCGGCTGCGCCATTGTGAAGCGTGATGTATCGCGTTCGCGGGGGAGTGGTGGTGGGTTTCGCGATGTTCGGGCTCGTCGATCGGGTCTTTGGTTCGTTGTTGCGCGGGACGACGGGGGTGGCAGGTCGCCCAGTGGAGGGATTCCAGTCGCGACGCGCGAGGTTCGTCGGTCGGTCGGTTGGTGGAACTCCAAAACCTTTTTTCGTCAAGCGTCGCGAGTCCAGTCGTTTGGGGGAGCCTTTTCATCCAAAAACACACTCAAAGGCAAGCAAAAACACCTGCGGAACAACAGGGGTCCATCGATGTCGCCGTTTAATGATTTTTTTTCGCCTTGCAAATGCTCCTGGAGCAATTCCTCGGTGATTGTTGGGGGGCTGCACTCAGAAGGATCTGTCTTGATCGTACTGCTGCGGAAAGAACTAGGGAACGCTAAGATTGGCGCCAAGTGGGTCCGCTCACGTGATTGGACTGGCCTCCGATGAAGGGACACTGGAGGTGGTTGCTGGTCTGCGCGTCCACACGTCCCTTCCATTTGCTGTCATTTGCTGCCGCATGCACCTGGTAAGGCAGGCAAAGGCAAGTAAGGTAGGTACCACCTTGCTTCGTTGACCACAAAGCATCGACACATCTGCATACACCACTCATGTAAAATGCTTAACAAATCAAGGTTTTCATTACAGGTGGATGTCTGCCAGCCGAAGTATCCCCAGATTTTGGAAGGCGGACCCTTTTCTGCGGGTTGGAATCGACCCCGGAATTAGGTGCTGCCTACGTACACTCTGAACAAGTGAGATCACTCTGGATTTAAACATGGGCAGAGAAGACTAGCAGCGTATGAAGTCTACATCTTTCAGACATGCGAAATCTATGGTAAAAATAGCCAATAAGGATACCTACTGTTCAGAGTCGCATAAGAAGACCTACCGGCATACTGACCTCCCAAAACACCCTGCACTATAAGTGAGCAAAACACTATTGTAAATTCCCAACCCGCGTGTACTAAAGTAGGTAATCAAGTCATACTCCCGTAGTGCAAGTAAGTATACCAATTATACCCTAGCAGGCGGTTGGCAGAATAGCAAGGTCATTTGGACGTGGTGGTTCTACTCAAAGTGTCCCTGTTTTTCTAGCACCCGCGGGCCTAATTACCAAATACCTAGGTAAAGAACCTATGCTGGAACACGGCTACCGCTAAACCCAAGCCGAAAAAAGCTGCTCCCGACAGCACCCGAAAAAACACGCCGCGCTTTTGGTTACCTCATAGCAGGTTTCCTCCCACATCTGTCGCTATCCTCTCAGCTCTCTCTTGTTCCCTTCAGCCTCGGTCGTCAAATCCGTCACGATGCTCTCGAGAAGTCTTAGAACCACCGCGCGCCTGGTGCCGCTCCGCCGGTATCCCGCCGCGCGCGCCATGCCGCTGCAGCTGCCCCAGATGATGCAGCACGTCCGCAACTATGCCGATAAGCTTGTCCAAGTGCCGCAGATGGCCGAGTCCATATCCGAAGGCACTCTCAAGCAGTGGTCCAAGCAGATCGGCGAGTTCGTCGAGCAGGATGAGGAAATCGCAACCATCGAGACCGACAAAGTACGTCTTCCCGCTCTCGGTTTCACCTTCTCCCAGGGGCTGGCTCTCTGCCTGTCTACCCCTTCTCCTGCTGCTCAACCGCGTTACTGACTCCCATGCCCACAGATTGACGTTGCTGTCAACGCCCCCGAGGCCGGTGTCATCAAGGAGTTCTTGGTCAACGAGGAGGACACTGTAACGGTCGGCCAAGATATCGTCAAGCTCGAGCTTGGCGGCGAGAAGCCCGCCGAAAGCAAAGAGGCAGGCGAGAAGAAGGAGGGCGGCGACAAGCCCGCCCCGGAACCCGAATCGAAGCCCGAAGCCCCCAAATCGGAGTCGAAACCCGAGCCCAAGAATGAGCCTCAACAAGAGAGCAAGCCGGCTGCCCCAGCCAAGGAGACCAAGGAGCCGTCCAAGCCCGCGCCCGCTCCCCCGAAGGAGAGCAGCTCTGGCCCGACCCTGGGCAGCCGCGAGGAGCGCCGTGTACGTTTCTATTCGACTCGATACCAGGCGTTGCTAGCCTCACGCTCGTGACATAAGCTGATTCTTCTGGACAGGTAAAAATGAACCGCATGCGCCTTCGTATTGCCGAGCGTCTCAAGCAGTCGCAGAACACGGCAGCCTCGCTCACCACATTCAACGAGGTTGACATGTCGTCCCTCATCGAGTTCCGCAAGCTCTACCGCGACGACGTCCTGAAGAAGACGGGCGTCAAGCTGGGCTTCATGAGCGCTTTCTCCCGAGCTTGCGTCCTGGCCATGCGTGACATTCCCGCCGTGAACGCATCCATCGAGGGTCCCAACGGTGGCGACACGATTGTGTACCGCGACTACGTCGATATCAGCGTGGCCGTTGCCACCGAGAAGGGTCTCGTTACCCCCGTTGTTCGCAACACTGAGTCTCTCGACATGCTGGGTATCGAGAAGGCCATCGCGGACATGGGCAAGAAGGTACGTTTCAAATTCAAAGTGCAATTTTACAGTATAGACGGCGATATTGACCCGCGCGATTACAGGCACGAGACAACAAGCTCACGATCGAGGATATGGCCGGCGGTACTTTCACCATCAGCAACGGCGGCGTTTTCGGTTCCCTCATGGGCACACCCATCATCAACCTTCCCCAGACCGCCGTGCTGGGTCTCCACGCCGTCAAGGAGAAGCCCGTTGCTGTCAACGGAAAGATCGAGATCCGCCCCATGATGTACCTGGCTCTTACTTACGACCACCGTCTTCTTGACGGTAGGGAAGCGGTTCAGTTCTTAGTTAAGGTCAAGGAGTACATCGAGGACCCTAGACGCATGCTTCTGTAAATAGCTTGCGCCGCATATCGAATGAAGTTTCAGCATTTTTAAGTCGATTCCTGTCCTCTACTGAGAACGGAGAAGGGATACCGAATTGTGGGCAGGCATGGGTGCAATTCCTGGGGATGCGGGACTGACGCTGACGCTAACGCTGTCACTCACTACGTTCTGGAACTTCCCCCAAAACATGACTAAACAGCTCATAGCAGACATTACGATAACATCACTATACACGATCTGTAATTGAGCGCAAAGATGCAACTATTTGGTATTCGCACACTGGTGTCCAGACTAGCAACCTAGGTAGATAAAATTACAGCCACCACCCGAATCCCCATGAAGTCGACATTGAATCAAGGAAAAAGTGTTATGTGTAGGCGTTTATTTCTTCGCCTTGGCCAGACCAACGGCGTTCTTGCCGAGGTCGTAAACAGAGTACCACCTGCGCAGGAAGGCATCTCCCAGAATAACGAGGGGGCCGACCGGCTCGGGGAAGTCCATGCCCTGGAAGGTGGAAATGCAGCTGCCAGAGACCTCCAGAATGTAGTCGTAGGCAGAGATGCTGAAGTTGTAACCGGCAAGGGTGAAGGTGATGTCAGGAAGCTCGGCGCGCTTGTCGCACTCAACAGAGTACTGGCCGTTGAAGCCCTTCTTGGCACCAATCTCCTTGTTGAGCAGCTCAGCAAGAGCAGAGGGAAGAACGTTCAGGGAAGTTCCGGTGTCAAGGATGGCACCGTGGCCCTCGAGGTCGGCGGTCTCGTCACCAAGAGTGATGGCGTCGAGGTCGACCTCCCAGTAAGCCTTGCGGCGGAGAGGAATGTAGGTAACCTTGCCCTCGTAGTGAGAGTCATCAATACCGCCAAAGACGGCCTCGCTCTCATCACCCTCGTCGTTGGTGTCACCAAGGTAGAAGGCGAAGACGGGCTCGTCAATGGCCTTCTGGTTGACCATCTGGTAGAAGGGGGGAACGATCTTGTTGACAGAGATGGTGTCATAACCAAGACCGAGGATGCCGTCGAAGCGACCGAAGGCGAAGGCCAGACCGGGCTCGCTGGTGGCCTCGGCAAAGTCCTGCTTCTTGATCTTGATGTCGCCGATGGAAACATCATCCTGGGACACAAAGCCAGTCAAGCTGCCGGAGCCGTAGTGGATCTCGAACTCGGAGCCGTTGGACTTGTAGGTGGAGGAAGACGAAGAGTCGTACTTGGAGTGGAGGTAGCAGGCGATGCTGCCGCACTGCTGGGAAGGAACCCAGAGGTTGGAGCTACCAGTGTCCAAGACGACCTTGAAGTTCTGGGGAGGAGTGCCGATGGTAATCTCGGAGAAGTCTGGAAGAAATGGCGTTAGTTGGGATGGACAAATGCATGATAATTCCGGATACTGCGGACGTACACTGAGCATTCATGAAGTTGCTCACAGGCACCGGGTGCTCGCCGTTGCTCTTGATGGGCTTCTGGTTGAACATGGCATCGGCGTGGTTCTGAGGACGAGCGCCCATGTACTTCTGGCCCAGAGAGCGGACCTGGTGCTCGATGGGGGCAGAGCTCTGGATGGAATCTGGTCAGCAAACGGATTTGATGATGTGAGCGATGTTGGGACAAACGCACCAGTTGCTCCTCGAGGGGAACCTTCTTGAGCTTCAGCTTGTGGACTTCGGCCTGGGCGGTGCCCAACAGGACGGCCGCGGTGAGGAGAGCGCTCTTCATCGTGGCTGACAACAACAACCTCAGTTATCCAATATACGATTATTCGGCGGCCTGCGTCTTTGAGCTGTTGATGTTTGGGGTTGATGGGAGGTGACAGAGGAGATGGAGGAGGATGATGATGTGTTGACGGGGGGAAGATGCGGAAGCTGGGGCGGCGCAGGTACCTATTAAGTACCTTACGTAGGTACCTCGCCTCGGGGAAGCAGCGTGACCTGCCACCCGCCTCCGCAATGTGCAATCCTGGGCAAGCGTCCAGTGTGAAGGGACGCTGCTGCACACCTTGCTGCGACGAATGACGCACTAGGTTCCGATAGGTAGGCGCGGCTTATCAGAAAGCTGGAGGGCCCACTTGTTAATTGGCTGGGGAACAGAGCCAGGCACGCAAACCGAGACAGAGCTCCTCCGAGCTCTCACACACACGGTGACACTCACACTCCCCCGGCCGTCTTCCAAGCAACGCAACCAAAGCTCATATGAGGCGAGGCACCCAGACAGAGAGCTTGCGTGTCTGATCGCGTGTCCCTGCAGCTTCTTTGCAGCCTGGAGGCCGTTTTGTGTCGTCTGTCTGCAGCGCTGCTATCTGGCTATCTGGTAAACCGATAGAAGATGATTTCTACATCGCGCCAGTCACGACTGTCAGTCTGACATGACGTGACGCGATGACCAGGTGGATTGATGGGACAGACAAGGTCCTCGCTTGTCCATTGTCCATGTTGTTTCTCGTTCCTCCGTTGGTACGGATACTTTGACTGGCAGATCAGGTGCCCGTAGCTCAAAGTACCCAGCTACTTTACCTCCCAAGGTTTGTAACCAAACAACTCAACCTCGCCATGAAATGCTGGGCCGGGCTAGGACTGGGACACCCGGATGAGGATGCTCCATGCTTGGTGCTGGTGCTGGTGCTGCGTGGAAGCTATGGTGCCTGGCCGGACCAAGGCAAAACGCCATTGGCGCCTTGGTACCTGAGGCCATCAGTTCCATCAGATGTCTCGGAGCTCGGTCCTAATGTGGGTGCGATGGATGGCTGGTTACTCGGATGACTCAGCAAGTTGACCTTGACCGAAACCCGGTTCTTGTGAGACCTTGGATTCGAGGGAGGGCATCGTCAGCCAACAGCTCTTCAAATCATGATAGCGCCAACCGCAACCGCGCGATGCTTGCCAGAGAAGTGTGGGAGGTCGGCAGCTCGCCTGCCAGCCACAACTCTGTGCCTCGACTGAAAATTAGAGATTGAGGCTACGAGGTTATGTTGCATTGACTTTTATTTCGACAGCTGCCCAGTCTCCTTGGTTACGCAGTGCCTCTGGCCTATCAGCGCTCTGCTTGAAATGAGCTCTTAGACTTTGCAACGTCTGACTTGAACCGCGCCGACATCGCAACTGACGTCTCAGGTCACTATCAACTGATTTTTTTTTCTCTTGTTTATGAGATGCCCAAAACATGTGACCGGTAGAATCTTTTCGAGCGACGTCAGCAGCAGTTTGTTCTCCAATACGCATTGCTCCATCGTAGCTGTGTCCGGTGCACGCAGCTTTGATAGCACATGAGTCCCTCCAGCTTTAACAAATATCTAATCTAACCATGCACTTACATGTGAGGGAGTTATACCTGCTTTTCGAAGCATTAAACGCTCGAGTTGACTCACACACAACTGGATTGCCACAACTGAAGCCATCACCATTGCCACATCGTCCGAAGCATCCCGGCTGGGCCGAAACTTCACGATGGTTACCCTTAGTCAAGTGAGCAACAAAACGGACGAGACCCCTCCTCAGACTCAGACGCGAACACAACGGCCCCGTTTCTCGTTGACTCGCGGCACCGTTCCAGAAATCGGAGTCATGGTGCCCCGCCACTAAAGCGAGTCCAGGGATAATGTGCCGGGCGCTATTAGCGCATCATTTTCACCTCCAAGACCCTCTGGAGTCCTGGACTGCCGCTGGAATTCACACGTTCAGCGACCCTGACCGCTGAGGGGCGCGAGCCACTTCGTTTTCTACTTAGCACCGCGTCGCCATCGACCCCGCCAATCAAACCCCGCCATACCCCACCGCTTCCGTTGAGAATGCGGCCATTCACATTTTGCTCCCTCCGATATTTTCCCAAATTTTTTCGCAAGCTTTAACCCTTCCTTCCCAACCTTGCTGGCCTCTTCTCTGTCCTCTCCTTTTTCTTCTTTTATATACCAACCTCCTCACTGCCATTGCTTGCGTGAACCATTCGATCTTCACCTTTCCCAAGCACCTCCCGCAATACCACAACTCACAATGGCTGCCAATGGCTCTACCTACTCCCTCCCCGTCTCCCACAAGGAGGTCAGTTTCCTCTGCTACCCCGCCATCATGCGAGAACGTCCTTACTGACTCACTCCCAGATGTTGGAGAAGTCTCTGATCGAGTCCGACCCTGAGGTCGCCGAGATCATGAAGGAGGAGATTCAGCGCCAGCGCGAGTCCATCATCCTCATCGCCTCCGAGAACGTCACCTCCCGTGCCGTCTTCGATGCCCTCGGCTCTCCCATGTCCAACAAGTACTCTGAGGGCTACCCCGGCGCCAGATACTACGGCGGCAACCAGCACATCGACCAGATCGAGAACCTCTGCCAGAAGCGTGCCCTCCACACCTTCAACCTCGACTCCTCCAAGTGGGGTGTCAACGTCCAGTGCCTGTCTGGCTCTCCTGCCAACCTCCAGGTCTACCAGGCCATCATGCCCGTTCACGGTCGCCTCATGGGTCTCGACCTCCCCCACGGCGGTCACTTGTCCCACGGCTACCAGACCCCCCAGCGCAAGTGAGTGAACTGCCCGCGTACCTCAATCGGTCGAGTCCAGCATGCTGACAATCCGTCTCCAGGATCTCTGCCGTCTCTACCTACTTCGAGACCATGCCCTACCGCGTTAACCTCGAGACCGGCATTATTGACTACGAAGAGCTCCAGAAGGACGCCATCCTCTTCCGCCCCAAGGTCCTCGTTGCCGGTACCTCTGCCTACTGCCGCCTGATCGACTATGGCCGCATGCGCAAGATCGCTGACTCCGTCGGTGCCTACCTCGTCGTCGACATGGCTCACATCTCTGGTTTGATCGCCGCCGGCGTCATCCCCTCTCCCTTCGAGCACGCCGACATCGTCACTACCACCACCCACAAGTCTCTCCGTGGCCCCCGTGGTGCCATGATCTTCTTCCGCAAGGGTGTCCGCTCCGTTGACGCCAAGACTGGCAAGGAGACCCTCTACGACCTCGAGAACCCCATCAACTTCTCCGTCTTCCCTGGTCACCAGGGTGGCCCCCACAACCACACCATCACTGCTCTCACTGTTGCCCTGAAGCAGGCTGCCAGCCCCGACTTCAAGGCCTACCAGCAGCAGGTCATCGACAACGCCAAGGCTCTCGAGAACAAGTTCAAGGCCCTCGGCCACAAGCTTGTCGCCGACGGCACCGACTCTCACATGGTCCTCCTCGACCTCCGCCAGCACAGCCTGGACGGTGCCCGTGTCGAGGCCGTTCTCGAGCAGATCAACATTGCCTGCAACAAGAACTCCATCCCTGGCGACAAGTCTGCCCTTACCCCCTGCGGTATCCGTATCGGTACCCCTGCCATGACCTCCCGTGGCTTCGGCACCCAGGACTTCGAGCGCGTCGGTGCCTACATCGACGAGTCTATCAAGATCTGCAAGGAGGTCCAGGCTTCTCTGCCCAAGGAGGCCAACAAGCTTAAGGACTTCAAGGCCCAGGTCGCCAGCGGCAACGTTGCCAAGATCAACGACCTCCGCAAGGAGATCGCCGCCTGGAGCTGCGGCTTCCCCCTCCCTGTTGAGGGCTGGCGTGTCGACGCTGGCATCTAAACGATGTTCAGCGACTCGTAGACTTGCGCCACTCATGCTAGGGAGTGGCGTGCTGGATTTAGGGAGAGTTGGATTGATACCACATTGGGCTTACATGCCCAGTTCAACAAAAATGGTTCACAAGGGATAAACAAGCGTGAGGCGACTCATGCATGACATTTAACATGGCTCATGAAAGGGAAGGTGTTCTTCAACACTACATGCATTTTCTTCAGGCGTTTCAACTCTTTTTGTTTTAGCGGAAACCAAAATACCGGGAGGGTAAAACAAAAATCTTCGGAGGGGCGGGAGTTGGGTGGCGTTCTCAACTTCGGCACTTTTTTTTAGGTAGAGACTGCTTCAACGCGGTCCAAGGATCAATGAAATCAACCCATTGACTTGCACCTTTGTTCTCGATGCGCAGACACTATTGTGAGGCAAAGATTCGAATTGATGTCTGAGGCCAGGTTTACGATAGCTTCTTGTTCGAGGTCGTCGTTCATTCATTCCAATGCAAGGAATTGAGTTCGTGGCACGCGACCTGCCCGTCCTGGCGTTGCTTAGTGTGCGCCTTCGAAGACTTAGTTGACAATGAGAGGCTTTTCTAAGTGAGATCCCTGTTTGATAACAATGCGTTGTTCTTCTGCTATTGTTGTGGTCGCTATTGTTCCTTCACGTCAACAAGACTTACATCAAGAACGACGGCTTATAAGTTGAGGGTTTCTCGGGAATGATAGAACCTCTTCTTCTTCTCATCATCACACACCGAAGAAGCCCACCGATAACCCAATCACTTATATCCAGACATCTCTTCACAGCAGTAATCTTGTCAACAAGCATATGGTTATAACTCACAACCATCACCACATAGGCATCCACTATCAGTAAGCATATCACCACACCCATCTTAGCTAACGAGCGCAGTCTCCATCCCAAGTCAACAAGAACAACAACCAAAATGTTGAACAAGGTAACCCCCGCCCTCTTCCTCCTCGCGCTGGTCGCCCACATCACTCCCATCCACTCCCTCTGCCTCCCTCACTTCCCGAACAACACCAACAGCACGAACACAACTTACCACGCGACCAAGCCCAAGCCCAGTACCTCTCCTCTCCCCCTTACACCCATCAAGCAAGACGTCTACGACCCCTCCGAGCCCTACGCCGCCCCCTGGCCAGCACCCAGCACCACAACCCGGCCACCTCCCGGCCCAACACCGACCTACACCTACAATGAAAGAGACAGGACGTGGGCCGAACTCTGCGGCCCGTCGTCGTACGTCAGCAACACGAAATACACCTCGGCCCTGGCCGCAGACTGCCAGCTGCTCGCCGACAAGGCGCGGGACATGGGATTCAACATCCGCACTCTCAAGCCCAAGTTCACAGACAACCACACGCTTCTGCCGCTACACACCGAGGGCACCTGCAGCTTTGGCATCCGTCCGCACACGATGGAGGAACTCAGAAGCGCGACCACGGGCTTCTTCATCGGCAACTGGGACATCGCGGACATCGTGGACAAGGTCGTCAGGAACTTCACCGTGGACGGACTGGCGGGCGGCAGCGGGCTTACTCGCTGTCGTTATATCGACAAGAGCGTCAACGTTCACTGGACTGTGTATGGTCCCGGGGAGTTGATTGATGCCGGGTGGGAACCGGCGCCTCCTGTCCCTTCTTCTGCGGAAAAGGTGGTCGTTAGGATGACGCTTGCGCTCGTAGTTGCTCTTGGTTGGTTCCTTCTTTTCTGGTAAGTCGATGGTGAGGGGATATGATGGTTTCTTGACGGAGAGAAGACTCCAGTGATAGGTAAACTCACGAATTACGGATTGATGAGATATATCCCAATTTGAAGACAACTTGTCCAACCTCGACTAAAAATAAGCTGGCAAACACGCACGTGGATGTACTTTATGGCTAAGGCCGAGTGAATCAGGACAATCGAAACTCGAGACCGGTTTCACAGTCCAATCCATAGGCAAGTCGGGTAAGCCGAAGAACACATTCCCATTATCATATAAGGGGCAAAATAGATCATTTTTCACATGCAGTTGATTCTGAAAAGAGAGACAGGGAACGTCGGCAAGCTTCGGCCGTCGTTACGTCGCCCGGTCGTCTGGGAAGCCACCTCGGTTGCACTTACACACACACCGATGAAGAAGTCGTCGACGATGTAACGTGGCTCAAGACTAAAGATGCTGACTAGATGGTATTCCCCGGTTCTGGCAGGTCGGCTATGAATCTTCCATTCCACCACCTATGTGGAACCTTTGCGGAGTTGATATGCGCCTCTTGGGGCGTTCTCCGGCCATGCACTCGAATACCTCGGTGTTGTATAAATGATAATTTTTTTCACGGTGAAGCGTCAGAGTTGACTCCTGCGGTGGAGGGGAAGGACGCGGAAAGAGGCGTTCGGGCTACCCTTGCGGACAGGACAGGCTGAAGCGCCCCTGAACTTTGTACGTGTGAGACCAAACCCATGGATTTCGGATTAGACGACGTACGACAAGATGATGATTACCAAAACCGGCGTGATCTAATGTCTTCGTCTCCAGACAGTAACGCATTTGAAAGCGAACGTCGACGAGAGCAATACTTTGGATAGGTCTCATCTGGACATTATTTTCAGGTGTCTTCCAGACCGGGCACCGATACGACCGCTTCCATGGCATTTCGAGATGTGTTAAAGGGGTAAAGCAACGTCAAATGATTATTGGTTGTCAGTGGAAAGGTTCGCAACTGTATACACGGTTGCCTTTCGGTTAGTTTGCCCAACTTTACACAGCGCTTGCATTGTGTGTAAGGTGTTGCAGAGAAGCGGTCTGGAGGTCTCAGCCTCATATGGAATACACGCCGTTCGCCCGGGAATGTAGCGAACACACACCTGGTGCGATGGTAGCCGTCGAGAGTTCCTAGGCGCTGGTCTGAGTCAAGACGGCGTCACAGACTCGAAGCGGGAGAGAGAGATCCACTGCTTGAGGTCAGCTGGCGTCTTTGCCGCCGTGATTTCGGATTCCTCATGGAGGGTCGTAAGGTTCGGGTACGGACGGGCTTGTGTTGTGTGATTTATTGACAATGTCGCGGCGAGAAGAACGAGGGTTGTTCTTTGGTTTGCTTGCTTGTTGGCGCAGGTGACGACGAGGTCGAGGCATGTCGTTCAATGTGTCAAAGAAAGAGGCGTTCTCTTGTCCAACGTTTCGTCGCAAAGATGAGCTTTAAGCCGCCCTAGTGCATGCCATAGTTGCAAGTGCCGGGATTCCCCGCCTCGGCCGGGGGTGGTGGAAAAGGTGCGCCTCCTCCAGGCCTGGTGTCGTACGCTGCTCATCGAAAGAGGCTGCCGAGAAACAATGGCTTGCGTTAGATGGTTACCTGATTTGGTGTTGAGGTTTTGAGGTTTTTGCACCTCATCGAGTCACCAGGCCGAGATGGACAGACGCCGATTACTTTGCCCAAGGTGAGGCTCCCGACGATTCTTCAGCCTCTAGGTGACGACGCAAGAAATCCGATCCGTATGAGTCAATGGGTTCGCTCCCTCGCCCTGTGGTTGAAGGCGGTATTTTGTTGCGCTGTTTTACGTCATCTGCCTTGCGTCCTCGATTCTTTACCGAAGCAACAGGGCAGTGCTGGTGCTCATTCGCTGGGCAATTGGTTGTTGTGGCAGAGCCTCTTCGTATTGGGTTTTTCGATGTTGGCGTCTGTTGTACCGCGCGAGACGAGTGTCTCTAACTGGCCGAAGCAATTCGTGTTCGTCCGGTCTGATGTTCGATCTGTCATCTCGTCTTCAATCGTGTCGTCAAAATAACTCAAAAAGGCGGGAAGCACACATCCTAGTGCGTCGGCCGAACAAGACATGGATGGATGAAGCGAGGATCAGGACGGATGAACAGAGTCACTGGTCAGAACCTTAAGACGAGAAAATGGGGTGGAGGGGAGGGGACGGGATTGAGACAAGATCGGTGGCGCCGTTTGATGTTCCGAGTCGTCTCTGTTGTTCCGTGGGCGCCTCCTGTTCACGAGATGCACACCTTTACAAATGGAAGGGCAGATGAGGCGCTGTTGCATTGGTGGTGGAGAGGCCACGGCCACTCGCACTTGCATTGGATCTCCTCTAATGTGCCGTGCAGCTGCGCGCCGCTGCCGCTGCATGTTAGTCCTAGACCCCCTTTCCCGGGCAATATCCCGCCTGAGATGGATGGAAGTTGCTTTTCATGCGGCGAACAGGTATGGGCCCCCAATTCCTCCTTCACAGCAAGCGCAGTTGTTCATTGGGCGTAGCGACATTGCGCGCGCCCACCGCAGCGTACACACACACCCCCCTGGAGCCCTCTCTCTCACTTGACTCTCATCCTCGCGCGTCCCGTCGTCACTGTTCAGCTGAGTCGAGATGTCCTTTTCACTTTTCTTCTTGGTTTATTAAACTCTGATCTCTTCCTGTACTACGTGACCAAGACGCCTACTTTTGCGATACACTTCACCACCAGGGCGTACCTACACTACACCACACTACTCTACGTACCTCAATTTTGACTTTCCACTGGACGTCTCTGTTGTACACTGCCTACCTACCTCGTTATCCCGAGAACAGAGAAAGAGCCGAAGAAGAGTAGGCGGCGAGCCTCGTCGGCACCGCCCGACGCGCATTGTTGCCGCCTCGTCTTGGCTTCTGTCCTCCCGCCCGGTCTTGTTCTGGGGGCCTTTCTCTTCAAGGACTGACGGCTTGTGTTGGCGGGAGAGGGAGAGCCCCTGGTCGGTATAAGACGTTCATGCAAGATCCCCTCCATCTCGAATTCAGTCCTTCTCTTTTTCCGACGCAAGACTGGCAAATAAACGTTTCAATATAAACCAAGCACATAATAAGCTGCAGTAGCGTACAAAGCTTCGATTCGAATCCGAGTCCCCTGCTGCTGACTCGATCCCGGAGAAAGCAAGTATGGTAAGCCAACCAACCTTGTTACTATGCAGTCTCAACCGCCGCACATCCAAGTACTGACACAATCAGGGGTCCATCAACAAGCAAGTAACACGCTATGGAATTTCTGCCGTCTTCACCCACCCTGGTGCCAAAGTCGACGTCGTCTTGGTCCACGGTCTCAACGGTGATCCCGAGCAGACATGGACCGCAAGAAATGGCGTCTTTTGGCCCGCCGATCTGCTTCCGCAATCTCTAAAGGACGTCAACGCCAACATATTAGTCTACGGTTATAACGCAGATGTTTACTCAACCAAAAGCGATAGAAGCCCCAGCAGCAATTTCATATACCAGCATGCCCGGAACCTCGTTACCGACTTGACGTTCTACCGCAAGAGCGTGGGCACCTCGGCCAACCCGATCATCTGGCTGGCACACAGTCTCGGCGGCCTCCTTCTCAAGAGTGCTCTGCTGTATTCCAACGATGTCAAAGACCAAAACCTTGGCGATGCGAGATCCGTCTACATTTCAACCTATGCCATCGTCTTCCTCGGCACCCCTCACACCGGGTCTGACATGGCGACATGGGGGCATATGTTGCAACGCATGGCGGACGCCGTCATGCCTCGCAAGTTCCTCGAAAGCGAATCGGTTCTTGTCAAGACGCTGAAGAAGGACAACGAGATCCTACAAGGCATCAACAGCCACTTCCTGGACATATACCAGCGGCTCCAGATTCACATGGTTCATGAGAGCCATAAGACCGATATCAAAGGCACAAAGTAGGAACCAAACATCTTCCACTTCCAACCACCGTAACAGATTGCTGATATTGATACAGAGTGATGATTGTGGACGCGGGATCGGCTGGTCCCCAACTACCAGGCGTGACGTACTACGGTATCGAAGCAACCCACTCTGGCATGTGCAAATTCGACGACACCAATGCCCCAGGCTACCGCAACGTCTCAACTGCTATACGCGAGTGGGCTATGGAGGCACCAGTAGTCATCCAAACCCGATGGGAAGTCGAGCAAGAGCAGAGAAGGTCTCAAGCCCACAACGAAGCTGTCGAAAGAACACGTGAATACGTAAGTTTCAATGGAAATTTGATTATGATGAGGGGATGGGAACGGAGAGAAAATGCTAATCGAGAACAGGGCAGCCAAGTTGGGCAGTACGCACCGCTCGTGGTATCGCCTGTTGGCACAGGTAGTCCAACCCTCTTTTCTCCCTCCCAAGCTGGATCTCAACATGAACTGCCGTCGCCACGAGAACCACCATTTTTTGTCCCTGATAAGTTTCGTCCGAATTCGTACTTCAAAGGACGCGAAGACGAACTGCAGGACCTTCATCGGATGCTGATGGACAAGAAGAGAAGGTCAGAGGGCACATCTGCAGTAGTCATCCAAGGTATCCCTGGAGCGGGCAAGACACACTTGGCTCGGCAGTACGTGTTCAACTACAAACAACACTATCCGGGGGGCATATACTGGATCAGATCAACGTCACCCCAAGACATGGAGACCGAAATCTGGCGAATCGCCAAAACACAAGCTATCAGAGAGATGATAGGCCAAGAAGAGAAAAACGACCTGTCTAATCCTCAGAAAATGGTGGAGATTGTTCGAAAATGGTTCAACGACTTCAGCGGTTGGCTGTTGGTTCTTGACGGCATCCGCTCCGACAATCGTCTTGTCTCCGAGTTCATCCCCGATAGCAAGGACAGCAGTCTGATATTGACTTCGACGGAGCGTAATCTTGCAGGAAATCATCTGTTGGACAACCCCAGAGTCATGGAGCTTGGATTGCTTCCTGCTCAAGATGCTCGAGAGTTGCTGCTTGAAGAGATGGGAAAGAAGCCACCACACTCAATGGACGACTTGAGGCGCGCCTTGGATCTGGTCCAGCTGATGGACCGTCTGCCGTTGATGATCCACGCAGCAGCTCAGCACATGAATGAAACGAGGGAGCCTCTTGCCAAATATCTCAAATCCTACCGCGACAAGCCAAGAGTGGGTATGCTGCCTGCATACAAGACAATTCGAGACCAACTCCAGAATCGCGGGGATACATCCGCCCTGAATCTCATGTACATCCTCTGCTTCTTCAGTCAACTAGTACCAGTGGAGATGCTGGCACTTGGTCTCAAAGCTCTTGACAAGCGTACGCCCATCGGAAGAGACGCGAATGGAAGGAGGCAGAGCCTCAATGGAGTATTTGTCACTCTCATCAAATTTGCGCTCATTGAGAGGAACCAAATGGATGACATACCATCTACCAGCTCACAGAGTTCGCACCAGACCATCGACACATCATCGGAGCCCCTGGATGTTCTTCAGATCCATAGCGTCGTTCAAGCTTTTTTCATTGAACTCCTAGGCGAAGAAAAACAGCTGGAATTCTGGCTTGAGCGAGCTGTGCGCATTTTCTGCTTCTCTTTTGAGGAGGCGGACTCAAGGATGAAGAAAGATCCGACAACTGGCCTACCCGATGACTACAGAAGGTACACTATACACGGCAAGAAACTGTTGGAGCACCTAGATCGTCACTACAAATCCAAAAACGCGGATCTCGCCAGAGTGAGAGCAGATTTGGAAGCAATTCTCCCAAGGCTCCCCGAGGAAATCGACAGTCTACAGAGAACCATATCGACGAGCATCGTTGATGGCAAAGAGCCAGTGGAACACCTTTCGATTTTTGAACGCTCCAACAGTATGTCATCGACATCCACCGATACCTCAAATGGTGCCAGTTATCCGAATGTTGGCCATGGGACTGAAGACAAAACGTTTGAGTCTCCAACCACCTATGAGATTCCATCTCGTTTCCACGTGCCGTATCCCAACATGCTTGACGATCAGGGTTCTCGGGACGAAGACGATCGTACCATCACGCCATACCCCCCGGATACAGTACTCGGACCTTATGATGGGACGGGGGACGAGAAGAGTGACGAGTCCGAGTGGATACAGGTTCTCCCCAGACACAGGTCCGTGAAGAAGATGCGAAGTCAGCGGTATTCTGACCATGGCGGTGCCTGGAGAGAAGTTTCTACCAACGATCCCCGTACCAGCATCAGCCGGGAGTCGGCTCACGGGCTCATGTCCACCCCCGGTCCACTTACGAGAAGAGGAGGCCGCTCACCAAGCCGGCCCAGAATGTCTGCCAGAAGTGATGCCGAGCTCGAATTGTTACAGATCTCGAAAGCATCCCCACCTCCACCACGCGGAGGTGGCCGCATCCAGGACAGGGGAAGAAGCTCTAGCACAGGTGCTTCCGCCGCCACGCGACCATTGCCAAATCTGAGAACATCAAGCTACGCCAAGGTTCTTTCAGGAGTTGCGGTCGAGAATGATGCACCGCCCTTCCCAACTTTCTCGAACCCTCCATCCAGGGCAGGAACCATTGATCGAAAGGTTGCTTCTGATACTCTGTCAGTCAACAGTTTGCGGACCATTGATACCCCGACCCCGTCCTATTTGCAACGAGCGATGGGAGGTCAGTCACGGTTTTCTACTGGGCCATCAAAAAACCCTACGGCCAAAGCGGCCAAAGAATCCCCGACGACTCAGGAAAGCCAAGACGCCCGCGCCAGTCCCCGGCATAAATCTATGTCTTCATACCTGTGGAACTTTATGCGGTCAGCCAGCGAACCAAAGGCAGGCGGGAAAAAGACGACCAGGACTAAGCCATCGAAAGACTCGTTGAAATCGCAGTCATCAGCCTCCCCATTGGCTCAGAATGAGTTTTCACCGACCACATACAAAGGGGGTATGAGAACCGCCAACTCTAGCCCAGGGACGCAGTACTCCCCCTACTACCCTCCTGGTCTGAATGTCGTCACGAACAACGCGAGTAGTCTGAGTCCAGAAGTTCCAGAGCAAAACTATTCACATGGTCGGCCGACCCCATCTTACGACGGCAGTGCTTATTATGATGAGGCACTTTCACGTTCGGATCCAAGTCTCTGGCATCCCGCCGTCAACGTCTCCTCTCCGGCGACGACTGCCTGCATGAGTCCTGCCATGACGTATTCGCCACATGGATACACTTCTCAGCCTATGTCGAGGAATCCTAGTTCGAACCTGCCTCTTCCGGGAATGACCAGCTCGTCAGGCACTCCACGAAGTAGTAATAGTGGTAGTGCCAGGGCAGGTCTCGGTCGCTCACGGGCCCCATCAATTGTGGAAACGGAGCCTTCTCCGAGAGTGCCATCTTTGGACATGGCTCCCAACTCGTATCGGATTTGGTCACAGAGAAGGGGCCACCGTCGTGGAGATTCCCTCTTTGGCGGCAGCAATGTGCCGGCCTCTCGTTGGCTCGATGAAGCGCAAGTCCCCGACTTTGAGGTCGCACAAGGAAGTCCGGACTTGATGACTCCAAGGTCAAGCCAGCAACCCGGCGGGGAGAGCATGGCACGCTCTGGGTCAGGAGGCATTCGCGTTCCAGATGGTAGGATCATCGCCTTCGGCGAAGTGCCCGTTGATGTTGACGCAGCCGGTCGTCGAGCCCGGGAAGAGCGCGATCGTCTGGATCGAGCGGCCATGGATGCGGTTGATTCTGGCCGGGCATTGAGAGCCGAAGAGGCCGAGTCACATTCAGACTCATCACCTATAGGGCTGGGGATTATGCCGGGATAATCGACGTGTACGAAGCGGAGAGGGAGCATTAGGAACAAAACAAAACGCAACACAGCTCAGACGTATGGAGCAACTTTCTTTGGGTCACGGAAATACCACGCATGGGTATAGAATGGAAAGACAGTATTTGTTTGGGTTGGAAAGCGGCGCATAGTGTTCTTTGGTTGCATTCCCTTTGTTTCTGTTTATAGGATGGTATAATACAATCTTGTTCAGCCGATGTTGCTCCTGAAGCCGGCTTCATGACTGACTGTCTTGTGCCAAACAATTCCCTCTGTAACTCAACTGATGATTTTAAGAGCGTCAGGTATCTTTCCTTCTACGCAGTTTTCATAGATGCCCATAGTCCCATACTTTTGAGCGATAACATCCATTTGTGAATGGATCCTGCACCGAATACACATAACTCCCTCTACCCGTGACTTCTTGGACGCCTTATCTAGAGTTACCGCACTCAATCGCGCACTGAATCGAGCGACCTATTAATCCCTAGGCGCCAGCATGATCACATACTCCCGCGTACTATGTCCCAGCTTAACCATATCCTTGTCCCGAAGCTCATAGTATCGACTATCGGCAACCTTATCTCCGTTCAGCACCGTGCCATTGGCGCTCTCTAGGTCGATCAGGTAGGGCTTGACTTTCCCGATGCGGTCGCCGTACTCGTTCCTCTTCTCGACGTGCCGAAATTGGATGACGGCGTGCTGCTTGCTGATGCTGGGGTGTTCCGCCGTGAGATCGACCACGGCGGCCTCGCGTCCAATCAGCCAGCAACTGCGCAGATTCAGGTCGATCGTGTCCACAATGTCCGGCCCCTTGAACACGAACAGCTTCCACTGGTCCTTGGCGGGGGGCTTGCGCGCCTCGGCGGGCTCGTGGTATTTCAACACAATCGACGTCCCGTCCGCCTGCTGCACCGAGTTGGAGGCCGCCGCCAGCACGCCCGTCGTGCGCAGGTTGGGCTTCTCCTTCGGTTTCTCGGGCTCTTCGCCCTTGGAGACGGCGAAGGAGTCGTCCTGGGACGGGAGCGGGCCGGCGCGGCGGAGGGGGCTCGCGCGTTTGCTGCGCTTGTGGGCCTCCGCGTCGGAATCGGATTCGGGGTCGTCGTCGCGGCGGCGCCGACGGGCAACTTCTTTGCCGCTGCTTGCGCGGTCTTCGTCGCGCGGGGATCGTCGTCTGCGTCTTTCGCGGTCGCGGTCGCGGTCTCGGTCGCGTGAGCGGGAGCGTCTGCGCGTCGACGGGTCTGGTGTGCGCGAGCGGCGTCGGTCGCGCTTGTCTCGTGATCGTGATCTCCGTCGCTCCTTGCGTCTGTCCGAGTCGCGGTCTCTTTCTCTGTCTCTGCTGTGTCTTCGCCGGTGACTGTCTCTGTCTTTTGTGTCTCTGCGCGGTCTGTCGCCGTCCTTTTCGTCATCGTCGTTGTGGCGACTGCGCCGCGACTTGTGGCTGCGGTGCTCGTCGTCGGAGCCCATGATGGCGTCTTCGGGTCGAAGTTGTGGTTCAAAGGCGGCGCGACGTTAGGTGGAGAACAAGATTGTTGTCTTTGTTCTGTTGCAGTTGCAACTTATTGAAGTAGCACACCAAAGGCTCTGTTTTGATTCGCGCCGAATAATGTAGCCTTGGAGACTGAATTCAGCAATATTGAAGTAAATGCCAAGTCGCTCCTCTATGAACTAGAAGGAACAGACGCTTCAAGCTCTGAGGTCATCCCGGCACCGTGCCTGACAGGCGGCCCCCACCCATCATTTTCCAATGCCGGACCGTCGCACAGACCATTCGAGGCCCCACCCGGCCCCGTTCCTGCCTTCCCAGGCCGAACAACACCAAGCGCATCATCACCACCACAGCCGTACGCATCACGAAACGGCAGGAACGACCGACGCCTTCCTTCCCAAAACCCTCAAAACGAAACATTGTCCAAACACGATAAAAGTAGTATCAATCGATTTTGCCAAAAAAGATATCACCTTCGGTATCCATCTAACCCCTTAAGATACAGATCTCCACGAGTTAACGAGGCTAAGTCTGGTCAGGGTTGCTTCAACTCAAGGCTGAACACCGAGGCTCTGTGATCACGTTTCACTGCCGCGCGCTAACACCGCTAATTTGTAACCACTCGGCCAAGGCTCATTTTAGCAATCCTCGGGGGGAAGTTATACATAAGGGGTCGGGCCAGCACTCCCTCTCGCCCATCCGGCCCTTGGTGCATCGCTCTGCTCTGCTGCACCGGGCATTGCACCTGGCACCGCACCTGATTCTTTCATTCCATTCATCTCATCGCCCACGCGCAAGCGAGGCCACACCTGCACCCCAAAACAGACACACGATGCAGAGAAACACCGAGGGACAGGCAGACTGCCACCCCCTCAGTTTCTTCGATACCCTAGATTCTATACGTCTTTTTTCACAGCATCATGCCTCCCTCCAAACACCCTCATTGCGTCTTTAATACCCCGGACCCCCCTCCACATATCCTATCTCATCATGCGATACTGAACTCTTGGATCTCCCCCATCTCGTTCTTCTGTTCCGACCCCACCTTGTACGATGCCCTCCACCGCAGCTTGATAGATTGCACCTTACGGTTCTTGTCTCCTGCGTGCCACACTTCTGCAGCCTGTGTCACGCCCCTACTCTGCTTAGGCTCTAAGGCGCGCCCAGTCTGGGGCTTGAGTTGAAGTTCGTAGCCCTGTGATGTGTCAGCACTTCTATCCTTCGACTGTCTTTCAACTACAAATTGAAGCTACTGACCTTTGTCGCGGCGAGCTGGAAGTGAAGCTCGGTCACGGGTTGAGCGGAGTTATTCGAGAATGCAAAACTGAAGTTGAGAGAGTTGCCGGGTCCGGTTCTACCAGCCATCATCTCGATCTTGACGGTGGATTCGCTAATGGTTGCGCGGTGTTCCTTCGGAAGGCTAGGTTGTTCAGGGGGGAGCGCCGATGAGAAGGCCCATTCATCATCATCATTTGCAGCTGGCGCGGGCTGGGAAGCAGGAGCTGGGGTAGAAGGCTTTGAAGAGAAAGCAGGGGATCCAAGGGCAGCAAAAGGATCAGACGACGGGGCCGCGGCTTGCTGAGGCGGCTTAAATGCAGACATTACAGACGGCTGGGGCGTACCAGACTGGGACGCAGCGGGGGACGTGAAGGAAGCAAATTGAGAGAAAGATGGTGGCTGGGGTGTTGTTGTTTTGCTCATGGGGCCTTTGGCGCTGTTGTCCTCCGTCATGGAAGAGAGCAGAGCTGGACCTGGGATGTCTGGATTCTGTCAGCACAATGAAGGCTTTGTGTGAAAAGGAGCACAAAACTTACTTGAATTGGCCCCAAAGCCGAGAGTCAGAGCACCTCCTTGGCCATAGCTGTTGGAGTCGTCCATGGACAGGCCAAGTAGGTCATTTTCAACTCCTGTAGACTGCGATGCTGGCTGCTCAGAGGACGAGCCATTTGTAGCATCCGCCTCTCCATCAAAATCAATGAGAGACAACTCTTGCGCTGCGCTCTTGGACGAGCCAGATGTTGTTGGTAGGGGCGCGCCACTGGCCACCTTCTTGGCCGCCTCCAGATCGCCCTTCTTCATAAGCTTATACCGCTCAACGGTTCGGTGTATGCTATCGTTGATCTCAAGAAGCTTTGCGACGGCCTCGTGGTCGTCCGACTCTTCTTCGCACATCTTCTGAATCTTGGGCTGTGCGCTTTGCAGGGCGGCAGCAAGCTCTGAGAAGACATCGCCGTCCTTCATCGTGTCACCCTGTTGGAAAGCTTCGAGCCGCTCTTCCAACAGACGAGCCTTGGCTTGGATTTTCGCAACCTCTTGCGCGGCCTTAGCGCGGTAGTCGGTCTTGGAGCGAGTGTCATAGCCGGCCATGATTTTCATAAGGCGATTGGCCTCTTGCAGATCTTCGGGGGTTCCTCGTCGGATAAGCTCCTGAAGCTTGGCTGATTGCGCCTCGCGCTCCTCCTCCTCCATTTCTTCGGCTGATTTCAGGTTCTGAACCGGTCAGTACGTTACTCGACTTGTCGCACAACAAAAAGACACTTACGTCGCTGGGGTTCAGCACCGCGGCGTCGTCTCGCCTGACCTCGGGGAACGTGTAGCCCTTGTAGCTCAGCAGGCGGTGCATGTCGCGGATGAAGCCCAAATCCTCCTTGTATCTGCTCGTTTCGCATATCGTACTCCTCCATTCCTCGATAGCCTCCAAGATCTTCATCTGCACCCTCGTCGCTCGAATCGGCGGCCGCTCGGGGAACCTCCTGACCAACTCATTGAGAAACTCCTTGGTGCTGATCTGCAAGTGGAAAGGATAGCCGCAATTCTTAACACAGATGTCGAGCAGGTTCAGCGCCAATAGAGCCACGTTGGGGTTGCGGTGGTTGATGTAGCTGACGATGGCGACGGCGGCCTCGCGCGGGGCGGAGCCTTTCTTGGAATTAATCAGGTCGGCAATCTCCAGGTTGAGAGCAAGGTTCGGCTCATAATTCTCGGGGCTACAGGCAGCTTGGATGAAGCGCTGCAGCTGCGATGGGGTGGGAGCGCCCATCTCGCCCCAGCGGTCTCGGGCCGCAGCTCGAGCTGATGCGGCCTCCATCGTGATCGTGTTGGTGTCCGGGTATGGCCTCGGGCGAGGAGGTAAGGGAGCTATCTTGGCGGGAGGGATTTCTCGCAGTCGTCGTCAAGAGGGATTCAGGGCGCGAAGGACATCGGAGAGAGAGAGGTGGCCGTTGGGAGATCTTGAGCTGGCCAAGCGAGCGCCTGTGAATTGAACAGATTGAATTAGGTCGGCGCAGGCATCCCTCATGAAGGAACCCTTGGGTGCTTGGGTTAGGTAGGTACCGAAGGTAATCTGTGGCCGAATGACGAGGGGCTGCTACGTGCTACCTTACGTACGGTGACAGCCGCCGCCGCGGGAGGCCACTGGAGCCACTTCGCCTTGACTCCGGTCCAAAATGTGGCCTGTGCTTCCGTGTGGACTTGCTTGCCTCATTGGGCAATATCGGCGTTTAATTGCATAAGAGCTCTTTATCGAATTTCGCATCCTATCGCCTGTAATTTTGCCCCCCACTACCCCGCCAAATCGTCTTTGAAGTGAAGGAAGGGACTTGGAAACATCACCGGAATCTTCCCAGTCACACAACTTTACGCATCCTGCCAACCATGGTCCGGCACAAGAAAGATAACTTCGGCGCCCGCGGTCGTAAGAATCACCACTCGGGCCCGCCGCGCCCTCGACAACCGCGAGCAGGCGACGACGCCGAAGATGGCCAACCCACCTCCCGCCCTACCTTCAAGGCCGCCTGCTGGGATCTGGGACACTGCGACCCGAAGCGATGCTCCGGCAAGAGACTAATTCGAATGGGCATGATGCGCGATCTTCATGTCGGCCAGCGCCATAACGGTGTCATCATCACGCCAAACGGCAAACACACTGTGTCCCCTGCCGACCGCGATCTGATGGAGCAGTACGGCGCCGCCGTCGTCGAAGCCAGCTGGGCGCGAATGCAGGAGATCCAGTGGAACAAGGTCGGGGGGAAATGCGAGCGCCTGCTGCCGTATCTTGTCGCAGCAAATACGGTCAACTACGGCAAGCCGTGGAAGTTGAACTGTGTCGAGGCGTTGGCTGCCGCGTTCTACATCTGCGGCCATCCTGAGTGGGCAGAGCAGGTTCTTGCGCCGTTCTCGTACGGCGAAGCTTTCTTGGAGATCAACGGAAGTCTGCTCAAGAAGTACGCTGCTTGCGAGGACGAGAAGGGCGTAAAGAAGGTGCAAGACGAGTGGATGGACAGGTTGGACAAGGAGTACGCGGAGAGCAGAGAGGTTGGTGATGCGGACGACATGTGGAAGAGCGGCAACACGAACCGCAGAGTGATACCCGATTCGGATGATGAGGAGGAGGGCGATGAAGACGACGAAGAGGAGAGTGGAGAATCCGGAGATGAAGGCAGCGTTGACGGCATCTACCTCGGCAAGAAGCCTGCGAAGAAGCAAGAGGAGGAGGAAGAAGAAGACAAGGATCCTTACGCGATATCCGACGACAGTGACGAAGATGCCGCCATGGAGGAGATCCGTCGCAAGGTTCTAGCGTCAAAAACCTTCTCCAATCCTTCAGCACAGGACAAAAAGAAGCCAGAATCGATACCGCGGCCACAAACATTAAAGCCCGACTCGGATATCGAGCCAGACTCAGACAATGGTGAGGACGACGACGACTTTGACAATATCATCAACGCGACACCGGTCACGGACAAGATGGGTTTGAACAAGCTCGAGAAGGAGCGGTCTCAATCAACAGTCACCAGCAAATCATTTTCCTCAAATGTAGTTTCCGCGCCGAAACGGTGGTAATGAACAAAAAAATAATACAAGACTTCAAACTTTGTTCAGGTGTTGTACAGTTGACATTATTGACTAATACTTCTACAGTGACAAGGTGATGAGCTGTGTCTATGTGAGTCGACCTCGTCTAACAATCGGGATCTGCCGTCCGCGGTTCGTTGTCCTCGTCCATCTCTATTCCGTACATTTCTTCTTACACGAGTGTAGACTTTTCCCATATCTTACAGACTTCTTACAAGGACCTCTTCTCTATCACCTCCTCGTAGACCTGGATCTGGTCTTCGGCCTGGAAGTCAGCGAAACCATCGAAGGAGATACCACACTCGGAACCCTTTCTGATCTCGCTCACGTCCCTCTTTCCGTGCTTAAGGGTCTCGATCTTGCCTATAGAGTGTGTTAGATAATTTGAGCAACTAGCGAGAGTTTCAAGGTTGACTTACCATCGTAGATCTTCTCTCCCTTTCGGAAGACGCGCACATTATTTGACCGAGTAACCAATCCGTTTCTGACCTTGCAACCGGCAATGTTCTTGTACGAGCGTCCCTTGAGGTTGATAGAGAACACTTGCAGAATCTCGGCTTCGCCCGTCACCTTCTGCGTGATCTTTGGCGCCAAGTTCTGCGACATGACCTGCTTGACCTCGTCGGCTAGGTGGTAGATGACCGAGTGGTCAATGAGCCTGACTCCCTTCTCCTCCGCCATGCGCTTGATATGACCAGCAACCGTACTGTTGAAGTTGACAATGACGCTCTTGGATGCCGCAGCATGCTCAACGTCTGATTCGGAAACCTGGCCGGCTGCCGACCAAAGAATGCGGGACCTGACCTCATTGTTTCCAATCTCGCTGATTGTGGCGCAAACGGCTTCTACAGAGCCCACCACGTCTCCTCTGACGCCGAAGTTGACGATCTTGGCGGTTGCCTCTTCGCTGACCTCTTCGCCAGCCTCGGCTGCAGCTGCAGCTTCTGCCGCTGCCTTAACCTCGCGCTCGCGTTGCTCTTGCTCAGCCAATTGCTTGGAGGACGCCTCTCGCTCGCGCATTTCCTCACGATAGTCGACAGCAGTTCTTGCACGGTCCTCGTCAGGGGCTTGGAGGACTGCGTCTCCAGCAGCGGGCAGTTGCTCTCTCCATCCAAGGATTTCGACTGGCGTACCCGGGGGTGCCTCATCAAGCTCCTGACCTGCTTCGTTTCGCAGCATTCGGATTCTGGCCCAAGTTGTACCTGCTACAATATGGTCGCCAGGCCGCAACGTTCCGCGCTTTACGAGGATGTTTGCAGACTTGCCGTAAGGCTTGACACTAGCCTCCAGTACCCAAGCCTCCGCCATGCCGTCGGTTTCAGCTCGCATATCCTGGACTTCTGCGAGTGCACCAATGTTCTCTTCCAGTTCGTCCATGCCTTGGCCTGTCTTTCCACTCACGCAGACAACTTGGACATCGCCGCCGAAATCCTCTATTTCAACGCCATGACGAGCAAGATCTGCCTTGACCTGATCGGGCCGAGCATCTTCCTTATCGACTTTGTTGATGGCCACGATGATTGGTACCTTTGCTGCTCTGGCATGCTTCAAGGCCTCCAAGGTTTGGGGCATGACGCTGTCATCGGCCGCAACGACCAGCACGACAATGTCAGTGACGTTTGCACCGCGCTGTCGCATAGTTAAGAAGGCAGCGTGGCCGGGGGTGTCAAGGAAGGTAATGAGTTTTCCGGACGACATTTTGACCATGAAAGCACCAATGTGCTGGGTGATGCCACCATGCTCCTGAGCCGCAACGGATGACTTTCTCAAAAAGTCCAGCAGAGTCGTCTTGCCGTGGTCGACGTGGCCCATGATGGTTACAACAGGAGGACGCGGCGGTAGGATTGACATGTCCTCTGGCGGCGGACGGGGCTTCAAGTCTCGTTGGCCACCAGAATCAACCGCTGCCTCAAAACCGAACTCCATGGCAACGAGGGAAGCTGTTTCTCCAGTCATGATGCTTTCCTCGGTGATGTCCTCAAAACCCATCTCAACCAAAGCTCCGAGAAAGTCATGGGGCTTCATCTTTAGTGCCACACTCAAGTTTGCAATGCTGATGAACTCGGGCAACAAGATGGACTGAGGTGCTGCAGCCTCTGCCTCCGCCCTCCTGCGCGCTTTCTCCTCGGCCTTTTGCTGGCGGCGTGCAGCAGCTCGTTGAGCATCCTTGGCACCCCACTCCTGGTTCTGATCCTCCCATCTCTTTTGTGAAGCTGACTTTTTCGACCCACGAGCTGAGCCCCAGTCCTCCCCGCGACGACCACCCTTGTCACGCTTTCTCGCGTTGCGGTCGATCTCATAGGATTCATCGATATTTTTTCCTTGGCGTGATTCCGTCACTTCGACCTCCACTACCTCGCTCTCCACGACCTCGCTCTCCACTACCTCGCTCTCCACTACCTCGCTCTCCACTACCTCGCTCTTCACTACCTCGCTCTTCACTACCTCGCTGAAAGCTGATCGAGGATCGGGGAAAGCATCGGGGAAGGCGTCGGGAGTGTTGCTTTGCCTGCTATGCACGTGCTGTTGGACTTTGGAAAAGAAGTCGTCTTTGATAGCTGGAAGGGCGTCTTGTGAAGACTTGATGGCTTCCTTACGCACCGGCAAGGGCTCCTCCACAGGCGGGAGAGCATTGGCTCTCCTGGCCAGCAAGCCCCATTGAGCCGGCTGTTCTGTGTCTGATTTCCCGGCGTCGATGGTCTTGGACGCTTCCACTTTTGGTGCAAATGGCTTTCCGAGGCCGTCTTTGACGGAGTGACGGTGGTGCGGCACCGGCTTGCTCTGAAGTTTTTTCTCACTGCCAGGTAATGGAGTGCGGTCAAATCCTCTGTGTCGCCAATCGTTCTTCCCGGGTTCGCCTGCCTTCGTCCTGTCTGGTTGGTCTACTGGTCGATTCTCCGTCCGAGACTTTTCTTCGAGACCACCCCTTCTCGGTGCAGAAAAGCTACCGCGAATGGGGCGCTGTGACTGTCCTATGCTACTATCAAGCCCTTGCGTGAATATCTTCCTCGTCTTTGGGGCTTCGGTTGGGGGCGGGGGCGGGGGCGGTGCCGGCTTCGCCAGTCGCCTTCGTGCAGCACGTTCGTGGGGAAGAAGTCCATCGTCGACCGGGACCCTATTCGCAGTGGAATTCACTTGCTGGCCATCGGGGCTCGACGCAGCCGGGCTGCTTGGTCGTATTGGCGGCACGCCTCCAAAAGCTGGCTTCCCCCACCCTGAGGTGACTACAGGACCGACGGGTCGAGGAATGGCAGATGAACCTGTCGCGCTCGCACCGCTGCTGCTGCCCCAACCTCCAGAGAAGTTGGGGCCTTTCGAGGGTGTTTCCGATGTGTCGGAATAGTTTCGTCGACCCAGGTCACGTTGTTGCGCCAGGGCGGGGTGGCGACAGAAGGCGCAAACGTACGCACTGCTTCGCTCCTACAGAGTTATCAGTCCAAATTCTCGGATTGACGAAGTCCATATGAAGAGGAAACACCTACCTTCCATATCCTACATCTAAGCATGGTCTGTGGTTGGGCGCAACATGAACACTGCGAGAATGAAAATTCCAGGACAAGCTTCGAGCTCGAAATTCTTAGCTCCAAAGTTCCTGGTCGATGTTCCCGACATTGTGTGGGTTTTGATTGGTTGCCCAGACTCCACCATACGTCCCTGGCCCCTGAGTAGACGACAGCTCTCAAGCACACGCCAACTCTCACCTCACAGCTCACTCAACCTGCCATTTTGGTGTCACGACGGTCAGAATGGCGCCCAAAGTGAAAGCTGTCAAGACGAAGTCGACAACGTCGGCGGCACCGGGCACCCCGCCAAAGCCCTTCAAAAAAGCAGCCGATGTGCTACAGCCGTTCATCGACACTCTCGACCCCAGGCATGTCTACATCGCCCACATCGACTCCAAGCCCGCGGACTTCAAGAGAAAGATCTTCCTCGTGCCGGTTGGCATGAATGTTGTCGTCGCCGCACTCTTCGTCCTGCGCATGTGGTACATCCTGCCCTACTATTTCAAGTTTATTGAGTCTGCCGCCGGCTACCCGAATGAGACGACCTTTTCGATTCCCGACTCAACTTGGTCGGCACTTTTGTGGGAGATCAGCAAGCGAGGCTTCACTCTGATGCTGGATCTGATGCTTTTCGTCTTTGTCTGGCCGTGGCCTGTTGAGTTCGTTTTCGGCCAAACCTACGGCAACCCAGTCCAATGGCGGTGGAACGTCGGCTTCCGAGAGAAGGAAATCTACGTCCGGCGCAGCCGGGAGTGGGACCAGCAACTCGGCGATATTTTCAAGGAGAAGGAGAAGAACCAGGCGCTTCAGTCAATTATTCGACAGGCTACTTCGCCGCTCCTGCTGCAGGAGAAGACGGGCTATCTCACGATGACGGGGCAGTGGGACCTCGACTGGAACAAGATGGTTCTCGCCCACAACCTGGTGGACAAGAAGGGCATTGCCTTGGACGTCTTTAGAAACCTCGTCCTGGTATACCACGAAGACTACGAGTGGATGTGCCTCGAGGCAGAGGGCACGAACGCCAAGGAAGACGACAGACGGAGACAAGTCTTTGCTTTCAGAGATGCGTTGTCGACCATTGGCAAGGAGGATCTCTTCTTCCGCTGGATTGAAATTGTGCAGTTTGAGTCGTCGCAGCCTGGTGGCTTCGGACCCGAGAAGCAGACCGAAGTCGCCAAGAAGATTCGGGACCTATTCCAAGAGCAGGGCGTGGATTTCGACAAGCTCTGGTTTGAAAGTACGGGGACGGAAGGACCGGCAAACATGTGATCACCTGTCATGCTGTGTATTTGTACGAGGCTTCATCTTCATCATGCAATGCGGCGTATCATGTACTTTTAATAAGATGTTTTTGGGGGGAATCATCTTCTCTGGGTGGCACGGAAAAAAGCATGGCTGTAGGCGTGTATTTCTCACAGGTTGGCTCAGGCAGGAATATCTGACGCACGTTGTGCGGCAAGCGAATGTAGACGGGGAAGAACGATGGTATATGTTGATGAAAAGTGGTATCCAGACTGCCTTGTCGAAGCAACAGCCCGTGAACTCCAGAGCAGACTCATTTGCTAGACTTCTTGCCCTTCTTAACGGCCGGTCCCAAAGCAGCCTCCCTCTTCTTGGCCTCCTTCTTCTCAATCTCAGCTCTCTTAGCAGCCTCTTGGGCTTCACGCTCCTCCTTCTCGGCCTGGGAAAACATATTTAGTCAGCTGTCCAGTCTCATGGTAGACGAGGCTTCGAGGGTAGGACATACCTCTCTGCGGGCAGCGTCGGCCGCTCTCTGTTCACGGATGAGCCTCAATCTGGCCATGTCGGCCTTGGCCTCATCCGTCTTGCCGGCCTCGTGCAGCTTGCGATATCTCTCCTTGGCCTGCGCGGCCTCCAAGCTCTCGCGCTCCTTGCGGTTGTTGGCGACGGCGAGCTTCTTGACGCCCTCGGTAGCTTCCTCGACTTCTTTGGGGGGCGCCTTGGTCTGGTTGCGGGCGGCCTTGGAGTGATTCGGGTTGGCAGGCATGTCGTCATCGCTGTCCTCTTCGGAGTCGGAAGGAGGGAGATCGCCAACCTCGACGTTCTGGCCCTTCTTTTTGGCGATGGCAGCGTCCTTGCGAGCCTTGGCCGCGGCCTTGCGGTCGGCGCGGGACAGCTCGCCAGCCTGGGGCTTGGCGTCGTCGGAGTCGGACTCATCCTCGGAATCCTCTTCAGAGTCCTCTTCCTCGCTGTCGTCGGAGTCGTCGTCGTCCTTCTTGGCTTTATCGGACCACATGCTGACTTCATTGCCATCGGCATCGAGGGGGCGCAGGTCGCGAGAAAAGTGCTTGCCACCTGTAAGGATAAGATGATCAGCACGTGCGTGAGGTCGTCACAGTCGCAGGTACGCATGTGAGACGAACCTCCACGAGTAAACTTTCTGAACTTGCCGCCGCGGCCGCGAGAGCTGGAGCCTGGTTGTCCACGTCCACCTGCCATCTTGACTGATTTTGGGGGTTGTTTTGTTGTTGGAAGAGGGTTGTAGAGAGGGATTGCGGGGTTGAGATGGGATGGTTGTCGGCGCGCAAGTATGGCGGGGTAGATTTTGCGCAGACTTGAGCGGTGGCAGAGTTTAGCAGGTGCGGTGCAGAGTAGGTAGGTAAATATAAAGAATAGGTATAGAGTGCTGGTCACGGAGAAAGGTGAAATTGCTGAGCCACAAACCAGACGGGCCGGGAACTCTATGGAGATACAAATCCAAAGTAACGGTCCAAGACTAATTTTTTATTTATCTATTTACCTTACTCAATGAAGTGAGAAGAGTCATAAGCTAAAAGGCACGGCAGATGGTTCGAGGGGCAATCACCAGAGCAGCATCACAGCTCACAGGATACAGCACTGGACGGATACGATGGCGCAAGTAATTCACTGAGCTGGCCCTGTATGCGATTCAGCGGAGCATGCAAACACAAACACCTTTGCCCTTATTGGCTGCTGCTGGAAACCCGCCTTGACAGGACGTGGACCTCCAATCGTCTGGGGCCTTTTCACCGCCAGGATTTTTGCCCGGCGCTAACAAAAAACCATGACCAGTCCGTTATTTTCAAAACGTAGCATCTGTCTGGCTGGGTGTCCGGTACGTAACACAGCCCACGGCAGGTAGAAACATTGCCGGCTGTTAAGTCCTGTTGAGAGGACGGCCTCTGGCCCAAACAGGGAAGCTGGTTAAGTTGAGGCCAATCTTGGTGGTTTGTGGATTTTCTGATCCTTGGGTTGAGTCAACTCAATTTTAGCAACCAAATAAATGCCTGTCTGCGTTTGTCAGAGTCTGACTTTGCAACGGAGGCCAAAATCCATGTCAGCCTCAAAGGTGCGCGAATGCAATCATCAGGCTAAGGTACCGAGAAATGTGATTTAACATTCGCTACCTTTGAAAGACCAAGGTTCTTGAATATTACGACTCCTTAATCATCGCAGTCTTCAGCCCAAGAAAAATAATGGAAGGCAATAGCTGATGAATTCTGTGTCCGTTCTTAGATGCCTTTCTCACAGATCGGTTGTGACACGGGAAGCCACATATCGGATGACGGGCGACACACCTCCACTGTCGGGTCCGCCAGGGCAGCGCCGAAAAGGTACCGGGGTACGGCAGAACAGAACACCCGGGCCCACTGTAAAAAACCAATATCATGGCTGAGATTTCCTGCGATCTCTCCGCTTTCTCTTCTTTTTCTCTTCACCTAATCATAAAACAATCCTCCTTATTCACTCTGGCTTTCACGTTATCAATGAATGCGACTGGAGGGGAAACAGGAGGAGAGACTGACGCACTTTTCGCCCACTTACCCTCTGACCCGTGGCAGCTTCTGCTGTATTGGTGATTGGAGAAATTTTCGTGGCGATACATACTCTCTCCCTTGACGAGCGCTTGCTGAGAGGCGCACGTACTGCGCCCCTCGTAATGAACGGCCAACTATCTGCCGTGTGTGAAATTCCCGAGTTGCCTATCTAAAGGTCGCGTCCGTGACTGACCTGCGCGTCCACTGCGTATTGCGTCAATCCTGTCTGTGGCTGGTCAAGAAGGCAGTGCGCGCGCATTAGAAACACAGTGCATATGTACAGTGCGCTCGGAGTCTTCACAAGCCCGCCTCAGTGCCTCACGAACCATCATCTCACCCTCCTGTGAGAAACCTGCCAGCTATCATCGTCTTGGGCGTAAGCAGTTCTTGCCAGTCTCTTTGAGGCGTGCATATTCTGGCAAGAGATCCGTAATGTTCGATCAATCCTCGGGACAGGTTTTCAAGGAGGCCGTGGCCGCGCGCCCTCCAGATGCCTACGAAAATGGCCGAGACTGGTCCAAACGGACTGGTCTGTGGCCACGCAGAGGTCGTGGCGGACAAGGCAGGAAAGGCGCAAGGTCGCTGGCCGATATGGCCATGCATCTCGCGGCAGAGAATATTGGGGACGTGACGGAGCAACATCTCGCACGCGACGACTTGCCAAGGCGGTACTTGTGGAGGATATGGCGCCTGCTGGAGAACAGGTTCGTGATGTCCTCTCGCCGAGATCTTCAGGCCGCGTGAACTTCTAACGTGCTTCCCAAGAGGTGTTTGTTTCCAGGCATGGAAGATCTTCTCAAAGTTCCTCCTCGCCGAAGATGATGAAAAGACGTTGAACCTCTATCGCTACCGCCAGCACATTTGTCAGCCGACCGAAAACCTCCGTCACTACCTAAGGCCACTCGCGTCTCCCGCCTTTGACTTCATTGCACACCTCGTCATCGCTGGCAACTGTTCTTTTGTCGAGAACGAGCTTTTGCCTCTCGCGAATCTGAAGAATCTCGGTATCCTCGAGATCATCCAGCCAGCCGATGAGCTGAGGACGGTCTTTCCCAACGTCGACGACCGTCTCATCAGAGGCTGGTCGGAGATGAAGGACCCGTTTCCATTGCTGAGAATTCTCAGGCTCTGGAGCGATGAGTCTACGAGTTCGCAGTCTCTCAAATATGTGTCCAAGTTTCCGTCACTCGTCCTGTACGACGTCAACGCGGCGAGGGCTGACTGGACAGACGCTGGCGAAGCCGCTCTGGAAGAAGGCTGGGAGGTGGCAGAGCCAGAGCATGGTCCGAACGATTCTCTGCTGTGGTATTTGATGCTCTTTGACTCGGTCGAGGAGAGCAAACCACGGCAGTTACAGGGGTTGGCACGCAACATCAACGAAGGGCTGATGAACTTCTGCCAGGGCAGTAATCAACCTATCAAATTCGTTGCGGGCGACACGGCGCCCTCTTTCCTCGACCACCTTGGAGACTCCGCCAAGAGGAATCTGTCCATGTACGTGGATGTACCAGGGTACGAAGCTCAAACGTGCAAAGGCTTCCCATTCGAGACCTGGGCGTTCTGGCTGTACTCTTTCATCGGCCAACTCACGAAAGACGAGGACCTGAACAGAGCTGGCGTTGCTCCGGAGAAAAAGACCGTGTCCGAGGAGCTGGTCCTTCCGTCCAAGCCTCTCGCGTGTCTGCAGCTCGGTCATTGCGGCGGCAAGCCTGGTATCACCCCTGCAGTGTCATATGTTAGACGGGGGCTGTTCGCGACGAGGAGATACACCTTTTACAGGACATCGTCAGTCAACAGCAGACAGGAATCCTCGCGGAAGCCGACGGAGGTAATGAAGCCTAACGTGCAGCTTGGAAACGTCGAGACGGGTTTGAACCCGAATCGGAAGAAGAGGCGAAGGCTCGATGATATTTTGCAGTCGTTTTTGGGGTCTTGAATAAGACGTGCGCGGCGCGTTATTCTCTGCGACATGGCTTCGATTATTCCGGAGAAAAGAGCAAGGCATTCTGATGATACCATCTTGCATGCAGGATCGGCTTTGGAAACGGGTTGGCTTTTTATCAATTTTGGCGTTTCGGCATGGCACCTGAATCTTGGGCAGGACTGAAGGGTTACTAGAGGGAGTCGTGCGCAGTGGTCGCATTGGTTGCGCCTTTTCACCGTGTATCATGAATACTTTCACTGAGAGTTTCTGGATTTTGATGATTGATTCTTCGTTCGTGGAAATTCATGGCTTCATTTTGATCCCAAAACTTGACGCCGCACTCTAGATGATGACAATGATGTAACCTCCCCAGCAGGTATATGCCTCGCGCTTAATATCCAAAATGTTCTGTACAGGCCCCTTTTACAACATGGGCTTCAGGTCCTCGGCAACCGTGAAGGGCGCCTCGGTCTTGCTCTTGATCTCTTCCACCGTAACACCGTCCGCAATCTCAATCAGGGTCAGGCCGTGCGCGAAGTCGACATCGAAGACACCCTGTTATCCATGTGTTAGTCTTGATGCCAAGATGCGCGAGATAAACATGATGGAAACTCACCAGCTCAGTAATGATTCTCGACACGCAAGCGCGGCCGGTAAGAGGGAAGGCGCACTGCTTGACGATCTTTGCGTTGCCCTTCTTGTCGGTGTGCTCCATGGTGACGACGACCTTGGTGGCGCTCGGGTTGCTGACCAGATCCATAGCACCACCGAAACCCTTGACCTTACCGGGCAACATCCAGTTGGCAAGGTCACCGGTAGAGCTGACCTGCATGGCACCGAGGATGGTGAGGTTGATGCGACCGCTGCGGATCATACCGAAGCTCTCCTCGCTGCCGAAGACGGCGGCGCCGGGCTTGAGGGTGACGGTCTCCTTGCCGGCGTTGATGAGGTCGGCGTCCTCCTGGCCCTTCTTGGGGTAGGGGCCGAGACCCAGGATACCGTTCTCGGACTGGAGCTGGACCTCGACTTCGGGGCCGACGAAACCGGGAGCAAGCATGGGCATACCGATACCGAGGTTGGCGTACATGCCGTTCTTGAACTCCTTGGCGGCGCGGCGGACGATGCGCTCACGCTTGGCGGCAGTGTCACCGCTGCCGAGGGCCTTCTTAGCGTCCGGGTCGTTCTCGTCCTTGGCGAAGGTGAACTTCTCAATGTTCTTCTCGGCGGTGCTCTGGATGACGCGCTTGACGTAGATGCCGGGCAGGTGGACGGCCTCGGGGGAGATTTCACCGGGCTCGACGATGTGCTCGGCCTCGACGATGGTCATCTTGGCGTTGCGGCCCATGGCGCCGTTGAAGTTGTTGGCGGCCAGGCGGAACTGGCAGTTTCCGAGCTTGTCGGCCTTGTAGGCCTTGACGAAGGCGTAGTCACCGTCGATGCTCTCCTCAAGCAGGTAGGACTTGCCGTTGAAGACCTTGACGTCCTTGGGGTAGGAGAACTGGTCGGGAGAGCCGTCGGCCTTGTTCCTCAGGGGAAGCTCACCGGTCTGAACAACGGTTCCGAAGGCAGCGGGAGTGTAGAAGGCGGGAATGCCCTTACCACCGGCGGCGCAGCGCTCGGCGAGAGTACCCTGGGGCGTGAGCTCAAGCTCGATCTCACCGGTCAGGTACATCTTCTCAAAAGTCTTGTTCTCGCCGATGTAGCTGGCAACCATCTTCTTGATCTGCTTGGTCTTCAGGAGCTTGCCAAGACCGGAGGTGTCGGTACCGGCGTTGTTAGAGACGGCGGTGATGCCAGTGATCTCAGGCTTGTTGAGAACCTCATTGATCAGGGTATCGGGCACACCGCAGAGGCCGAAACCACCGCAGAGAAGTGTAGAGTTAGGCTTCATGTCCTTGAGAGCCTCGGTTGCTGAAGGGTAGACCTTGTTGATCTCTGGCCTCCTTGCCGTCGCAGAGAAGGCGCGAGCGAGAATGGCAGTGTGCTGTTCATGGCGGCAAGGTCAGTTTAAGCTGGAGCTAACGGCCTGTGTCCCAATGGACTCAATTCTACATACGTTGGAGCCATGGCGGGCGTAGGCTCTCAGAGAGCGCGCACACAGAGCTGCTGAAGGCATTGTGAGGAGGTAGACAGGTCTGGCTACAATCGGGATTACGGAACGGCAGTAGGCGTTGGAGGCGGAGGGGCCGGTGGTGTTCTACAACGGGGTATGCCGACGACAGAGAGAAGCTTCAACAGGACCAGCAGAAAGGCCAGATGACGATTGGGAAAGGAGAAAAGAAGAGAGTTCCTTACAAGAGAAGCTCTGCGAGGGGCACCCGGATCAATTTATTGCAACTTTCCAAGGCCGTGGGTTGCCGCAATGCGCTACATGGTCGCTGCGGAAATCCTGGGGGTGTATGCTGCTCCGCCCCTTCGGGATTGAGCTCGGCAACAGGAACATGGACGATGGGTTTACGGTGGGCTTGGACGTGAGCTCCTGCATCCCTACCTCTCTGAGTGGTCTCACAGCGGTTATCCCCCTCAAGTTCCGCGACTCGGAAAGTGGCGGGGCTAAACGTTTTGGCGCCTGGGCCCTTTACTTTGGGAGGAGTTTGGGGAAGTCGACCAACCCCTTGAAAGTTGAAGGAGCTTCCCCCATTCGAACCCCGCAAAGGCAATTCTGCTTCAGTGCGGCGCTATGCAGGCATGCAACCTGGACCCCAACCTCGATTCAGGACGGGAGTTGAGAGTGTTGACCAAGGTATTCTTATTCTTGCACTCACACTGTATTCCGCCTACCGATACCGGGCTATGCTATGTGATTGATGGTGTGTATTCATACGGTACGGTACGGTTCGGCAAGCGGCGCCGTTTGCCGAAGACTCTGCCGAAGACAGGAACACCTGCGATTCTTCTCCGATCGTGACATATGTATGCACATGCACTTAATAAAACCCGTTGTAAAAGACAGTAAACACACGCTCAGTGGGTTGACTGGTCAATGCGATACCGGCGATCGTCACTGGATGCATCTGGGATCAAGAGCTTTGTTGTCCCTTGCGTGCGTCAATTGCGATCTTACCGTGCCTTAGTTTCCGGTCCATTTCCCGGCTCCGGGGCACTCGAGCTGCTGGTTGCCATCCGAAGTCTGTGGAGAGTTTCCGAACCGTTCCGCTCCTGACGGCCATTGCTTTCCAGGGACTCAGCAAGCTCGGTTGTCATGGGCAGAGCAATATGCGGCTTCCTACAAGCCAAAGTAGTTAGGGAAATATAGCATGCATGGTGAGTGAATTTACATTATAGACAGCTTCAATGATTGTTTATCCCAAAGACAAGCGCGATTGACATTTCGTCGTTGGACCTGTGAGTCTGGGACAATGAAGAGACAGTAGTGGGGCCGCTCTCAGGCCAAAGTCTTATCGGCGTGTCGGTCAGGGATAAATTTTCTCCCAACCTCTTATCGGTGCCCCACGCTTCAAAAAATTTCCCAGGATCGCGGTCAGAGTGCCTAATGTATGGATTTCGAGGTCGTCGTGTCGCTGCGCATGTCTTAGCCTACCTTATGCGCTTGTCGGCCACGAATTGAGCTGCCCCCTTGTACAAAACTCTCCTGCGCCTTCCGACAAGTCAATCAAGATGGAGCAGAGCCCCAAAAGACGTAAGGTTTCCCACCAGGGCGACTCGAGGTCTTCTGCCAACATTGCGACCGCAAGCCCTTTTGTCCTGCAAACCGACGAACTTCTGAAGGAGGTCAAGGTCGACTATGCGAAGGCGCTGGATGGCGCGGATACCCTTCTGCATAAGCTCAAGAACCTGATCGACGGCATTGAGTCTCATGGTCCCATTCCTGTTTGTTAGCCCCTAGGTCTTCCCGCTGCGATGTAAATGTTGACTGTTTCATTAGATCGCCGAAGCAACCCGCAAGTTCCAAAAGACCCATCGCATCAAGATTCCCTACCCCGAACCGAAACCCGCCGACGATGTGCCGTACAAGCTCTCGTACGAGAAGCCTTCCGCCTACAATGTCGTTGGTAGCTATGTGTCGAGGACAATGGTCAAGGCCCAAGCCGACAAGGGCGTGGACATGATTGTGCAGATGCCGGCTTCTCTTTTCCAAGAGAAGGACCACCAGAACATGCGCTACTTCTACAGAAGAGCTTATTACGTCGCCAACATTGCGGCGCATCTGCGCAAGGAGCTGGGAGCCTCCACAGAACTGGAGTTTGAGCATCTTAACGGAAATGCTCTTTTGCCCGTTCTGTCCATTCGACCGACCGAGACCTCCGAAGAGACCAGCGACGACAAACCATCCAAGGCAGATTACGTTGTCCGAATCATTCCTTGCGCTCCCGAAGGCATCTTTCCCAAGACGAAACTGCACCCGGCAGCCAACAGCAACCGCAACGGACAGCCCGAGAACTCCAAGGATGCGACGGCTGCCACGCCGTTTTACAACTCGACACTCAAGGCCGAGGACACTTTCGTCACCTACCTTCGTGTCCTTACTCGTGCCAAGACGGAATGCGCTGCCTTCACAGATGCTTGCGTGCTGGGAAGAATCTGGCTCGGCCAGCGGGGTTTGGGGAGCTCGCTTTCTCGAGGTGGATTTGGCCATTTCGAGTGGGCTATCATGATGGCTCTCCTGCTGCAGACAGGTGGACGTAATGGCCAGCCGGCTCTGTCCTCAGCTCTCAGTAGTACAGAGCTGTTCAAGGCCACCGTCCAATTTCTCGCCTCAACAGAGTTCTCCAAGAAACCGTTCGTGTTTGGCACCTACAAGCAGGGAACCGACATCATCCGCGAGAGCGGGCCCGTCATGTTCGACCCGGAACGTGAGGTCAACATTCTGTACAAGATGAGCCCTTGGTCAGCAAGCTTGCTTCACTTCCACGCCTGCACAACCATGGAAGTGCTCAATGAACCCTTGGCCAATCAGTTCGAACCCACCTTCATCACCAAGGCCGACATGCCTCTGCAACTATTCGACGCCATCTTTGAAATCCGGAACGTTGATAGCCACTCGAGGAGCGACAGCCCTGACCGACGCGGCGCTGTCTGGGACCTCAGCTTCAAGGCAAACACAGTGCTCAAGAAGGCTTTGAAAGACAGGTCGCAGTTGATCCACTTGCAGAGCCAAGACCCAGCCCCATGGCCCATCACCGGAAAGCAACCTCGTAATAATGCCACGATCCAGGTTGGCATCATCTTCGACCCTGCGAATATGAGCCGCGTGATGGAATACGGCCCCTCGGCCGAGCTCGAGAAAGAGGCAGCCAAGTTCCGCAAGTTCTGGGGTGACAAGGCCGAACTACGACGCTTCCAAGACGGCAGCATCCTGGAGTGTGTGCCGTGGTCAAGCAAGACCGCGGCGAGCATTTATGAGGAGATTGTCCGCTACATCCTTCAACGTCACCTGAGCTTGGGTCCCGGGGACCTTCGATTCCACGATGCTGAGCTCCCCTCGTCATTGGACATCTCTCCACTCGACAAGGACGCCTTCGAGGTGGCCAGAAAGGCTTTCCGGACTCTGGAGTCTGACATTCGCGGGCTGGAAGACCTGCCGCTCTCAGTCAGACAGCTTTCGCCCGTTGTTCCCGAACTTCGATCCGCGTCGATCAACCCGCCATTCACCGCTTCGCAGAAAACCCCTCCGCCTATGGATGTGAACTTGTACTTCGAGGTGTCCAGCAAGTGGCCAGAGAACCTCGTCGCTATTCAAGAGACAAAGATCGAGTTCTTGCTCGACCTCGACAGGAGGCTCAAGGCCGTCAACGACAACATCACAACCAGCCTAGGCCGCGACAACGCGGTACGCGAATCCGACAATCTGGCCTACCTGGACGTCATCTATGACAACGGCGCTGCTTTCCGCTTGCGAATTTTTGCCGAGCTGGAAGAGACCCTCCTGGACAGACAAGCCAAAAACAAGACCCTCGACCCGCAAACCAGGGTAAACGCCGAAGAGGCTCTTTTCGATCTCAACTGGCAATTCAAGCACCTCCCCCTGCACACGCAGACCATCACAACCTACTGCACCCGCTTCACCACGCTATCCACAACGATTCGCGTTGTCAAGCACTGGTTCAACGTGCACAAACTCGCCGGCCACATCAGCGAGGAACTCATTGAGCTTCTCGTCCTCCGCGTCTTCCTCCAACCGCACCCCTGGAAGACCCCGTCCAGCGCCATGGCTGGCTTTTTGCGCACCATCCTCTTCCTCTCCCGCTGGGACTGGCGCGACGAGCCTCTCGTCGTCGACTCATCGGACGACATGTCCGCCGACGACCGCTCCGTCGTCCAGAAACACCTGGAAGCCTGGCGCGCGCGCGACCCGAACATGAACCACGCCGTGCTCTTCGTCGCCACCCCGCACGACCACGCGGGACTGGCATACACCCGCCACGGCCCCTCCAAACTCCTCGCAACCCGTACGACGCGCCTCGCCAAGGCCGCCAGCAAGTTGATCAGGGAGCAAGGTATCGCGCTTGGCGTGGCAGAGCTCTTTCAGCCTTCGTTGGGCGACTACGACGTGCTTATCCACCTGTCCACTTCCGCCTTCAAGCGCGTCGTTCGCGATGCCGCATCGGAGGTCGGCATGCGCCACTCGCTCTTCAAGAACCTCGACGATCGCACCGGTAAAGTACCCCTGCCGCTGAGCAGACCTCCGGCCACTGTTTTGCTGCAAGAGCTGGAGGCGGCGTACGAAGACACGCTCATATTCTTCCACGGCGCTCCTGAGGATGCCGTCATCGGTGCCATCTGGCAGCCCAAGCTGCGCAGACAGAACTTCCGCGTTGGTTTGCCGTACAACTTCCAGAGTGTTGATGAAGAGGAGGACGATGTCGTGGAGGTAAACAAGCCGGCTGTGTTGCTGGAGATTGCCAGAATCGGCGGTGATCTTATCAAGAAAATCGAAGACACATCATGAGGATGTAGAAGTGTATATTGTGTTTACGTTTTGGCATAGCGGGCTGGAAAAGTTAAATAAAAGTCGTGTCAGGTCACCCGTTGTTCAATACGATGCCGTTCAACCTAGTAGAAGGAAACTGAATGTGGCTACTAAAAGAAAATGTGTTTGGTCATGCTGATTATAGTCCTATTCAACCTGATTCCCCTTGATGAAACGCCATGCCATGATATAAAATGCCTATGCACACCAACACGCAAGTATACACAAACATTTTCCTCCCCTCTTATGAATCAAGCCTGTACCCGCCGTGTAAACAGAAATCCCCGAATTCATTTTAGTCATCTAGTACTGGAGCATCTTCTGATCCTTGCTGCTTTCGGCAACCTGCTGCGTAGAAAAGGCGCAGAACTTGTCCTTGATAGCCACCACCTCGTACGTGCCTTCTTGGCTCGCACGGACGATCTTGCTACTTTCGTACGAGACATCGTGTCGAGTCTCGAGAACCACGCTCTTTTGATTCTTTCTGGCGTTGGAGCTACGGGTGTAGGTGAACTCGAATGGTGGGGTGCCCCAGAACTCGAACAAGATCTCGACTTCATTGCCCTCGTGAATGTCTACGCGAGTCTGTCGACCACGGCTGATCTTGACGGCGGGAAGTGGGTGGATTTTCTTGGTGACGTCGACAGAAGCACGACATTCGGATGCCTTGTCGGAGATGGAGGTGATGGTAAAGTCGCCAGGAGATTCGGCTATACGGCGGAAGTTGGTCGTGCCAGACTTGGCCTTGCGCTGATGGCCCTGGAAATCGTACCAGATCTCGAAAGGAGGCGTGCCGGATAGCGTGTAAGCGATACGTTCGCCGACGCAGTAGTCCCCTCGGCTTTCCAAGGGGTAGATAGCCGGGGCATCGTAGAGATGAACTTGCACGTTTGGCGCACTAATCTCGTACTTCTTCTGGCACCCTCGAGCATCCCTTACTTCGCGAATGCGGACGTGTTGAATTCCAAGGCGCAGATGCTGTCTGGGAATGTGGATACCGTACGAGTTCGACTGGATGGATGGAATTCTGTAGGTCTCGGGGACGGTGCCGCTGTGATGCTTGATCTCAATTTCGACGTAGAAGGGCGCAACGCCTTCGAGTTTGATCGGGATGGTGTCCTCGCTCTCCTGCTCTGTCTTGCAGTACTTAAATGACTGGCCAGGCTTGACAAAGGAGGCAGCGGGCTTGGCATTGACCCGTTGGCTGAGGGTCAGAGAGTGAGAGTTCTTGTCGCTGTTGTAGAGATTATCTGCCAACGCAGAGAACTTGTACGTGTAGTCTCCGGGCTTGGATGTGTCCAGGCCGATGGAAGCCTTGTTGAGAGCAGTATCGAATTCCCTGTGGATACTTGAGCCAGAACCCTTGCCGCCGGAGCCAGGGAAAGACTTGTGGCGAACATCGTATTCGACGCGGTAAGGGGCGGAGCCTGTGATAATATTAGATGCAAGTCCCAGTACCGCGGATGTGAGTTTCTTACCCTTCAGATTGACCTCGAATGAATCAATGTCGCCTTCGCATACGTCACGCTTGACGAATACTGATGCTTCGGAGGTGATTGTATCGGATTGTACCAATGTGATTTCAGGACGAGGATACCAGCCCACTTCAAACCGAGAGGCCTGAGGGTCCACGGTTCCTGGGCAACTGTCCGAAACGTCGACGATTTCGTAGGTGCCACGCGCCTTGACGGCAAGAATCTCGTTTGCGTTTTTCGCAGTCTTCTTCAGAATCACATCCCCTGAGTCAACGTTGCGGTACGATACAGTCCAAGGTCCATCGCCCTGGAGACGCAAGGGTAGGTCGACCTTGGTATTCTCCACTGCCATGATTCTCCGCTTGTTCTCAATCATGCCGAATGCTGCTCTAGGCCGTTGCCGTCTGACCGAGATCTTAAGCTCGTCCTTCAGGAAGGTTCGGCAGCCGGTCCTGTCCTGAACACTGTTCAGCGCGAGAGTGTATTCACCACCCTTGGCGAGAGGCTTCGTCTTGATCTTGTAAGTCGAGTCCTGTATATCTGTAACTCGTTCGGACTTGCGCTTGCCATCGTGAACAAGCTCCCATTCTAAGGAGAAGGGAGCGTCGCCCAAAAGCAAGATTTCAACTTCGACTTGCTCCTCAAGACAAGCGCCCATGGCTCCAGTAGGATGCTGAATAACCGCGGAAGCAGCAGGCTTGACATCCGTCTCCAGCACCATACCTGGTCCGCTGAGGGGCTGGTTGGTGTAAATGTCATCACTGATATACTTGAAGATGTACTTGTGATGGCCAGCAGCCGTGGGCCTCAGCTCGATCTGCTGTCTCAAGCCGCTGACATCGACCCGCTCTTTTCTGACATGGCCATTCTGGTCGACGACATCGTATTTGACCTGGAACGGCGGGGTTCCGATAAGATCCAGGTCCACTCGAAGGCCAACTGAGTTGCCGGCACACTTGTCAGGGATCTCCTCTGCACGAAGCGACAGCTGGGGTTCGAGAGGATTAAGCAAGAGGCAAGACGACGGCTCCTGAATCTCGCCTTCGCACGATCCGCTGACCACTGACTTAAGGGTGTACAGACCAGGCTCCTGGACAAACGGCTTGTCGTGAGAGTTCTTGGCATTGTAAGAGCCCACAGAAACCTTGTTGCCGTGATCGCCACTATTTGTCAACGTGTCGATGGGCGAGAATTCCCAAGTCAGAGAGTGTGAGGTATCCCCGGGGGCCTTCTCAGGTATCGAAAAGCTGATTGGCAGCTTCGCCTTGTGATCCTTCGCCACCTTGATTGGATTCCGCAAGTCGCATCCTCTCAAGCTAGCCTTTGGCCGCTGCTTGACATGGAAGTTGCGGACCAGGTGCGGTGGACGAGGTCGCAAATCAGCTTCTTCCTGAGATTGAATGTACTTCTGAACGTTGCCAAACCCGTCTTGAACCTCATCAACAGCGTATTGCCAATCCCCTGCCGAGTCCAAGGTCTCATTGAGTCGCACAGCCACAGACTGAGACTTGACCCAGGATGTATCATCGTCATTAGCCAAAGTGAGCTGTGAAGAAGGCGATCCTAACAAAGGCGAGTTGTAGTCATCCGGCTGCAGGCTTTGGAAGTGAAAACTCCGGTCATTGCCATTGATCCTTCGGCTGTACTGGATCTTCAATGGCGGTGTACCAATGACGTCGATGAAGAGGTCAGACAAGTCTCTGATGCATCGGCCAGCATTGTCGGGAGTCCGGAAAGCTGCCTTGGGGCAAGGAACAACATAGGTGTCCTTCGTGGCACGTTGAACCTCTAGCTTGTACTCGTCCAAAACCTTGCCGAGGCGGTAAACACCCGTTTTCTTAACCGAGTATTCGATGGCAACTGCAACTGGATTGGAGTCTGTCGTCTGATCCTTGATCTGCTTCGCGATCTTTTTGACCTCGCGACTAGAGAGCTTAATCGTCTCCTCTTGGTTGGTGTCGAGGTCAATGCGTATGAGCTCCATTTCAGCCGGGATGGTCGAGTTGAACTGAATGGGCAACTTGACGGCATCACGATCTTGGCCAATGCAGAAAGGAATTTGCTCGAAGTTGAGAACCGCAGACCTTGAATATGTTAGTCGTATTCGTAAAATGAATCATGGTAATAGCTGCCTTACCCTTCTGGCAAGATGTTGATGATCTGCCTTCCCATGATCAAAGAGTGGTTGTGCAAAAGGCTCGAGACCTTGACAGTGTGCTCGGAAACGGCCACCTCTCGGTCGTAGAAGACCTTCATAAATCCTACTAGCCACGGTTGTAATGGAAGCTGGATTTGTGTTAGCTGTGCCAGATTTCAATGCTGAGGCCGAGGCTCCATATGGTGATATTCGGCAGACATACAGGGATATTGAACATCAACATAAAGTTGAAGAAGGCATGAAAGAGGAAAATGGCCATGACGACGGGTTGTGACAGTTCCAGCCATGGTATCCTCAATTCAGGAAGACCGAAGAGAAATCCGAAGTCGATGAAGACCCATTTCAGAAAAAGCCACGCAGAGGTATCGTTATCCTCGACCAGCTTGATCCAGTCGTAGAACCTCCATCCTAGCAAACCAATATATATCGCACAAGCATAGAAGCGTTGTTGAGGTGCGTCGAGGATGGTCAACGGGATGACGGGCTCGGACGGAGGGGCGCCTCGGGACGCATTCTCGGGAGCTTGGGGGAGGGTTGAAGGCCTCGTAGATTTCTGGGAGGAGATGGAAGAGTTCGGGTCGGGATCTTGTCGTCGGGATCTGCCCGGTGCTGCGGTCGCTGGTGTTTGTGGAAAACCACCAGTCCGCTGTCTCGGAGTTGCGCTCATGGCATGCCTTGTTCAAGAGGCCTCATACGATCTTGTGTTGTCGGTATGGTGACGAAAGGAGCCAGCTGATTATGCGTGAGAGGGCCGCTAGGTGAAACCAAAGGACTTGCCCGGCGATGCAAGCTGTTCTTGGCGTCGTGAAGCTGGGAAAGCTGGCTGTAGAATCCAAAGCTTCAAAATTTCCAGTGAATGCTCGTCACGTCCGAACGCGCCTGGCAACAACACCCACTTGCTATGACGAGGAATGTTTTGATTGGACCATTGTTCTTAAAGTGGGTCACCTATACGATACTAACAGGGCGACAGCTGTTTAGAGGCAATGGGTGGTGCAACTGCCTGTGCGAGGGCAAATGGCAGGCACAATCAGTGGTAGTGGAGGCACAGCTTGATTCCCCCCAGACTGCAGACCAGGATTAATTATCCAGGACCTACGTAGGTAAGGTAGCCAGAGTCCCGCTTGACGTCGTTTGCTCTCTACAACCAACATCTGTTTTCCTACCCTGCATGCGTTCCTCTACTGTGTATGGAGCATATCTAGACACTAAAGTCGTTTCGCAATACTTAACGACATTTTATTGCAATAGATCTACCGAATTACTCCTGGCCTTGGTAAGCATTCAAGGGCAGCAGAGGCGACGAGGTTGGGGCTGGTGTTTGTCGAAACAAATTGGATGCTGATAACCACTGAGTACGTGTAGTCGAACCCTTCTTTCAGTACCAGGCGGTTCCTTCACATAGGTAGGTAGGTAATCAAAGAATCACACCAAAACTTCCTCCTCAAATTCATTCCACAAATACCTGCTTTTATTCGAGCCGATCAATGGCCATTAGTGTGGCTAAGTCTCCTTTGCCGGCCTTCTTTTCTCTAAATTTATCGCTTTGTCTACGATGCCGTCTCCCCAATTTCCTTACAACCACCTGCCTCAGCCGAAGACACTTTTATTCCGCCACGACAGGGAGAAGAATTGGAATTGTTTTTCTCTCGACGATACAGGCTCCGAAGCCTCCTTCATAAGTTGGCCTGTTCTCGGCTCGGCCAATACAACCTGACCTGGGCAACTTCCGTGCCTTCTTTTCTTATCAACGTTTGACATCACCCCAAACCACGCACTTTTCAGTAGTTTATCTCTGTCAGATTCTAATATCGACTCACTGTCTTCTTTTTGAACACGGTTCGATACCACCATTTTATCACTGAAAAAGACAATGTCGTCGTCCACCCGATCGGCTATGGCCCAACGACATGTGCGAAGTCGCCCATCACAATCAGGCGCAGTTGCCAGACAACACACACCTCAGCCAGTCTCTGACGACAACCCAGTTACGACAGTCGAACGCGACATTTACGCTATTGAGAGCAGCCAGGACGCTCCCGCCAGCCCGGCTACGGCGAACGTCTCTATCCCCCGCAGAGGACGTGGTCGTCCCAGAAAAAGAAAGGAGTCGCCTACTGCAGAAATGGACGAAGTCAACCCGGACAACTCCCGGCGGAATCCCAAACGCAAAGCAACCGAGGCTGCTGCTGCTGCAACAAGCGCCGCGGCGGCTGATGAGGCCAGGGACCCCTATCTCCTCCTGCGCGAGGCTCTACGACCGATCAGTCAAGAGGAGCTCCAAGAATGGGAAGGATGGTGTGAAGTTGAGTCCGAGCCGGTAAGCATTTTCTTTTGTTTTTGTTTTTCTACTTTACATTGGCCGTAGCTAACAACAGTACATCAGGCATTCTTTACTGCCATGTTGCGCGAAATGGGTGTCCGAAATGTCAAGGTCCAAGAGGTCTTGTCCGTCGATGAGGACTACGTGGCAATGCTTCCGCAGCCTGTCTACGGATTCATTTTCCTATACCAGTACTTCGCGGAGAACTACGAAGATGACCAAGTAGTTGATGGCCGCGACCTTTGGTTTGCCAACCAGGTTCGCGCACAAAGTCTACCCTTTCCGTGGTTTAAAGCTGACGAAATTGCAGACGACAGACAACGCTTGTGCCACGGTCGCGCTGACCAACATCTTGATGAATAGCGACGGAGTTGACCTCGGGAAAAAACTTCAAGACTTCAAGGAAGCTACCAAGGATCTCAGCACTCCACTCCGCGGCCACGCCCTCAGCTCCAATACCTTTATTCGTTCCGTCCACAATTCATTCACTCGAAGGATGGACCATCTGAATGCGGACCTCTTCCTCGAGAACGAAGCCAGTGAATCCAAGAAAAAGAAGCGGAGAGCTCCGTCCAAGAAGAAGACGAAAAAGCAAAAGATCAACTCCGAGTCCGGCTTCCACTTCATTGCCTATGTCCCGGCTAATGGCTCGGTATGGGAACTTGACGGGCTGAAGACTCGACCAGTTTGCCTGGGGCCGCTCGAAGATGGTGCTCACTGGACCAACCTAGTACGGCCCGAAATCCAAGCGCGCATGCTACAGTTCGAAGAGAGCGCTCTCTCATTTAATCTCCTCGCACTCTGTCATACTCCGCTCGCATCAATTTCCGATAGTATCACCAGCACTATCCGCTCATTCGAGCTCCTGAGCCACCGTACCAGAGGATTGCCAGGATGGGAAGATCTAATTGCCGGCAATGAGCAGCCATTAAGAGGTGACGAACATGAGCGACTCGCTGGTTTCGGTTGCAGGCCCGCAGACATTGACCACGCCAGAATCGACCCAGATTTCGAGAGGAAGGTCAAGAACCCATCTCTGGAGATGATGGAACTTTTCGAACTGTATAGCGAACTGGTCACGCAACAGAAGTCACAAATAGGAGAGTACAATGCGGAGATCGCTCTCATGAAGGAAGACGAGGATCGCGTTCAGGGGCGAAAGAAGGACCACACGCCGGCAATTCACTGCTGGGTGCAGAAGCTCGCAGACCAAGGTGTCCTTGCTGACTGGGCCGCGAATCCCTGAGTTTTGCTTCGCTAGGTATGCTGAGGGAGTTGGGGTTGCAAGGGACAGAAAAGTTTGCGTTGGACGGCTACATTGGCGTTTGGTTTTCCTGGTAACACAAGATCATTGGATGGGTAGGGGCGAGGAGCACGTCTATCCATAGTATTGCTGAACAGCTTCCCTTTCTGTATTTTGAGGAGCGCAATGATCACTGCTGCAATTCCTTCAAGCCCCATCCAGGCCCATTAATCTAAAATTCTAATGAGGTATGCACCATCTCTCTACTAGAAGGGACGAATGTGCACGTGCCTCTATCAAAACGCTTGAAGAAGAGCCCTATATCTGTAAACATTGCGCCGGCTGCTTCCTCGGGGTCTCGAACCAGCTCGAGGCTCGAGGCTTTGACAAGAGAAAAAGTCCCCTGCATGTTCGGGGGCGTCCTGGTCGAGTGTTATTCTGCGTCCCATCGCCAGGAGTAGTTTTTGGGAGGGACTTACAGTAGCCGGTAGTAGAGAATTGACTCTGATCTCGGTATTTCGCAATCGATCACCACCGCCACAAACCCATACCTGACGTGACGAACGACCTGTCCCATCTGGTACTCCATATCCTTCTGTGTCTCCATGAGAACAGGTGGCCGTGAGTCGGCTCTCCTGATTACCTGGAGAACATACTTTGGGTTAGGAACAGCCACGAATGGGTTTACAGGTTGTTGAGGACGAGTGACGTAGATCTTCTGCACCAGCCAAGCATCGTCAAACCGCAAAGAGTTGAACCTGAGTGCAAAGTGAGACGTGACGTCGACAAATGCTCCTGGGTCGAGGAGCGTGGTCGCCCACGCAGCAGCATAAACAGACAGTTCCATGTTCTGAAGTGCGCTGCCGGTGCTCAACCCAGCTAGCCTCTCGATTGACACATCCTGACTGGTCAAGACGAGATTTGTATGTCGGATGTTATGCGCCAGCCTTCCAATCATAGTCGATACCGCCGCCGGAGCCATCGTGTCGACGTCCAAGCTGCGCCATCCGACTTGGGAGATGAAATGCCTGAGGGTTTCCTTGCTGAACTCCTCATCGCCTCCGTACGGGTCCAGATACATCCTCTCAAGGGGCTTTTGAGAATCCGTCACACTGGATCCGTCAAGTTTCACTTCGTTCGTAGAGAAGACCATAACCAACACATGTCCAGGTAAGGCGCAGCAGTGAGCGTTGAGTCCTAGTCTTTCCCCTAAGCTGCAAAAGATGGCAGCTGACACCATTGGGAGGGACTGATGAGTGTCGTCGCGCAGCGCATATCCGATGAGACAGTTTCTGAGGTTGCGATAGTTGGTCTCCGGATTGCTCATACCGGTCAGGTTCCTGGACCTTAGCCATCTGTTCAAAGCCAGCGCTTTCTCCCGGGTACATAGGTCCTCAAAGTCAGGGTGAGTGCTACTGAACTCGGTTGCCAAGCCGTCAAGCGAGTTTGAAACCTGCAAACACGTCAAAACCTGTCTAGATATTGGGAATTGGGTTTTTTACATCGTCTATGTCACCCTTGTCGTCTGGAACGACGAACATGTCAAAGGCAGCAAGCGCTCGTTCCAATCTGCGTGGGACGACTTTTGGGGTGCGACTAGATCTTCGGCTTTCTTCTGCTTCTGCAATGCGGAGGTCGTCCCATATTTGGATGGCGATGCCTCGACGCATACTTGCGAGCATTGCATTGCTGAAATACCTAGATAGCAACTGTGTTAGACAAAACGGGATAGATCAATTCATGCAAGCTTGCCCTACCTCCGAGACAACACGTCGTCTGCCGCATCAGGTGTATGTGCTTGTCGCAACAGGAAATCTTTGGCATCATGGCCAAGAAGACAGATTTCTTCAAACTTCTTGACTCGGCCAAGCTTGGTAGCTAGCACCCCGTCAAAGAGACTGGCAGCCCTGGCATTGCTTCGCAGACGGGAAACGAAGAGACGCTTCCACAATACTTTTGAGACTGGCTGCTCTAACTTCTCGTAGAATTGGTGATCAGGATGCCAGAACTTGAAGGATTGCAGACAGTGATGTCGCCACAAGATAGGTTCATTGGCCAGATGATGTAAGCGTCTTGACAAGGGATGAACAGAACGCAAGTTGTCTTCTGGTGCAACGTAATGAAGAATTTGGAGAAGGATCTCATCGGGAACCTGGTCAAGTGAAGGCATGGCGGTGGAGGCGTTACGCCTGCGATTCGGTAGGCGATAGGCTGGAAAGTAGGGATTCGGAGCAGGTGCCCGCAGTCGTTATGTCGGGGGTTTCGACACTCAGACGGGCGCCCGTTAAGTTTAAAGAAAGGGTATGCGAAAACTCGTTTATGTTGTTTCGAAAGGAGAGTGTAGTGTGAAGAGTGGCTCAGATTAGAAAACGTGGACAGGCGCGGATTGGGGTATGGACATGAGAATGAGAATGAGAATGACGACTTGCCGTTCGCGGGCGAGTGGTTGCATCACAAATCGAAGTCTCTTTCCCACCTCAAGTGTCTCAAGGTGGCGGCCGGCACGAAGTGCCAGGTGCCACGGCTGCCAGGGAGTGGGTCATCCGCAGAAGTGGAAACAGCCGGAGCAATTGCGAGCTGTGGAGACCGACCGGCACGGACGAGGAACACTTGTGAACTGTGAAGCTCTGCCCTACCGCTGGGCGCGAACCTACACTGGGTCTGATTGGAAGGAAACAGCCGTTACCCCCACTACGCACGCTATTCCAAAAAAGGATTTGAATAAACAGACCCAAGCAAGACGCGGTCTGGGATGATCGCGCACCCTTGAGTCCCTCGGTTGCATCACGAATTCCACTTTCAACACCGCGACTGACCGGGCTGTGAATTATCGCAACAGAAGCCTTGCTAACATACGCGCAATTGCTTCCTTGGTTTGCTTTGCTTCTCACTTGCTCATACTTTTCAGACGCACTGCTCGCAAATTCTTGTCATGAACATGATCACGATCCCGCATTTTTAACCCGCGCATCAATTTCCCTCTCCCCTCTATTAGTCGAACACGGTCGAGATGGTTCAACCAGGAATCGACGGCCTCGACACGCCGCGAACAAATCTTGGCGACGCGACATACCTCAGCCGACAGCCCGACTTCGATATTTCACAAGAAGCCTCGTTCCAGTCACCTGCAAAAGACAACAACCTGCTACAACAATTGCGCAATGGGCGTTCAGGCGGCATCAACCTCCGCACCCCGCGCGGTCGCGCTCCTTTCATGGACCGGAAGAACCTGCCTGCAGGCCTCGGAGGAGCCGAGTTCACCCCAATGCTCAAGTCTGCAACACGGAATAGCGCTCGCCGAGGCTTTGGCAAGGAGAACGGCGCCGTGCCCAACACTCCTGCTCTCAGTAAAAATGACGACGACATGACGCCGATTCCGAACATCGACACTTCTATGTATCACTCCCGCTCATTCGTTGACCGCACCCCGCTCCCCGAAGTCGACAGCACGAGTACCGCGTCTACACCGCTTGTTGTGTTGCCGCGACGAGACGGCAAAGGTCCGTTGCAGGACGGAAACCAATTGTCATTGCGGGAGCAGGAGAACGTGATCGATAAGATCGAGAAGGAAAACTTTGGCCTCAAATTGAAGATTCATTTCCTCGAAGAGGCCTTGCGGAAAGCCGGCCCAGGGTTCAGCGAGGCGGCCTTGAAAGAAAACACCGAGCTCAAGGTCGACAAAGTGACGATGCAGAGAGAGCTTCACAAGTACAAGAAGCACCTTACGTCTGCAGAGAAGGACCTCGAGAGCTACCGTCAACAGATGATGGAGTTACAAGAGAGGGCCAAGAAGAAGTACGCGGATCAGAAGCAGCTCGCCGAAATTGAACGCCTGCAACGAGCTTTGGATGACAGAGAGGCCGACCTCGAGGATATGCAGCGCCAGCTTGACCGGGATCAGCAAGACCAGGGCCAGGTGGACAAGCTGCAGGACGAGTTGGGCGACCTTGAAGCTGAGATTCGTGAGAAGGATCGCGTTATCGGCGATCACGAAGACGAAATCGACGATCTCAAAACCAAGCTGGAGGATATGGAGGATAAGATGAAGGATACACAACGACGAATGATTGAGCTTGAGCAAAAAGCGCAGTCTAGCGACGACCTAGATGAAGCAAGAGACACCATCGACGACTTGGAAACGAGTGTACGGCGCTTGGAAGAGCAAGTTGACGACATGAAGGACAGGCTCAACCAGGCCGTTTCGGACAAGGAACAGGCCAAGGGCGATCTTGAGGAGCTTCAAGAGGAGCTGGCAAACAAATCCGTCATGACCAAGGGCCTTTCGCGCCAGAAAGAGGAGAAGCTCCAGCGTTTGCAAACGGACTTGGAGGAGGCAGACGCGAGATTTGCCGACCTCGAGAAGCAGCTTTCCGGTATGGTCAAAGAGAACGAGAGCCTCAAGGCCGTCGCCAAAGAAAGTCGACGTGAACGCGAGGCCGCAGACCGGGAACATCAGTCGCAGCTTGCCAGGATTGAGAAGCAGCTTGCCGATGTTGCTAAGGAGAAGGAGGAACTGAAGACTGTCGCGCAGGAGGGCCGCCAGGAGCGAGCACTCTCCGATCGAGAGCACCAGTCACTGCTTTCTCAGGTGGAAGATCTTCGAAGCCAACTGCAGTCCAGACTTGACGAGAAGAACTTGTTGCAAAGTCGCCATGACGCCCTAACGGACGAATCTTCATCTCTGCAACGAGATGTGGATCGCCTGCAAAAGTCGGTTGAAGAACTGGAGGAAAGTCTTGCTCAAGAAAGAGACCACGCCCTTGAGATCGAGCGCGACATTCGCGGTCAGTACAGGGGAGAAATCGACAGGCTTAATGATGAGATCTCGGATCTCCAGGCCGAGATTCGCGAGAAAGATAATCTTTACGATAATGATAGTGAAAAATGGGAAACGGACCGCCAGACTTTGGAGTCGCAACGGAAGCGGGCAGAGGAAAAGGCGGCCGGACTGGAGCGGACAATCGAAAAGCTGCGCGAAGCAGAGGGCAACCTTTCCTCCAAGGAATCGAGGCTACAGGAAGCCCTCGAAAGCGAGGCTCAGCGTCACAAGGACGAACAAGCATCACTCAGTCGACAAATCGATGACCTACAGCAGAATCTCGAATCTCGACAGGCCATGCTCACCGACTTGCGCAATGAGCTCTCACAAGTCCAGGACGAACTCCGCCAAACTCAGCTCGACTACCAAGCGCAAACCGAGACGGTTGAGGCGCTCGAGGACGAAGTTGAGGTCCTGCAAACAACTCTGGACGAAGAATCCGAACATTCCCGAGAGGAGTTGGAGACTGCTAGGAAAGAGTGTGACGACCTAAAGCAACAACTGGATGAGCTTCGTCGCTCGGCAGATATGGCTCGTGGCACAGCCTCCGCTTCTCAAGAAAATGCTAGCAAGTCAAACCAAACGATCGACCGACTTCGAGCACAGCTTGACGAGGCAACATCTCTCGTGTCCAAGCTGAACGGGGAAAAGGATTCTCTCCAAGATCAGCTCCAGAAACAACTCTCCGAGTCAACTGCGCAGGTTAACAAGGTTTCCCGGGAAAAGCAGGCACTCCAGGGTCAGCTTGCAACTTTGAACCTCGAGATGCACTCCTTGCGGAGCTCGCTGGCTGAAGCAGAGGCGGAACGCGACGAGGTCGAGAGCGAGATGAAACGCCTACATCAGAATGGCGAGGAGACTTTGCGCATCGACCGAGAGCGGCTGGACCTGCGGACCTCAAAGATGAAGCTCGACAATGAGGTTCGAAGACTAAAGGAGGAAAACCGGGCGTTGATGGAGCAGATGGAGCTCGCTGAAAAGTCCTTGGAGGAGGAAATAGAGAAGGCAGCCGAGGAGGAGGATCGACTCAACCAGGAGATTCGTCAACTACAGGCCAAGGTCCGAGAACTCTCCTCGTCAGAGGGACACGAGTCCTCCAATACTCGGCGCACGATCCGCGAGCTCGAGCGGCGTATCAGTGATTACGAGGATCAACTGGCGATGACACAACAACTTCCCGCCAATAACTCGGGCGAAGGCAACAGCGAAATATCTCTCATTCGCCGCGACCTTTCAACAGCGCGTCAGAAAGAACGCGAATATCTTCAGAGGGAGGCAGCCCACAAGGATGTCGTCAAGGGCCTTAAAAAGCAAATCACAGAACTCGAACGGAAGGCCCACGATGCTGAGATGTCCCGACTGATAATGTCTCCCGCGTCATCCAGTCCCTCGGCTAGGAAATCTGAGGTTGCTGAACTTCGTCACCAGCTGTCGTCAGCCCAACAATCCATTCACGACCTGAAGAGCAAAGCACGCGACGCCGAGCGCAGAGCAACACAACTTGAGCATGACTTCCAGACCCAGCTTGAAGAGCTGGAGGACCAAAAGCTCTCTCTCGAACAAGCTCTCGAAGATGCACAGCGAGAATCCGAAGAAGCTGCGGCTCTACACGAAAAGGCTCTTCGCCGGCTGAAGCAGAAGCTTGAGAGGGCTGAGAGCGACCGCTTAGCCATGGGCTCCAGCCGTCGTGATGTCGGCAGCATGTCTTCATCCGAGCGCAAAGACCTCCAAAACATGTTGCGGAGGACACAGTCAGAGGCGGATGCACTGGAGCACGATGTGATGCAGCAACAGGAGACTATCGACGCTCTCATGGCTGCTGAGGGCTCCCTGCGTCGCAAACTGGAGAGGGCGCGCAGCGAGCGCGCAGCCTACCGTTTGACCGCAGAAAAGCTGCAGAAGGACATCCGTGACCTTAAATCGCAGGCCGCGACTGAGGCCAAGGATCAGCGCAACGTCCACTTCATCGACGAGAGGATGAGAGAAACGGACGAGGCTCTCGAGACCGTCATTCGGGCCGCCGAAAGCGCCGACGCGAAGCACACCAAAGAACTCCGAGGCATGACCTTGCAGATGGAGTGGATGCAGGCGCGGTGGAAGCGTGAGGTCAGCATGCGAGCGGACGCGGCGTACGCGAAGAAGTTCTTGCAGCTGGAGCTCGATGTTGCCAACGCATGGTACGTATCTCAGGTCACTTCTTTACCGATTCCTGATGCTAACAATCACACCACAGCAACAAGGCTCAGCTGCGCGACCTGGAGCAGATCCGTACCGAGCTGCTGGGCAGCCGCCGACCCCTGCCGCCAGCGTCGTCGGCGTTGGCGAGGAGGACCACCAACGGCGGCGGCGGCGCCGCACCCGGCCGTCCTACGCTCAAGACGGTGGCGACGATGGCGCGCTTCATCGCCAGGATGCGCATATCTGCGCGCGAGTGGGCCAAGCACGAGGCCACGCGCCAGAGGCTGGCGAACTGCGTCGACGAGATGCGCAAGACCAAGAGGAGGAGGCAGCTCAAGGTGGTCTCGGCGGACCACGTTGAGGCCTGATCCAACGCGAGTGATCTCGGCCTCGGTCTCGCCTGATGGTTGTGTTTTCTTTCTGTCAAAGTCGCAGTGGAGGGGGTGGTGTGGGAGCTTCCGGAGAGATGGGCATCGGGCGGTCGTCCCCATTGGACCGCGTTGCAACCGAGCTGAAGATGCTGCGGCGTAATCGGGAACATCCCTCGCATTAGCATGGTGTTGGTCTGTTTTGGGGGGTCTTTGTTCATCTTCCCTTTTGTAGTATTGCATTTTTGTTGGTCTGTCTGCATACCCTTGACGATGCAGCGGGAGCGAGCGAACGATGGAGTGTTTGGGTTGCAACCGCCCACTTCCCTATTTGATCATGACAGTCCCGATTTGACAAGGCATGGCTAGCTGAAAGAGGAAGAAGGGACAGGAGGAAAAGGGAGGGGTGGGATGATGTGCGACGCACACTTTCTCTGGACGACTATTGGTCTACTTATCACCGTCACTCTCATGTTGGGCATCGAGAACGGGTTCCTGTTGGTTAGATGGCGCGGGTTACGGTGGTAAAACAGGAGTCTGGATGCTCTCTTGTCTTTTTTTTTTTCTAAATTTTCTTCATTTTGGGAGTGTTACCCAGAATTGCATTGCATGCTGGACAACAGATTGCATAGGACATGGATACCTAAATATTTTCTACTGCTGTCAAAAAAGACGGTTCTACGTTCGGATGTGATTGATGCCGACTGGTAACGGTGCCGACGCTCCTGCATAGGCAGGTCCAGACCTTCAGCTAGCGAAAGCTGGGGTCCACGTGGCCGATATCACGATGTCACCGAGTGCTTCGGCCGTACTGACACGCTTCAGGGGCAAATATCTCGACGCGCTGAGTTCCTGATCTAGATAGAACGATAGCTTTTGTTAAATCCATTTTGGTAAGCCGCCTAAGTGAGGGTCCGGAGCATCCTGCACCAACAAGACCAAGATTCAAAAGCCAAGGCAGAAATCCCACTCTTCCCGAGATACCCAAATCGTCCGTTTTCGCCAGTCCAACCTTTCCCTTTCCGTGATGATCTCCGTGCCTACCTCCGTCTATCGAACCTGATTATGACCTCTCGAGGTCGAAGTAGGGAACAATGACATGACATGTACAAGGCGGACCGGCCGTTGCGTGGGGTATATTACATGACGAACAGAAGATTGGTGTCTACGTTATGCGAAGTCAGTCAAGTTGTCGATGTAGGCGTCCAGCGCAAGTTGTACGTACTCAAGGGGTGACTGCACGACAGTTGCGGCTTCTGCGTGTAACGCGTCGCGAGTTCGTCTCGAATACTGTTGAGCAACTGCACGTAGCTTTGCTGAGGATTCTTCTTCAGAGCCGTGATGAAAGCCCAAGACATGGCGCCTGTTGCTTGAGCAGCAATTGTAGCGTCGGCCCTATGATCCAAATTAGTCCCATACCCTTGACCTGACAGAAGATACGTAAAAATCAAGAGAAAGTGTTGCGGGACTTCGTCCTCAGGGCCACACTTGTGGCTCGTCATGGACCTAACGTGGCTCATCGCCCTAGAGCAAAACAGCAACCGTATTCAGTTGCGCCTTGCTCTAGAGCGTATGAGAAAAGAGCCTGTTACATTGGCCCATTAATATGAACAATGACTAGCCACTCAGGCACTACTTTTTGTGCGCGCTTCCCCAGCTTTTACTGCCCTCTCACCAGGAGACGGGCTCGTCAATTCCAATACTCCCCTTTTCCGGGGGACGCTTGCAAACATGCGAAAATGAGATAAGGTGGGTATCATAGCAGAAAGTAGAAATGGGGTCCATACGAGGTCTGGTCATCTTTGCTTCCAGAAAACATAATTACGTCGGCCGGTGAAGTCTTGGTTTGCATGGCGCGGTTGTGAGCGTCCTCGCCGGTAGTGGCCTTCTTGATAAAGCCCATGATGTTGCTCGCAACACCGCCAAGATCGCCTTGGCTGTATGACGAAATGGCGCCCAGAAGGCCTTGGCCAGCTTCCTTGGCCAGGTTGGGTTCCTTGAGGATGCCCTGGGTCGAGTAGATATAGGGCAAATCAAGGGCAGTTCCCGAGTGACATGAGTCGAAAATAGCAGTCAGTCTCACACCAGCTTGCAACGGCTGCACCATAATTCTGTGCATCTCATCGTCCGTGATGTGACCAGTCTGGCGGAAGTCAACAGGGTAAATGACCTCGTCGTACCCGTCGTCTTCATCGCCGTCAAGATCCTTGGTTTGACCTCCGTGTCCTGCAAATGTCAGCAAACGGTCAAATGTCTTGTGTTTCCCGCCATACCTGAGTAGTGGAAGAAGAGAGAGTCGTTTGGCCTTGCGTCTTTCACAAGCCAGTGCATAGCTCTGAGGAGGTTCTGTTTGGTCGGCTGGCTCATGGGGTTTTGCTGGTCGTCCGTCAAAAGGACCATATCTTCTCGCTTGTACCCAAAACGTTCGACGAGGTAAGCTGACATGTTCTTCACGTCGTTGATGCATCCGCGCAACTGGCCTCGTTGGCCAAAGTAGTTGATTCCAATCAACAGGGCCTTTCTTCGGCCAGTACAGTTGGAGTACTGAAAGTGGTAGTTGTTGGGCGCGCCGTGGCCGAATCCTTGCGGTTGGGATGGAGGAGGCGGAGGAGCGTTGTGGTTGCCGTGCACGTACGCATTCGAGTTCGCTGTCGGCATCCCTACGTAGGTTTAGGATTATCAATTACAACCAAATGGAGCTCTGCTAAAGCTTTCGCGACTTACCAGGGCGGTTGTTGTAGTTGGGCTGGGGCGCATAACCGCCATACTGCTGTTGAGGCGGAAGCTAATTGACCGTTTAGTTGTTGGAATCATGACAACGTCGGCATATGTCTCTACCTGATTGTACCCATACGGTTGAGGGGAGGGTTGTTGGTAGCCGTATCCCTGCTGAGGAGGATATCCGTTGTAGCCCTGCTGCGGTGGACTATGGGACAATGTCAGCATCTGGTCGCGCTCGTGCTAGAGAATCTTCAATCATACGGGTAGTAGCCGCCCTGCTGAGCATATTGCTGCTGCGGTGGTGGACCACCCTGATATCCTCCGTAATGACCTGGGTATCCAGACATGTTTATGATAACGTCGTGGCCTCGGCAGGTCTTGATTGACAGACTGCGCCCGCGAGGGGTCGTCGAAGTATTCGGAGCTCGGTGAAGTTGTCTGGACAGAGGAGTGCGCTCAGCAAAACAGTCCGGAAAAGCGGGATGTCTTATAGACGCGCGAGGTCGTCTCGAGGTTGTCGTCGGTCCGGGAGGTGGTGAGGGGAAGCGAGGAGGTCAAGGACGAAGGCCGTCGTGCGGGAGGTAGATGCGCGTGCTTGGGTCTCGGGACTAGTCGAGTGACAACGGGGCCAATGTCAGCGGCTTGTGAGTGCGAAAACGGTTCAAGCAGCAAGCACGGGAGTGTTTTCTGGCAGCTCCAGCACGAGGGACTAGCTGAAAAGGAATACCTCGAAGCGGGAGATGGCTCATGCAGCAAGGGTGATGTGACTAGTAGGGGGTCTTGCTAGCTGGAAATGGCGGCGGTTGAGGTAGTTGGCTTGAAAGACGGATCGGGTGAAGGTCGTGTTCGGTCGATTCAGAGGCGTAATGACACAATGAGCAGTTGAAATGTTGGCGCGCGGAAGAGGAGGTAAGAGTTGGTGTGGAAGCAGAAGGGATGGCTGCGGAAAGGTATGCAGGAGGTGTCGAAGAAGAAGACGACAGAACGGGCGGAGTCTTCGGCTTGCCGTGGTGGAATGTAAGGTCTGCGAGATGATGGCGGAGGAGAGGCGGGAGGTAAGAGCACGGCGCAGAGGTGGTCGGGGTTTTTGGTGGTGGAGGGGTCGAGAGCTACCTTAGGAACGTTTCTCTGTAAGGCTCCGATTGAACCAATCCAATTGTTTTTTTCCGTTTTGGCGGGGATGCTGACGCGCGAGAAACACTGAAGACACTAGGATCACATCGAGGCCTTGCTTGGTCTTTGGGTATCCGTATCTTACTGCGCAGGAATGGAAGGTGGAGGTAGACAATGACAGCCCACTAACAGGACTACGTAATGTTGGGGCAATCGTCGTAGGCGCCGAGGAACAGAACGGCATGTGTTAAGCCGTAAGAGAGTGACGATTGGTCGTGAACGGAAGAAACGGCTCGAGACGCAAAGTCCAAGAGGCTTCTTCTGCTAACGGAGGTGGGTCCGAGTACAACATGTTTCCCCAAGTTTATCGGCAAGCACGAGGGCCATCACATCATTTCGTTCCTAGCCAGCATGGCCAGCATGGCCAGCATGGTACCTACAATGGGGAACTGCGTCGTCGTAGTCAGCAACAAGAAACACTGCTGTGCGCTACGGATACCTAGGTAAGGAAAGAGAAAAACAACAGAAAATGCTGCAGATGCCACAATCAGTAGTGGTCACACTGAGCAGAGGGATGCACGGACCATACCAAGACGTTTCCCATCCCGGTGAGAGCCGAGATGAGGAGCAGCCACAGCCGCTAAGCCGCTTTGGGCCGTCACTGCCCTGCGTCGTGCCCGCCGTGCAGCATTCGCGATGGATGCCACGATGCCGCCAACCTGGTTGAGTGCCGCGTCCCGTGGAGTTGTGGCGTCCGGTTCCACCGTTCCTGCTTGTTTCTGAAGCACGACTTCTTGTTCTTTGCCTGCCATCATATGCACTTGCAACATAGGTACGTTTTTTACCCTTTTTTTCTTCCCCCAATCCTTACGATTCTGTACGTACCTTACTCATATCGCCGTCATGCATTCTATCAGTAACCAAGTCCTCTTGATTATTCAGACTAAAGACTGTTGCTTAGGTAGAGGTAGCTTACATGCAGACTATTGCTTATTGCTGCATTCCGGTCACCTCCGTTTCAGCCGCAACAGCATCGCAACTCTCCTTGTCGACATGGACTCGGCACTGCCCGCCTCTCCGTCCCGCTTCAAAGTGCTTGAGAAGAGACCCCTGGAGCTGTTGCTCCATCACATCGTCCGCAACACTCTCCGCCTAGTCTCACCTCTCGCTTGCCTGGCGCGCTTCTGTCTCGAATCGACTTCTCTCAAACCCCTCGTCTCTAATAATTGACTAGGCACCTTAGCCTCCCCAGCCCTCGGGAACTGTCTGCCACGGCACTTGTTGTTAGCTCTCCTACTCTTCGACTCTCCCATCCGTACCCGGAGCTGCTGAGCACTTGCCCCGGTCCAGCTGAGCATTCCCGTCCGAGCTGATTCGGAAGACCCTGCGCTGGTCCGTCATGGCTGTGCTGTGCTGCCTTGATTGGTCGGGTATTCGTACATGCACTTGACCAACAACTTATGTCTTCCGTCTACCGAAACTGACCACTCCGACATATCGCTAAGAGCGCCTTGCAACGCATCGCGATAACTACAACTAGGTCGTTGACAAGCGCCGGCTGCCTCTGCCAAATGACTGCATGCATCGCCAAACTCGTTCGCATCGTCCAGCGCAATTGGGCATCCTTGACATCTCTTTCTTAGGGCCAAGCTACCTTAGGCAAATCGCCTGTCAACCGTACTAACACCACGACCCGACATCTCAATGATGCCTCGGTCTTGATCATTGCGATCCGCAAACCAGCATCGAGACCCTTGTCAAGAATCCACAACTTTCCATCTCATCGCAGCGGAGAGTCCGTTACCTAGGAACCTACGCGCCATCTCACCGTAGTCACATCCCCGCGTTAACTCTCATGCCGGCCTTGTCTGCAAACATCTTCACATCAGTCTAATTGCTGTCTCAAGCATGCTTCAAGTCAATGACCCGAGTTCGCGAAGCAATTTATTGAACGCCACGAGCTCGCGAAGCCACGGCACGTCGTTACAACCGTTTGCTCTGCCCGACTTACCATCTTCGGTCTATCCAGGCTACTCTACAGTCTTGACTGCCAACATACCTCAAGTCGTAAACAATAGGGATCAGATACGCACTCCATATTGTTCCCGATCCTAAAAAGGTAAGGTTACGGGATTGCCGATCATTGTGGCGCACCTGACTGATGGAGGCGGGACACCCTTGTCGATTTGGGGTCCAGAGACTGTTCTTCGGCATGCGACACCGTCTGTCAGCGCCTACAGTCTCAATCGCCTTTCTAAGACATCAGGTTCAGGTTTCACGAGATGCATGTCTTTGGCGTCAACGAACGTTGTCGACGACGACCAACACGATAACCACAGCTCGCTATTCTGGACCCGCCTGAGTTTCTACTTCATTTCTGATCAGAGACTGGACGACCTAAATTTAGGGTCTCAAGATTTGGAAAACGCAACGACAACAGTATGTAATACCATCTGCGCAGCGGGTGTTAGGTTCCAAAAGCAGCCGCTACGGTAGCAACGCGGAGACGAGCCATTGATGGGACGAGATCCCTTTTAAATCTTGAGCTCGTGCCGGCCTTGTCGTCGTGGTCTAAAGATCTGTTTGACTGGACATGAAGCTCCGGGTATACGACAAGAGCTCTCAGCTAGCTGCGTGGCTGCGCTGTGTTCAACGCCATACCGTTGCCATTGCCCGGTTTTTCGTTAAGTTTCTGGTCCTTGACCCAACCAGATGGCTTCGTGGCGCCTTGGTAGCACCCGGTCTCTGGCACGTCCTAGCCACGCGAACGAAGAAGGGGGTTCGCCAGAACCACTTTCTCACCCGCATGCGTCGCCCTGCAAACTGGGAATGTCACCGTGACGCCTTCGAGCCTCGTGGCATGTGCGTTGCCGTCGCACATTCCGTCGTGAGTAGTCGGGCATCCATTGAGGCTTCTGTACATTCATCATGGGCCTGACGCGACATTGTCAAGCCACCGGGACCCTGGCCCGCATGCTCGGAGGATAGTACATTCATCCGCATCTTGCCCTCTTCTCTATTCCTTTAAAACGCATGTCGATAGAATGCGGTCTCAATGGTTGACGACTTAGCAAGAATCAAGCCACCGCCAATTTCCGGAGTAGACCTCCGGCCCAGCCACGGGAGATGTCTCGAAGCCGTCAGAAAGGTATCATTTCTGTCCCTTAACAATAAGCCTTGAGACACGTCCGGAGTGTCTTTGCGGATCTCGGCCCATGCCCATCTACGGTTGTCTTGGTTGTCATGACTTCCGGCGTGCCTGCCCGAGACGGGGCTTTGGCCGTAAGACACCCAGCCTCTTTGAGCCTTGGAGCGCTACCACAGTTAATACAGCTGTCGCGATGGTCAGGTTTGTAGTATCGACGACATATTTTCACCCTACGGACATGATGATCCGAGGATATGAAAGATGAAGGTCTAAGGCTTCTGATGCCAATATTGCTATGAGTCCAAAAGAAAATCTGGTTGACAGGTGAAGCTGGAAGCTCCATGCTCCCGCATATTCCAGTCCTTCAATACTGAACTAGTTATGCTACCTAGCACCGACATGTATCTGCTTCTTAATTTCACTACGTCATTAATTTAACCGGCGGGATACCTCAACACGAATTTTCCCCCAGTCACACCATCTCCAACGCAACAGCAGACCTTCCCCGCCACTCCTCGCCCTGGGCCCCCAAGGCCTGCGCATTGCCCAGCTATCTTGCAGTTCGGAGACGCATCGTAGATCATAATGCGCGGCTAAATAAGCTTCAAATTGAGCCTCTCATTCCGTGGTTCTGTGGGTGAGGGAGGAGCTACTTGCTCGACGATGACGGCACCCAAACTTGCGGAGATAACGGTCCTTCAGTAGATGGCTACTTCGTACTTACGATGGCCCAACCATGTCGGGAGTCTACCCCTCCTCGTGAATCACCACCCGGTGGGCGGAGCAGTCCGTAGAACCATATCAACGTGCTGCTGCCATACCTGCTTTTTGAGTTGCCAATCCGGCTCCGGCGCCGGTCCGAACGAGGCTAGGACACCCGCAACTCAATCCCGTGAGGGAACCCTTGGTCGAGGCAGAACCATATCGCAGGATGTATTATATTGTATTGTGTCGTGGAGGGTCCCGCGTGTTTGGATTGGTCTGTCGATAACCAGTGGACTCTGGCAAACCATCTTGCTGAACACCAAACCTTTTCTCTCTTTTGCTTCTTCGCTGCATGAACTCTATAACCGGGGCCTGGCCCAGCCAAGCCACCGGTTTGTTTCCCGTTCCTCACGATAGGAAACATCCGAAGCTGAAGATGGTGTGGGTTGGCCGGAAACGCGTTTCAGTGTTGGGAACGCAGTAGCTCGAAAGGGTCGTGTCGATCGAGAGCTGTACAGGAGGGAGGCCTGGCGAGCTTGTTACTATATGTCTTGCAGATTAGGAAACGCAGACTGCCACACCTCGTTTACCTTCTTGGATCTACAGGGTGTTCCCGGCTGCCACAAACTCACGCGGCAATTTGACCTCAAGGTTGCATTACGGCAAGAGTGACGATGAACGACTTGTATGCAGTAGACGGGCATAGGGACAGTGTCTTTATGGACGTCTGTTATTGTAAGATATTCACGAGTCACTTTGCGTAAGTCCGCGAATGAAGAGAATGCCACAAACCTTCCCACGTGATGGAAGATGGAAGAAAATCAGCTGTAAATTTACTTTGTTCAAAGTGTCGGACATGTATCCAGTCTACCATGCCCAAGAAAAAGAATCTTCAGTCCAAAGACGCTCCCCGCTGATGACGCTGAGCGATTATGCATCGACCATCTTGACGTCCTCCTCGTTCTTCTCTTCCTGCTTCCTCATGAGCCAGTTCATCAGGCACCAGACGAGACGCATGGCGTCCAGCCGCTCGTCCATCTTGAAGAAATCGAACCAAGGGGTGCGGCGCACTTCGACCTGGGCCCAGCTGCGGTGGACGCCATCCTCGCCCGCGCCCTCCAGAACCTCGAGCAGGCGCTCCGGCACGCGAACTCGCAGAAAGCTGACGTGGTGGAATAGCGAGCTGATGACGAAGATGTCATCGTAGCCGACCCCCTTGACCTTGCCGATGGCTTCGTATTGAGACTTTTGGTCCCAACTGGCGGAAGGCGGGCGAAGCATGCGGTAGTTATCGTAGATGGACATGTTCTTGCGCGGTCTCTTGCTCGCAGGCTGGCCGGTCTCCGAGTCCACGTTGTCCTTGTCGCCCTGGATGGCGTCCCTCTCGACCTCGCGGCCGATGGGGCCTCCGGAGCCACCGCCCCAACGGGGCTTAGATGTCCACCACTGGCCCTCGCCAGACCGCTTCTCCGTCTTGCCTTCGCGGGCACGGTGCTGGGCGGTGACGAGGGCGGCAACAAGTTCGCGGGCCAAGTCGATTGCTTGATCGCTGTCGTTCTCAAAAGACGTAGACCCCCGAGCAGTGACGGCGGCCAGGGGTCCTTCGATGATACCCTTTCGAGCAGCCTCACGGGTCCTAGGGGTGCGGAAGATGAAAGTGCATCCAGACGCGAAGTATGAAGCTCTGGGTGGCAGGGGTTCCTTTTGACGTTTGGGGACGGCAGATGGGGCGGCGGTGATGTGCAGACGGGGCTCGGTTCGGGGAGCTGAGACGTTACAGCCGAAATCGTAAGCTACAAGTTTGAGGAAGGCGGTAATGAGACTTTGGCGGTACTCTGGAGGCATCGAGGAACCGGCCGACGTGCGGATGACGCGGGGTTGTTCAGGGGTCTGCGAAGTGTCCTGCTCAGACTTTTCCGCCTCGACAGCCTTGTCCTCCCCCGACGTTTCCTTAGCATCGAGGGATGGGTTGGGCTTGGACGTATCATCCCAGTAAGTGGTGAAAGCCTCGAGACATCTGAAAAACTCGTACGAGTTTCCAAGTCGTGCCTGCTGCTCGCCTTTGGGCGCGGGAATGCGCCTCACCGTACGGAAGGCGACATCGTTCGAGTGAGACAGCTCGCGCTTGCGGTCGAGGTAGGTTTGACAACCAGGTGATTGGACGCCATTATTCAGATCCTTGCGCGTATCCGCGTTCTTCTCACGTGCCTCATCCGGGGAGAGCTTATCCCAAGACTCAAAGTCGGGGAGGAACGCGGAGTCCGGGATGAGATCTGCGGGGGTGGCGTCCGGGATGAGGTGTACCCCAAGAGCATCAAAGACGGTGGATGTGACGTCTGCCGGGCGATATACATTTTGCAGGATGGACGTCAATGGCTTCGTCTCACCGGTAGGCGCTGAAGGGGCTTGCAGTTGAGGGCGGCTGTTGGGCAGCTTCACGGGCGTTGGGGGCGGAACATCTTTGGGGTCGATTTTGACGGCGGTTGGCAGGTTTGCTGTAAGTTCATATTAGGATGGCATGTTTCAATGAGCAAAGGACATGCAGATCATGGTAAATTGACAGCTGAAGACGAACGGGAGAAAAACGTATGTAAGTGCGTGGGTGAGAGTGATTGATGCGTTATTGGTGGTAGGGACAGCATCGGGCGGCGGTAGTGGTGGCTCCCGCCGGCCGGGAGCAGGTGGCTCCGCGGACGGGCCGCCAAGGACGCGGCGCCAAAGAACCGAAGCAGATCAAGCACGGAAGAGACAGGCTTCCGGTGCAGGACGATAAGACCGGCTACTTGGCCACCATCGCTTCAAGGTTGGCGAGGATAAAGCATTGATGATGTAGATCGACGGGTTAGGGGTGGTGGGGAAATAGGACGAAAACGGAGGGGTTCAGGAGGCAGAGAGAGGTCGACTAGGGGTCACTCACTGCAAAAGGAGGGCAGCAGGAGGGGAAGTGTAGATACAGCATAGCTTGGACACGTGCTTTCCAGTGAAGCGGAAGGAAGAAGGAGGGGGAAGTCAAGGCCAAGGAGATGATGGGTGGGAAGTAAATTGAACTGAAATCAGAGTCTGCGAAGCCGCAGGAACGGGACGAGTCGCTTGACCGTGATATAACGGCTGGCAGCACACTCATTGGATCGAATGAATCAGTCAACTCACCCAGGGCGGGATAGGTTCCGAACATGGCGTTGCGAGCGTCTCAGACTAGTTGCTTGGTGCGATGACACAATAACCGCCAGACGCAGATAGAGTAGTAGGAAGAAAGAAGTTGAGTTTCCGGGAGAGACAATGTGGTCGGCGGCGGCGACGGCGGCGGAGGCGGGCAACGGTGGAGAGAGAAGGAGCTGGAGAGAGCTCGAGCGGGGTTGAGATTGTGTTTGGTGGTGAGATGGAGATGGAGATGCGAAACGGCCTCGCTTCACCCAGGATTGTTTGCTCGCTTCAGGCCGATCGAACGTCGATTGTCAATTCACCTCAAGTTTCCAGTTCTGTGGAAAGGGGGAAACGACGGATGAGCAAAGAGAAAATTGAAAATCGAAAATTGATCCCATGCAGTACGGATAACGGGGTAGAAGAGACAGCAACAGCAGCAAGCAAGCAGCCAGGCGGAAGCAGTCCGGAGAGCTGCAGCTGGTACGAGTACCCGTTCGGTTGTCGTTGCGCACTAATAATATCCGTAATTCTGCTCTCAAGATAGATACCTGGTCAGGTAGGCTGAAGCGTGCCGGGCGATTATCCAGCATCCAGGCGACTCAGTATCCGTAATTCACACTCGAGGATGCTGGGTATGGAAACCGTCTAAACTCAGGTAGGCAAGCAGATGTGGCCGAGGTGAGGAGGTCGCAGAGAAGGACGCAGTAGCGAGCGCTTGGCAGCCGGTGCTGTTCGCTGCTAATGCCTGGTGCTTGTGGTGCTAATTACCGTTGTCGGGCTCTTGTTGGACTCATTGAACCGTTGGCCCACCGTACGATGCAGCATTGCTGCAGCTGTGTGGTCTTCTGCTCCTCGATGCGCCGTCCAACAGGTCCATTTCGATTGTTTGTTGGTTCTTTTTCAGGGGTCGACAGGAACAAAACAAGCCATGATTTGCTGAGGACCGAATAGCGCGAGGCACCCTGCAAAAGCGCGCCTTGAGGCTGGAGTTTTGTGGCTTGATGCTTCCCGGTGGCTGGTGAGTCGGATATGGACATGACCATACGGGAGGCGGGTGTCGACGGGAACCAAGGAGACGGGACAGGACGGGACGGGAGTTCCTGGAATCAGTGTGCTGACTCATTCGCGCTAACCCACACCGGGCTCCGCCTCCTGCCGGAACGGAGAAATATGCGGGACGGGTGACAGGAGTGGACCCCGGCTCCGGCCACAAGACCCGGCCGCGCCGTTGCATGGCTCAACCTGGTAAGGTACAGTGTAGCCACTCTGTGGAACAAGGAGGTCGAGGCCGCAAATGTGCGCTTGACGTCTTCGCTGTCCAAACCCAACGTCATGCTCCCTTTCCTTCTTGCTGCCCGATAGATGCGTGTGGGTGTGTGGTTGACTGCCTAGTCTTGCACAAATTGCCCTCCTTCGTGTACTTGCGACAGGAGGTGAGGTAGGCAGAGAACGATGATAGCGACACCAATAGCATGGCGCTGCAGATACATGTCATGCACCACACTGACACCACAGTAGCTTTGCATTGGCTCCGGGTGATCCAGGGACAAGAATTGGCTGCCAATCAACGCCAAGAGCACACCGTTTTGTCGTCCATCTGCTCCGAGCCGTGAACGGAAACCCTTGGTAGCGCCCTCCGTGCCCCTCACTTGCCGAGTCCCGTCCCAGCTGGCCGGTCTGGCTCCGGTGTTTCGGTACGGCGTTCTAGCGCTCAGAGCGGATAGCCCGACTAGTAGGTAACTTAAGTTGTTCCATAGCTTACCGAGGGGGAAAAAAAGAAGGGGATTTTTCCGACGGCCGAAAGGGCCCTTGAACCTTGCCAATGTTTTCACTTCTCGCCTCTTCTCCATCCTTCAGTTCTAGCTGCCTCTGATTGATGATGTCTGTGGGATGGTGGTGCACAAACTTTGGCGGGCCCTAACATGCAGCTGTCTGTCTGTGTTGCCGGAGGTTAATTGCACATCGTATCAAGACTTTAAAAACAAAACAACGCACGGCATGATGCACTCTTTCTTTTCTACCTTGATGTTATATGTTTACTGCCGCCAGGTCTATCCCGTCCAGACTGGTCTGGATTCTCCCATGGCAAAACGGCAATATGTCGTGTGCTATTCCTCCTCTCCTCTGTCATGTCGGACACGTTGTGCAAGGTTGTATTTGCATACCTAAACAAGCCCTCGGGTTACGTAGTTGTTAACCTTACTCGGATCAATGACATTACCCTGGCCGCGACTCATCCATACATGTAGGCCCCGAGCACATCGCTCACGGACACGAAGCACTGTTCAAGTACGCGTACGTTGTTTCGGGCTTCTGCAGCCAAGATCCAACGTCCTAGCCCTCTTATACCCCCCACTCCTTTTTTCGCAAGTCAAGCTTGATTGACTTTTCGCCGTATGCTTGAAGTTCATCCATTCTCCAGCAGAGTTGTGGTTGACTGGTCCCTTAGCCGTTCGCTAGAGATTCTGACACTTGTCTTGCAAAGATCTCACTGGTCGCACCATCAACGACAACCAATCGCTGCTATGCCACCACGAAGACTGTGTGCTGTCAAACTGCGCAATGTCTACCATCGGCCATGCCGCTCGACGCGGCCAGAATGTTGACAGTCTGATGCAACCGTTCGGTGGCATATCTGCCTCTGCCGTGGATTGTTTGGTCGCCTGGTTTCATACTGCGGGCCATGGTCGTTGCCCCGTTTGATGATCCGCGGATCTCGCACAGGACATAACACAAACATAATGGGCTCGCTAATTATCGAGCGTTCCTATATCGCCGTAACAGAGTCGCGGGAGTAGAGAGACTCGGCTACTTGGCAGCCCGGGCTCCTGCTCATCATTCGTTTAAGCTTGTATCCCTCGTCGAAACCCCTTCTGTCGATTCAACTGGAACCCTTCCGGCACGGAGGATCCCTTCGTCATGTGCATCATATCTGCGCAGGAGGGTCTGCTCCCGAACCTGATCGACAACGTATCTCAAGCGCATCCTCTTCCTTCTACTTACTCGCAAAAAGATCTCTTTTCGAATCTGACATGGCAACGAAGAGATGAATTCAAAACCGGTGAGCACTCGACATGATGATAGGAATCGGGCTGTGCGATGAGCATGTTTAGAAGTTGTGCATTCTCAAGTCGATATTCGAGACGCGCCAACTCGAAAGGACCATGCTGCGATCCTATTCCTGTTCCCCGGCGGATGCGTCAACGGAAAGAAGACTGAGTGGCCGGGTTGGAAGGCTGGGCAAGCCGCAAGGACGTTTTTCGTATGTTTCCAAGGACCACCCGTGCAGACGGCGGATGCCTGTCAGTTGATCGACCTTTTAGCCCCTGGGTGTTTGACGCCGTGGTGGGTAGTGGGGAGGAAGAGGACGGAAGGTCAATATCTCGCAAACGGCTGCGGGGGACCCTTCGCTTTGGTGGACGGACTGGGAACAGCCTGCGAAGTGCCATCCCAGCCGCCCAGTATGGGTGGTCATGCCACGAGGTGTCCCTTACGGGGTAGTGCCTGCAATAAAGTCATAGACTTGTCGCCTTGTGCCGCGAGCGGATTATGCAGTGCATCAAGAAACCGTATCACCGCACAGAAGTTGGTCGCCAGTGGCTAAACCGTCTCAACTCCAATCATTACAAGCCGTCAAGATGGTTTGGCGCTTCTTGCCCACAAGGGGTGGTTGGCGGTAGAGGCTCTGATAGCCGAGTCGCGCAAATGCCGAGAGAGCAGCTCCTCACCGTCTGTTGTTGAATTATGACATTCACCTTCAGAATTATCAGGTGAAGCAGCGTCGACGGGCGTTGGCCGAAGGACGGACGAGCCGTAGCGTCAAGACATTCGTACCTGTTCAGTCGAAAGCCAAGCACGGCGCATCGAGGATAAGGCGGCAGGGACCGAAAATACGAGGGCAAAGAGGACAGGACGACGAGTGCGCAATTCAGTCTAAGCGGTTGAGTTGGTGATGATGAGATGGCCCCGCCGTGCCCGAGTCGGTCTGCTTCACGGTGCGGAAGTATTGCGTGATGTTTCTGTTTCCAGCATGGCAGCGCGCATCTCGGTGCCCTACCGTATGTATGAGAAGTTGTGTCATGAGGCCAAAATGGGAGCGAGTTGCAAAAGAGGAGCTCAGCGGGAATTCTCCGTAGCTCATGCATGGTAAAGTAAGGTAGGCGAAGGGGAGTTCTCCGTACTTGGTAACAGCAGGCCTTCTCCGGATTTGCATGCGAAAAAAGAAGAAGATGGCTAGCGGTGTAGGGCCCGCATTTGTTTGAGAGAAAGAGAGGGAGAAGGCGTGGATTGGGTGACTTGATGCTATTTCCAGAGCGTGTGACGGTTGACGAGGTGGATCTCGGAGC